ACACCTGCTTGATAGCATAGTAAGTTCGGCAAGATCACGCCGTAAACATTTGAGACTAACGTCCAGAAGTACCGGTTTGCGACTGCTGTACAACTATATATACATTAGCCACAACTCTTTTATGAAGGGGTGGGCTCAGTGAGCTTCTCTTTGTCAAAAATAGACCACATAATAACAGTGCAGGTTCAAATATCCAGCATGGTTGTATTTTTCATTGCCCTCCATGAGTCTTGGTTCTTTGCGACCATTGTAAGGGCAATCTCAAGATGGCTGCACAGCGCAAGCCTAGCAGAGGGAGAATCCGAAGATATGAATAAGTCTAACTACAATACATGAGAGAGCTGCTGTTAAGGACCGTGTCAAGGGGCCTCCTAACTCGTCCGTACAGGGGCGCGGGAGCGCGGACGAGCGGAGCACATGGGACTTGGCTTCAGCTTTGATGCTGCGCCCTCCTAGCCCTGTGGTGTCCCGATTTCAGAGAGAGCAAGGTGAGAGGCGGGCTCCGCAGCGAAGACTTAGAAGACAAGTTGATGGAATAGGAACTAAGATTCAGAGTAGAGAATACATGTCTACTAATGCTACTATAAATACTGACTAACACATGTATGTAGTGAGGCTAGTATGTAAGTACACATGTAGGTGAAACATGTAACAGGTGAATCCAAGTGCTGCACACCATGCATAGGCCGCAAGGGCAGAGCCCGAGGGACTCTGAGGGTCCGAGTATCCGAAAGGGGTGTAGGGGGGACCACTAAGGGGGGGTGAGGACTGGTCTATGACAGCTGCTCACTAGCAGAGAGAGAATCCAAAGAGAACAGGATAAGGATTCTCCATGCTAGGAAGCAAAGTATATACTGTAGTAGCGTGGGAGGAATGAAGGGTAACTGTACAGTACCCCAGCCACAAGTCCGAACAAATATCACAAGGTACTGGGGGGCATGTGATAATGAAGCAGAAGGGGAACGTACAGGAGTCGTGCCAGCGACCTGGGGAAGTAAGGGCAAAGAGTAATGAAGCAGGGAAAGAGGACAGAGGTAACCCGGACGAGCCCTGAAGTGTATAGACAAGTCCGAGCGTGTCTGAAGTGTCTGAAGTGCGGGAAGACTTCGGAGTCACCGGACATGACTCGGATGCAAAGGGAGTGGGCGGAAAGGAAGTGGAAAGGAAAGGGAACGAAAGGGATGTATGTAAGAGTCCGTGGGATGAAGGAAAAGAGAAAGGAATGAGGAGGAAGGGAGAGGGACAGGGGAATAGCAGAAAATAGGAGTGTCCTCTTACAGATATCCTGCCTTACATTGAATCTTCGGGACCCATTCGTTCGGAATCCACAGGTAACACCCAAGCAAGTAACTCCCGAAGCGGAGCCCCTGGCAGTTATGGAGATAGTCAGAGCGAGAGGCGACTTAGAGGCAGGTACTTCTTCGGAACAAAATCCAAGGGCAGTGGATATCACCGAGGCTATCAAATCATTCCGGCTTGCAGGGGCCCGTAAGGTAGTCGACATACATTGTCAATGAACGTCACGTGCTCTAGTGTGACAAGTCCCATTTTGGGTCGGCGGGCAAGAGAATTTCAATAAAATAATTACGAAGCAGAATGAAGCTAATTCTAACGGGTAATCAGTAGATATCATACACAGGTCAAGCTGGCATGACTTAGATTAGTGAAATAACCATAATTAAACAACTAGATAGCAGAATACGTGGGAAACACATCATTAAGAGACTTCAACGCGACGCGAAGCGCGTCTACAAGCTAAATCCTGAGTCGTCGCGCGAAGATCAATTAGAAAAGAATGCACTAGTGGCACTCAACAGTATCCTGCTAGAATCCATGTGATGGTGCATTGTTCTGCCGATCTCTTGCTCACTTTTGCGCTGACTTATCTCTACAGCTTCGCAACACGTTCTCAGCGCTTCATGGATGCATACCACCGGAGTCTCGACAGACGGCAGGCTGCTTGGGCAGCAAGAAAGTATCGTGGACATTGTGTGTTACCTGAATCCATCATGAATGATATTGAGAAGGCTTTTCAAACCTGACTTACTTGTCCTGAGCTCCCTACGCAAACATAATCTCTCATAACCTCAAAATTGGCCTTTGCTTAGCCATCTAGTACTTCAGAAATAATCGTAAAATCTTGTAATTTAATCTAATATATCTTCGCACATATATCTATCAATTACCTGTTCAAATTTTGAATAACTGCAGTAAACATTGCTTGGTAGCCAAATTCCCTCCTCACGATTGCATTTGGACGGCACTGTGACCAGGCAAGTCACGTCATGTGACATTTGTCAACAATGTATGTCGACTACCTTACCAGCCACCCGAAGTTTGAACAACACTCATTACCGAATCAGATCAAGCAACTGCATTGAACACTTCGAGTGGGCCATTGTATTTGGCAAGATTTTGATCATTAAAATTGTTACAGGGCTGTGGTGCCAGTCTCGTTATTCATCTGTATAGCGGTATAGAACCAGCATATATCGTAGCAAAGGTGCGGAATTGTGTCTCCGCTTGCTAGGGTTTCCCTTTTCAATGGCTGTGTTTGTTAACACAGTCCACAATTGAGAGCGGATATTTGTGCTGCCTTTGCCATCCGTGAATCAAAAGTTTCTTGAACTGCAATCATATCATCCTCCAGATAAGTGGGCTTAACGGTTCTCTTGCTGTTGGGCTTCAGGCAGACTCGCTTCTGGTTTGTGCTCTTAACACACTAACATCTTGATCTCAGCATGCCACTGGCGGCGTATATTATTCCCCAGGACAGTACATTGTAAGGGTTGAACCCTTTCGTTCCGTGCAGTCCGACCTCCCCTATCCCCTATCAACCCCTCTCCGACTCTTCGGACACGCTCGCACATGACTCGGGCATCACAAACCCGTACCGGACACACGTGATAACGGATCAGACAGCTCGGATCAATCTTTCGTATTCTTTTGTTTTCGGACTCTAATACTTGGACTATACTAGCACCATTATTCGTTTCTGGTGCCTTTTCGTTTCGGACTTTTCCTTCATCTGACATTCTCCTAGCTACAAAAGCCTCCTGTACTCGTAGTTAGAAGAACTAAGATTTGTTTCCCCCCCCACATCGAGTCAGAGCCTAAGTTGTCTGACGCTTTCTCCTCTTCACTGTCAGAGTCTGCCGTTGTCCGAGTCCAAGTCCGAGTCCGATCTGAAGCTACTTTCTCCTGCCGTCCTTATCATTCTCCTGCCGTCCTCGTTGTACTATCCAAAGCCGAGTTGTTTGTTCTGCGTCCGAGCGCGTCCGAAGCCATCTGAAGCCATCCGGAGCATCTGAAGTTTCTTATACGTTCTTTCTCACTCTCGGACTCATCGTTTATCACACTTAGCTCACTCGGGTGTTGCACGGACTTGTCCTGCTGGAGGCGGACCCTCACATTTTATTTAGACTACACTACTAGTCTATGTATACATTCACTACTACAACATCAGCAAACATTCTTTCGCTTCAACAAGTTCATGTGGGCTGCAACCATAGGAATTGCAAGGAACTCCCGACACGGTCTAAATCAGGCAGGTAATAGTATCTGTTGAGAAGCTGCATATGTTCCACTTCTACTTTGCTCTCGAGTCTAAGGTGATGATTTTGATGAACAACACCACCTCTGGGAGTTGGTCCATCGATTAGTTTTTCACCTGGAAGCAGCCATGATCGTTAATCACTTCAGGGGGGCTAGCAGTATGTCTCCTGAAATCCCCAAGTTTGTCCCTGTAAGGGGACACTCCTATTTTCTCTCCTTTTCTTCATTCCATGGACTCTTACCTACATTCCCTTCATTCCCCTTCGTTCCTTTTTGCTCCCTTTCCTTTCCACTTCCTTTCCACCCACTCCTTTCGCATCCGAGCCGTGTCCGGTGACTCCGGAGTCTTCCCGCACTTCGGACACTTCGGACTCGTCTATACTCTTCGGGGCTCGTCCAGGTTACCTCTATCCTTTTCCCCCACTTCATTACTCTTCGCCCTTACTTCCCCAAGTCGCTGGCACGACTCCTGTGCATTTACCCTCCACTTCATTATCACATGTTTCCTTGTACCTTGTGATATTCGTTCGGACTTGTGGCTGGTGTACTGTACAGTTATCCTGCATTCCTCTCACGCTACTACAGTATACATATACTTCGCTTCCTAGCATGGAGAATCCTTATCCTGTTCTCTTTGGATTCTCCCTCTGCTAGGCCTGCGCTGTCGGCCATCTTGAGGTTGCCCTTACAGTCCCCTGTTCCGATCCCGACGGGTTTTGGGCTGGCAGCAATTGGCGTAAAGGTGGCCAACCCCACCAAGATCATTGTAGACATAGACGGTGATGCATAATTAATAATTCCTCATGTCGGGCTTGGAACATGGCGTTGGCGTAAAGTGTCGATCTTGAACAACAGCGTACAAAGCATGCTCCATCGAGTGCAAAGTAGGTAGAAGGCGGAACCGCCATTCCCTTTGCTGGTATATCCTACTGGAAATCTTCTATGGTAGCCACCACACATTGACCCGTGTGGCCAATATCCAGGTTCCGTGATGGGGGCGTACATGCCATCCAATGCAAGACCGCAGAAGAGCTTCCCAAGAAGATGAAAGAATTTCTGGGGTATCATAACAGCCAACCAGTTGTGATGGTATGTCAAGTGGATGAGGAAGAGGAACTATACCCTATCGTGTGCTTCTCCATTTGCTTTTTACTCCTCGTTGCATCTCTAACTCTCTAACTCAAGGTTCAGCCTGTTGTAAACTTGATGCAGGGGGCATTCATGTCGTCGCGTGGAGCGTAGCTCGGTAAATACTTGTAGATTAGCTCTGGTTCGGATGGGCTGAATTGACTGCTGCCACCCTGGAGTCTCACTGAAAGACGAAGATTCAGTATGCTTCTGTACTGAACTGCTATGAACCATTGATTTCACAAGATTCTGCACAATGAAACAGAATAAGGGAATGTAAAAGGTGGGGTACTTGAGAATCAAACTATTCATCATGTCTAGCAGATCTGCTCTAGACGATATAAGTCATGTGCCTTCCTAATGAACTTGTCAGGTCCAACTCCTTCCGCCCACTTGTAATCTGGCCCCGTCGCGATATGTGTGGGGTACTGCGCACCCAAACCCTTACCATCAATGTCCTCGCACCACCCACACCACTCAAAGTCAATCAAACAGACAGCATCTGGTTTGAGGATGACATTGGGCTCTCGAAGGTCGCCAAACACCCAACCCTTAGCGTGGAGCAGTTCGACCGCGCGGTGGAGTGACTTCCCTTGCTCGGCATTCAGTTTGTTCCCTTGGTGAGCGGTACCACCTTTGATGAAGTCCATGACTACCACCCACATCCCCAGTCTTTTCATATGTGCAGTGGTAGAGTGTCGGTGCGAGGTTGTTGTCAGCAAGGAGTCTGTGGCCATCTTCACCATACTGGTAGGTGAATTTGACGACGATGTCGCGGGTGGGTGGAGAGATTGATTTCAATGTCATTTTAGCCAGAAAAACAGTCCTCTCGAAGTCATTGATGGCAGCAAGGAGTTGCTTGTAAGGGCAACCTCAAGATAGCCGCACAGTGCAAGCCTAGCAGAGGGAGAATCCAAAGAGATGAATAAGACTAACTACAATACATGAGAGAGCTGCTCACCTAGCAGAGGGAGAATCCAAAGAGAACAGGATGGGGATTCTCCATGCTAGGAAGCGGAGTATATACTGTAGTAGCGTGGGAGGAATGAAGGGTAACTGTACAGTACACCAGCCACAGGTACGAACGAATATCACAAGGTACGAGGGGGCATGTGATAATGAAGTGGAAGGGGAATGTACAGGAGTCGTGCCAGCGACCTGGGGAAGTGGGGACAAGGAGTAATGAAGTGGGAAAGGAGGATAGAGGTAGTCCGGACGAGCCCCGAAGTGTCCGAGCGAGTCCGAGGCGTCCGAACGAGTCCGAGGCGAGTCCGAAGCGCGGGAAGACTTCGGAGTCACCGGACGGGGCTCGGATGCGAAGGGAGTGAACGGAAGGGAAGCGGAAAGGTAAGGGGGCGAGAGGGAAGGAAAGGGAATGAAGGGAATGTAGATAATAGTCCATGGGATGAAGGAAGGGAGAAAGGAAACAAGGAGGAAGGGAGAGGGACAGGGGAATAGGAGAAAATAGGAGTGTCCCCTTACATTGCTGATATGCAAGAGTTGCCATGTGTTCTCCCATCTTGAAAGACGTCCAATACGGGAATTGAACATCGTCATGGTACACAGTGGTACTCGACGGGGCGAGAACAGACGGTTGAATGGGAAGGGTTTTGTAGTAGGCGGTCAGTTGGTCAAGGGCCTCGTCAAGCAATCAGAGGACCTTTGCGACTTCCCGTACACCCGTTTCAATGGGGCTACGACCTGGGTGGCAAACTGGCTGAGGACCAACGTACAAGAATGCCAAAGGCTCGAAGAAAAAGTGCTCAGCGAAGACGGCACCCCAGATAGCTAGTTGGTTCCCAGCCAAAGACACAATGAAGGTAGGACAACACGAGACAGCACAAACTGGAGTGTACTTTCACGGGATCAGGGTTGGCACACACAGACGAGCACAAGACGCCCACACACCTGATCAGAAGATACGACTTTAATAAAGTCGACTTGCGCCTGCTCACATGGATCGCATCCACCATCCCCAACACCGTTTTTCAGCTCCAGAAAGCCTATAAAGATGCGAATGGCAAGAAGTGCAATTTCAATGTTGCCATTAGGCTTGATGGTAGACATGTTCGTCTGAATATCCGACGTGCGCCAGGCCGATTGGGACCATTTGGGTGTCGGGAAAAGGGAGCACCGCCGGAGCGCTGCCATGCGGGCATTCTCGTCGTCATAATACTTGGACGAAATGCTGATGAATTCGATAGCACACTCAACCTCTTCTTTGGTGAACGTGAAGTTCTCTGTGGGATCGGCCATTCCACGCCTGAAGGCGGAAAACACGGGATTGTACAACGAAAGAGGCGACGGAGTGAGGTCTTGTGGACGATAGTTGAATGCGGCAGCAGGGTTATCAGCCTGTTGAGCAGGGCCCAGGTTGCGGCTTTTGGCGCTGGTTGAGGGTGGGTCCCTCAGTCTCCCCAATTGCACTACAGCATCGCAACCTGTTGAATGATGTTGGTGGTGGAGGAAGTATCAGAGAAGAACAACTGACTGAATATTTTACGAAGGTCAGAAACTGTGTCTAATGCCTCGGATGGTAGGAACAAAAATATGAGCCTGAGACAGCATCAGCAGAAAATCCTCCTACCTTCATCCAAACACTCTATCAGGTGGATGGCATGACCAAGCCCAAAAGGGTGCAAATGGAGCAATGTCGTCCTTCTCGAAATCTCATCTAGCGTATCCTCGTCAACGGAACGAAGAAATTCCAGTGATTCTCTTCAATGAAGTCTTGTATCCATGGGAAGTGGCTTAGGTGGCTTTACAGGGCGGTTGGCACATCAGTGACGAAGATGAAGCACAGAATCACTTACTCTGAAGACAGTATCACAATAATTGATGGGGTCGTTGAGACGACAGCGTATTGTTCGAACTGAATGTGTGCGAATATCATAGATGGTAATCTCTCGTTCGGTGTCTGTAGTTTACATATGAGAGGGGGGGAGAGGAAATGGATAGGAGATGTATACCTGACCTTCGTAGGCGACGAAATGAAGCTCATCTCTGTTCTTGAATAGCTGTGGCGCATCCCAGTTGAGAGGTAATGGTTCCAATGAGAAGTTGTCAGGCGGCACAGAGCGCATCGCTAGCAAGTCCTTGGTCTTGAGCCGTGGTAGCGCAAAAGGAGTCTCGGGCTAGACTGGCATCAGATATGCCCTCTAACGAAATGTAGACGAGGACTTGCCATGTACAATGTGAAGCGCTGGCGTGTCGACCAACCCAGTTCCATGCTCAGGACTTTGTAGATCTGCGCAGGGGTGGTACTGGGTTCTATCTCGGCAGATGCAACACATGGAAGTCGACCGGCGATGTCTGTCCAGACATTCACTTGCAGCATTGTTGTTGTGGCAGGAACAAAGGGTTACACAGCGTGCAGGATACCATATTGTTGCTAACATTACATATCCAATATGTGGAGTAAATGTGCAATAATCCTTCAATATAGAGTTGTGTAATATGTGATAAATATTTACTCACAATGAGAGGTTTAAGTCAGTTGAGGATAATACTGCCGTTGCTATCTCATACTCATTACATATTGGTCACACTCGAGATAACTGGGTATGACATGCTTAACTGAGATATTCTTCAGATAGCAATCAAAATAATACCGCAGATAATATCTGATCCTGCACCCAGTGTTACAGCCGTTTGCATATAAGATTGAACATCGCATAATTTTTATGATATTTGCCTTGAATACATTAGCCAAATATTGTGACTGATGTCACGTAGCCGCCACACTCAATGCCAACGAGCAAGGATTGTATATTGAATATTGACGCGTTGCGACAGATAATATTGGCTTCTGATGCGTGACACGGGTAACACTATTTGGTGATCTCTATCAAATTAAACATCAGAAAAATTGTCCAGTGTTCAATCTTATATGCAAACGGCTGTAGTGCAGCGCGGCTGTTCGAAGACAGTGATATTTGGTCGTGTTTGCCACTACGGACGCTTTGCCCTTTGGCGTTAAAATTTCCGAATGGGAGAAAGGGGTCTACAGACACATTCTCGCAACTTACAGACTTTATTAGGCAACCGTCAAAACTACTCCGGTATTGAATTGGCCGTTGTTTGAATAAGTAGTACCTCACCCGCCTCCCAATACTTTAGGCTGCAGTGACGAGATCATATCAATCGTTTTGTGACTATCAGGTGCCACAAAATGTCCCAAATGAGGGCCTAACAAGAGGGTATACCCAATGAAGCCAAAGAACGATCTAGCGTGATGATACAATACACCATGAAAGACAAACGGGAAGGACAAGGAATGTCGTAGTACAAACAGACCGTGCGATGAACCGTAGCTTCTGCTGTGCATAGGTTATAAACAACCCAGAGCAAACTTCATAGACCATACAACCGCGATCAAGGCTAGTAGCCTATCGATGTTGCCTTTGAAGAGCCCCATTCCCATTGCAATAATCCGGGTTACCTCTAGCTGGATTACCTGCCCACTTCGTTATGTCAACGTCGGGCCCGAAGGTGTGAAATCGACAGGTGCTTACATGAGGGAACTTTCTCTCTACCCCAGATGCCCCGAAAACAACAAAAGAAAGGATAAAAATCATAACTTGCGCTCCGCCGGTCATAGCGCCCCCTAGTATGTAATTGTATTTCTTATACCAGCCCGGGTGCCACTTTCGTAACCATAGTTGGGAGAGCAGGCCAATGATTATTCCGGAAGTCACAGTGGAGTTGACGCCAGCGGACATCCAGGAGGAGTACTGCGAGATAATGGCTCATTCAGCACGCCCAGCGATATCACTTATTCAAATACCATGTATATGAGAGGCAGCAGAACACTCTCAACTTTCACGGGCCCGATTTGAGGCCATTTCTGAAGGGGAAAGGTTCATTACTCTGCAAGAAGGATAACTGTCAGCAAGCATACCTTCCATATAGCCCACTGTACAGTAGTGGGAACCATCCCGAAAAGGAGTGACATTGGAATGGACCAATACGGCCCCCGAAAGCCGTAGAGATATTTCGACAATGACCAGCTAATTGAACGGGCGTTACGATGGAGAAGCATCCCAATCAATGAACCCTTACGTGATCGCAGCGCTATTGGCGGTTTGAATTGCTTGCCCACTCCAGACATTCGAGCCAATAGGGTCCAGGAGAGTCTCACGCTGAGCATCAACGACAGAGACCATTACGACTAGATAGGGCCACATTAGCCGCAGATCGACTGCGAGCTCGAGTAGATAATACTCACCATAATTAACCACAGCGCCTGTGTCCCGTCAATGAGGATCAGGTAGATACCGAGGAAAAGGGACCCACCAAGAATGGTGCCATAGACCTGAGTAAGAAACATTGCTCGTGGTGGGATCTTCAAATATTGGCCCATCTTCATATCTCCAGCTAGACCGATAGACGATGCGACGACATCGTGACTCCACATCGAAAACTGAATGTATAACGTTCAGGAACCGAAGTACAGACAAAGCAGATGAGACGCACATAAAGATTGGCCACTGGTTTTCCCGGGTTAATTGACCCGGCAACCATTTTCATCAACTGCTTCGTCGCGACACCACTGCCCATCCGTGCTACAATGATTGTAGAGAAAGGCTGTTGGAATATAATTATTGGGCAGAGAGGACGGAGAAGGGGAAAACACATACGGTTACAAGTGCTCCGAGTACTAACGCAAAGATATAAGCCCACCAAGGCAATGTTGTTTCTCCCCTCAAGACGACGATCAACCCTGGAATAGAATATCTTAGGATACACTGCAGTTAATAACTTGGCTGCATACCTGCAAAAAATGCAAATGCCATGAGAATCAAGTACCACCAGAACGGTGCTTCGCTATATCTCATCATGGCCTAGGGAAAGACATATGAGCTAAGAAGATCGAGTCTTGGTTATGTGTGCACAGACCTGATAGTGTCTATCCGGTTGCATCTTCGTTCGGGCCAACTTTACTGAATCTGTGATGTGATGCCCCCAAAAGAGGACGACGTGAGCGACCAGACCCCCAATCTACCGGAAGAATCAGTAAGGGTCGAATACACAGCGTGAGGGAGGCTTACCGCCAAGTTTCCCGTGAGGTTGTTCCAAGCGTTGGAACCTGTCAACGCCGGAAGACCAACTTCCGCAAGCGCCGTTTTATTCAGCTCGAAGGTATGGCCGAAAACTGCGGATTGGTGATATATAGAACCGTTGGGGGAGAAAATTGATGACGACAGCATAGGAAACGCCAGCGACTTGGCGGGATGTGAGTACAAGCCAACAAGGGACGTGAAAGCAACGGACATTCCAAGTATTAGAATAGTAGATAGCCATAATGGCAATGTAGCAGAGGATGTACCCAATCCAAGAGTTTGCTGATCCAAATCCACGGCGTAGGTAAACGGGCTGGGGAACGGAAAGTGTCGGCATACCTTGTTGAACCAAGGGAAGCGTCATAAACCTGAAGAAGGTCAGATTTAACCGATATTTTGGAGGATTCAAGGCTTACGTCTCCCCTATATACTGCCAATCGAAGCTCACGCTCAAGAGACCAAGACCTTCGTTACCACTTGCGCCTCCAAATAGATGGGTGATGAAATCTACGGTTTTGGCAGGTGCATGCTGGGATGCAAGACATACGATATTTATGCCATTCAATGTTGGAAACATCCACGCGGGTATGACTTCGTAGAAGAACATTCCGGTGAACGCCGTCCAGAATAGTTTGATCTTCTTGGTATTGACAGCCGTGTTAAAATGAAGGGCTAGAGATTTATGGGTTAATATCCTTGCACGAAGTACGATGTCGCGAGCACTCGCCTTGGAATACGGACACTGTGGATAGGTTCTGGGTAAAATATTAGCTTCGCAACACGGCGAACGTGGAATGTAGCTTACCCCCCAATAAACCATATCGCTTGGATAGATGCTGAGTGGGCGGAGTATCCCTACTATCCCGTAACCGAAGCAGGCCGTTGAAAACGTGGCAAGGACGGCAGTACTGGCGCTAACTCGAGTATCGTAGTAGAGCTGCACCAGCGCTGCCAGCTCAACGGCCTATTCAAGTGGAAAGAATAGCACTCACCCGTTGCACAGCAAAGTTCATCACTGCTGAACTACCTCCAGCTGCGGTAGAGGCCACGAGGGATGCAACAACATGCTATGAACATCTTCAGCTAACATTAGTTCTCAAATTCCGACAGCGCCTTGCCTCTTTGATACGGAACTCCCCAGGATTGATGAAGTGAAGAAGGGATCCGATGGAATGGAATCGTGTTCCTTCAACCCAGGATCGCCGTGGAAATATTCTGGCCCAGATATTTCCTGAAGTGTAAATGAGGAGAAGCAAGAAAGATGTGGATACGCCCATTTGCACCGGTTTGAAAATATAGATCTGAATTTCATGAGCCAAGGGTTGAAGTTAGGTGTTGAGGTTCTCTTACCTGGCATAGTGCAGCGCCCAGTGCAGCAAACAAGGTGCCGAGAACCATGGACCTAAATGTGATGGCAGGGTCCCCATCGTCGCGGACATCGACCAAGTATTTCGACACATCCTCTCCAGTACGTATAATCGGCTCCTCTTTCGATTGTGCCAGCTCAGAGGAGCCTTCTTCTTTACCAGGGACCAGTGTTTCGTTGGTTGATTTCCAGGCGAAACTTTCCTCGGACTCTACGGGAGATGGGAGATCTGGCTCAACAACGGGGAGGTTGGAGAGGTGGTTGATCTCGAAGTCGCTCAACGGAGCCATTCGAGAGAGAGGGGTATCCAGCACGACCCATTAGTTCATGTCATCGTGTTGGGTTTATATTGAGGGACTAAAAACGCCTGTGGTCTGGCAGATTGAATGGGCCAGCGGGACCATTATGTATTGGATGCAATGCATATCCTCGAACTAGGATTACTTTGTCGAACATGAACTCACTGTGCGGCCTTTGGTACAGAGTCGAATTCTTGGGAGAGCAAATGATGACTGCCTCTGTTCGTAGAACCACTGAACGAAACTCCCACAAGGGTTTATGTTTGACGTTCAACTTTCACCACTCAAAAAACAAGCCTAAGGTCTTGGGAGAGTAAGCTACGTTTACTACAATATACTACTACATTCTTGGTACATGATTCGTCGACATATTCCTTGTTTCATTTCATTATTTATATAAATCAATCATCAAGTGCTCCATTCCCGTTACAGTAATCAACGTTTCCGCGAGCCGGGTTACCAGCCCACTGCACGACACGTTCTTCAGTATGAGCGAAGGCGGTGGGTGTAAAAAACTTACCGTCGGGAATGGTCGTGATGCACCAGAGGCCCCGAAAACAGCGAACGACAGGATGAAGATCATTATTTGAGCGCCACCGTCCAAGGCTGGAATGGGCTATCAAGATGGAAAATGAGGATAAAAACGAGTGTCACATACCACCTAAAGGGTAACAGTGATCAACGTCAAGACCCTCGAAATTGATCAAAGAACGTACCGCCCAAGATATAGTTGTACTTCCGATACCAGCCTGGGTGATACCTTCGGAGCCAGAGTTGCGAAAGCAAACCAACGATGATACTGGACGTGATGGTTGAGTTGACACCCACAGACATCCACGCAGAATACTGAGCGGAAATACCTCAGCACGGCGTAATTCAGTGGAGACGAAAGATCGCACCATATATATGATGGGAAGCATAATGTTATCGACTTGGATTGGCCCGATTTTAGGCCACCGCTAGGAACTTGTTAGCCGCATAGCACAAGTATTCTTGATCATCATATTCTTACTCGTGCAATAAACCACTGGATGATAGTCGGAACCATACCAATGAGCAAACTCATCGGGACAATCCAATAAGGTCCGTTGAAACTATACAGTTGTTTGGCGAGTGACCAACTAGTAGCGAAATGAGCAAACATGATATACTGCGGTGATTCGGTGGACGTACGTGACAGCTGCACTATTCAAGCTCTGAGGTACCTGTCCGCTCCAAACGTTGGTTCCAGTGGGGTCTAGCAATATCTCTCTTTGCGCATCAACAACGGAAGTCATGACAGCTATCACTACCATATGAGCTAATGATATCCACGCCTTCGACAACACACGCACCGTAATTGATTGCCGCCCCAAGAATCGTACCCCAAACTTGGGTGAGGAACATGACGCGAGGAGGGATCTTTAGGTACTGTCCCATCTTGAGGTCTCCAGCAAGAGAAATCGAAGTGGAGACGACGTCGTGACTCCACATGGAGAACTAGATCATAGATGAGCTGGCGTAACAATCCGGTTTAGAGGAGCGACCTACGTAGAGATTCGCGACTGGTCTTCCCGGATTAACGGCACCGGCGACCATCTTCATCAGTTGGTTCGTTGCAATGCCGTTACCCATGCGCGCGAAGAGTAGGGTTGAGAAAGGCTATAGAAATGGTCAGAAAGAAGACAATCTGGATTTGTGCTCTAGCCTACGGTGATGAATGTGCCCAAAATCAGAGCGATGATGTACGACCACCACGGGAGCGTCGTTTCTCCAGTAAGTACAACGACAAGTCCTGTAGACGATACATGAGTCATCTACTTGAGAATGATGTGGAAGGACATTACCAGCTACGAAGGACAGCACCAGTAAAATGGCATACCACCACCAAGGAGCTTCCTTGTACTTCTTCATTGCCTACGAAGCGGTCACAGAAGGTTCTTCCAATATTTCCAATTCTGCGTACCTGGTAATGTGGGTCGGCTTGCGTTCCATTCCGGGCGGATATGAACGAGTCCCGAGCATAAGCTCCCCAGAAAAATACGCAATGGGCGATCAAGCCACCGATCTAAACAGATGCGTTAGACTTGCATTTCTAAAAGAATGTCGGTAGGCGATACTAACGGCCAGGTTTGCGGTTAGATTTGCATATACGTCTGAGCCGGTTAAAGACGGAAGGCCAACTTCTTCAAGAGCAGTTTCATTGAGCGTAAATGTCGTGCCGAATACAGCCGTCTGTTGATATCGCGAGCCGTTTGAAGAGAAGATGGAGGACGACAGCATGGGGAAGGATTGAGCCTAGATGGACTTAAGTTGTTGAAAAGCACAACGAAGAGAGATAAATGGACGAACCCCCCAAGCATTCGAGTAATAGATAACCATGAGTATGATGTAGCACAAGGCATATCCAATCCACGAATTTGCTGACACTGGGTAAATAACTGGAGAGTAGCAGAAGCAGAAACAACATCGCACCTTGTTGAATGAGCGGCAAGCTCATATAGGTAGACCCAATATATTGCCAATCGAAGCTCAAGCTAAGAAAACCTAACCCTTCGTTACCGTCCGATCCTCCGAAAAGATTCGTGAACACGTCTCGGGTGCGTTGAGGGGCATGTTGGGAGGCAAGACAGAAGATATTAAACCCGTTGAGGAGCGGAAAGATGTACGAGGGGATGACTTCATAAACAAACATGCCCGTGAAAGATAACCAAAACACCCGCAACCGCTTCTTGTTGGCGCTCGTATCGAAATGTAGCGCTAGATGATCAGGACGTCATATCATTATCAGTGGGTGGTGTGTAATGATGGAAATGAATCCCACCTTGGAAAACAGAGACAGTGGGCAAGTTCTTCGGGGCGGTGTGGATCAGATTACGAATTTTCCATATTGAAAGACATGCACTCACAAACCAATACACCATTTCACTGGGATAAACAGTCAGAGGGCGCAAAAGGCCAACTAGTCCGTATCTAGGGTGGGAGCGATGAGCTTTGAAGACAATCAAGTGCCAGCGACTTACCCAAAGCATGCAGTTGAGAAGGTCGCCAGAACGGCAGTCGCTGCCCCAACATGCGTGTCATAGAAAAGCTAGATCACCACATTTTTAACATCGTCACGAATACCATGCAAGGAACCCACCCGTTGCACCGCGAAGTTCATCACTGCAGTGCTACCACCAGCCGCTGTAGAAGCGACCAGCGACGAGACAACGTGTTCCTTGAGTGTGAACGGTCCGGGGTTGATGAAGTGAAAGACGCCGCTGAGAAACGCAAAGCGTGTTCCAGTGACCCAGGTACTACGGGGTAGGAAAGTTGCCCAGGCATTCCCTGCTGTGTAGATAAGCAGCAGAAGGAAGACACTCGATACGGTCATCTGCACGGGCTTGAAAAGATATATCTGCGACGTGGCCGATTAATCAGCGAATGGCCATCCAGTACTCGATGATACACAAACCTGGCATAACGCAGCGCCCAACCCGGCGAAGACAGTACCCAGGATGAAAGAGCGGAAAGTCAGGGCCTCCCCGCCATCATCCCGAACGTCGACAACATATCGGGATACATCTTTCCCCGTCGTCACCACAGGTTCGCCCTTGAGTCTCACCACCGACGCATCGTCAAGGTCAAGCGAGGACTTCTCTGAATCGGAGTAGGCCTCCTTGCCATCGAGGGAGGCTTTCCCACCCTTTTCGGCAGAAGGGGGAAGGTGGTCTTGGACATCGACGGGAGGCGGAGGCGGGGGGGCCGCGGAAAGTATAGGCATACCCCCGAGCTGCTTTTCCTCGAATTCGCTAAGCGGAGCCATACCGTGACTGGCTGGAACTTCAGAATTGCTGGGCAAGAAGCGGGAGATCCACTAGCCAGCTGGCTTTTTATCGTTGACCTATAAGCATTAGCGATAGCCTCGACGCAGAAGACTCGCCCAAGAAGGCCCCGTCCACACACACAGTGGGAGCTTCGATTCTATCGAATCTCATGGAGCGATAACGAAATCCTGTCCAATCTATACGCAATACCCGCTGTCCCACATGGTTTCTCATCGACCGACCGGTAGGAATGCGACCCCCTCGGGGAACCTATCACCACCAAAGTTTAGTGATTTCTGCCCTAATGAGTGACGTGACCCATATGCCCGCTGATTTGATCAGAAATCCGCCGAACTCTCTGCTCGCACCACTAAAGGCCATGCGAACACTGCATCACGCAAGTGGGAATTACGATCAGTCCTAGAAAGTATAGCCGGTTTAAGTACGAACGATAACACCATAGCCATGGATTCACCGAGCCCCGACGAGCTCCAGAGAGAGCCCGCCCTTGAACTCCACGAATCGTTGAAAGTCATTAAGAAAGCGTACGATTGAAGACTGGTAGTTAAGCCCACGACAAAGTAAGAAGATAAGACATAACAGGGGAGCACTGGCGGCATTTCTATTCTTAATTTGATTGTGCTCCGACAGCCTGTGAACCCACCGAGTGTCAGCGAGGGGCGCAGGATTACGAGATGACAGCATGCTCACCAGTCTCTTCAAATGCTCCATGAAAACTTGCAAACTAACATCGTCCGTGAAGATAGCCTGCCCAGCACCACCAGCAGCCGACGATCCATACATGGAAGCCGACATATGCGTCGTCGATGGGTTCAGCTTCGACAGCAGGAAACGGGCCTGACTGCCACCTTGGTCGCACACGATATACCGAGGAATGGGGAAACGGTCAGCCAAAAGGTCCTACGAGAGATTTTAGAATGCTAGCACGTGAAGCTTGGGGTCTATTATTACCTGGGCATCTGCTACAGGGGCCTCGAGGAGCTCCTTGAAGTTTTCGTACCCCTCTTGATCTTGATAGCCTTGTTTGCGCCATTGCGCAACAAGCTCGCCATGGAAGATAAGGATGTGGAAGAAAGTGTCTAGCAGGAGAATCACATCATGCTTGATCGATACACTGTCAAGCAGGACCGGCTGTGGTGGGGTGTCGAAGGTGTACGACATGAGAGTGGGTTGAATCATGATGAGTGAGTTGTTGACGTCCTCTTCGTTGAGCACGCGCCTAATCCACAAAACATCAATAAACGCTCTTCGTAAAAGATGGGCGGCAATACGTGCCTATAGAACGCTGTCTCGTCCGGACTGTTGTTGAACACCTGCAAGAACTGACTTCTGCGGAGATGGAACATAAACTGGGGGTAGATACTAAAATTGTCCGTCAGCCTGAACGACGTTGGGTCCTCTTTCCTATAGTCGGCGAATTTCTGGCACAGTCGAATAAGCATGCGATCCAGCCACCTCAATACATCCGGAGAGTCGTCGATCTCAGCCTTGAAGACTGCAATCCTGGCCATGAGAACGGCAGCTGCTTCTTGATCGAACGAGGCAGCGATACTTGGCGCGTTTGCTTCGGCGAAGTTGCGAGCAATGGTCGTGACGCGTAGACGCTGTTGACCAGACGAGTGTTGATAATGCGTGACGAATTGAATGAGTCCACGTGAACCAGGTGCCAATGGCTGCCCGGCAGGAGTGACGACCTCGAAGTACACAGAAACTGAACTCTTGGGGGTGATGGTGTTGATCTTCCACGCCGAGGTGCCAGCAATACCGATTTCCGTCTCGCCAACGCAGGGGGACTTCTTGCCGGCAGAGATCGCGTGTCCAATGAGCCCGGAGACTTTGAGCTCTTTTGTAGTCTGCACATCGAAAGTGGCATTGAATCCCATGTGAAGATGTCCCTGATCATCTTTGTTGAAGATACGAAGGAAACTTTGTTTGAAGATCGACGTGGCGAACGAGTCGGAAAGAACGATGACACCATTGGTAGAGTTGGGCATGGATCTCATTTCGAGGAGGCCAACTTGATCGAGACAGCCGGCGAACAGATCAATGGTGTGGCCATTGTTTGATGCCCGGGTAGCGAGACTTTCATAGAACTTATTCACGTCAGCTTGGATGACGTGTGAAGACCAAATAACTCACCTTCACAGCACGCTTGAAGTGCTTCACGCTGTCTCTGTCGATGTCGTGATGAGACCGAATGGGTTCCTTCAACTCGTTGCTAACGACCATCCCGGGGCCTTCGGTGGCTGGTCCTCCCGCGAAGAGCATGATCCTGGCGCCTGTGTTCGGGTACGTCGTCTCCAGGAGCCCAACAGCGACGCTCAGCGCAACACCCGTGCATCGCAGCGCGCGCTTGTCGTTCGCCACAGGCCACGCATCACGCGCAAGCCCCTCCAAGATACTCGTCAGCTGGAACTCACACTGCGACACGGGAAGCAAGAACCGCGACGCCCCGAACGACTGCTGTGGCATTGGCTGCCCTGGACGCGGCGCCGCCCGCGCCTGCCCGCTCAGCCCCAGCATGTCCTGGATCTGCTTCGGCTGGTACTCCTTGCCCCCGCGGAACACATACGACTTGTTGCACTCCGCGTACCCTATTTCGTGCACTTGCGTCTGTATTTATCCCACCGTTAGCTTGCGCCAACCTCGCGTGTGTGCTCTTACCATCGTGCCGAATGTGATGAGACCGACGAGCGCGTACGGGGGGATCAGGCTCAGGCTGGTGACCAGCGCCTCACGAAGGGCCTTGAGATCCTCCTCGTCAAGACAAGTGTCCACTACGAACAGGAAGACCGGCGGTACTGGCACAGGTCGGGCGAGAGTGTATTCGATGGTGGTGTATTTTGGAAGCAGCTCGGCAGGGAGATTGGTGTTAGAGATGTCTTTGTAGTGCGGGGGGAAGGCGTTACGAGACAAACAGAACGGACATATCCAGAGTTTTCCTCGAATGTCGATCTGGCTGCGAACGAATGTCGTCGTATAGTTTCTCCAAATGATAAGACCAAACTTACCAGTATGGATTAAGAATGGCTCGGCAGGGCGGTTTGCACGTAACTGGCTCGTAGAGAACCGGCGGGAGGTCTTCTCTAATCTTGAGCGGTGTATACAGTGCCGATATGGGCACCACCGTCCTCGTCGCCTCGATTCGCGACGACGGCCATACATTCCAGGATAGTCGCACACCTAGATCAATCTTGAGCTAGCTCCCGACGTCGTTCGTCAGCACACGTACCATCCCGCTCCTCAACGTCCTCGAAGTTCATCATGGCAAAAGAGTAACTGCTAATTCGATTCGTGGATTGCGGCAAGTGATATAAAGTTGAGTTCAGGACACGTCGGCGTGCAAATACGCACAAACAGTTTCACCGGTGGCGCATTGCATTCCCGATGCCGACTAACTGCGAGCCACGCTGTTCCTACGTGTTACTGAAGGCAGATGGATTTCTGGATGGTGTAGAATTCCCCGTAGACTTCAAGTTTCTTGACGAGGTGCCTTTATTTCTTTCTATCTCTGTCCGAAATTCTAATTCGCCCGTACAAATACTACCAAATAGGTTCTCAACATCTGTCCAAACATCCAGGGTGTTTTCTGGCTTCTCCTCTCGCGTTTCTGCAATCATGGCCTGTGGGCCGCACCATTTGAGCCAATTGCTGCTGCTTCTGCAAGAAAATTGGAAAATTTCCCCCAGACCCAACTTGGACCGCTGTTTTTTAAATCTCTCAATCATTCACCTTCATACCGCCTTTTTTTGACGCGACTTCCCGCGTTGGAGCATTTCAGGCTCCTCAAGGCATGTCAGGAGTAGATTGTCTGATCCACGCGCTCTCAAATGGGTGCATTGATACCCCCGAAGTCAGCTACGCTGCTGCACGCGACGTGAAGGACCTGCGCTGCAACCACTGTGTGACACCAATGTTAACCGCCGCGAGTCGCTGGACGACTTGGGTTGTTCGATCCCTTGGAGATAGCACACATGGCGGTGCTTGTGATCGTTGGTCTAGGGCCCATAACCCAACGTCGAAGTGAGTACTTCAAGTTAGCGCATCATATATTTGATTATTTGGCACGACTTTACATGCATGCATATTCATGCTCATTATCTGGAGGCAGCAATCACTGAACGCCGAGTACCAAGCTTCGAGTTGGCAGGCTGTCTTTTTCATGGTCTATCAGACTGGGAACCTACTTCAAGTCGATACGACTACTGATTCGGCCGACCGGCCTACGTTGGGCGAAGTGGCAGAATGCATGACCAAATGACCCTACGCCCTCTTCCACCAAAAGGTATGTGGCACGGTGCAGCTCTTGAGCCGAAGCTATTTCTCCTGTCGTACTAATTAGATGTCGCAGGGGGTCAACCATACGAGTAAGTACATATGCAGCGTCTTTTGAAGTATCATTATGCCAAGCGTGGTTTTGATTAATTACCCTTGTCAGAGCATTTCGTGCATCAGAACTCCTCTAAGGTTGCACCTTCTGTTTGACGAGCACACGACGACGCTTCAACCCGTTCTGACCGGTGTTATTCACAGTACCGCTGTTATTACAGATTAGGAATGCACTTATAACAATACAAGGTCTGAAAAGAGTGCAAAAGGTAAGCAGCTGTATTCTATGGGTTTCCTTAGATCTTTCCATTGACAAAGTCGAACCATCCTGGTTTTTCCTCTCTTAGAATTCTATACAGAAAAGCAAGCAAGCAGCCGTCAGTTGCAAGCTGTTTCCTCACGAACCAAAAGTGGTACGGAGGCTCATGCTGTCTGCGCCGTAGCAATATTGCAGGGAGTATCAGTACCCCATATGTTGTAATTAGGACGCCGCGCAGTCCACTGTCCCCACTTCGGGCAGAAAGGACTTTTGCAAACATTGAGCTTTAGCGGAGTTCCTTAGGATTTGGTTTGTACCGTTGAGGAAACGTCGTACGTGGGCAGGGGGTACCACGTATTCGTGTACTGTCCTCGGATCGTCTTCCCGTGCAATAATTCCCCACATCATATGCGTGTGAAGCCCAATGGCGGTGCTGCGGCAGGGACAAAAAGCGCCGGTGACTCTTGTATCTACCTTCCTTCGTACCACCATCTATCCACTCCTACTGACTTCTAGTTCTTTCCATCTTCATTTGGCTACCAATGTGCTGACGTTGGCAAGGTCGTGACTGAAGCTCACTTGCTGTGACACAGTTGGTCATTATTTGCTTTCGCGCTATACATATGTAGGCATGATCTCCAGAACGCCCTCATGCTATTGCTGACCCCCGCCCTCCCCCCAGACCCACTTTCAATTAGCTGTTTCATGTCCTTCGAAAACACCCTCTCGTCTAGACAGCCGGCTTCAGTCCCCCTTCCTTGTACCAGGATGCCGACCAAGCTGTTGCCACCGAGTTCAGACGTCGATATTCTCGAGCCCCTTGGCTTGCCATTGCGGGGGTTCCAGACAAAGTACCTTTATCATTAATTACTCTTGTGACTCATGTCGAATTTATCTATGAAGCGATGCTACTCCCACAACGGCCCCGACTTCCCTCCCCACTCCCAGCTCTAAGCGATTGCAGCACGTCCATGTGTTCCCGTGAGTCGCACAACCCAATGCATCGCCCATTGCTGACCGTTGGTTCCAGAGATCAACAATGGTTGCTTCCGTCTGACGCTGAGCACGTCGTTGAGGCACCAGGTGCTCCGCTCATGAGAGACTATGATAGTTTCACTGAGGGCACGGCTAAGGGGAGCTTTGACTCGATCCCCATAGAAGCCACGGATCAATACGGCGAGCAGCTCCTCGTCCTTGATCATGAGACCGTAGGCACTCTTCCTATCGATATCGGGGCGCGCTCGACTATCGAAAGATGGCGAGATGTCGTTTCCCAGAGTATGGATGATCCTCCAGCTCAGCACCACATGCCTCCTTCCGCAGTGATCGGCTTTGACGACGAAGACTTCCTTGTCACCCCAACTAAGCGCCCACATTCAATAACGTCGGAAGACGGTATGAGACGCACGCGACATCGCCGGCATTCCATGACTGCCTCGCAGTTGGCAAGCCTACGTCCGAGCGCCGTTTCACCCGGTGCTTTCCCATCAGCACGAGGCCTCGGCGTACGTGGATGTGCACGGTCACATTCAGTGCCACCCCATCATCGAGTACCACCACCGTAAGACATCAGCGATATTCCCTCTTTCCATAGAAGCACCTATAGGAATACGTGGGTATCTAATATTGTCTCCAGATGAGGATGTTCCATCAGGCGATGACAATCAGAACTGCATACTCGTGTTCGTTTCGGTCTTAATCAAGGCTTTGGACAATGTATCTTCGTTCTATGTTTACATGTGGACTACCCTAGCTTCCACCCCCACTCTATTTGCGGAGTAGTAGCCTACTATTCCACTCCCAGCACTCCTACGAAGGTACTTACTTGACGTACAACTTCATGTTTGTTACTAGATGTTGTATCCTTAACTTATGCAAACCCAATTATATGCCATTGCTGTCGCTAACGCTGCCAACCAAGAAGCAAACCTATTGGGGCTGCATCCCTTCTCTAGTACCATATGACTATCACGTGATCGACGCGCCTCTCGCGTCGCGACTCGGTTGAACGTTGAAGATCGACGTCCCCTCCCTTCTGCGCTGTATTATAGAAAATGGCCCCAAAATCATCTAGCGCCACCGAACGCGCAGTCGATTTAGACTCTCTGCACGAGACGCTCTCTGCTATCCTAGATCAAGCGCAGTCGTCCGTCGCGAATCACCGCAAGAACTGCGTAGCATTATACAAGTTGCATGTCGCCGCAGGCGCCATATCTCAACCGGGAAAGAAAGGCTCCGCACCGAGATACACTGGGGAGCAAGCGTTTGGGGATGTATTCATGGTGCTGATTGGGAGGGTGCTGATGGTGAAGAAGGGCTTGGTGGTTGGGGATCGGATAGTCAAGTTCGTTGGGGCATATGCAAAGTTCATCAACGAGAAAGGTGTGTAGCCGTTGTCCTCTGTACTTAATGTAGCCAAATTCCCCTGGTGATGGGTCTCGGCAGTATTGCTCTTGCCACATACTCAATACCCAACTCCGCAGCCGCTGAAGAAGCAGCAAAGCATCCCGATGCTGACGAGAATGACGATACTCTAACTTCACGATTCCTCTCCCGGCTGCTCACATGGCTCTTCGACGGATTCCTCGCCAAGAACAAAGTCGTACGGTACAGATCCGTCCAACTAGTCTCGGAGATGATATCGCACCTGGGCGAACTCGAGTGAGTGCTTTCTTTCTTCGCCGACTCTGCTAGCAGGATACATATACTTGCTCGTCAAGCGAAGAAATGTATACGACGTTGCGGAGCCAGCTCATCGACAGGGTCAACGACAAGGAGCCAATAATCAGGGCACATGCAGTAATCGCGCTCTCCAAACTAGTTGGCAGTGAAGACCCCAGCGAGCTCCCAAACGACGAACCCACGATCTTGATCACCGTGCTTGAGGTCCTTTGTGGTGACCCCTCGCCGGAGGTCCGCCGCGCCGCGCTCCTTAACATCCCCCTCACTGCGGAGACACTGGAAGTCATCCTGTCCCGCACACGCGACACCGATCCGCTGACACGCAAACTTGTGTATTCTACCGTACTACAAACGCGGCTCACGCATCCCCGGCAGCTGAGTATCGCGCAGCGCGAGCAGGTGGTGAAGCATGGGCTAGGAGATAGGGAGCCAGGGACACGCCTGGCTGCTGGTAAGCTGGTTGCAAGCTGGTTGGACGCGGTCATGGTCGAGGGGGCGGAGGAGAGGGACGAAGACTCGTGGACGGGAGATGACGGGGGTGTTATGCGGGGCTTCGTTGCGTTCCTCCGGATATTTGACGTGGTTGGACCAGGAGAGGAAGTCGCTGTTGATGCCGTACAATCGATTTTCGTCACCAGGCCAGAATACCTGGATATCTTCGCGTTTTCCGGTGAGCCTGTTCCTCCTATTGCATTGGCCTCAGGCTCAAAGGGGGTGGCTGCCAGCGTCATACTGGAAAGGCCTCACAGCCGAATCAGCCGTCCTTGCGCGTGTGTTCATAGAACACTGCCTGAAAACCAACGGCGAGGCCCGATTAGAGAATGCCAGCGTCCCCGTGGTCACCGAGTTCGCGTTCTACGTGCAAGAAGTGTATAACGCACTCCTGCGGTTGATGCATGAAGAGGCAGAGGCGCGCACCCTGGATGATGAAGACGAGCGGGAACGCGATGAGCGGGAGGAACTTATGGTTAAGAATGAGGTGATCTTAGGGGAGCTGCTAGCGATAGCTGTCAAGTTAGATTACGCGGATGAGATTGGGAGGAGGAAGACGTTGAATGTGGTCCGCGATATGCTGGCGCACCCTCAGCTTCCGGAAAGCTTGATCCCGAAATGCATGGACGTGCTTCAAGCAATCACCCCCTCGGAGCGTGAGCTCATCCGTATCGTCGTCGAGATTATCATCGAACATAGAGACGGGGACGATGACCAGGTCGGCGGGCTGGAGGGTATGACTTCAGTAAGTCTAAGCTCTACCTACCACCCCTTCTTGTGACCTCATTCTACATCAGTTTGGAGGCGAAAGTCAGTCGGACATCACACATTCAACGATCAGACGCGAGAAATCCATGCGACGTACCAAAGGCCGAGATGACATGTCTCCAGAGGAAGCCTTGGAAGCTGACGTTATAGATCTGCGGTGTCTGGCACTGTGCATTGCCATGCTTGAGCGTGTCCACGGGGTGAGTTCGCACCATGCGTATAGCTGCATTTTCGGTAAACCCCTTCTACATTGCAGGACTTCGACGATAATTCAACGCTGCAAGGGATCTTGGGAGACCTCATCATTCCTGCTGTGAAACGCAAAGAACTTTTGATGCGCGAGAGAGCTCTGATCAGCTTGGGTCTTTGTTGTTTAATCGCGAAGGTCCGTTCTCTTCCCACCGTACGAAGGGACGCTGACTGAGAATTGGAAGCAGAACATGGCACTGGGCTCATTCCAGCTATTCCTTAACCAAGTACAGAATTCCCCCGTTGAACTAAGGCTGAAAGTTCTGCAGCTGGTGTTCGACTTGCTGGTAATGTACGAGCACGAGTTCTTTGGACGCCCGGAGATTGTACGTTTTGAGTCGCTTTGTTCACTTACAACTTACATAACCTCGAACGCCAGGCCGACAGGATCATTACATTTCTGCTCCAAACTCTGGAAACGGACGAATCCCCTGTCATTCAGGCAGTACTTTGCATAGGGATATCGAAGCTACTGTTGGCTGGCTTCGTCGATGATCCTAGGGTCCGTCGCAATAATTGACGTTATTAACACCGAACTGATAGCGCTGTGTCGTCCAGGTTTTAACCAGTCTCATACTGGTGTACGTGTCGCCAGCGACGGCAGACAACCACGAGCTCCGGCAGTGCCTCTCGTACTTCTTCCCAGTCTATTGCTACTCCTCCACCGACAACCAGTGTCGATTGCAATCAGTGCGTTTTATTATCTACGTATCATATCGGCTTCCTGTATCTATGCGTGCGTCTAGGTATTCATATCGGCGTTCGATCAAGTAGTTCGAGTGCACGAAGAGCTAGACGACGATCAAGAAATGATAACGCCCCTTCAGTTCGCTTTGCTCCTCACAGATTGGCTGGATCCAGAGAAGACAGCCGCTGCGTTCGTCTATTCTATTTTCCATTGTGCTTAACTGAGCATCATTTACAGCCAAGGGACGATAAAGGCGGCTTCCTGGAACATCCATATGGATCTTGCGGTCGAAGTCCTCCGCGTATTGTTTGATGAAGAGCGAACAGGTTGGATCTTGTTTCTTCTGCGTATAGGCTTACTTATTAACCTAATCGTGTTGTACCATAGCTGACAACCAGAAGGTCCTCTGCCAACTCCTCAGTCATTTATCGACGAATCCCGAAGCGAATTCCCGTTCGCTGTACAAGCTGCATATCCTTTTGTATTACCTGGAAGATGTAGGTCCTGTCAGATTGCCATATATTTCCGTGCTTCTCAACGTGAACATGCAGCGCCGCCTGATCGATAATAGTACCACAGAGAAGATGGTGACCCGGTTTAAATCTCGTTTCCAGAAAGCGTTTGGACACACGGTCGGCGAGATGGAGCCGGCGCTGCTGGACGAAGACGATTTCCAAGAGCTATTCGAGTATATCGGTGCGGAACCGGAGCAGTACTTGCAACAAATTGAGAGAGAGCGGGACAATCGACCATCCGCCTCCGCGTGAGTATAATTTCAATGAGTATCAAATTCTGTTTAGATAACTGTTCCGCAGGGTTGACGATGAGGTCGAAGATAACCAAGCGGACTCTGCTCCAGATATGGAGTTGGACGAGATGCCTAGAAGGTCAGCGTAGACTTACTATTTCTGCTACTCCGTCTGTTCAAGTTGGTCCTTTTTTTTGCAGCCCAACAACTAAACCCGCCAGGAAGAAGAAAGCGACTACTACTAGAAAGGTTTCTTCTGACTCGTCTGCTAGTGACTCCCCTTTGAACGACCCAGAGGTTGGGGATGATGCCGATAGCGACAGGGAACGGGCGGATACGGTTTCAGAATCGCCTCAACCAAAGAGCCCGGGTAGCCAGCGGGGTGCGCCGCCTAGCAGCGTTGACATTCAGGCAGCGCCTGAAAGGGGTTGGGAAACCGACGACGACGAGCCCTCGGCGGAGTCTGACAACGAAAGGAAAACTTCTGCGAAACCAATCGGAAAGATTGTCGCAAATGGCAGCAAGCATAAGCCAGTGCGAGGGAAAACTACTCGTAAAGCCCCTCCAGCTTCGACCTTCCCCGCCCCCGAAGTTGCGGACGAAGTCCCAGTAGTCCCAGAGCGAAAGGCTGGCCCTCGACCACGTTCACAACCTAAGCGGAATACACGGTCACAAGGCGATGTCCAAAAGGCTGCTAAACCGTCAAGTTCTCGATTATCAGATGATGTGAGTGTGGCCGCCCAAGAGACTCCAGCTCAGAGTGATGCCGAAGAAGATATGCACGAGGTACAGCCAGTACCAATTACACCGATGAAGAAACAGCCTAAGTCAGTAGCGCGTGCTAATCGCTCGGACATTGTGAATAACTCATTCGGTTCACAGGCGGCTTCGTAGTCCTGGCGCCAAACAAGCTATCATGTCCCCCGTCCACAAGCGGCCGAGTCGACAAAGCAGGCAAGCAACGGGCGCAGCGAAGAGTCAACGCAGCGAACGGCGCGCCGATGATGATGACGAAGACGACGACAATGAGGATGAAAATGTTAGCGAAGGGCCGACAAGGTCTCCAACTCCTAGCCCCGTGAAGAACGGTGGCCGCAGTTGGGTGAAACGCCCGCCGCGTACTGTGCCAGGTAAAGCTCAGACTAAGACGCGGAGTAGGAAGGTTGTGGAGGTTTCCAAGCCTGGAGCAGTCGCTTCTCGGCGGACTCGGGCACAAGCGAAGAGTACCTAACAGTGAGGCCGTGGGGATTATCGCATCTATCTTATTTCGCTCTCTAAGGTTATTAGTGTACATTATTTGTACCAAGGACTTGTGTGTGTACTCTAGCCGAAGCCCGACTCGGCGTCCCGATTCCAGTTTGGGCGGGCCGCCAACTTACGTCCAGCGTCAGGGCTTCTGTCTTTCGCCAGCAGGGCGTTCATTAAGATCTACGATCGTGAAGAAGGATGCCAAACTATAGTCTGGACGACGATCATTGAATTCCTACTATTCGAATACTGGATCTCATCGTGGATCTCCATAGAGAGGTGGCCCCATCTTCCAACGCTCGTTAAACCCTCGACACGTTTTATGGCTCATAGGTTTGCTCATAGCATGACCGAAAGTTAAGAACATGTAAGTCATCAATCATCAAGCCGAGGCCACTGGGTGTATATGTAACCTTCTCCGGCCTCTGGGGTCAAAGGTTACGGTGCACGTCCGATTTCGGGATGGGCGACAGACATGTCCATACGTTCTTGTAATAATTTATCAGGCCATGTACAACGTCAGATTCTAGTGTCTATCACTGTCAACGGCATTAATGATGCAACGCGAATACCATCAGGCATGTTCCAACCTTGGACCAGTGTAGCAGGTGTATTGATGAGTGCTCGATGCGTAGATCTCGAGCAGGGGACAACGGAACAACTAATTCCTATTCCTCCTTCAAGCCTACCCGCCTAAACAGACTATGGACTATGGATAATAAATAAGAATCCCAGGAGGGTAAGAAATTGCGGGTGATGGTAGATGGATGGTATGGGAGTAGTGTGGTATGTACGAATACGCCGTATATCATCATATGCAAAAAATAAGCAAAAAGGCGTTGTTAGTGAATAAAAATAAACAGCGTAAGTAAGACAAACATAGGCAACCAAGAACCCTAAAGAAACAAAGAGATCGTCGCTAGGTAAATGAACGGTAGATGAAATAGATGTAGCCTAGGATGAGGAAGTAACTAGGAACGTCTGCTGAGTGGTAGCTAACGTGAGAGAAGGCAGAAACAAGACAAGAAGTTCAATTAAGTTGGGCACCAAGGCCCAGTGGATTTCTTGCCGTTTGCACTCCGCCTAGAGTTGCCGTTGTTTCATAGCAATGCAAACCAGACGAGAGATGCCAGCACAAATGCCATCGTGACACTGTTCTTTCGTTCACCAATCAGCGAAGAAGCCGAACTAGCAACGTTCATTGTCGCATAACCCGTGCCACACTGATTCACTGCCCTCTGCGCCGCCGCATCGTACGTCTTTCGCAGTCCCGTAAGGACCTTTTGGCCACCAGTCCCACTAGTTCCGTCGCTTTGCAGCGCCTCGGCATACAAAGACATGAGGTTGCGTGCGCAGGCGGAGCAGGTAGGGTCCGACCCCCGTGGAAAGGACGTGCCTAGCGCAAGTTGGTAGAAGTAGAGATCGGCGGGATTGGTGTTGTGAACAGCGTTCACGAAGCAGTAGGTATTCGTAGACGGGTCGATCTGGCAGCCGGCATTGCGCATTAAGGGGTAGGCATCGAGAGCTGCAAATAAAACGCGTTAGCCTACTGATGCTAACGGACGAGTTGAGATACAAGAGAAGGGGGTGTGATCACAGGCACACACGCACGGCGATATCAACGGCTAAGAAACTGTATCAAAACAAGGCACGATGGTAGGCACTTGTGGAGGGTAGGTGGGAATAGATGGAAATACGTTGTTTCGGCAGGGGAAGAAATAAGGGCGGTTGGGAATTAAGAACCAGCGGTCGTGGGCGTCGAGTACGGAAAGGGGAAACGGGACCTGAACGCAGACAAGGAAGGTTTGGCTCACCAATAAGAGTATTGACGGCTCTAGAGTTCCCATCATCCAAATCCTCCTTACACTGCTCCCTCAACGACGTAGCAAACCCAGCCATATTGATGTTGCACTGATTGGAGGCTGTATTAGTGTTGCAAGTCCCCCAGATCAATGTATTCAAAAGCGTCAGATTGTTCTGAGCCTATCATTACTGAGTTAGAGAGTCGGATATACGCGATTGAAAAAGCAATCTTGCCTTCAAGAATTCATCTGAGCTCCCAACCAACAACCCGAAAGGTCTGCAGCTTCTGAATTCCGCCCTGTTCAACATATCCGTGAAGAAGTTGAAGCAGCTGTTTGAAGAGAAATTTGTGCTGATGTCAGAATCGAACGGTTGAGGGAAAGGCGTCGGGACAGGTGGTGTTGTAGGGGGTGATGAGGGGACGGTGGGAAGAGGTTGTGCTGTTGCTGCCGTAGTCGAAGTGGATGGCGCGGGAGACAAGGACGTCGCAGACGGAGCAGCTGATGGAAATGCAACTGGGGACGAAGCATCTTGACGTTTCTGATAATGATGCAGCTCGGGAGGTATACCATCTATGGGAGGGTGGCGAGACGACGGGGCAAGTATAGGCGAAGGGCTCAAGATAGGTGGCGGTCCACGGTAGTTACATGACGGTCTCATTTCTTGCACTGCGTATCGCTCTTGCGAATAGAACACGCCGAGGAACTGATCGAGCCTCAGGTTAGAGAGTTTTAGATTCCAGCGGGAGCGCTCGGATGACGGGGAGAACCACCGCTCTGATGTTGTGAGAAGGATGAACGCAATGGGGATGAGAATGGCGGCCCATTTGAGACGGCGACCGACTTTACGCTTCGTAGCCATTTGATCCCTTTCGACATTGCTTGGGTGGCGAACGGAGAACTTTGACGACGTCGGGAGCGGTAGGGGCGGCGGGATCAGTTTATTCTTTTGAGGACCTTTGGACGCTGTTGGCTCGAGGGAACGTGATGAAGAAGATATCGACGGCGGTAAACGAGGTGATGGAAGAGGCGAAAGATACCGACTGTGTGGGCGTGGAGAAGACCCCGGTGAGCTAGAAGGCGAACCAAGGGGCGAGGGCGTCCGCGTCTTCGAGTAGGAAGACGAGGGCGAGCCAAGCTTCATTAGTGTCGTGGGCTTCGCCGCAGAGGGTGTAGGTGATGGCGGTGGGGTGAACATTTCTGGCGGCTACTCTTCACAGCGATGCGTAGGTGGGGGACGACGTAGACGTGGGCAGCAAAGAAGCGAAAGATGTGTGAGAAGGAAAGTGATGACTTGCAGCCAAAAAGGACCGTGCTGATATAAAGAGTGTGGATGCGTGCGTTCACGTTTACTGATACGGGTGAAACTCGGACTGGATGTCTTCTACTTCCCAAGACTGTACACTGTGACACAGATACTTCGCCAGAAACGCCCGTTTATGTGTTTCCGTCCGGGAGTCCTTTGTTTCCGGCCAATCAGTGTTCAATCTGTGATGTTTGACGGTCAGTGACTTGGGGAAACTGCAAAAGATGATGGAACTGCACGGCAGCTCTTAAACTATTTATGATGGAAGATGCTGGTCCGCGTGCGTGATGGGCCCAAAGATTTTGGGATTGTGTACTCACGTTGCCTATTCGCGACCCCTCCGAGTTCTCTCCTTGCAAGTGTCGCCGAGCGCTGACCGTTGCACTGTTTGGCTGAGAACTGGGACGATTGCGAAGCAAAGAAACACCCAGATTCCCTGACTGAGGGAGGTTATCGATGCAGGCGTAAAAGAGTGTCGGCGACCGTAAGGGAGTTCAGGCTTCAGGCTCAGGAATAGCAAAATGGGTATCCGGGAGAGGAGTTCTTCAACTCAGGCCTTTGAGAAGGAGAAAGAAAGGACCGCCGTCGAGGGGGAAAGGAGAGGACCGTGAAATGATAAATCTGACACGGCGCTTGCGTCGGACAGCCTGTTGTTGTACAGTTCGTGTGCCTGACACGGGCGATGGGATCTGAACTGATCGCGCTTCTTACACGTGGTTGCTGCCACGCCCAAATAAAGAAGCAACTGCAAAGGAGCTGCGGGGGCCCCTCTGTAGCTAGTTGGTCCAAGGTGAGCTATACAATAGTCTATCGACTGTTCTCAAGTTGGAAGCAATAATTAAGGCCGAATGGAGTGCACCTGGCGGGTCAAAGAGCGTGCAACATCTGAGTCGATGCCTCAATATCCCCACTGCAAGGCCGTCAGCTTGACAGAAACTCATGTCTGACAATCGGGCTCGGCTGTGAGCCCAGAAGAAGGCTAATACGCTCTACCACCGCTAAGCTAAGTACGATTTGACGGAGGGCCCTCATTGGGTCGCATCAACATCAACGCGTGAACCGTCGATGCGATAAAGCGAGTATCCATTTGTAGTAGACTGCGGGCCACTTGCCTCCTCAGTAGCTCCCGCCCTGCTCTTCCGCGGCGAGAGTCGATCACCCCAAAACAGTCATAATGTGATTGTGTTTCGCTTTATCTGACCGCACGTATCATTTAGACCCTGGTCAGACCGTTCCATTAGGTAGTTCTGAGCACGAAGAGCTGCGCGTGCTAGCACAATCCTGCGCAATCATTAGCTTCGAGAAGTATCAATTTTAAAAAGCCGAGTACACGCATCATATGGGGTGATTATCGTATGTAGCCAGTAAACCTCGCTTTCTGGAATGCTCTGGTCCAGAGAGGATCCAGCCGTTTGATTATACCTATCTTGCCACGAATCATATAGGCCTAGGTGTCATAATTTTGCAAGGCGCTATAGCCAAGTGGTTACGGCGACAGATTAGAACTGTCTAACTTGACCATTCATCTGTTCCTCTTTGAGGGCGCAGGTTCAAATCCTGCTGGCGTCGTAAGATAATTGTTTTTGGTCAACCCTACCACGGCAAAAACACCATGATACATTGCTATTTATTGTCCATTTCATACTGAACGTTCTAAAACACATACATCGCAGGAAATACTGTCATGCACAAACAAACTATCTTTGCTCCTTTTTGATCTGAACCAGCGTCAAGGGACATCCATACGCTCGTCGTTCGTCGAGCATCGTCGTGTTTGGGACGTCCGTGGGGTCAATCTTTAGCCGCCTTGTGTATTGTACGGTGCGCAAAGCGCTGAACAGAGGTGTATTGTGAGCCTTCTCAAGTTCGCCCTGGAAACTTGAGAAAGCGGCGTTCTTGGTGCGGATTGTATGGATGGCCGGGTACAGTGCGTGGATACACGGCCAGAAATCTACATGTGGTCTCTCATTGGTAGATATATTGATATTGAGTGTGGCAATGTGTACCGCATCTCGAAGCATTGGAAGGGGGCGGAAGTTGTCGCGTCCATAATCGGCTAGGTTTCTTTAGGTCCAGCATGATATCCAATCGTTTTGCGCTCACCAGCAGCGAGGATTCTAGGCGATGTTGATATTCGCCTCCGAAGACAAGAGTCTCCGACACGTCCTGGACATCACAAATGATTTCGAGTCGCTCCGCCTAGAATAAAACGCGTCTCATGAACGTGTCGATGCCCGCCAGATCGTCCGTCAGTTTCAAGTTCTTCAGGCAAGGTAAGAAACACGTTGCTTACAGCCAATCCGCTTTCTGACCAGTAGGTAAGCAACGATAGAGGGCCAGCGTTTCGAGACCACCTAGGGGATGGAATAATTCTGCGAGCTCATCAAAATCGTTGATGCGGTTTTGTTGTGAAGTGCCAGAGTCGTCAGATCGTTCCAGCGAACGGGAACCCCACGAAGAACCAGCTCCTTGAGCTCACGACCGTCACCCCGGAAGAGCGTGCGGGGAAGTAGCGCTCCAGTTGACACGTCTATCCGCTCCTTAGTCGCATTGCTCGTCGAGCCATCTACAGACTCGTCTGTCGTTCCTTTCATGTTTGCCCTGATGGTTAATCGGAGGTGCAGAGCTCGAATAATGGGGGCCCTAGTAGAAGAAAGCGCCTTGATGGTCCACGATTTATTGAAGTCAGAAGTCCTGAGGGTCAGGCAAAGGAAGCGAATGCGATACAGCTCCTTCAGCACGGAGACGACGTGTTTTGGTGGGAAGCCGTGCCTTCGCTGTTGAGGCAGTACATGTCCGTGCGCGAATTTTCTTCCTAGGGGATCTTTAATGGAGCACCTCCTGACTTCACGAAACGCATGTCATGCTCGTTCCCCGACACAACAATGGTGCCGTAAAGTCGAGTATCACCTTGTTCCACCGGCCCAGTGTTTACTGATCGTCCTACTTTCGCCTCTCGTCTGGGGGTGGAGTGGATCTGGGGGCTGATGTCGCGAGTTCGAGGATTCTCTCTCGTTAATATGTCCTTTGGCAAAGCGCAGATAATATTTTTGTTCCGGTCGGCTTGGCCAGCTGTCATGGATGCATCGCTATCCTCGTTGTAGCGGGCAGCGAGGGGTATTCTTCGCCGGTGCGAATCGTGCGATAGAGACATACGCGTTTTCGTGAGGCAGAACACAGACGGGTGAGCATGCTTTATCTACGGCTAGCCACTCGAGAGGTCCTAGGGTCAGGCGTCAGGCATCATCCGTTAATTGAGCATGCTGGACGTATCCACTTCTACGGGTCAAAGCAGCTTTGCAGCACAATGCAAGTTAGCTCGACGAGAGGTTGCAGAGGGTCCCGACGCTTTCCTTTATATCTTACCGTCACAAAGGGAAGAGGAATCGGAGTATGCTGGCAGAACCTCCTGCTTTGAACGAAAATTCTTGAAACATGATGGCAGAAGGAGTATTAGATGTGGCTCGTTAGAATCCTCTCAAAGGGCAACCCGAACCGAGGACTCGCCCCTGGAGCTTTGCAAAGCTAATGGGGCTAAGAGAAAATCCCCTTGGTCGTGAGCAACTACGTCGTAATTTAAATAGGCGGGGCGAGGAAGTGTTTCGGGTGCCTCGCGGAGAAGACCAGCATGTAGCAATTCAGGCTGAGTGGCCTGACAAACTTCAACCCGTCCATCAAGAAGATGGTGACTGTGGGAATATATCTCTGACTGTGAGAATATAAGTAGCCCCCAGTAGGTTGTATATTCAGTTAGCACTCACTAGTACTCAAGTGCTCACTGCTTATTTATCGTATGCATTATAAATGGCCTCCTACCAGAATACATACATTGATGCTGGTGTGGGTTTGAGCCCAATTGGATCCCGAACGTTTTGGGCATTCTAGGTTCTCGATTCTAGAAGGTTCAGTCGGCGATGCAATGTCCGTGACCTAGAAGTCTCTACTTTCGATGTAATGATGCTTGTGCCCGCCGGAACGGCGATATATAAGTCGTACCACATGCTCGCTTCTTTCTGAACCATAAACTATGTTATACGACTCAACTCCTCCTTATGAACACCACTCCCACCTAACCTTTGCCCGCGAACCCCTCAAATCTCTATATGTCTTCCAACGGCTTTTCACCACCATCCTCCTTGTGCCATGTTGGTGGATATACTACCTCGTTCTCCCCCGTTCCTACCGCCCACGCCCCTCCTGGTCGCTCAAACAAATCATATTCGTCAACTTCACTCGCCGTATCTCAAAAGTGACCGAAGTGGCCGGGATGACATGGGGTACTCGTAACCCCGAGGAGGAGGCCAAGGACGGAGACCTGCAGGAGACGAGGTTCGAGTGGATCGAGCCGCTACCAGAAGAGCTGAGATGTGGTATTGTGGTTAGTGAAGGGAATAGGGTGCCTTTCAAACGCGTCGGGGCATTCATATGGCCCAAGGAGGCTCCGCGTCCGATAGGGGGATCGGCGACACCGTCTCCTCAAATTCCCCAGTTTGACTTTGAAGCAACGTCGACGGTCCCGACGGACATTGAAGCGTCTGCTGCTGATGCGTCCGTCATCGGGATCTTCATGCATGGAGGCGGGTACACGCACATGTCTGCGCACGAGAAGGCCAGAACGTCGAGGATTCCACGGACGCTTCTCAAGGTAGGCAAGCTGCATACTCGCAGCATCCGTACTTACCTTGCAATTAGGAGAAACTGTGCTCGCAAGTCTATTCCGTTGAGTATCGATTGCTCCAGTTTGCACCGTTCCCCGCTGTAGTGCAAGACGCTGCGGCTGTCTACGCTCACGTCGTCAAGACGTTCCCGAGGTCGAAGACTGTATTGATCGGCGACAGCTCTGGTGGGAATCTGGTATTGGCACTGGCAAGATGGATACGCGACGAAGGAAAGTTGCGCATGCCTGATGGACTACTGCTACTGTCGGTGCGTCTGATCTTCATTTAGTTGTTCCAGTAATTCGCTGACGACGATTAGCCTTCTTGTGATACATGTAATTCAATCATCTTTCCTTCTATCATACGAGACTAACGACTCAACGCAGCGCACGCCATTCCTGAAACATACTCGTCCCATATCCCCCGCCCGAACGCCTCTACCGACTACCTGACCGACACAGTAGAGCCACGAGCGATCCTGCAAGCGACGTTCCTCGGATTCAAATACTATCCGCCCGACCACCACCTGCTCAGCCACACCGATCTCACCCAGCGGCAAAAAGCAGTCGAAGAGAGCCGGCAGCTTCGGGAGGTCGTGCACTCGGAATACGTGAGTGCCGCGAGTCCGAGAGTGCTGCAGTGCTGGGGGCACGAAGTTGCGCAGCACGACTTGGTGATGGGCATCGAGTCCAGCGACGGCGAGTCCTCCATGGCCAAATCCCTATCCCAATCTCTATCGCCGCCGTCTGGACCGATATGCCAGTCCTCTGCGTCGCAAGCCTCCCTCGCCTCGGTGATTCAGACGCCGTACCGTCAGGCATGCAGATTCTCGGCACTGTTCGCGCACTTCCCTCGGACACTGGTGGTGATCGGGGACGCTGAGCGGCTAGTGAATGAGGTCAGGTCGTTGGTGAAGGCGATGGAGAAGGATTGCGTGGATGTAAAATGCCATTGGGCGAAGGACGCGCCGCATGATTTGTTGATCATCCCTGAGGGTTGGTGGGATGAGGGGGTTAGGGAGGAAGCGTGGGTGGCTGTTAGAGAATGGATGAAAGGATTTTGAGATCCGTAGGACATTCTCCCGAGGACGATGGTGTTGGTTGGACTATTACCCATGTACTTCTAAATTTACTTTGATTGCTCTTGGGCTCTCCTATCGCGCTCCTATCAGCAGCCCGTGATCGGACATCATAGGCGCTTCTCTAAGCTGGCTTTGGCTCTTTCAAGAAGGGTTTGTGAGTGAGGTCTGTTTGAATCGCAGATGTCTGGGACTATTGAAGAGCGCGGGAGCAAGTCCGACGCGTTCAAAGGAATCACACAGAAACTCTTCGGCAAGCTAGCGGCTCATCTTGACGCATCAAAAGAATCTGAGGTTCGACTCTACGCGATTACATCGAACGCCACTTACAAGTAACAGGACAAGCCCTCAACACCACTACGGTATGACAATATACCTGACAGCTTGAAGCCCTCAAGGCCGCCTTATCAACCCCACAACGGTTATAACTCAGCAGCGAACCTCGTCGGGAGCTTCGATGCGCTTTCGCTCACTGGAAGGCCGCCTCAACCACATAGCAACTCTGACCCAGGAACCGCTTTCGTGGGGGGCTTCTATGCACCTCCACCGATCGCTCCGAATCAACCACCCCCTTCGGCACCTGATCTGCGATTGTCGGGCGCAGATGGTTTTGCGCCAGGTCCTCTACCACGCCCGCCGGCGATGCCTCTGCCATACCAACCTCAGCCGCAATCGTACGACCAGAGCCCTCCAAAGACATCGCTGACCATGCAGTACGCATTGCAGGCCCCCGATCAGCAGCATCGCCCATTCCCGCCACAGCTGAACACCCCGCCCTCTCGTCCGGTTTCCTCGTCTATGTTGCCTTCCAAATTGCACGATCTCAACCTTTACGCGGCCCCAGTTGCGCCGAAGAAGGGCTCGAAACCCCAGGCGATATCACACAGCGTTACCATCTCGTCTGATTCCTCAGATGGTTCTTATACTGCGTCGCCCAAGCCCTCGAAGAAGGCTGCCCGCCGACGTGTGTCTTCAGATCCCCCCGCTTCCGCCGCCCCGTCGACCTCCAAGAGTGACGGAACCTCCGTCCAGTGTAATGGAACTACGAAGGCAGGCAAACGCTGCACCCGGCAAGTTGCCCGCGATGCGAACACGACCGGAGACGTATTCTGCCACCAGCATAGCAGAGAGGTACTGGCTTCCAGCGGCTTTTTTGGCAGAAAGAATGGTGAATGGGTCAAGTTTGAAGGTACGTATCGCGTATGATACAGTGCCGTTCCTCTGGTTTGGTTCATTCGGTTTGGGTGATCACAGACTGGATCCCGTCGTACCTCCAACCTGATACTCAGGTGATGCTTCGCTCGGAGATGGAGAAAGCGAAGACATCGAGTGATGTGCCAGGATACATATACACATTCGAGATACTGGGTCAGCACGCCACCCTCTCATGTTTCCTTACTTGCTGTTCAACTCCCTTCGGTAGACCTTGACGCGCCGACGATCAAGCTAAAAGTTGGGCGCGCAGTAAACCTGGTAAAGCGAATAGACGAGTGGAGCAAACAGTGTTCCTCGAAAGAGCAGGTTCTTCGAGGGTGGTACCCTGGGGTAGTGGAATCAGAGGACGGCGATGACGATGGCGGCATAAGTTTGCTCAAGGGAAAGGTCCGTGCTGGTACAAAATGCCCGCTTTGTCATCGCTTGGAACGACTGGTGCATCTGGAACTTGCGGATCTGGCGTTCGCACAAGCATATCTGGACCCCAGCTGGCCGGATGTGAGTGAGCCGCCAGAGGTCTCGGGCAACACGACGTCCACCCCGAAGAACAAGGGCAGAACGTACGTGGCGCCGTGTCCGGACTGTAAGTGTCTCACTCTCGCCCTTTCATACACACTTGATCCCTTATGCTAACGCGCGTGTAGGCGGCCAACTTCACAAAGAGATATTCGAGTTCAAGCGCGTCAAAAAAGGTCGGTATAAGAATAAGGAATGGGAGTTGATCGTCAAGCCTGTGATCGAGAAGTGGGGTGCCTTTGTGGAAAGCTATGTCTGACCATGATGGAAAGGATGAAATTGTTGTATCGTGTAGAGCTCTAAACTCGCTTCTTCCACATGTTTTGACATAGTCGGCTTTCCTTTGTTGTTTCATATGCTGTAGCTCGAGGTTGATTACTTGTATGTATAACTTATGACGGGCCGTGCTGGACACAATTAGATGTAAACGATGTATCATCAATTACTAAACCCATACCTAACTGTTGTAACTGTGAGAACGAGAATAGTAAACTCAACTTGCGAAACATGAACTTGCACTTGAGCAATTGAAACTCCGAAAGCAGGACTTTGTGACTGTGGGAATGAGATATTAAACTCAACTTGCGAAACGTGAAGTTACACTTGTGCAATTGAAACTCCGAAGATCAGCAATTGAGACTCCGATGCCTTACACATTGCCGCGAAATGCGAGTACAAGCTGCGAGCCCTTGCTAAATTCCGTGTAGAAATAACCGTTTCTTCGCGGTTACTCGGGCATGTAGAATAGCAGTTGACCCTCGCAAACGCGCGAGGGACTACATAATTCAAACTACCTATTTATCTATGTGTGAACAATCAAATGTATCTACATATAAGGACAGTGTGATTATCTAAACACATAGTGCGATTCGGAGAACACTTGAAACATGCAACAGCAAATCCAACATTCCGAAGCCCCAGAAAATTGACACTTCCCTTAGCCAGCAGTATAGCTTGTGCCCAATAAGTGGTTTCTCCTATTTATTAGATATTCAGGGACTGATGAACCGTACATGCCATATAGTCTATTATTATCATTATACCTGCAGCTGCAGCTCCGGCCCCATATCCGTATCCTAGTTTAGCCAGGTCTCACAATATACTGCATCAATTCATCGCCTCAGTAAGTCTGCCCACTTGGCCTGCTGCCACTTACCTGCCCTGCGATGAACAGTGTACCTGTAAGGGGACACTCCTATTTTCTCTCCTTTCCTTCATCCCATGGACTCTTACCTACATTCCCTTCATTCCCCTTCGTTCCTTTTCGCTCCCTTTCCTTTCCACTTCCTTTCCACCCACTCCTTTCGCATCCGAGCCGTGTCCGGTGACTCCGGAGTCTTCCCGCACTTCGGACACTTCGGACTTGCTCGGACTTGCTCGGACTCATTTTCGGACACTTCGGACTCGCTCGGACTTGTCTATACTCTTCGGGGCTCGTCCGGGTTACCTCTATCCTTTTCCCCCACTTCATTACTCTTCGCCCTTACTTCCCCAAGTCGCTGGCACGACTCCTGTGCATTTACCCTCCACTTCATTATCACATGTTTCCTTGTACCTTGTGATATTCGTTCGGACTTGTGGCTGGTGTACTGTACAGTTATCCTGCATTCCTCTCACGCTACTACAGTATATACTTCGCTTCCTGGCATGGAGAATCCTTATCCTGTTCTCTTTGGATTCTCCCTCTGCTAGGTGAGCAGCCCTCTCATGTACTGTAGTTAGTCTTATTCATTATCTTTGGATTCTCCCTCTGCTAGGCCTGTGCTGTCGGCCATCTTGAGGTTGCCCTTACAGTACCCCTTCCTGTTGTTAAGGACTGTGTCAAGGGGCCTCCTGACTTGTCCGTACAGGGGCGCAGGAGCGCGGATGCACGGACAAGCGGAGTGCACGGGACTTGGCTTCAGCTTTGATGCTGCGCCCTCCTAGCCCTGCAGTGTCCCGATTTTGGAGAGAGCAAGGTGAGAGGTGGTGTAAGGGCAACCTCAAGACGGCCGCACAGTGCAAGCCTAGCAGAGGGAGAATCCAAAGATATGAATAAGTCTAACTACAATACATGAGAGAGCTGCTCACTGTTAAGAGCCACACTCGTGGGGGCTTGGGGATACACGGACCCGCAGGTGCATAGTTCCACGTAGAAGTGTGGAGGGGAAACGAGGGAGCGAGGACGTACAGGCTTGGCTTCGGCTACTGGCTGCGCCTCCCACACTCTTGTGTGCCCTGTATTTCCAGAGGGAGTCCTACGCAGGTACCGAGGGTATGAGCGGAGGCGAGGGGATGCAACGGAGGGACCTCAATAGAGAGGCGAGGATGCGAGTGCGGAAGGAACTAATATTCGAACTAAGGTAACTGTATGTACTGTACAGGAATATATACTGGGGAACACGCGGCATCCGCGCGTTCACAAAACAGTAGTGAGTCCAGTCATAGTAAGTACAGTGTGCTCGAGTATGTACTTAGTCCATAATCTGAGAAGTCCGAGTGGCCGCATGTATGTGCGGCCCGAGTCCGTAGCCGGAACACCCATTAGTAGCCCCTAAGGGGCCTCCTAGATGAGCCTATAACACTTCTCTGTATTACACATCGGACAAGCCTCTCTGGAGCATTGTTCCCCAACTCCCATCCAATACATTCCCAGTAGGATTCTTGACGTAGGTATTTCCCACTCACTGTATTCCATGTGTAGAAATAACCGTTTCTTCACGGTTACTCGGGCATGTAGAATAGCAGTTGACCCTCGCAAACGCACGAGGGTGTTATGGTCCAACGTTTCTTTTCTTTTTCAACCATCTCTCCTTATCTTATTGGGCACGTGATGTATTACCCAAGCATCTATATTATAAAAGACGGCCTTTTTTCCCACGGGATAAAGACAAAGACAAACCGGTCATCTCGGGCTTGATCTACAATAGAAATCATCTGCGCACTTTCTCACGGGCCGAAGGACCTAGCCATCTGATTGGTTGCGTCCAAAATGGGCACCGAATGAGCCCGGCCGCAGGCCGGGCGATGAGGTGCCTTCACTGCGTGCAAAGCACGGGTCAACGGCTAGTAGCTACTTACGATATGTTACTCACATCATCTGGGTCGTCTTACTAATAGTCTCAGTCAGCGCCTTGCCGCTACTGCATGGGCGCAGTCAACAAGCGTCATACCTCATGCAGCTGAGCTAAGCATTCCATGGAAAGACGGTAGGATACAGCATGTAAATAGACATGAGGACGTGATGCGATTCGGAGAACACTTGAAACGTGCAACAGCAAATCCAACACCATGATCACTCACTTTATATGAAGTGAGACATGCAAAGGCAAGCGTAAAGCAACAGGCTTACCTCAGGTCTCGCCTGCACCACGAGAAGAGAAACAACGGCAGCTGTTCAAGTACATCGTTAACTTCACAATTGACTATTGTAAGGGTTGAACCCTTTCGTTCCATGCACTCCGGCTTTCCCTATCCCCTATCGACCCCTCTCCGACTCTTCGGACGCGCTCGCACATGACTCGGACGTCACTGACCCGTACCGGACACACGTGATAACGGATCAGACAGCGCGGATCAATACTTCGTCTCCCTTTTGTTTTCGGACCCTAATATTTGGACTATACTAGCACCATTAGTCGTTCCTGGTTCCTTTTCGTTTCGGATACTTCCGATGTTTTCTTAGCTACAAAAACCTACTGCACTGGTAGTTAGAATAATAAGATTTGTTCCCCCCCACATCGAGTCAGAATCTAAGTCGTCCGAGAAGCTTTCCTCCTCCATTGTCAGAGTTCGCCGTCGTCCGAGTCCGAGTCCGATCCGAAGCCAGTTCTCCTGCCGTCCTTATCATTCTCCTGCCGTCCTCATTGTACTATCCGAAGCCAAAGTTGTTTGCTCCGCGTCCGAGCGTGTCCGAAGCTATCCGAAGCCATCCGAAGCATCCGAAGTTCCCTACTAGTTGTTTTCACTCTCGGACTCATCGTTTATCACACTTAGTTCATTCGGGTGTCGCACGGACTTGTCCTGCCGGAGGTGGACCTTCACATTTCATTTGACTATACTACTAGTCTACGTGTATATTCACTACTACACTATGCAGTAGGTCCTTTGGACTATTGTTGGATTGCTCATATAAGGCATAACCGGTAGGCTTTTCGACACCTACATATATATTTGTTAGGGCAACACTAATACACTATAAAAGCGTACGCAGAACCAACAAGAATTGGAGTAAGAAGGAGTAAGTTGAGGAGTTAAGAGGTGAGGAGAAAGTACAAAGACGCTGAATTAGGCACTATATCAGTGGTAATCCCAAGAGAACGAGTTAACGTCTCTGGGTGTTTATTAGGGCACTTATATACTACTATACATGCTACCTCCGCATGTCTATCTACACGCTGTATCCTACCGTCTTTCCATGGAACAGTTGGCTCAGCTGCATGAGGTATGACACTTGTTGACTGGGCCCATGCAGTAGCGGTGAGGCGCTGACTGAGACTATTAGTAAGACAGCCCAGATGATGTAAGTAGTGTATCATAAGTAACTATGCTTAAGTAATACATCACGTGCCCGATAAGATAAGGAGAGATAGTTTAAAAAGAAAAGAAACGTTGGACCATAACAATATTTGCTTCTAATTTACTACACAGAACAATCCTTTGCCGGAACGATCCTCAAGTAGATTCATACATCTGTGACCGCCTTGAGCAAGGTATTTGCCATCAACAGCATATCCAAAAGGGTAAGCAAAAGGTGGCCAATCCCAAAGCCTTTAAGCATAAGAAGGAGGTGGAGGAGAATGTACCCCCCGCAGAGCCAAACCCAGCAAAGTGGCAACGTCTCTCAGCAGATAAACAGCTGGCTCCTGGGCTGCTTGTCCAGGAGGCTACTATGGAGACTAAGTGAGGCTTGGTTGGTATCAACTTATACTTATGTGTAATAAGTAGTCACAATATTGCGTTTACATCGTACTTGGGGCTGATAGTGAGGTTACGAAGGTTTCGGAGTTTCAATCACACGACTGTCATCGAAGTTTTTGCTTTCGGAGTTTCATTTGATCAAGTTACGCTTATACTTTCGGAGTCTCAATTGCTCAGATGTCAGTTGTGATTCGAGTCTTCGGGGTTTCAATTGAACAGTTATCAGTTGTTTGTTACTCTTTCGGAGATACAATTGCTCATTAGCTGAGTTTCAATTGACCAATCACGAAGTTGAGTTGGCCAATAATTTTGTCCAGTGAGTCCCCTCATAATAACTGTATACGAGCGCACTCAGTGGACGTCCAGTTAGTTCAGCTTCGTTTCGGGACTCCGAAGATTGATCGGCGGAGAGGATCTCCTTATTACACCTGCGGTTTTAGTAGGAGCGAAGTCAGATAATGTGTGAGCAGTGATCAGCGCTCAGTGACAACGTGGTAGGTGCCAAGTGAGGTATTCGCATCGTTCATATCCAAGGACGAACTTCCTAGTCGCCCCGATGCATCAATATCGACCTCCAAGAAAAAGTTTTCTAAGTGGAGTGCCTTTTGTAAGAAGCTCATTGACATGCTATGTTTTCGGAATGAGTTAAAGAGTGGTCAATGTTGGAGAGCGTCTGATCGTATGTCTCGGTGCCATATCCAGAGCGCTGAGCGCTGAACTCTTTTGCATATATAGAATACGCCAGGTCCAGCCCCAATCAATCCCATTGGAATGAGTATCCTCCATTCATGATTGACGGGATTAATTACCGTATATGGTATGTCTTCTCCGATTGGCGCATATTTACAGCTGTTTGCCCATGTGGGCGCTGAGTTTTCTGGGGACTGTCCGTTGAATTTATACCAATTGAGGGAATTTTTCGCTGCTTGACAACGAATTGCTTTGACCGCCAATCCACCAATCCTCCAGTGCGTCGGGGGTATATAACCTCAGGCTCATACCATGCACTCACTCACCGCACTCCCCGTATCACCGCCTCCACACTCAAGCGGCCTGTCCAGTCAACTTCGTCCTCTCTCAAATGTTCTTCTCGATGCAAAGCTCCACGCAGCCGCAAACATCTGGCTCAATGTCGCTCCCACTCCCAGCCACCACACGCACCTCTCCCTCCACTACTACTAGCCCCATCGACGACTTCTTCGGCAGCACACGCGGAAGCAGGCATGACCGCCGCTTCTCTGTCTCTTCCAACAAGGAAGACGACCTCCCATCGTACTCGGACGTCGAGGCTCTCGCTCCTCCGTCATACTCTCAAAGAGGGCACAAAGAGCCTGTCACTCTCGCCATGTATCTATTTAAATTTGGATTTTGTGAGTACTCGCCTCTTTTTACATACTTAAAGAACACTTTCTTATCGTTCTTTTTCCAGTGTTCCCGCCATTCTGGATACTCGGAGCTCTTATCCTTGTATCAGACCTGCGTTCCCCGGACGCAGAAGAGACCTCGCTCCCATCATCGAACGGCGTTGAAGCCGAGCACCTCTCTTGGCTCCCGGACAAGACCCCCGCCGAGCGAGCAGCTATCGTCCAACAGATCCGCAATGCGGAGGTGAAGTGGGCAAAGAGATGTCTTGCAGCACTTGGAATCCTGTGTGCGCTTGGTTTGGCTGCTGGCCTCGCCATCGGGTTCGCCTTGAAGCAATGACTGCAGTCCTCACGCACTATCACTCGCCACACTACCAACACCATCCTCACCTTCATCACATATCCACATCCACGACCCGTGGTCCCCGACGCCTTTCCTTAAAGTCATTTACGACGCCATTTGCAGCTCCGTTGTATCCATTATATCATTATTTCCCCTCACCTAGACATATGCGGCAGGAGACCCGCTAAACCAGTTCCCATGTATTCTTATGTAACATCACTCCAATACCAATACCTTACACGCCCTTATAAGAGATTACCCGTTTGTGTGCTAAATGCCGTGCACTATAATGAGCGATTGGCACATATCGTGACATGATGAACACCCCTTAAAAGAAAACATTCTGAGTTTGAGAGTACTATTCCAGATATACATATAGTACGGCCGATCCTTGTGTTGGTAATGACAATCGGGGCGGCGGCCGTAGGGGTGCCAACCGTCCCCGTATGAAGGGGTTGTACGGTGCGTATGTACGGTATATATTGCCGTCGCCGTATAACTTTCTAGCCGATCTTTGTACGGTTCAGTATACGGTCGAGTGGCACCCGTATGCAGTGCTTACCTTGTTAGGTAATACGGTCCGTATCCATATGTGGGAAAACACAGTGACATAGCAGGCTCTCCAAATGGTACTGAACTGGTATCCATTTTACCAAATCATGACTAGATAGTTACCATCTGGTGGTAATTGGTGGTAATTAAGGTGAGTGTGGGGGAAAATATCTCCTGATGCACGCTTAGAAATATTTCTCAAAGCACTGTGTAAATCTATCATGTCTCATAGCGCGGCCTAAGAATCCCTGGCTTACTACCTTCTTCTAACCCCTCTCCCCCATAGAACCCCCATCCGCACTCGTACGTATAACGCGACTTACCACATATATAAACCGCGACCCTGCGCATACGTACTTACTTCCTGCTTGTCTTCTTACCTATACGTTCATCTCTCCAATCTACCGCTATGGTCGATTCACCTCGTCTTCTGAGTGTCTTCCCTTCGAGGTTGTTCCACATTTCTACTCCCAAGTCATAAACATTCCAATACAATGGTCAATGGCCTGTAGGTCAGAATTTAACAGCCGTGCACGCGCTCTGTACAATATGCATACTTAGGTATCGGATGATGAAACACTGCACCATCCGCCCACCTGGATGCCTTTGGGGGGAAGTCGCTGTTACATACTATTAATCTAGCTAGTACCTAGTGTGTAGCTATATGCTGAAGGACGGAACAATCAGAATTGAGCGGAAGGTCCGCTGCCGCTGCCATACGAGAGCGTCAGCTCGTTACGGAGGCGGAAAGCCCCCAATTCCACGAATTTGAAGAGAAGAGTTCTACATATGTACCGGAGGGAGGACGAAGACACGAATGGAAGTGTTTGCTATTCGACGAGGGCCGGCGTCTCAGATGGTTACCAGGGTAGTTGAATACTTGAAGGGTAACGAGTCATGGCATAGACTTTGTAGTGAACTGGTCCAGCAAACCGTCCGTAGTTACAGCAACAAGATGCGCCGTAAAATGGGTCACGATCCGAGAGAATTATTTCTTCATCGGCGGTGCCTCCTCTTGGATGTCTCCAGCTTCTTTCGCCTTGCGCTTCTGAGGATAGAGTAGTTCGTAGACACTGGTAACACCCGCGATTCCATCTTTCTTGAGGAACATCTTCATGTGCCTAAGCAGTACTGCCGTTGTGTCGAACGCGGGACGGAACGGCTGGCAGTCGGACTTGATGGGGAGCGTCGCCTCTGCTATACTATAAGAAACTGTGAGCATGTCCCGCAGGCGAAGTGCCAGTTCGCCCATGTTATGGAAGGGAGGAGATGTCGAAGAAATGAATCTCAGGTCTTCGTTGGCCAATGCGTTACGGCGCTCCTTGTCAATGGCGATGATCGGAGAGAAAAGGGTTTCATAGCCACGGCGTTGGTTCTGGAGAGCCTCTGGGTCAAAACCAACATTATCAGGATAATACTTGAAAATCGACCACATATCTAGCCACCATATGGACTCCAGGTCATTAGGACGGGAGCCGAGGAAGTTTTGTGTCCGTAACTTCGTCGTCGTGCTGCATGGTGGAACGCCCGAAGCCGTCAGGACGCGACGAGTTCCCCCTCTCACTCGAGAGAGTCGAGTTTGGACTGTGGCCCATCGTCATACATGATTCTTGGCCTGTGTAGCCCTCGCCGGCGCGAATAATCGCCTCAGTGAATTCATGCACGTGAGTAAAGGTGTCGTTCTCTGGACGGCCACTCTGCTTGGGATCCTCAAGCCCCCACATTCGCCCGTTATTCGTAATAGAGCCATGCTCCTTTAACCTTTCCAAGACGGCGTTCAACATTGCGTCCGGCACAGCGGGGGTGACGGTTTGGAAGAACTCGAGGGATACAACGGAGATCTCTGGGTGATCTTGGACGACGAGTTGTCTTTGGGTGGTGAGTTTGCAGAGCAGAGTGAGTGATACCATTTGCGCGGCGTATGTTTGTTCTGTTCTGGCACGATGATGGAAGTCGAGAAGAAAGATGGGTGGTCTATTGGGGGATGCACGTGATCTCCCTATCTCTCCCCTATCTCCTGTCTCTTCCCTTTGTACGCTATAGTATATAGTCATGTAGTTCTTCCCTCGTCTCTCTATCTCACTTCTACGCTCGATAGTCGTCAAGCGCGATTTCTCCATGAAAACGTGCCCCTGGCTCTCACCGCTTCCAAACTACGCGCAGTGCCACGCCTGCGAGACACAAACGGCAGATTTATCCCAAGCAGCAGAGAAGAGCGAGCCTTTGCTCCCTCCTCCTGAGAACTCATCGCAGATGGCGCCCGCAGACATTCCCACAACAAACTAGTTTAGTAGACAGAAACCTACCTCGAACGTGTATCAATGTTAGGACCATTGGCTGGGCTACTTTCATTAGCAAGCTAATGCTAACACACGCAGGCGAATGGACTCTAAGATACTAATCCTCGGCCAATTCGATGACGACACACCAGAATATCCTCCCCCAGGGTTCCTCACCATCCTCACCCTTCCTCTCGCAACACACGAACCGTACAGGCTGCCCGTCCCAATACCTCATCAGGTCGAACGACAGTCCCCCAGGAAGCGCAAGCGCAAGCGACGGACTAAACTGCAGAAAGCCGTAGCAAAAATCCGTCGTGATCAGATCCTATCAACGTAGATATGAGTACCCATATTGTGATCGAGGCAGCCGACAGCAACTGCGCAAAAGAAGAGAAGCTCACTTGCGGCCCAAACTCTACTTCTTGCCGATTCGCGACGTCGCTAAAATGAGATCGTCGATCAGAAGCGGAGTAGAGGTTCGCGTTTGACAGGGACCGCCTCTTCTTGCCCTTAGATCTTGATGAGGACTTGGAGCTCGAGCTCGAGGATGAGGTGTTGGATTTCGAGGATGAGGTGGATGCCAGAGACAATGATGACGAGGACTTGGAGCTTAACGACGACGACGACGCAGAAGATGCACGAGAGGACAAGCATGAGGGCGGGGACGATGCAATACGGACATGCGATACGTCATCGGCGATGGACTGGATGGGCGGGAAGGCAGGAAGACTCGCTTGATCAGACGAAAGGCGTTTGTGCTCGAAATGCGGCATCGTAGCAATTAATGGAGAAAGCGCCCATGGCTTGGTGGGAGAGGATAAATCGTGCTCCAGCACGGGGTCCATGTACCTACAAAGTCAGGCGTGCTGATGCAACGGGTGAGAAATCTCACTTCATGAACTTGAGCGCTGCTCCGGAGCCCCAAGGCAACTTTAGTGGTTTATCAAACGTATTCCCAAAAAGGATGTCGTCGGCAGAATGGCGGGTCAGGAAGCGACCTGCCCAACGCGTGACGTCAGCCAGGGTATTACTACAGGCCTGAAAAGATTACAACATACCTTGGACTTGGATACTCCAGGTGATTCCTTGTCTGTCTTCTCTGCCGAAATACTCGCTGTCTCTGACTGCGCCGTTCTCATCTACAAGGCCTTTGATGTTGACAACGACCTCGCCTTCGAATGCATCCGAGCGAATGGTGTGGGTCTGGTTTGTGTTCACTTTGGGCGTTATTGGGGTCAGCGAAGAAGGCGAGGGCCCCGCGAGAACGCGAAGACGAGGCATAGTCTTGAGCGGGGTGGTGGTGGTTTCAGAGACAAGGCGGAATCGTAGCGCGGTATATGGTGACCCGCTGCGCAGCAACCAGTGCACGGTATATTATTAGAAGGAATGTAATGGAAGAAGGTAGGCCGGCTACACAGCAGATGATTGGGAGGAGACAAGATGTGGTTGGCAACTGCGTGAATGACAGCCCTTATTTGGCAGGCCCCTATCCGTCGAGAGCTGCAGCGAGGAATAGAGCTCTAGAGATTCGAGAAGATAGATTAAAAAGCCTGAGAGCGGGGCAATATTAGCATATTGTAGATTGGGCGTCGAAGAAAGCACGTCGTGAGCACCTGCAGAGAAGATGCATCCTGTAGGACACGACCCCGTTATATCTTCACGCCAATGTGACATTCTGGGATCCGATCTCTGCAATTTGCTTAGTGCTACGCTTCGCGTGGGTGATTTGGTTGTGGTAGTGGAGGAGCAATGAGTCGATATTTCAAGGTCTGACGAATTCCACGTACTGATATAATGTTAATGTTAATTCCACACACCGAGAATCTTTCATGGCCTGACCGCCAGTTTCAGTCAAGACCCGAAGATGAGTGAATTGGATTTGGGTTACTTAACTTGGCCAGGAGTTCTTCGAGGAGATTCCTCAAGCTTTCAAATTTCAAGATCCAAATTGGCAGCATTGGCGGAGCGCGGCGAGCTGCGGCGAGTCGGCGATTAGCGCGTCGCCACGTGATGGACAACCTACTTCTTGAGCCCGAGGTCTTCTTCCTTCGGGATATCGTTTGGTTCTTTCCCGCGTTTGCTTTGCTCGTCGTGTAATTCAACAAGTACTCAAGCTACTCGACGCTGTTGACAACGCGAAACCGAACGTCGAGGTTCAAGGCTCAACATCATTAATCGCGATATGGAGCGCGAATTCGGGGAGGGCACATCTCGTTCAGGACGCCCAACCCTCAAATTTGAGTGACAATTGACCACTGAATCTAGGCTCTGCGTTTGAAACACCCGCTCCCACTTCACCTTCTCCAACTCGCGGAAATTGCGAAGGACGCTGACATAGTTCGCCTCTGATGCGACGGTCTGGCTTTGCCAGTGGCTTGCCAAGTCAGAGCCTATAGCCCAGGTAGCCCGGACGGAAGTCGGCAGCTACAGGCCCCCAGCGTGGCGGCGTACGTATACGAACTCCATCTTCACCATTTACGGCAAAACGGAGTCTGCCATGTCACGGTGCGTCGAATTCGACTTCGCGTCGTTATGGTTTACTCGATCTTCTCGTTGGGCACAACTGATACTCTCATAGCTCGCCGTTTCTGTTATGATCGGTGATTCTACTAGTTCAAGACGCCAAGGTGATATTTGTGCGCTCGGTCAGCCCGGGCGACAGGTAATTCTTTGCTTTAAATTTATCCCATGCAGCCCCCAGCACACTGGTTCATGGTAAGATTGCGAGCGGTTGCTGGATACCAACACAACCTTAGGAGCCCGTCAAATCATAGAACCATATTCATATCGTGTTTCTACAACAAGCATAGGGGCATATGCACAATCTGTCTTATCGTTCAACTTATACAACATCAACAATCAGCGGGAGGGAATATACAACATCTTCAACAAAAAGCGCGACGGGTAGTAGGGAAGGAAAGCAAGGGATAGCATAGCATAGCAAAAGCATAGCGAAGAAATAGAGTTAAGGTTTGGGCAATGGAATATGTGAAATGTGAAACAGGATGGAAATGAATTCAAGCATAGGGGGGCTACACACTGGAATGAAAGTCTAAACGGTCACGGTCGTTGGGTACGTCGGGTGTTCGTCGGAACGTGGATCTGGTTCACTTTTGGCCATCAACAGTGTCCAGCAGGGCCCTATTGGTGGCCAAACGAGACGCAGAGCACAGGAAAAGAAGCATAGACGCATAAAATCAATATCAATAACATCGATCATCATGCATGCATTCAAATTCAGTCGTCATCCACTCCATCATCTTCGCTGGCTTTAGCGCGCTTCGTTCGCTGGCCGGGGTCGGCACTGCCGCTGGCCTTGGTTTTAGTCTTCGATTTCTTCTTCTTTGTTTTTCCGTCGTTGTCGTGGGAGCCAGAAGCGGCACCTTCATCTTCCTGAGCTTTCCTGGAGGTGGAGACGGGGTCGACGGTCGGCTGGGGAGCAAGCGGCGGATACGGGTAGTGATGAGCGTATGGCGGAAAGCCCGCTGGGATCAAGAACGGGACAACGGGCGGCTGTGCTGAGTGTGCGCCCTCCGGAGGAGACTGACCGTCTTGAATGTGCGGAGGCGGGGGGAACCCGGGGTAGTAAACGGGGTAGAAGCCTTCGGGACCGGGCGCATGGAAGGAGGGGACTGCATGGACGGTCGGTGGTGCAGCGCCGGCTGGCCACTCTCCTTCATGGCCTGGACGGAGCAGTGAGCCGCGAGGTCGCGCGGCAGACGGAGAGCGCTTACCTGGGAGAGGAGACGACTCCATCGCCTTGTTCTTGCGTTTGTATGGCCCACGCTTCACGCCCTTCTTCCGCTCCTTCCTCTGCCCGTCCACACAGGTGTTCGGCATGCCGTACTTGATGCAGCGTTCGCAGGGCCGGCTCTCGTCGCAGCGTTTGCACGCGGTCGCGCAGTTCGTGCACTACATTCCAATCAGCAAGCGCGGAACGACTACAACATCTCACTTACCGCCATCTTGACTTGTTTACGCTTCGGCTTCATTGTGGGGGCAGGAGGCGCCTGTGACACTGGGAACCCTAACAAGATGACTCAGGCTTGGTCGCGGCGACAACATCGCTGCCATACCTGGTGGGTGGGGCGGGTAGTAGATCATGCCACCAGGAGGGTACGGATAGACGAGCGGGGGACCTTGGGGTACTGGTACGCCACCATTCGCGCCGTTGGCCTCCGGGTGGGTGCCGTCGGGCGGCGCGTAGGCAAAGAAGTGCGGCTGATACGCTCCTGGGGGTGCTGGCGGAGGCGGGAAGGTCCCCCCGGTGAAATGAGGGTTGGGGTACGCAACCATCGGCGGCGGATATGGCTGATCTTGGGGCGTCGCCGCCTTCGGTTGTTCCGTGGTCATCGTCGATTCTGCCCACTGGACGCTACGCAAAGGGTACCCGACGGGCGCAAACGATCTGCCATGATTTGGATTAGATTTGGGAGCAGGATACGGGCGACCGCCTTGGGAGCGGAGGCAAGGAAAGGCTCACTCCGACTTAAACTGCGATGAGTGTCCGACTCGTCGCCGCTCAGAAACTATCTCTGACCCGATTTTTGGCTGATGTCGGCTCTGCAACCGATGTGAAGGCGCGTGAAGGCCGAATTATCCAGAAACTTGAGCGCAGAGGGAGAAAAAGCTGGCTGGCGTCGAAGTTGTACACGACACGGTGGTGAAAGTCTGCAAGCCGTTCAGCGTGCGAACAAACTTTAATTCAGCACCTGCGGCACAAATCCGGCGACGGCCCTCGATGCTACATCATGAACATTGTTGGATTCTGGTGATTGCGTGGAATTGTAGGTGTCCTTGAATGTGGGAGGACACAAAGGTGATGCTGTTGCCACAAAGTGACTGTTGTAATTCTCCGCCAGAACTGACTGGACTCCGCTCAGATAGTGAATGAAAAGTATAAAATTGCGACGGTTACTGCGACATGTCGTCGTTAATTGTCCCCCACGAACAACTTGTCGACGGTCAAAAAATACCCAACGACATAGCGAACGTGGATCCGCGTTCACCGGACATCTCAAGACCAGTGACTCTTCAAAAGTCCGCGATGATATTGTTGATTGAACCCGACAGCTTCTCCACGCCCGAGGCTCAAATTCTGCCGTATACGCCGTATCGCCGGCCCCTTCCAAGCCACTAGACAACTATTGCAATCTTCCTCTGATGTAGACTGCGAGGGATTTGAACATCCCCCACGCCGCAAAAAACCTTGGCGTTCGAAAGCCTCATGCGCATTATCTGCGGGGAATCTGGACATCGATCAGGGTGTCGCCGAGAAGGAAAGCATGCACTTGGGTTGTGAACCCAAACAATTAGTGATTCCATAATCCAGTCCACCCTCGCGCCACTGCTTCGGGGGATACCTACGGCAGGGTCTACGGAGACGACTGACTCCCTCCACGGTTCTTGGGGTCGTTACGGAAGAAGTGACTCGAACAATTACAGTAAGTCGTACAGCTAGATGCTTTTAGCTCCCCTTCGGCTGGACTCCCTCAGACGATGTAGAGACCTAGAGAGTATTAGATCGGATTAACCCAGACGATGAATAACGAGCAGCAAACCCAAGTTACCATTCAGATCCGCCAAATGACACGTATCTCGATATCCCAGCGTTCGATTCGCCGCGTGTCTGGGACTGTATATCAGCATTTTCTCCATCTCGAATCGACGAATCTGCTTCCGGGATGCAGCAAATCCGTCGTCGTAGTGCGCCGCTACACCTGCTCAGCTCCGGGCGCTCAAACGATGAAATTGCCTGGCCCAATCACGACGACCGTTTGAGAGACCCCTTGGTCCACCTGAATCTCCTCTGCGGATTCATTTCGGTTCCCTTTGGTTTTCAGTATTGGGCCGACCTGTCCTCATTGAAACGCCTTGCCGTAGAATAATTTGGAGCCATCGACGTTGTAGCACTTACGAGCTTAATTTGCCATTCTAGGATGGCTTAGTACCTATCAATGATTCGCAGTTTACTGTCTGGCGCAGGAGAAGCAGTGTCCTAGAAGGGTTGGAACGAATGCCATATAAGCTCTTGTAGCAAGACAAAGGCAAGATTTGCCCGGGCTGACTGAGCGCGCCATATATTCACCACCTCGCTTCCTGAGTTAGCAGAACAGCCCACCTCAGCAGAAACGGCCATGTCAGCGTTCTTTGCGATTCGTGCGGGTTGGAGCATGTAGATAGGGCGGGGACGCATGTTGCAGAAGCCTAATCCAGTGGTCAGTTTCTGTTAGCATTCACGGCAACCGTCTGGGATACTTGATCGATGTACTCACCTCGAATTGGTGGTTCTCCCTGCGTCCGCGGTTGATATTGAACCTCCTTCGTAAGAACCTTGGACCTCATAAAATGCCTGGACTGAACGACGCATTGTAACAACGACGAACAGGTTAAGTGCCAGTTGAAGTACATAGCAAGTAACGAAGTAGAAGTGCCGTCACAGTGCCTGTCGCTCAGGTTGACCGAGCAAGCCATGCACTTCAGGTATACTGTACTGGCTGCCTCAGCTTCTTGAGCAAGTAGGGCTGTTGGGCATGGCAGAGGCGGCTGGGCGACAATAACGCTAGTGGAAGAGCGACAACTGTGCCATACAAGGATGGGATTGACTACATTTGAGGGGCCCAACCCCTACGCATGTCGTCGCGCTCGTCTGGCAGGAGGAGGATCGAGGACGGCCGATAGAGAAATGAGAAGCTGACTGTATCATATCAGTGGCATGGTTTCGTGGAATTAAGGGAGGTTCTCGTTAACACTGGGGCTTCAGCAGCCTTGCCGATTCAGGCCGAACTTTGACCATGAGTGTACCATTGGGTGCTTCAACATTTACGTATACGATCAGCAGCACATCGCCGCCATTGGCAGCGTGTCGCTCCAAACTCGACAATGGCGTTCGCGGAGAATATCGTTGTGACTAGTACTCGAGTCCTAATACCGTGAAGTTAGCCATCTTCCAGCAAAGCCGCGGGGAGAATCTACACACTAGTCTCTCCGGCAGTTGTGGCTCCATACTACGCGAGAATGGCCAGCAACCAGTCAAATGTAACGGGTTTGTAGGTTCAAACAATTGGTGATTTTCGCGTAACTTCCGAATCAGCGACTTGTGCCGACGCCTGCAGGCAGATTTACATAGTATGCACGTACAATGTGCACACGACCACAACCACACCCTCGCGTTGATGGAAAGTTGTGGTAGCTAGCCAATGATATGTCGAAGAGAATGTGGTGGGCCTCGGCCAGGCACTACAGGGCTCCTATCTCGGACAGTCACGTGATGCTGTACCTCTAGTGGCCCAACTTCCACCCGTCACTTGAACTGGAACTAGTGGGACGGCCAACGTTTCGACTGTTCCCCTCATCTATCTCCACGACGGTATTGCGCACAGCAATTACAGATCATCGGTTTCATTTTTCGGCCAAGAAGTTGTCAATACGCGGTTGATTGCACTGCATCTTCATTCCCGTTCCTTCGGACCCTCGCTGGTTACTTGGGACCTTTCGACCGGGCCAGAAAATAGCGTGTTGGGGAACTGGCATCGACCATGACACGAGAGGCCGACTTCATGGCTACATCCGGAGACGAGCTCATGGGTGGACACTCGAACAGCGGGTGTTCGGACGATGGTGCGAACGAGCTGCCACCTCGCCCGACGAGCCGGCTTGGCTTCAATGGCTCGGACGATGAAGACGACGACGACGACGACGACGACGTTGAGCCCCAGAGAAATCGTGCGGGGAGCGTGTTCGAGTGGACCCTGGGATTGTTTACGGCAACCCAAACCAACCCCGACAACGATGGTGATGCCAATTTAGACAGCTCTGATTCAGACGAAGAAGACGCCGGCGCCGACTACGGAAGTGAGCTCTTGTTGTTCCCCCCACCGCCTAGACCTTCACTTGAACGGTCCCCTCCACCTGAATACTGTCCCCCTCAACCCATGCAGTTCGACGAGGTCGCTCACTTTTCTTGTCTTCCGTCTCCCCTCTCTCCGTGCTACCTGGTGGAACCTTATCCATCGAGACCGAAATCCCCCGTCCTTCCACGCCATGACCATCGCCACCACGGTCGCTCTCACAACGCCCTGCTTCATTTCAAATGGTTCTGGTCCATGCGAGAGGAAGAGTGGCAAGACCACGAGCTAGACGCCCAGGAAGCGGACAAGCTCAGCAGATCCCCTACGACACGACAATCCCTACCGTCGTTGACCAAGACCAGCTTCCAGAAGTCAAAAAAATTAAAACAGGCTTCGCGCTTCTCACCTCTATCTATTCATCCCCGGCGCGGCGATGTCCTCGCCCTCCGTGATCCCTACTGTGCGCTTGTTGATAGATGCTTCGCAGAATTACCCATGTGGACAATGGCGAAGACGCTTTGGATGTTCGACTTACAAATGGGCCTCGAGATATCGTCCCATCGTAAGTCAGACTCGGATTCTAGTGATGATTCAGAGTATAGCGCCGGCTGCGCTATCAGGACTAGAGACGCACGAGCTCTGTCAACATCAAGCGGAGCCAGTGACGACTCCGATGTCACACTCGTCGAAAGCGATATCGATGTAGATGAAGACATGGAGCCAGTTGAGGAAACGACTCTCAACGAGATGGCAGACACGAGCGTATCCGTGGAAAGTCCTCCAGATGCCTTTTTATCTGCCGAGACATCCTCCAGCAAAGGCCGAGATGCTAGCGACGACATTATTCACAAACCACACCCACCCTCATCCCCGAAATCCTCTCCGAAATCCTCCAGAGTCTCGTTATCCTCACACACTAAGTCACGTTTCGCGTCACGGCCTCCGTATTTCAACCCGAGCTTCCCTTCCGTTGCTCGCTCCCTTGGGTACCATCATAAATCACGTAGCATGGGCTGGGAAACGGACTGGTACCGTCGGTGGGATTTGTTGACCGATATCATCCGGCTCGACCGAGACTATTCTTCGCGGCAGTCGGCTTCTCCTAAAGCGAGTTGCTCGTCGTTGAGCGACACGTCGCGGCGGTTCTTCTTCGCTGTTGACGATGAAGGGGACGAAGATAGATCGTTTCGTACGGTATCCTAAACCTTCTCACCCAATCTCTTCTGCGATCTACCCAGTTATTTGGCAGCTCCATTTCCTATCTATACGTTTGACTACGACCATATCGGTTGTGACTACACTCCGCACACGTATTTCCTCACGGACTCTTCATTGTGCATGTCATCTTTCTCCACCACTGCCACCTACCCTCACCCCATGGAAGAATTGTATTAATAGTAATTATATTTCTCCTTAATTTACCGTCACGTTCTCAACGTGCTTCCCTTTCCTATTCACATCCCTACTACTGTCCATTATTACCCATGTTCGCCTCATACCACACATACAGCCACCTGTTGTTACATTATTATTTTTGCATTATTAGTCGTACGTATTTCTATCTATGGATCCGACCTCACAACCCGGCATTCAACGTATACTTACGAAGATTGCCCCTGCAATCTGATCTGGAAGATTGACCTCGTCGGGTTCCTATTGTCATCCAGATCTGCATAGCACACCACGATGGCATCATTGGAATAAGTCTCTCCACTGTCCGAAGCCGATGATTTTCACGAGGGAGCGTACTCCGTTCGTTACCGAGTTGGTCGCACAGTAGCCTTCCCAAGGCCGAGTCTCGATAAGAGGGGGTCATGAGGATATGTTTTCAAGCCCTTTATAACCGACCATGGATGCTCGAGTTCAAACGTACTAACTACCTCGACCTCCTAACCTCTTGATCAAGAGATCATCGATCATCGACCATGGCGAACACTGTAAGCGCGCCTGCTGTAGGCATTCCATATTTCACGCCAGCGCAATATTCCCCCGCTGGCTCTGCTGTCGTCCCCCAGCCTTCTGGGGCTGCTATTCCCACCCTCTTCCAGCCTATCAAGATTCGTGGTGTCGAATTCCATAACAGGATTTTTGTATGTGGATAGATTCACCCGCTCTGTGACGTTCATTTACTGAGTAGCGGGTTTGATTGTAGCTTTCCCCACTCTGCCAATACTCGGCGGACAATGGGCGTCTCACGGACTGGCATAAAGCTCATCGTCAGTGATTTTCAGAATAGTACGGTTTATCATGATATTGATTTTCTTCGGATGTACAGTCGGCGGGATATTCACTCGTGGTCCAGGGCTGTCTATCATAGAGGCTACTAGCGTGGTACCCGAGGGACGTATCTCACCAGGCGACTCTGGCCTCTGGTCAGACGACCAAATCGCGCCTCTGGCCGAAATCGTGCAGTTCGCCCACTCGCAGAATCAGAAGATCGGTATCCAACTCGGTCACGCTGGGCGCAAGGCTTCAACCAATTCGCCTTGGTTGGATGGCCATGTCGCTAGCGCAATCAATGGCGGATGGCCTGATCGGGTCGTTTCTGCGTCCGCTGTTGCGTACAGTAGCTCTTACCCTCAACCGAATGCCATGACGAAGGAAGGCATCCAAGACCTCATTCACGCCTTCGTCGAAGCTGCCAAACGAGCTCTGAAGGCGGGCTTCGATGTCATCGACATTCATGGTGCTCACGGCTACCTCATTCACACATTTTTGAGCCCTGTCTCCAACCACCGCACTGACGAATACGGCGGCAGCTTCGAGAATCGCACTCGGTTGGCTCTAGAGGTCGTGGATGCAGTCAGGGCAGTCATCCCCCCTAGTATGCCCTTATTCTTCAGGTGAGTTCAACATGCGCAGCCACTTATGCAAATCGCTTATGGTTTTCCTAGGATATCTGCGACGGATTGGCTAGAGGAGTCACTGCCTGATCAGCAATCCTGGACGTCTGCCGATACAGTCAGGTTGGCACCCATCTTGGCGGAACACGGCGTCGACCTCCTCGATGTTTCAAGTGGGGGTATGCATCCTAAGCAGAAAATCAGCTCAGAGGGCCCAATGGGAGCGTACCAAGCACCATTCTCAGGCGACGTGAAGAAAGCTCTTGCTAGAGATAGTTCCCTGCTCGTTAGTGCCGTTGGCTCGATAAAAAGCGGTCTCGCAGCGCAGCATCTCCTCGACGCTGGTTTCGCCGACATCGTGTTCGTAGGCAGGCACTTCCAGAAGAATCCTGGGGCCGTATGGGCCTTTGCGGAAGAACTGGGGGTAGATATTAACCTCGCGCATCAAATATCCTGGCCAGTCAAAGGAAGGGGAGGAAGGGGGTCGCTCGTCGCGCACACCAAGTAAGGGAGCTCAGTAGGCCAATCGATTGTACTTATATTAGAACATGAACATGCACTTTATCGCAAGCGAACATTCCCGAATCAAAGGACCCACTCGACCGTTGCGGGCTCAGTTCGGGCTGACTTATCGACATTCCCATGTACGTAGCTGCAAGCTCACAAATGAGGGACTTGGTTTGGACTTGGTGATTGGAAATGTGTGACAGATGATGACTGAGCCAGTGCAGCAAGTATGGCATCATATACTAAAAACGGAAACAGCAACATTGTGGCTTTATAAGCCCAGCCTCTAAAGGTAAACTGGACTCAACTTCTTTCACCACCTTAGCCGTGCACTATGTCGAACACCGTGAACGCTCCCGCAGCCAATGTTTCATATTTTACGCCGGCCCAGTACCCCGTCGCCGGGTCTGCAGTCGATCCCCAACCAAGTGGCGCTGCCATCCCTACACTCTTCAAACCTTTGAAGATTCGCGGAGTCGAATTTCAGAATCGAATTTTTGTACGTTGTTTCTAGCAGATTATCCTCTCCGAGTTTCATAATGAATGATTCTGGGATCCATATAGCTTTCGCCACTGTGCCAGTACTCTGCAGAGAACGGCGCCATCACGGCTTGGCATCGCGCGCATCGTGAGCATTTCTTGCGTGGTTGATGGAGATGATCTGATGTGTCTCGTTATCAGTTGGCGGCATATTTACCCGTGGCCCCGGGTTGACGTTCGTGGAGGCTACCGCTGTTGTCCCAGAGGGACGCATTACCCCGGAAGACGTTGGAATTTGGTCTGATGACCATATCAAACCTTTCGCAGAGCTCGTAGAGTTTGCCCACTCTCAGAACCAGAAGATTGCCATTCAGCTCGCCCATGCTGGCCGTAAAGGGTCGACCGTAGCACCGTGGCTAAACAGCGACAGCACAGCTGACGAAGCTCACGGCGGATGGCCGGACAATGTTGTAGGGCCCTCCGACATTCCGTTCAGCGACACGTATCCGACACCGAAAGCTCTTACGAAGGAAGGCATCCGCAACGTCGTCAATGCATTTGCTAAAGCAGCAAAGCGAGCTGTTAGAGCTGGCTTCGACGTGATTGAGATCCATAACGCCCATGGTTATCTTCTTCACTCGTTCGTCAGCCCTGTCTCGAACAACCGCACCGATGAATACGGAGGTAGCTTCGAAAATCGCACCCGCCTTACCCTCGAGATTGTGGATGCCGTCAGGGCAGTGATCCCACCCACAATGCCCCTTTTCTTGAGGCGAGTCCCTTTGGCGCTTCATCGTAGGCTAACATCTAACAATCATATATAGGATTTCCGGTTCTGACTGGCTTGAAGAGTCTATGCCAGACCGTGCATCGTGGACGTCGTCCGAAACGGTCAAGCTGGCGAAAGTGCTTGCTACGCGAGGCGTTGATCTCTTGGACGTATCCAGCGGTGGCCTGCACCCTTCGCAGAAAATTAACATCAACCCGTCGCAGCCCTACCAGGTACACTTCTCTGAAGCCGTGAAGAAGGCCTTGCCAGCAAATAGCCCTCTGTTAGTCGGCGCCGTTGGATCCATCAAAGACGGTCGCACCGCTCAGTCTGTTCTTGAAGCAGGACAAGCCGATGTCATTTTCGTTGGAAGACAATTCCAGAAGAATCCTGGCACAGTTTGGGCGTTCGCTGAGGACCTTGGGGTTGATGTCAACCTAGCTCACCAGATATCATGGGGATTCAAAGGTAGAGGCGGGAAGAGATCACTCGTCACCAAAGAATCAAAGATGTAATACCATTGAACAATTCGTGGTGTATAGGCAGAAACTTCCATGTAGATGTATGAACATAGATGTCGTAGCTCGTTAAAATCCTCGAAGCAACGCGCCTCGGGCGCAAGAAAGGCATTTACAGGAGTCGGCGCTATAGCCAAGTGGTTACGGCGACAGATTAGAATCGGTCACCGAATCATCTGTTCCTCTTTGAGGGCGCAGGTTCAAATCCTGCTGGCGTCGTTATATTTTCGTTCTGGGCTTCACTCTTTTTCTTCTGTGAAGTTTTTGCTCGCTAGGTATGCTTCCTCTTGACGGCACAGCAAGGGCCAAGCGTTCAAATACTTCAAGGCGCTATAGCCAAGTGGTTACGGCGACAGATTAGAATCGATCATCGAATCATCTGTTCCTCTTTGAGGGCGCAGGTTCAAATCCTGCTGGCGTCGCTGAGCTGTTTTACTGAGCTTTTTTCCTTTCATCATAAATAGCTTCGTTCTCTCCCAAATACATCCTCCCTCCCGGGGAACCTTTTTTGTTGAGCCAGATCACATACAGCCTACATATCATCCCCCAGGTACGGGAGTTTATTTACAGACTGCGTAGTCATCTCATACGAGTCCTGTGCCGCAGCCTCTACACCGCCGCCCGATCGCTTTTGAGAATTCCTGCACTCAGTATCCGTGATCACACTTGTGTGATGCCACATACCACTGGCTCTCTGATTGTTCCCTTCACGAAAACGCGCGCGGCACTGAAACCCCCCATGCCTTGACGACCCGTGTATAGCGTCGGCTCCGAAGCTGAGAGCTCAGTAGCACCAGCAGGGTTGAGCTCATTCCGGATGAATTGCCGCGAGTTGAGCCTAGGAATCAATTGAGTTTGACCACGGGGGTATAAGGAACTCCACAAACGATGCTAGCAGAGCGTTACAGTATACTGTGAGAACCCAAGGCGAGGTCATAAGGGTGGTGTGTTCACGAGAGAGCGTCTCAGCTCACATTTTGGGGTTAGAAACCCAAGTCCGCCGTATATAGTGGATTCCGGGAAAGCGAAGAACTACATGTCATTGTCATTAATGTGTTGAAAACGAAGGGTAAATAGTGTACTCACAGTGACAAGCTCGGAAATCGAGAGCAGCCTGGTTATCGAAGCATCAGTCAGTGCTCGCGTCATTCCGGTGTTGTGAATAGACAAACGTGGTGAGTAGATTTGTGTTGACTATGAATATGATAACGAGAGTAATAACGTGGTCCATTCTGTTATGGCAAAGTCAGATGCATGTTTAGAAAGTTGAATGCGCTGTGGGACCGACTGCTTGACTCCTGATCTTGAACGATAGAGGGTGATGGCTACAGGATTGTGATTAGTATTGCGACCACCGTATATTTCAAGGCGCGCGAACTCATGGCAAACGTGATGGCTATGTCGAATAGTACTCGACTTGAAGCAGCGAGCGTATACGCGAGCTATGGTGGAGGATAAGTAATTGAAACCAGGCGTCGACGCTGGTAAAATATGTACGGTAAAGTCGGGTGTGTTTACACGGTTGAAACCCTTAACGGCCAGATCTACGGCCAGAGAATATTTGAGTATCTTCTTCGGCGGGTCGCAGACATTGTTCTCACCAATATAATATCCTGTGAAACGAAGACAATCAACATCCGTTTAAAGCCCTTTAACTCGAGCCTACCGAAAGAAAACAGGGCTAATATCACCTACATCGACTGAGTTTAGTAAAAATATCTGATATACCGAAGGCTGACTTACGGTCAGAGTTGAGATGATAACTCTCAGTGGGACGCGAAAGGACCTTCTGGAAATCATCCAAACCCTCCACGAGAAAAATCTAGCGATTGCGATTAGTGGCGTCGACAAATATCAATCAGTAACTCACAACTGGGTGAGTAGGATGCCGCAACTCTATAAACATTCAAGTTGTGTTTAGTCACTGTGGCTGGAGTGTGAATGTAACGTACCCCCGCTATTAATTGGGCCTATTTTATATCAGCTACCAGGATGAGGGAGCACAGTGGGGATCACATACAAATGTAAAGCTAGATGAGAACATATCAGTATCAGCGGTAGACGGCGGGTTAATCTCGCGTACGCCTCACCGCTGGCGACGCCTCCGGAAGCCAGAGCAAACGGATTCATAAAGTCCGACACCAAGAACTTGTACATCGTTGCTGTCATCATGGCCTGCTGCACTGTATCCACGACCTATGGTTGTACGGTATCATGTTATCTGCGTCGAGATTCTATTGAATCTCGAATGCTCACACTAGGAAATTGCGATGGTGAATATGTGCGGAAGAATAAGAATTTGACTCGGCGCACAAGATGAAGGATATCGACAACCTGGTCCACTGGCTATCTTGTCTCGTGCGGTAGGAAGTGATGTATATGAAGATCTGTAAGCAAAGAATTCCATACAATCTAGGAGCAAGTGGCGTTAATAAGAATTTGTGATACTAAAGATACAGAGTGCGACCCACATCGTAGCCAGACTCGAACCAATGAACAATGCGCCTAACGTGTTGTCGAATGCCAAAATTGCAGCACCCGGAACTGGAATGGGGGAATTAGACTCGACTCTAGGGGTAAGATCCACTGCGGCCGGGACGAGACTTGGAGACATGTTGCTTCAAACGAGTGCGAGGTTCTCTTGGGGAAAGGCAAGTGGAGGAGGAACAGCCTTTATTTATATAGATGCGACCGATGTGAGGTTCGATCTCCGAGTAACAGAGATAGTCCAGTGAAAAGGAGGAATGTCATGACTTCTTTGGGCACCATGAGTCACGAACGAGAGCAATACGCCGTTAGCTGATGCACAATGTATCAATCGCGATTTGACCGTCGTTGGCGGATTGATCAGAATGCGATGAAGAGGTAAGAAAGTTGCCATAGTGAGAGCGGTTCGTTACTGAGGCTTTTCTGTGGAAGATTGAAAACTGTTGAGGTAAAGGTCGTATAGATCTGATATTGTCATCGACTCTGATGCGCCTACCACAGCTGTATGCAAGCTGTACGAGTGTGCGACCGTCAGCTCAATTTTCCCCTGCTTGATCTTTGGGGCGGATGCAATCGTGAAAGTTAAGTAACGTACCCGACTCTACTTGATTGAAACCGATCCCGCATGATGATCTGGCGAACGCCGATAAATGCGTAATTGGGCCGGGATGCAGTGGACATCCCCGGAAGGGACAAGCACAGTACCCCAAACTCGTGTGAATGTGCTTCATGTTTTGGTATGCTAGGTGGTAGTGGTGTAGCGTTTTGGTAGCTGTCGAAGCCTCTGAGTTGAGCGCTCATCGATATTCTCCATGTGCCTGGATGATCCATCGGTTCTGCCCACGGCCTCTGCACTTTTGGGCAATATAGAAGAACAAACCTTTAACACACCTCTAGAAGGCACCAATTTGGGTCTGCAACAGCGCGCGGCAACTTCTGAACAGAATCCTGAGGACAGATACGAGAAAAGTAAGAGGTTAATAACTTCGTGTTCTGCGACGTCGACCAGACGTGTCGAGGTATCCATACAACATACCCAAAACAATGATCCATCTCTTTCCAAGCCCAAACATTGAAGTTTTTGGCATGCAACTCCAAGATGGAGTTCTTTGTGAACACTGCCCCAGCCGCCGACACGGAACACTACTTATTTTAGATTGAGTTACCAAAGTCTGAGTTTTAGGATGAGTCGTCTTGCATATGGTGACTGAATCATCGTCTTCGGTGAGCGTCTAAGCTGTCAGTGGTTCATGCAGAGGTAGTGTCACGCCGTCACGCTAATGAAGTGACTGTGATAGAACTCAGAAACCGCCTTTACCTCAGCATCTAGAAAAAACAGTAGTGTCCCACTGAAGAAGATACTTTAAGTCTCGCTCATAAGAGTCTGATAAATATATTCCACCCGGGAGACACGAGACCTTTTCTCGAGACATCAATCAATCCAGTGACTTTAGCGGGAAGAATTACTGTATATGGCAGTTGTGCTCGGGATTGGTACATATTTACCAGTATTTACCCATGTGGGCGCCGATTTCTTACGACGCGAAGTCAGCATTTCTACTGCTTTAGGCAAATTTTTGCTGCGAATTGCTTTGACCGCCAATCCACCAATCCTCCAGCGCGTCGGGGGTATATAGCCTCAGGCTCATACCATGCACTCACTCACCGTACTCCCCGTATCACCGCCTCCACACTCAAGCGGCCTGTCCAGTCAACTTCGTCCTCTCTCAAATGTTCTTCTCGACGCAAAGCTCCACGCAGCCGCAAGCATCTGGCTCAATGTCGCTCCCACTCCCAGCCACCACACGCACCTCTCCCTCCCCCACTACCAGCCCCATTGACGACTTCTTCGGCAGCACACGCGGAAGCAGGCATGACCGCCGCTTCTCTGTCTCTTCCAACAAGGAAGACGACCTCCCATCGTACTCGGACGTCGAGGCTCTCGCTCCTCCGTCATACTCTCAAAGAGGGCACAAGGAGCCTGTCACTCTCGCCATGTATCTATTTAAATTTGGATTTTGTGAGTACTCGCCTCTTTTTACATACAAAAAAACTCCTTCTCATCGTTCTTTTTCCAGTGTTCCCGCCATTCTGGATACTTGGAGCTCTTATCCTTGTATCAGACCTGCGTTCTCCTGACGCCGAAGAGTCCTCGCTCCCATCATCGAACGGCTCCGATGCCGGGCACCTCTCTTGGCTCCCGGACAAAACCCCGGCTGAGCGCGCGGCTATCGTTCAACAGATCCGCAATGCGGAGGTGAAGTGGGCAAAGAGATGTCTTGCGGCACTTGGTTTCCTGTGTGCGCTCGGTCTAGCTGTAGGCCTTGCCATCGGGTTCGCCTTGAAGCAATGATCATACCCCCCCAGCGCTACCACACGACAGCAACCATGTCTCACGACCTTTTCAAAAATCTCGCGCGCACGCGTCGAACCAAACCTATTATTGTCTTTCTCGGTGCTCCTCGAATCGCAATGCACTGTATTCATCTTATCATTATTTGTTTTTACTTAGAGAACACGGCAGGAAACCCAAATGTATTTTTATCTTGTATCATAACTTCAACATACCTTATATCGATAACAAATTGCCTTCCCGACATTATTCCATTGACGAGCGACCATGATTGATTCCAAGGGCACTACTAAGCAAAACTTCGACTCGAGCTTGACGAAATGGTGTACAATCAAACTAATCTGTGAGGCATGTGAGGTAGCATTATCATTAGTCTTTACGTTTGCGTGACTTGGCTGGAGCGTTGTCGGCCCGCTGGAAAGGAAGTAAAATACATAGAGCCCACATAGAGTATACGAGCACACCTTGCGGCGAGTATTGCCTTCCTTCTGTACTGTGGTCTTCTGCTTTACGTCGGCGAAGCAATGAACGAAGAAGATAACGGAATAAAAGAATGAGTTATTACCAAGCGCCTTGTTGGTTTTGGAGGATGTTCCGGAGAGGATGATTCAATTGGCGACTCCGGGCGGGCGTGTTTGCCGAGCTTACTCTTCACCTGCTTAGAAGACGGGACGTCGTCATCGAAGTCAGAGAGATCCGAAAGGATAGCGTCCAAGTGGCTGAATCCCGGCGCGCTGGATCCAGGTGCTGCTAAATCTTGCTCGGGGGGACCAGTCCGAGGGGGTTGTGAGTTCTTAAGGCCAGTATTTCTCCGAGTTCTCCGAGATGCCAATGACATAGGCAGTGATGATACGTCCTGGGAGGTTCCTATGGGTATTGTATCAAAGAAAGCCGCTGTAGAGGTTACGTCCATCTTCGAGCCTTGAGGGAGATCCACAGTTGTAGAGGCATTGTTCGTCATCCTAGGGTCGATGCCCACCTCTTCTTTCGCGGTGTCAACATTCATACCGTCGCCCTTCAAGTACGGAATAATCAAGCGCTATGAAATGAAAGGACGGAATCGTGTACATACAGTCGCAGGACTTGATAACACCCAGGTTTTGATATTGATGATGGAATCGGCAGTATCCATACCCCGCACTTCAGGATCCTTACTTTGGAGGCGACGGGCCAGAGTAGATTCCAGCACAGCGACTTTGGTTTGCAGGGACTGGATAGTATTCTCACGCTGACACCGTAAGCCAACAATAGTTCCAGAAAGGGGTGCAGAGATAAGAAGGGGACATACCCGCCGGAGTTCATTACCTTTCGAAACGAGGTCATCCTCGTGAACGCCACGGGCCTGTTGTAGCAATATATCGACAAAACCTTTCTCTGAATCGTCCTAGAGAATGCTAAATAGAGAATGTAGATGTAGCCAGCCTGCACTCACTAGGGCACCGTCCTGGTAGCGTTGGAATAGGGTACTAGAGCGTCGACTCAAATCAGTGACTATACCTTCCAGTTCTTCGATTCGATTCTGTTGCTTCTGCAATCGAGCTTCCAGTTCTGGGGCAGCCGAGGGTGTTGCAGCCGCAGCTCGTGCATTCGCTAATTCGGACGTAAGACTCTGTATCTTGGCGTCGCTTTCGTTGCATTTGTGCCGTATGGCGACGATTTCGCGTTCGGACGCTTTGGACCGTTGCTCGTGTGCATCAATCAACTTTGAATACAAGGCCTCCTGTTGAGCTAGCTGACGCTCGAGATCGACAGAAGGTTGCCGTTTGATATCGGCATTAGCGATGGCCATAGCATTTTGTTGTCGTTTAATGTCTTCTAGTGCTTTGTTGACTTGGTTTTCTCTAGCTTCGCAGTGTTCCTTCAACGCTACCGCCTCTGTCTGCCATTCGCTCGCAGACAAGGAAACCCTGGTCTTGGGGAAAGGTCGAGCAAGTCTCCGATTCGAACGAAATGCAAACTCACAGTATTCGTGGCTTCCGCAGTGGATAGACGGTCCTAGACAAAAGGTGTCAGCAAACATCATCGTTCTACGAAAATAAGGCGACCTGAAGATGGATGCACTGGTCTTGCGATGCCCGCAGCGCAACGGCCTGGCTATTGAAACGATCTTGTAGAGCCTACGGAGGCGCGTAATATATCAGATATTCGAAAACAGAAATATGTCGAGCCTACCGAGAACTTGGATTCGTAGCTCGACAGACTAAATAAAGCATCACACTGTCAATCTCGCGGCCCGGGGAATGCTGATCGAGTACGTACGCGAGTTCCGCCTTCCGCAGAGATGTATTCGCCGTCTCGAGTGACGATTCAAGCGGTTCAACCCGTCTGGCAGCTTGGGATGATAGTTGTTCACGTATCTGCGCCTGTTTAAGTTCAACATTTGCAGCATCGAACGACGCTTGTCTAGAAGGGGCAGGGAACTGATGTCATAGAGTCAAATAAAAGCCAATATGAAGCTCACATCATCTTTATTTGTCCCTCCAAGAATCTATCTTTGGCTTCAAGGTCGCCCTTCTCCCGTTCTAAGACGCGACACCTTTCCGTGACGGAGGTTGAAATATTGGCGAGTCTGCAAAGAGGGGGTTCACTGGTTTAAGTGAACCAGCTACAGAAGAACTCACTCGTCTTTAGCAGAGGCCATTAACTTCATCTCCAGATTGGAATGTTCGAGTTCACTCTGAGTTGTATTCAATTGCATCTCTAAAGCGCGAAGTCGAGTGGCGGACATGTCGAGATCTGCGAGGTACCTGGAGAGCATATGAGGATTAGTTCCGTCAAAGAAAGCATGCGCAAGTACTTTGTTTTCTCCAAGGATAGGGTGTCACGCTGCGAACGGAGAGAGTTGACCTCGATAGTCAGATCGGACATCTGAGTCTGAATATCCTGATTACGCTGCTCGAGAGTGGAGAGCCGAGAGGAAGCCCTTTTGAGCGGATTCATCAGTAAGACTGCATGTGAGGGGCGAAGGCGACAGATGGACGAACTCTTGGTGAGAAGCATTCAGTGCGGCCATATTTCTATTACTTTCTTCTAGATTTAAAGAAAGTGTGATATTCCTTGAAGGCATGTGAGAATGAGGTGATACCCCGGAGTAGAAAAGCGTACTCCTCTTTAACAGACTCTAGTTCTACCATCTGCATACACTTCTGCTCGAGGTTCCTCGTAAGGGTCTGACATCTATGTAACCCATAAGAAAGATAATCGTGAACACTTTGGACTTCTTACCGCTCTTCAGTGTTTGCGAGTTTTTCTTCTAGTCGAGCAGCATCGGCCAGCGCTTGCATCGTTTCGTGCTCGCGTGCGTCTAGCTTGCTGACCAAAGTCACATTCCTTTCTCCTGCGTGATAGTGAGCCAATGTAGCCTATCATACAAGGCGAAGCCCTTACCGGCTTCCGAGAGCTGCCGTGTCCACAGGTTCAGTTTGCCTTCGTCAGCGATTTGCTTAGCCTCGAAGGCCTTCACTCGTTCGTGGGCATCCGCAAGTTGAGCGCTAAGGAGATGTAGTTTCCCTCGAAGGATTTCGTTGACTTGCCGAGCTGTGTTGGTAGTTAGCGCCCCGACGTTGCGGAGTGATAGATGATGGATACAGTTATCACGGTCGTGCTGCAATTCTGCGATCAAAGCTTTGGTATCTTGGTTTTTAGTCGACATCGCGTCTCCATCTAGTAAAGTCTGCATCGCTAGTGGAAAGGCGGAAGTCAACGAAGGGTCCGTCACAAGTGGGGCTGGATAGACCACCTTTTAAGCCGTTTCCGGCTGTCTTGCGCACATCTTTAACTTCGTGTGTCACTGTCTGAAGGGTGCCATGCATCGCGTCGTACTTCCTCTTCAAATCCTGGAAAACGATCTGTAGATCAGAGAATCTAGAAGATAATTCAGGGAAGAGACCCTTTGGACGTTCATTAACCGAGACGGACCTTTGGTTGCTTTCCTCGACGACCTTCTTTGTCAGTCCTTTCAACGCTTCTAGTTTACTTCTGGCTGTTTGCAGATCGTTCTGGTCCCTCTCAGCGTGAATGTTAGTCATCTGCTTAATTCTGGAGGCCTCTTCTCGTGCGGCCTTCGCCTCAGCCAAACTTGCATCTAGCTCTGACTTCGCGGCCTCCTTTATGCGAGTTAGTTCCAGGCTTTGGGCTTCTTTGCAGCGGGCCAGCTCCTCGCTGTTAAGGCGGTTGGCGTCGGCAAGCGCCTTCACGTGAGCAGCAGCTTCATGCGCGCGTTCGACTGTTAGAGAATCAAGACGCTGATGGAGTTCTTCAATTTCTTGTCGCTATCGTAGGACATAAGTGCATATATGCAACAAAATGATCATGAGACGTTACCTGCTGTCGTATTTCATCCTTATGTTGCTTAAGATGCGATGCGCCTAGCTTCATCGCTCGCGTAAGGGGGTCTTCGGCATCGTATTCGATGTCTTGATCTTGTGAGGCAACATGTGGTGAGGCGGAGTGATTTGAAGGTGGCCGGCGAGCTGGATTTGAAGCCTTCAGTGGTGCAAGATACGCGTTATTCGAGGGGAGAGCCGCGCCAGGGGACAAATCCGTGCCAGCTCTGGGCATATTGTCGTCTACGCAGCGTCAAGCGAGTATTAGATAAGGGGAATATGCAATACTTACGGTGATGTTCATTATAATCAACCATCTTACTAGCATATGCGTTTGTATTCGAGGATGTATGCGCGCCATCGAGGCCAAACATAGCTGGAGCTGCCGACTGGTTAGTCCGCCTGGCTTGGAGAGCGAAAGGTTGTCGCCGAGTATTCCATACAGGGGAAGCACCGAATCGCTTGGTTGTCTGTCCATCCATCCGTCCGGAGCCCTCGTTTTCGGTGAGGTCGCGGCTATGCGTCTGTGTATTAGCTAAAGAGAACAGCTTGAACGGTGGGTTGGGTTGGGTTGGATGAGGTCTGTTCCCAACGACATGCTTGCTCCCAAGCTTGAGGGTAGGGATATTTGAGATCGGGACATCAGGAGGGTCGGAATCCATGATTTTCCAAGAGTTATCCAAGAAGATGGTAAGGAAGATGAGAGTCACCGAGATGGTGGTCGAGAAAGAAGCAAGAAAGGATGCAGCATTCGCATCACAGCGGGAACTTGGGTGTCTACTTCCAAGTACCCCTTTCCACGTGATCGCATATCCACCCGCTGTTTTCCAGTCACGAAATTGCCAAACAAAGGCTCCGCGAAATGTCGAAACGTGAGCGCAAATTTTGCAAACATCTCTTTCTCACTTACCTTCATCTTCCGTCGGTTTTAAAATGTCTGCTACTCGAGCTCTCCGTCAACTCGTTTCTGTCTCTACCCGGCGCACTTTCACTAGTGCGCCCCGCGTCGTTGCCACGGCTTTTCGTTTCGTTCCGTCAGCTAGTGCTCCCGTGAGGTCGTTTAGCTCGTCCACGCGGAGACTCGGTGAGGGTGCTAGTGAGTATTCGTCATCTTTGTACTCCATTGACTGGTTGAAACTGATTATCTGCACTCAGCCGACCTAAGCCTTGCCCAGAAGTTGCAAGAGGAGTTGAAATACGAGAAGGAAGCTGCTAATGCTTCGCCCGAGGTTCCGGAGTTTCTCAAAACTTTCAAATCCCAGGGTGTTTGGCAGGTGGGCAGGCTTATCTTTTCTGTATGATTGCGCTAAGCTCTCCCTCGCCTCTAGATTGAGGATACGGCCGGAAGTGACGAAGTTGCCCTCACTCGGAAATTCGGCAATGAAAAGTACGAATGATCATTACTAGTTATGAATGATGACGCTAATATAGGTCCATCACAGTGTCCGCATGATCTTTTCAATTGCAGATATCGTGGCAGAGGACGAAGAAGCCGACTTCAATGAAGGCGAAGAAGCTGCAGGGCAGGAGGGCGAGGACTCTGAAGACCCTCTTCACTCCTACCCCATTCGGGCTTCATTGAGTATAACCAAGGTTAGTCCTCTAGCCTCGGACTTGAATGGATCCTTTTATCGACCATCATGATAGACAAACGGTCCCGGTGCTCTTAATGTGGACATGATGTGCCAGGATGGCCACTTCATTATTGATAGCATCTCGTTCTACCGGGACTCACAACTTGGTACGGAGTTGACTGCGGAGGCTGATTGGAAACGTCGAGGTCTATATATCGGCCCTCAGGTGAGTTCTAAGATTATCATCCATCATAGTCTAGGGTGTGGAGGAATATTTTTGGCGTCCTGGCCTAATGGAAGACTAGTGTGGCCCCCGTGCGTCATTATCTTGCGGTGTATGATGGAGAGGTGTCGGTCATGGAGGTCGCTCGCACCACAGACACCATGAAGGGTGTAAGGAGGGCCTGCTCTTATACCCTCCATGCTTCCATCGTCGCTGTCCAGCCGTGCATCGGGCTGCGCGCATCGGCCATTGCATTGAGTCTCCTCGGCTAGTGCACTATGCTCGATCCGTTGGTCTTGTGCCGGTTTCGCATCGCCACGGCCTAGTCCTGTTCCTCATCGTTTCGCCCTAGTCGATCTGTGCATTAGTTTCTTACGCGAGTGGTATCGTCTGACCGCTTATTGCAGTTCGAAAGCCTGGATGTCTCCGTGCAAGAAGAGTTTGAGAAGTTCCTCCAGGAGCGTGGCGTCAATGAAAGCCTAGCATTATTCATTCCTGAATATGCCGAGCATAAGGAGCAACTGGTGAGGCGTCTTCCATAACAAGTTGTTGCTATACCCTTTTCGTCATTTCTGACGGCGCCCTTTGTATACAGGAATACGTCCAATGGTTGGAGAGTGTCAAGTCTTTCGTGGACCTTTGAACACTTGTTATGTTGCTACGGACGGTTGACGGGATCTACGACGACGCTTCATTCAAAAATGACATGCTTGCCTATTAGATGTCGGTTATGTACCTGACCATGTTATTACATACCTTAATACACCCACTCAGTCATATTGAACGTTCTGAGCAAGCAGTCCCCGGTTGCTGACAGGGAGCAGTGTGTGGCAAACCAGGTCACGTTGCCGCTTCGGTGACTGGGCTCAGGCTTCCACTGCTTTCTCCGATTTGCGAGCTCGCCTCCGTGTCCCTCTCCAAGTTCCCAGAGCCTGCGCTCGAGTATGCGAGGGTATTTTGGAAAGCCGGGGAACGTTCCCGAACTAGTTCAGATTGCGTGGCGTATCTGTGATAACTGCGGAGTTGCGCAACCCCTACGTGTTCGACTAGGACACCTTGAATGCATGGCTTACTAACCAGAAAAGCATCACAACGACCCGCAGGCTGTGATGGTTAGCCTGGTTCTTCGTGATCTGCTGTTTTTCTGGCGCGGAAGGGACGGCTGTACCTGCTTTTGTATAAAGTACCCTGCCTGTCTACCGAAATCAGCCAGATTCCCCAGTTCGAGTCTTCCATCGTCCCTTGAAGCTCCCAGCCACTTAAGCCAGTCCAATGTCTTCTACTCGCTCTTCATCCCCCTCAGAGGCCTCCTTCGCTTCCTTCTCCTCTTTCTCCTCAGGCCTTTACGTGCCTGTGCATAAGCGTGGACGAAGCGCAAGCGGAAGCAGTTTCACTTCAACGGCTACAAGTTGGAGATCGCGCTCCCCAGCGTGCTCTGAACGATCAATGTGCCAGGAGCCAGAACTCGTGGTTTCTCAACCAGAACCTGGTATGTTTTTATCCCGTTCTGGCGCCACGGAAAGCAGCTAAATAAGGAACATAACAGAAGTCGTCGTCGAGCCTTCTCGATTCTACACCGTCGATTTCTTAATCTCTCTTGCTCCGTCCCCCCTCTCCCGCATCTCCCCCGAGACTCGCGAAGTGCTCCGGGCCAATGTTCCTCAAATTGTGATGAACAGGCGCCAGCGCAAGTACAACGAGTTCTTCAACGGCATGGGATTGAAGGAGGGTGCCGGCGCTGCGAAGAAGGAGGCAGTCAAGGCCAAGGCTACCGGAAAGGACACTTCTGCAAAGAAGCCCGCCACTTCCGCTGAGGGCAACACCAAGACGTCGAAAGGACGTCAAAACACTGGCAAGAAGGCGACTGGCAATGCCAAGACTCAGTCAACCGGCCCCGCCAAGGCTCCTGTCAACGCGCCTGCCCCTCGAGTCTCCCCCCTGTCTTTCTCCGCCGCCGCCAAGGCTTCCACCGGTGGAGCTGCCAACATCCTCGCTCCTGTCAATGGAACCAGCTGGAGGGGCAGAGCCATCCGTGGCCCGTCCCCCGCAGCCGGATTCACTATCCGGGTACCGATCGCTGCTGCGTGATTCCACTGTTACCAATAACTTGCATTTTCGTTTACCTCTTCGGTTCGATTCGACATCCATCACGCACATATCCAATCACACATAGCATCGGTACGGTAACTTACTAGATACGTTTATCCTGCTTGGCGGCAGATGTACTATTATTCGCATCACTACTGCATGGTTCTCTTATTACTTTACATGGGTTCATGACTTGCATATTATCTTCCAACCCCAACCACTCGCATTACAACAAAACAACATTTATGTACCTCATTCACATCACGCTCGTTTGTACATCTTACTGTACTGTATTACTTGTTTCAATTATCTCTTGGCTAGGACTTCCCATTTATTTGACAGCCAGTGCTTCTTTGACGATTCATGATAATGATGATGGTTTTCTACGACCCAATAACGTGCCATCCATGCTTCGTGCATCGCAGTGAGGCTTGATATTTCATCAGGACTTAGCAAGCGTGCCCATGAGAGTGAGAAGGTAATGGCGCAATATTGCCATTGCTACTTTTCCCGTCATTTAGCCGTCGCACTGTCTAGACTTGACGCCCAGAGTACGCAAGGTTCTACGGATATAAAACCTAGTCTCTTGTACAGTCACCTTGCCATAGACGGCTATTCGGATGTTCCAAAACTTATGCATGGGGCGCCCCATGAAGCCCTGCCGGGATAAGAGGCTGAGGAGGAAAGATCAATTAGGCGGCGGTGGCTCGCAATCCAGGCTCCACACGGTGACTTTAAAACGTACAACGGCAGTAGGTAGCCCGGGAGTGAGGTTAGCCACCGAGATTCTCGGATATGGACCCCTTGGCTTCAGCAAGGAATTCGTGGGCAGCAGGCGGCAGCATCGTGGCAGTAAGACTAGACAGACGTGTAGCCCAGGAGGATGATCGGACGAGTCGATCATGATCACGTTTTGTGATCGGACTGGGAAGCCGCCTGGATTGTGGTGGGCCAATTGCCTGGCCTTTCAGATACTCCCAATCGCTACCGTCGTGATCGTGAGCACCGCATGGGTGCTGCGCCAGGTGCCAAGTCTGCGCTCAGCCGTTTCCGAAAGCTAGCCAGATGCTCGTAATCGACATTGCGCGCCCCAATCCGGGAGGACGGAAGTGGTACCCGGGATCTGTGCTTTAAATAGCACCTCCCCCGCACCTCAAACAGTCCTCCAGCAATAACCAACTATGGAATTCACTCCTATTAACGAAATCGAAAAGGTTCGTTCATCCGATCTCTCGCATTGCTATCTCGAACTCCCACTGATGGATTTCTTCGATAGATCCACGCTGAGCTTCGTTCCGGTTTTTACTCCGGCAAGCTCAAGTCTATAGCATACCGGAAGTATCAAATCTTGCAGCTTGGATATCTCCTTCAGGACAATGCCCAACGAATTGATGAGGCATTGACCGCAGACTTAGGCAGGCCATCTGTCGAGAACTATTTGTACGTTCGACAGTTTGTTCTACTTCCTAGACTAACATATGCGTATCAGCTTGGAGATTGGCCCATGTATCGGAGAGGCGAAGAAGGTGTACCAGAGTGTCGATAAATGGGCCAAACCAGAGAAGCCGGCCTTCACCTTCAACTTCTTCGCCATGCGACCAGTCATTCGGAAGGAGCCCAAAGGGGTCGTCCTGATCATCAGCCCATTCAATTATCCTTTGTGGCTTACAATCGGTCCAGTGGTACGTAGGCATCTTCCTGCAAGGTTTCATCGCACTTATTTATCCGTTAACAGTTAGGCGCACTCGCTGCTGGTAACGCTGTGGCTATCAAGCCCTCAGAGAACGCGACAGCCGTCAGCGGCCTTCTCACTGAACTGATACCAAAGTACCTCGACAGGGATCTAGTGCGCGTCGTCAATGGCGCCATCCCCGAGACAACGAGGCTACTCGAATTGCAATGGGACCACATCCTTTACACCGGTAGTGGGCGAGTCGGCAAGATTGTTTCCCTGGCTGCGGCGAAGCACCTCACTCCTATCACCCTCGAACTAGGGGGAAAGTCCCCTGTCGTCGTCGACCCGAGCTGCGATTTAGAGACTGCCGCGCGTAGAATCATGTGGGGAAAGATCGTGAATGCAGGACAAACATGCGTGGCTCCCGATTATATCCTTGTCCCCAAGGAGTTCCAAGATACCCTTGCGAACGCCCTCAAAGACGCGTAAGTCACGCAAGCCTCCCGTTGATCGATTTTATCTGACTTCACTCTCAGATACGACAAATTCTTCCCGGAAACAGCTAAGCCATCGACTAACGGCACATATTCCCGCTTGATCACCCCTCAAGCATTCAACCGAGTAAACAAGTTGTTGAAAGGGACACAGGGGACGATCGTCTTTGGCGGTGAAGTGGATGAAGCCACGAAATACATTCAGCCTACAGTCGTTAAAGATGTTCAGGCGAATGATACCCTGATGAGCGAGTAAGTCCAGGGTTTGAGTGTAATCCCACAAACTCAGCCTTTTGTCTAGAGAAATATTTGGCCCTCTTCTGCCCATCGTCCCCGTTAAAGACATAGACGAGGCGATTGCCTTCATTAACGCACGGTGAGGAGCTCGCTTTCGTTGTCTTCGCTCTTCTCATATTCTATTCAGCGATCACCCTCTCGCACTTTACCTATTTGCTACCGACAAAGGTATCAAAGCCAAAGTATTCGACAATACTCAGAGTGGTGCCGCAGTCGCAAATGAATGTGTGATACACCCCGCTGGTACGTAGATCAAGGTATTGTCACCGAACCGGGAGGGGGGACTGACAGTTTTTCTGTCTCTTCTAGTGGAAGGTCTTCCGTTTGGTGGGATAGGACCTAGCGGATGTGAGTAATAATTCGAAGCCTTGTGTAGGTCGTTTTCTGATGACACCTACTACAGCTGGCTGCCACACCGGGAAATTCACATTTGATACATTTACTCACCTGCGCGCCTCAATGGATTCTCCAAGCTGGTATGTGTGCCACCGTCCTCGTCAAGTGAATACAGTCTCACCAATTACCCAGGGTTGACATGATGCTCTCCGCCCGGTACCCACCCTATACTGTAAGTGATTCATCAGCCCTGTGAGGATCCGGCTACTCACTCGACTCTCCATGCCCGCTAGGCTAAGAAAGTAACCGCAGTACGCAAGCTCTCACCATCGAGCCTGCCCAAGCGGCCCAGTGGTCCTCCTCTTCCTATTGTTCATAAACGGTGGGGTCGCTGGCTCTTTGTTGCCGCCGTTATGACTGCTCTAGCAAGTGTTCTAACCAAGAGAACGTAGATCCTAATTGGGTCTTCGTAATCCTTAATTATTGTGTAGATGTTCCAACACGCCGCCCATGAAAGTGAAGTCACACGCTTCACTGCGATCTCGTCTTCTTGATGGATCGTCGGATATCATTAAACCCCGCGCGAATGAGCGCAGATGCCTTTTGTACTATGAACCGGATAGCTAACGATCTCATGATATACCGCTTTCAATACCTACTTAATACCTATCGCTCCCCAGCCTTTATACAATACAACTTCTTAATATACGGCTGCAAATATATGTTAGCTCTTTGAAGCAAATTTACACCGGTGGGGTCATGGGCTTCCGCTGATCGTATCTCTGATCACGCCACTGGATAACGCTGGAAATTCCACAATTCGGACCATGAACTCACCAAGACGTTGGGATAACCAGGATATTACAACAATATATTTATACCACCTTCTTGCTTACCACGTACTTTAGGCTTTCCCGCTTCTCGAACTGAAGATGGCTTACACGAACCCACTTGCCTCCTTAGCTCCTGTATTGCGAAATAAGTCACGTGATGTTCCCAAAAGGGACACAAGGAGTTCATGCATCCCCGGTCGTTGACAATTACCAGCACGACTTTGCAGCGAGGATTCAAATTGTTGTGAAAAAGGGGAGCTATTGTCGACTTCGGGACTTCGGGATCCAAGGTTCGGTTGCCCAATTGTAATTTGGTTTCCTCATTTACACCAAAATTAACCGAGCAGGTGCTATCTATGACATTTCGTGTATCGAAGGTCACAAGTCCCACAAAAACGTGTTGGGATCGTAGCTTATAACACGTTCCCTCGAACTCAGAACTGGCCATTTGCCCATTCCCTCTCCACTCAAAGGTACCCCTCCTCCTTGTACCACACCTTGGGGACGAAAGGTCAGCGGCCCCGTGAAGACACTCTCCAATGCCCCTTTTCGCGGTGAAACAATCGGTCCATCCGGAATGTGGTATCAGCAACAACGCAGCATGTCGGCGATCTGCTGGTATTCTGAGCCTTCCTTTGGATACACTTATTCAAGTCCTATCCTTTGCGAATCCACAAGACATTATAGCACTTCGGAAGGTATGTGCCTATCGTCCCTCCACGGCTCGAGATATAATAAGCGGTTGGATTGCCCAACAATATCTCCTTCTAGACATGTAGAGCACTCATGATCGCTACCTGCCAACGGATTGTATGGATTAATGCTCTACGATTAATCTGTGCACAACGGGGGATATACACTCGTTCGTTTCCTGTCAAGGAGATGTCTCTTGTTCAATTAGAACATGCAGCCACGACTCCATTCAGATTCACTAGCCTTCTTCGACATTCCTCGCGCTCCCAAAAATCCCCTTCACCAACTACCGCCGCCAACTCCACGTTTTCATCGTCTGCCCATCCCGTGGCGATTCGTCTTCTTCAACCACGCTTACCGAGGGACTTTGCTGGCGACGTTGGGATTTTCGAGTCCTCCTACCTAGTCCCTGGTGGAAGGTTCCTCCTTACACGTTCTTCAAGAAATCTCCTGCAAGTTTGGGACCTCGGCTACAGCGCTGATATGATGATCAAGCCTGAAAGTGTCGCGTCGCACCACTTAGGCGATGGAGAGCTTCAATTCGATCCTGATGCGCAAATCACGCAAGACGGGGAAGGTCTCCTTGTGTTTTTGGCTTCAGAGAAGTTAGCTTCCCTTTAATTGATCCTGAAAACGTGTTGACAATGTGCATTACAGCGTGTTCAGGATATTCGAAGTCTACCCCCTCAGTGAATCGCCGTCCTTTAGAAAGGTTGCAAGCATCGATGTCGTCCTTGGTGGGCGATGCGTATACGTCTTCACGTCGACTCTGATCATATTCTATATGAACCGCCGCCTCACCGTTTGGGATTACGTCGAAGACAACATCGTAAGCTGGACGATCCGATCAGCCCAAGTTTGGGATGTACGTTCTTTTCCATTCCTCAGTCGGCATGCATTGCTAAGTAATTCCCATACGCGTAGATTGCTGTATCCAACTCCCATGTCACCCTGTTGGACCAAGGGGGTTTCTCTATTTACAAAATACCACCCATGCGGCCTCGCACTCAGGTCTATCAGGCTCCACCCCAAGCTTACGTCTCACCCCAAGTGCCACTCCTCAGCGTGCAATACCCCATCAGCTCAGTTGTAAAAGTCGCGGACAATTGGTCTTGGTATACCTCCGTGAACGACAACCGGCCCGTTCACTTCGATGTTCTAGGCGTCGGGCTTCCTATCGCATCTCCCGAAGCCGTCTCCTCCAGTGGCTCGTCGTACATCTATTCCCTCAACAACCCCTCATACAGCGACCCAGATGTCGTGGACAGCGATAGTCTGGACGACGACAATACAGGGACGAACGGCGGAGAGGCCCTCATCATCGCCAGATACACACTCAAAAAGGTTAAGAATCACCCCCGCGACGGCCTACCCGAATACATGCCGGTCCTCGTAGAACACGTTCGCCTAGGCGGCCACCTCCAACCCAATGTCGATAACGCTCGCTCTATCAGGACCGGTAGTCGAGACCTAGTCCTCATGTGGCCATCGATGCAAGGGAAGAAGCTCCTCGTGTACTACTCCGATTTGGAAGGAAGTGGGCAGACGACTGGGGATGTACCTTCGACCGATGGTACTCCCGATCGACATGATTCGGATGAAGTACGCCCACCGAGGACAAGGCCAAGGCCAAGGATTGCGTCATTGGAGATATCAGGAATGTTTTCTGGCGAAGTCATCTGTTGTCCATTCGCTGGTCGGGTGTGTTCCATCGACGAACAGGGTACCATTCATGTCATGGACTATGTTCGGCCAGTCGGGTCGTAGAGGCATGATAAAACACGAAGTCGAACTCGTCCTTCGTAACTTGTAATCTTACACCGTCGGTCGGAAAATTTTGGAGTTATTTATGCATTTATACGTCACCTTCGTGGTTTGTTCGTGGACATTCCCCGTAGCAACAGCTGTCGCTTCATAGTTCATGAAACCTGTATGTCTGATTTACCGTAACGAAAATAACGACAAATATATTTTACATAGGCCTTCTGTCTATCATATCAGTCTACTGATATTAAATTCGTATAGCGTGTCATAACGAGAAAAGGTCCATGAATGGCGCAATGGCCACGAGCGACATAGCGAGCGTATATACCCATTCTATTTCAGGGCGTACAATGACTCCATCAAGCTACGAAGGAAATCCTCACAAATTACTTTTCAAGTTGCTCCTGACCGCAGACTCTGACGCACCTTGAACAACATCATGCACCAAGTCCAGCATATGCTCCACGATCTCTTGGGGTGTGGTGACATGCCAGCTAGCCAGTGTCCGCTTGCTGCTGTGTCCAACGGCGGTGGTGAAGACGGCTTCCTTGTGGATAGCTAGATCGACGGCGGGGAAAGTGGTCTGGCTGCTCTCGGAGGGGGTAGAAGGTGAAGACGGGGTGTCGTTGCCGTCAATGAGCGTGACGGAGATGGGGGCATCTAACGTGGCTTTCGTGGTACCCGGGGGGAACAAGCTGAGGGCACGGAACATGTCTTCGTCCGTCTAAACTCCCAGTGATCAGCAACGGAAGATGCACGTCAACTGTCAAGACAAACCTTATCGTCACCGGCGCAGAAGATGAACTCTGAATCGGGGTTCCTGTACAGAATTCGCTTGACGATTTCGCCCTTGTTGACCGCCACCGGTCGCACCTCCAAGTTCTTCTTTCCGACGAGAACTACGTGCAAGGCATGTTAGATCATACACTTCCGACGCGTTCAATCACTCACCCTCAATGGGTCGCTTATGGACCAAGTTGTTCTCCAACAAATCCTGGCATTGTCGGCACTGGAACAACCCCCACTCTGGATCGGCACCCCTATAATGCCAAGTAATCGAGCTCTTCTTCACCTCGATATGGCTTCCCGTCGTGCGCTCCGTGTAGTACTTGAAGATCTCCAGCACCTCGCTCATCCACGACATATCCAACTTCTCCGTAAAGTTCACCCATTCAGCGGATCCGCGTTCGCGCATGAAGCCTCCATGCTCAGCGCTGAATCCGACATTGCGTAAATGTCCAAGATGTTGTTCTAGGAAGGCGCCGTCGCGACCGGAGATGATGTAGACAAGATTTGCTGGATCTGCGGAGAGGACCTCGAGTGCTTCCAGGGTTGCCGCCGAGGGAACAGCCATCGATGGCGTCTTCACTATCGGGGCAAGAGTGCCCTGAAAGATAGCAAGATAAGTTTGAAATTCGACAAGGAATCCTTATCTCAAAACCACGAAAACTACTCACGTCGTAGTCGAAAAGGAATAGTCTCTTCTTCGCTGCCTTGTATCGGCTGTTCAAAACATCTCTGGGGATGTATGGAGTCTGTCTAGCCATGCCCTCACCACCCATTTGCCCGAGTAGCATTTTCACAAGAACGGAAGCCCAATGATGCGAGGTATGCGTTGACACGACCTTATATAGTTTTCGGTGGCGCTCAGCTTTTTCGGCGTCGGACATCAATAAACCCCTGTTCATGGCAGCAGCCACTCCCTGTCATCGAATTTAGCATCCGCCTATCGACGCCCCTCGACGGAATACTCACCCCGAGATCCCAGGGATTCACCTGCAGAGCATCTTCCATATTTTTGCTGATGCCCATAAACTCACTGAGCACGCTGGGGCTCTTCTTCGTCATCTCCTGAGCGATAACGAACTCCATCGAAGTCGTGTTCATGCCATCTCTGAGAGGAGTAATGACACCCAAGTCAGCCACAGATAAGAGCGCGTAGAATTCATCCTTCTTCAGGGTTTGGTGGCTGGCATGGGGGTGACATCAATAACAGTAAATCGCGTTCAAGCACAGACGTACTAGTGGTGAACGGGGATGAAGTCCAAGCTTCCGTATTCGCCGTTGATGTGTGAGACGAGCTCGCTGACTTGGCGCTCCAATTTAGGGCTGTCGGTGAGAGCGGGTGAGGTGACTTGGATGAGAACGACGTTGCCGATCCACTCTGGGTAGTCTTGCAGCAACTTCTCGAAGGCACGAAGCTGACGGCAATCGGTGAGTCAATGTATACACCGGGAAAAGCACAACATACCTTCTGCAACACACCCTTGACGACATCGAGCTTGTCGCGGCCGACAATGATCTTCTTGCCTTCGTAAAGATTGCGAAGCGCCACAAGTTTCGGTTGGATGCCCGGGCGAAGACTGAGCAGGTCACGTTAGACTGGCTCAAGCGAAGAGAAATGGTCTCGAACATACACATCTCTTGATACTCGCATAGCATCGATACCCACTGGGCAATGCATCACGGCAGCGGTGTGACTCTCGACATCAATCCCCTTCGACGTGGTCTCGTATCCGCACACGCGGACACACGTTGAAGTAAAGTGCCGAGAGTAGGCATAGGTCTGGAAGCAGATAAGGTTCGCGCCGAGCATACCATCAAGAATCTCTTTGCGACCTAGAATGCCATAATGTCAGAAATATACCATGAAATCAAATAGCGAAGGTACTAACGAGGCAAGCAGCGGAAAACTTCGCTGCTAGGAAATGGTGTGTGGACGAAAAGCCCGATAGTGGCATCGGGGAGACGGTCACGTATCATCTTGGGCGCAAGGAGAAGGTGGTAGTCATGTACCCAAATCAAATCGCCCGGCTGGTACAATTTCTCGACCGTCTGTGCGAAGAGTTCATTTGCCTGAACATATGGGGGGTAGTATTGGTCCGCGGAGGCATATTCAGTCGCGACATCCTGCCAAAGAAGGTAATGGAAGAGCGGCCACAAAGCTGCAGGCGTATTCAGCAATCGAAGTCTCCGTCAAGAAGCTGCAGCACTCACTTTGCTTGCAGTATCCATCATAATGGCCGTGCGCAACCTTGTCGTCCACCCAAACGGGGACATAGCTTGTTTTGCGCTTCTTGAGCTTAGCTTCGCCAACTGGGGACAGGGGCTCGTTGTCGTCATCGTCTACATCCAAATCTCCGTCGGTCTCCTTCGCGACGTATCCTCGCAGCGCCTCCTCCAGCATGCGGCGGTCGCCGTCAGAGACGGTGTTGGCGGGCACACGTTCATTCGGGTTGGTGGCTTGGATGTCGCCGGTCCATCCGACGATGAACTGCTCATGTGTAGTAGCCAAAGAACGGATACCAGAAATCATCGCAGCGTGGCCATACCGGGGTTTGAGCGTCCACGCAGTAGAGCTCTGGGCCGGCTGTGGCGTAGTGCTCTCACTGGGTGTGATCCAAGCTTCAGGCTTCTCGCTGGACGGACTGGGCGGAACGTCACCGGCCTTGCTCGGCGGCGTAGCGGGTGGGCTGGGGATGCCAGCGCGGGTGTTTAGGGTGGCGACGACGGGGAGGTAGTGGCATACATGGATGATACGGCCGCTGAGGGCGATGTCGCGTCCGCGTAGCTCGTTCTCGAGCGCCGTGATCTGGGAGCGCACCTGGTCGAGCGAGACGTCGTCGCCGCTCCGTGTGTAGGGCTCGTGGAACGAGTCCAGGGGTATGGAGCGGTGCGAGTTCGACGCAGTGGGCGACGTGGAGGGCATTTGTGGTGGTGGTTGAGAGCAGAACAGAGGCGCAGATGATGACGATTATATTTCGCGCGATAACTACTTCGGCGATTCCCAAATTAGGAAGTCCTGTGCTAAAAACACTCTGCCTGCACTTTTTCGAGCGATCATGCCCAAATCTCTCAACCACCCGACTGATCTGCGAAGTATCTCCCTCATGTTCTGGCCAGCAGCCCCGTCACCCAGTACAAACGCGTGCGAATGCCTACCACACGAACGTGCTTTCCGGCCGTATTTCCTACCAAATCCAAGGTCTCGAACACCAAAATGATTTCACTCGACTCTTGGGGTGCCTGTAGACGGCCATTGAGACGTGACGTACTCGCTACGCGGGGGAATTCGACCGCTATCCGGACTAGGGGAAACGAGAAGTCGATGATTGTCCGCGATGGGACGACGCTTGATTCGTGGCTGCGAAGCACGGTCTATGATTAATGGTGACGGCAGAGAAGGAAGGGTAGGTGCTGTGTGGTATAGAGTGCATCCACAGTGGACGGGGTACACATCCTCCCCGAAAGACCCTATGAAGTAGGAGGGGTTTTGGGGTGAGTACGTATGCGCGTACCGATCATGATCATGAACCACGACCGGTTGCGTACAGTGCAACACATGGAGGAATGAAGTAAACAATGTACGGCATACGCTCCAACAATTCCAAACAACACCCCCCTTCGAGGCCTCTGTCCTTTGCATGAATTTGGCGAGGGTGAGAACGTGCATGCGATAAGCCCGGCGTTAAGATACCTGACACCGAGGCCGCTTCTCTTCCAGCTATCCGTGCATTCTGCGCTGCGCTTCGCGGCTGTCCGTCAGGCGGAGGCACGGAACCGCATCAAGGAACGGGGAACCTGCGATGTGAAGAAGGGCGTGTTGCCATCATCAGTCCATGACAGACTTGAGTACCTACTGCTTCGACTGAGTAATGCAAATCAGCAAGGAATGAGAAGACGCAGTGACAATCGAGGCTTCACCTATCTGACGTGGCCTCACTGAAGAAGGTTCACCGCCACCGAATACAACACCCCGTCATCCACCACACAGCACCGACTCGCCGGGTCATCCGACGCGCGGAATCCGTACCACAGCCACTCTATGAGCACGTCGTGCATGTTCATCGGCATGAACCGCCGTTGATTGATCGCGCTGAGGAGTTGATACGCGAATGTGCATGACGTGTATGATTTAGAAGGGGAGGGGGGAAAAGGCCACGGCGTAGAGCACATAACTGTCATGATGGCCTCGTCGCTCACAACCTCGGCGGGAGGCTGGTCGGCCATGAGCTGTTGTGGAATGAGCGGGACGTCGTTGTAAGGAAGGACTGCGGGAGTGTCCAGTGAAATGGCGCCTTCGCCCTGGGATGATGTCTGCGTCGGCGCGTCGATTGAGCAGTTCGAAGTCACCACAAGTGTCGGGTCAAACAAAACAGGAGCTTCATCTGTAACCTGTCGGGGGTGACGGTCGGGTTCGGGAGCGACAAAGGGGATAGAAATCAGCGCAGGTGCAGGGGAGGCATATCCTTGATCACAGCTTTGCTGAACGTCTCGTTCCAAGATGTCAATCGACGAAGAATGCAAAGTCGCATCGGGAGAGGACGTCGTTCCACAGGGAGCAAGCGGTTCACTTTCTTGTCGTTTACAGCAACCGGAGACCTCAGAAATCGCTGCAGTAGCAGGAGGCGCGTATACTTGACGGCTTCCAGACACTGATGGCACACTTTCACAGCCTTGCTGACCACCTCCACCGACTCGTAAGTAGGCGTCGATATCCTCAGTGGACATATGAAAGCTCTCCGTCAATAGCGAACGCAACGAACGGTTCTCCGCAAGGACTCTCCGGGCCTGCTGCTGCAACGTGATGCTTGCCTATTGAATGTCGAGGGGTTAGTATCAGGCCATTGCCGTGCCGCGCAGGGCGCACCTGAGCTCCCTTTTGCTCGAGCTCCCGTAAACGGGCTTCAAGGGACGCGATGTACTCCTTTTTGCGCGTCCTGCACCGTCTCTGGTTTTCCCTTACTCGCTGCACTTTCGATGCTTCAAGTGCTTGCGGGTTGGGGGTTTCCTTGTCGGTCATGCCACTTTGATAAGAGTGATCTATGAAAAGTGCAGTAGAGCGCTGAACGTTACTACGTTGAACGCTGAATGTGAAATGAACGTCTATCAGAGGGGGGTCCTACTTTCGAGTACGATAGTTTCCCTCGAAACGACAATGGTGACGTGAGCACGTGAGCTCGGGAAGGACCAGGCTCTTGAGCCTGTTCTCAATGTTAAACGCTCTTGGAAACGTCGTCTTGGGCTTCAGATTGACCACAGGCCATTCATAGCTCACCCAAGTGTCATGGATAACGCTCGCCTTCGTCATTCAAAGCGGCATAAAAATCGAAAGCGGCAATTACTAGATCCTTAATAGACGCAACGACAAGGCAATCCGCGAAGCTGTCGGTGAATCATTCGCGGCTTACGGTTTTTGAGTTGTCACATAGGCACTTCCGGGTATGGTATGCTGGCGGACGCTGCTCGCGCCCACAAGGACGCAAATTGATATTCAAGGTATAAGTGGTGTCTCTTTATAAAGCGAGGAACAAAAACATTTTCCGCAGCGGATACTTGATTGAACGAACGAGAATATCACTCCGATTTACTCAATCTCCTTGGTTTGAACATTCTTCTTCCCATCTTGTTCTCCTTTTTATCCACAGGGCGAAGTATGTGAGCCCAAGGAGCACGGGTACCTAACCAACAAGGGATCTCATCAACTCAAGCCCCAAAAGGTACCGAGATGCGAATTACCTCCACTAGAGGACCTATGGTGGCTGCGAGCGCTTCGGGAGAGTCAGTCCCGAAGTTAGCTACGGCAACAGCAATCGCAAGTTCCTATAAAGGCTCGAGAGTGAATAAAAGTGTATGTAGGAGCGACTTACGAAGTTATTTGATCCCGCTGTGAATGCTTGAACGACGGCCATATCATAACCTCCTATGATACCTCGGGACTTCTTCCTCGTACTTAGATAGTACAGCGTGAAGAAGGTCAAGAACCAGACGATGACGAAGTACTAAAGACATCGTGAGTCAGCCACGCCTTGGTATGCCGAACTATAAGCATACCAGAATAAGAGGAACAAAGATGCGAAACACGGAACCAATGTTGTCGATGATTCGCTTTCCCTTGATTGATATATATGAGTCAACCCCAATGAGCTCAAGGAGTACTACGCACTTGATATGCAAACAAGACGATAATTGTGTAAAGCAGGCCCAGCAAAGCTATCGGGCCGATTATTCTCAGGAACCTCTCAAAGGAGCGAGGTGATAACAACGATCGAGAGACGAATCTCGTAACAAGACCAGCTGCGAGCGGTATTCCAAGATACTATTGTGACGCACGTCTGAGCAGCTGCCATCAGCTGTAAAGAGAGAGAAACATACTATGCCAACGCTGGTGGATACCTCTGAGTAGTGGAGATGAAGAAGAGGTCCGTCCGAACCTAAATTTGATCCCAGGATGTTTAAGAACAGGAGGGCGTACGGAGCAAAAAGTACGATCTACAACGGTGGGGTGTTGATCAAGGCAACTTTATAAGTACGAAAGATAAAACTTACCTGCAATAGCGAGTTCATGCCCACCAAAATTGCACAGTATTCCATGTCGCCTTGCGCAAGACCCGACCATATCAAAACCATGGCTGCGAGACAGTAAATCACACTAATGCAAGTTCGTAGACATGGGCATCCACTCACCGATACATCTAGCTATATTCGTGATCACAGTAAGATTCGGGATTATTTCAACCGATCAATAACCGCGAAACTCACCGACGCCGATGAGCAAAACACCTTTTCGCTCACGTTCTAGGGACGCCTCCGGTAAAGTAGCCCAAGCGAGGCCAAGCATGATGAAGGGCGCGACTATCCAGTTTAAAACAAACGAGATAGCCATGTGCAACCAGATTCTTTTCGACGAGAGCACCCGACCGAGGCATTCATATTTGATCTTTGTTAATACCGCTGTTGACAAATAAGACATTTTCTGGTGGAAGTCGTCGAAGAGCTTACGCCACATCATAAGTAGGAGGCCTATCATGACCGCTGGGTTGGTGAGAGGATAAGCATTTATTATACCATTCAATGGGTCACGTCGGCTTACGTATCGATACACCGTTCCACTGAGCACCTCCGAACGCTACATGTACGCCATTCTCCTGAGGAATAGCGTGAGGATGATATGCACTTAATGCATACGAAGACAACTTACCGCATATACCCCAATGATGACGCCCAGAATCATGGCCACCAGGATGAAAAGTGCCAACCATCTGTCTTACAATGGGTATCGCCGTTGAGAAATACGAGGAGGGTCACCTACCGATCGAGGAAAGACAGCGACTTGAATAATTCTAACCCCATATATGAGTGCGATGTGTCGTTGGAAAGGCCCGAAGCTTACTCGACGCTTTCACTGGCTCGACAGGCGGTGCCGATGAGACCTGATTCGAGTCGAACTCCTTTATCTTTTCCGGTTCCATTTCTAAGTACTGGTCAGTGTTAGTGCACGGTATAGTCAGGCAGGGGCTCACTTTCAGAACGCGGGGGAACGAGAATTCATGGACCGAACTACCTTGCCTTTATATGGTTGAGTTGATATCTACAGAGGTCACTGATAGCTTCTGATTGGCTGGCGGAGTTAGTTAGCTGTGATGGAGTCGAGGACACCCACCAGTTGTACAACGAGAAATCAACAATGTAATTGTGCTCGTAAGTAGTTGCCATGAAACAAAGGGCTTTATATAAGGATATCTACGGATGGCGCGTACATACTGTGTACTAGTAATGTAACCTAAGTAGTGTGGAATAGGGTGTCGCAGAGCAAAGTGAGAAACATTTCGAGAGGGTGGAAACTGGAAAGGATGTATCGCGGGGAGTTCGTACAACGATGGACAGGAAAGAGTGACAACTAGCAGACATAAAAATCGTGATATGTACATTGAACAAGAACTGGAGAATGGAATGGGTTTGCTTGAGTATGTGATAACGGTGCGAGATGATGGAAAGATGGATCGGATTGAAGAGAGCCACTCAAAGCTCGGGGCCAGTGGTGCCAGCAGTTTTAGCTCCTATTCTAGGACTCCGTCGTAAACCTCCGCCCTCAAGGGCATCAAAACCGTGTGGTAGCTCGAGTCTAGAGGCGAGGTCATTGGTTTCATCGTCGCTGAAATCGTCATGAATCTTCGGGGGCGGAGTACGTTTGTGATGCGCTCGGGTGTGGCTACGACGTGCCTGAGGGAAGAGTAATTTCGGAGGACAGGTGAGGTCGCCAGTATAGTCAGGATGTTCAACTGGGAGGAGACTATCAGGATCGGGGGGCAAAGGTCTGTTATTGGCGTGATCATAGAGTGGATTTAAGAATCGCGTCTTGACACCCCGACTGAAAAAGGTAAATTCAGACCGTGCCAAAATAACCAATGATTGCAACGTACAAAACGTATGTGAGTGTCGGTCTCTCTGCGGGTGGAGTCCGAAGTTCGAAATCGGGAGAGTCTTGTTCATCGACATCAGAGCCTGCGCCGCTATCCACGAATGGGTTGTCAGGCGAGTCCATCAGCGAGGGCTTGAATCGCCGTGTTTTGCCCTTCAGCTTGTTATCTGGAGTCACCGGGGGCGAGGCGGTGGATGGGGTGTCAACGTGCGGCGATTCTGTAACAGTAGTCAAGACTGGTGTGTCTGAGACTTTTGACGTGACGGTTCTTGTGACTCGACGGGATGGAGGAGGGGATACTGGTGCTGATCCGAGACTAGTGGCAGCCTGCTTCCTCCGGGATAAGATAGGTATGGGTGACGACAAGGGGCTCTCATCAGCCCTATCTTTGGCACTTGAAGAGGCTTCTGTCGACAAAGTGTTTGAACGATCTGCCCCCATCCAGAATTCATCCTCTTCCTCCACTTCCGGGATGGCACTGATCTTGCGTTTCTTGTGAAGATTTCCTGGCACCCTCAGCGTGTCCTCGTCGGACGAGTTTCCTCCAGCGCCATCGGAACCGCTGTCTGTCCTGTTGTTAGAGGCAAGTCGAACTCTGCGTCTACGACGCGTCCGTGGTGGCGTTGGCAACGAAGCGGTGGAAGCAGAGCGCTTGAGGGGGTTCGACGCTGGCGGCGCCAGCGGCGAAGAGTCAAGCATTAGGGAAACGGCGGATTTGGGAGTATTGAGTAGAGTAGGGAATGTAGTGGTCGCAAGAGAAAAGGAGATGGACAATGGTGAACGGTCTCAGAAAACAAGGTCCACGCAGACAAACACAACCAAGCAACTGCTTGCCCTAGGGGCTCCTATTAGGGGTCACTTCTCAGATCACGGTTGAACACAAACATTGCTCTTGTACGTAGCTGTATATGAAGATTTTACGAGAAGATAAATAATGCGCATCACTGAGAAGCTCAAACCAAAATATGCCAATTCAGAAACCAACTCGCGTCCCCCGCATGATCTTTGGAAATACGGTATCTAGAGCATTGGATTGATGATCTCCTTGAGGGGTGTAGGGAGGGCTGGATTCGGACTGATCTCAGGCAATTCGCCGCCCTGTGCTTTGAACGGCTTTGAACCTAGGATGGCGCCACTACCGTAAGTTGCCTTCGCTTGTGGGGCGATAAACGGCTGAGCCTCGGTATTAAAAACGACTGTACGCCGACGATAGTGAATATGCAATCAGATTAAACCTTGGATACAGTACTTACAATCGTCGAGACTTATGTGCTTGGGGTCGTCGAATGTCAAGTATCTGAGGTTTTCAGTGTTAGCGCCTGAGAGGCCTGAATCATCCACCCGTGAACGCGAACCAAAACTTACAGGTATTTCAACACCTCCGCGAACCAGAAACTCTGCGTGTCGTCAATCTTCGTCGAGTTCGGATTATTGACATCATTAATCCCGGCAAACCCAACCGTAGCAGGTAAGAACTTGTTGAAGCTCTCGATCGCTGCGACAGCGTTATCGAGGTACTTGGTATCTCCCGTTGCTCTCCATGCATAAAAGTTTGACTCCAAAACTTCGGGCCGAAGGATATAGTCCGCGCCTGTTATATAGAAGCCATGCTGGGCGTTGAAGGCCAGTTGGGCTGCCGAAGGACTGTTGGAACTTCCGGTGAAGCTCCCGTCGTCAGATATGTATGCAAAAGTCTCGGGGCCAATGCCCGTACTGTACAGCGCAGTGAATACGATCGTGAGCTACAATGGGGGTGGGGGACTCACGCAGTGCTGGTATACGTGTTGATGCATGAATCGACCAACTTCAGCCCAATATCTACGATCGTTTGGTTGTTGAGTAACTTTCCACCCAGGATCCAGTTACCACCGTTAAAACATGCAAGGTGTGAGCCGACATGTCGAATCCGCTTGTTCTCATCGAAGTCAGCCAGATACGTGAAGTTCCCAACAGTAGATGTCTACAGATGTTAGGCCTAATGAGAACAATGATTTTGCGGCCAGTACGGATGCGGTACTGACTCTTAGCAAAGTATTGATGGAAGAGTCAATTGTTGTGGCCCATGTGTCGGCGAAGAGGGGATCGTCTGTGTTACTGAGCCGAGCGTACTTGATGAGGTATTCGAAATAGCTATCCGAGCCACCTCCCCAGGACTGGAGAAGCGTTGAGCCCTGGCCCTGCTCCAGGGGAGTCCGTTAGCACTTACCACAAAGCCACCAATAGATTGGCCAGTTCTTGGGTCCATTCCTTGAGCTGCAAGTCCTATGAGTACGACAGTTTCAGTAAAGATCTGCTTTCATTCAACCCAGGATAGCTACCAGGGAGAGGGGCGGGCTATCGGAGAAGGTATCAGCATTCAAAGTATGTGTCTCGTTATGTTAATTGGGGCTACCTGGATAGCTATTTGTCTCAGCGCACCCTCGGCAAGACGTCTATATGTATCATTGCCAGTGTGCTTGCTTAGCGTAGACCATTCCAGGGCGAGCTAGGATTCGGCCTCGTCTGATGCAAGATAAACAGTGGTAGTTTTGACTCGACATACCGTCCCAGACGAAGCAATGCTGATCTATCCGAAGGTCAATGAATATACGTCGGATCATGATATTAGACAACTTACTGTCGCGACAGTGGGAGTGTTTGTGGTGAAATTAACAAAACCAAAGGGTATCTTATTGTCCTTGAACGTCCTAGCATCAATATAACGGTGATGTAAAACAACTTCGTACTCACTCCGACCCAGGCGAAAGCCATCTTGTCAGCGACTTCCTTCGCTTTTTGCAACAAAATAGGGAATTTCTGTCCGCTGAGCTCATACGCGCTTAGGAGCCCTCCTAGGTATCTTATCGTGGTTTCGAACAAGCTGCATGCATGTTAAGATTGTACAATTTCATCAACACTGTATTACGGACCTGACGGTAGCACTTGTCTGGGACTTGCTAAAATCTATGCGGCTAGAGAAGTTTAGCCCTTCGGAGAATAAATCCTGTATTATTGCCGGTGAGATTGCCGGGTAAATGTACCGGGATAGGGACCAACATCAAGCCCCATGATGACCATCGTGGGGAGTGCATCCACGATTGTTGCTCCCCAGCCGTTGCGACCATCACTGAACGACTTGCTCTGCGGGGAGAGATCGTCATGCCCGAACGCAAACGTCCTTCGCGGGACAATCGATCAGCATTAGGACAGATGAACGGGGGGGATAACACCCAGCTCACCGATATGCTTCATAGCTGTCAACGAAGATTTTGGTAACCGCATCACGATGTTCTTCCGATCCCGCTGGTAGGACCAGGTTGGGCTTTTGGACAGGACCACCGAGGGAGTACGAAGCCAAAGCTAAAGTAATAGCGCACTGCCAGTGTGATAGCACGCGCATATCGACAGTTTGCTTGCTTGTGAGTAGTCGTCGGACGACGGGAGGTTTGCGCTCTTAGGAGGAAAGGTTTATATACATTAAAGCCACCAGGAAGGGGCAATAACACCATGGTGCATGCGCTTCCCAGTGTGCGCCAAACCAGGAGTTCTTCCCCCTCTTTCTCCCCGGCAAAATGGAAGCGATGGTGGGGGACAAGGCTAATGGTGGGGTGGTTCGATCTCATGCGGCCGCCCAGCTTAATGGGAAACGGAATACCAGGCGAGCGTCGAGGGGAGAACCACATTCATACTCTCTCACTTGTATCATCCCAGGCGGCACAGAAACCTCAGACGACCTGACCTTCTTGCCATGAGGATCACAAGCAAGAACACGCGGCCGTGGTACGGCCGCGACCTGGAGAAGACCGCCTGTGGGATCGTTATGTTGCGAGTCGGGACGGAGAGATCAAAGTGACGTATGGACAACACAGAGCGAGGGGAAACCACCCAGAACGTTTGCCTGTTCTCTACTGCCGGCAACGTAGTCTATCAGAGCCAGGGAGAAGAAAACACATGGACGTACCGAAGCACATTATTCCCAGTCATGAGGGTGGGTTTCAATGCTCACCCAATTTCGACCTCCTTCGAACACAAAAGGTGTAGATGATGGTTCAGGCAATCCTAGCCCAGGCTTACACTGAGCGCAGCTAACCATCGAATTCGTAGAGGAAAAAATAACCAGAGCTTTGCACTGGCAACAAACAACATTCGACCTGCTGTTTCGGCCATTTCACTAAAATGATCTGGTATGGCTACAAGTGTGGCGGTTTAGTAGCCTGCGTTGTCGATTGGGGTGGGTCGCAAACAAGCCACCGCAATTGCAAGCCACCCGAATTCGACCCCACGATAGCATGGACGACGGGGCCTCAACCAACGGTTCCTGCACCATTCTTCGCATTGCCTGTTCGCTGCAAATCTAGACATTGAAGATGTCTGAATAACATCCAATATTAGCATACGAGTAGACCAAATATCGATCAACTCCGTAGCAGAGCCAAGGCGTAACCAAGGCAAAGCTAACAATGTCCCCTACCAGTAATAGATTCACGCTGGTATAGAAGATAGTCGGGACTGGTGTGAATGAGTAGTTTATATTTCGTGTATGGAGATTTCGTGTATGGTAAAGATTCAACGAAGGGCCAGACCAACTCCAGGCATGGTCCTGACAGGTATCGATGCAGACAACAAAGCGACTCTACTACTCTATGTAGTCTAAAATGTACTAAATGAAGAAGGAGCGACGTGGAATGGTGCATGCGCGCAGCACGCTGGCAAGCAGAGGCAAGTGAGGCGATGGTGGACAGGAGGAATGGAATGAATAGATAATGTTGATGATGATGGAGCAATTATGTATGTAAATGACGACGGCGGTATAGTACATGCAAGAGGGTTTACAGCTTCGCGAGTATCAAACCTATGACTACATATGCTATCGTCGCCGGTGGCGTGACCACACAATACGACCAGAAGATTGTTCGGCTGATCAGTCGCTCGAAAGCATCGCCTGAAGCTGCTTGCGTTATCTGCAAAGGTATTGTTTGATATTAGCGTCCGATCACATATATAGAGGACAGTAAATACCTGGGCGAGGGTCAGCGCGGGAGGAGAGGATATCAACAAGACATTAGCGACGACGAACACCGGACTATTTAGTACAATTAGGTTAGCGAAAAGCTACATCTTAATTAAGAGGATCACTGACTCATCGAAAACCTTCGGAGAGTCGTATCTCGCACCAATCGCCATCACCGGGAGTAAACACAAGGGTGTCAGGATCATTCTTGCTGCCACTGCGATTACTACGGTTTTGGTTTCACCAGCGCGCTGCAGGTTAGCCAAGTATCCTCTCGGCGTGCTCCCTCCGTCGGCATGACGCCCTTTCTTGAACAAATCGCGAACATTATTGAACAGTGAACTCGACGAAGGAGTGGCGGTCAGCGTGGCAGATGAGTCCGTTGCTCGTACGCCGTTCTCTGAGGTAGGCGTCGTTTGTTCTTGATTAGGGTAGAAGTAGGCTCCTAGCACGATGAGGGTCAGCGGAATAGAGCAGTTTCCCGCCGATGTTAGGGCGAATTTGACCGGCTGCATGTGCATGTCCAAGAGATGTTGCAAAGGCTGAATGCACGCGACGATCAAAGAGGCTAGCGCAGCCCAAAGCGGAACTGTCATAAACTCGTTGAACTCTGCCCAAGACCGCGCTATGCGGCGCCGAGCGCGTCGTAAGAACATCATGCCCGAATTGGAAGAGTGCAGGGTGTGGGCACGACGGGTTGGGCTCGGGTTCTCTTCATCGTAGGAGTCGTCCGATTCCGAATCGGGCGCAGAGGCTGGCGTAGACTCTAACGAGGGCAATTCCGCCTGAGACTCATTCGGTGAATTCGGGAACGATTTGTAAAACGTTGTGCGTCTGTGTGGTTTCGGCGGCCGAAGGCTACGAGTCGTGGAAAGTGGCGGTGTGTCCACAAGAACATCATTTCCGGCATCGCGAGTGGCGGCTTCGCTGAAGGTTTCGAGCAATGGGCTGCGTTCGTTGACTTCCGAGCCTGGATTGACCTCATCTGCATGTGCTAGTAACCTCACACCATAGCTCCACCGTACCTACACTCTGCCTCAGCTGTAAAGTCGACGGTGAAGATTGCACGGACTTACCACCATTCCTAAGGTACTATATAATACCAAGTATGTCAGAGCGCGACCAACCATCGCATTTTTGTTATCGCCAGTCCCCCATTTCAGGCCGGGCACCGTGACAACAAGACTCTGCATCAAAGCGATAGGGAGAGAATTAGAGTTCATGAACATCGCTGCAGCCATCGCAAAACTCCTGTTTGTAGTGTGAGCCAAACGCCAAAGACTATACTGCAATGCGCTTGCCTTTGTGACCGTTTCAAGCGAAACATCCATCCAAGGACGAACGCTATCGACATTGACACCAGGGTGACAACAGTGAAGAAAATTGGGATGATCCATAGTTCCCTTAATTTGGCTGAAATGGGCGTCAGTTATGGAATGATGCAAAGTCTGGCCTTCTATTCTGCTGCGCGACATGAGGCCAAAGTTTCTACCTCGTTCTCTGTCCTTCGAGCCCATATCCGCCTGCAGAACCTTCATCCAAGATATGAATTTGTGCTCACCTGGAGACAGGAAGAAAGCCACTTTTGAGAACAACAAACACGGAGTAAAGAGCGATACGTTGAGTCTGTTCAGTTGCTATCATACCCTCAGCATTCGCCTGCGGTCAAATAAACAGCTATTACCTTCTGCGTCTTTTTATCGAGAATTCCATGCGACGCAAGAATGTATCCTGCAATGCACAGCAAGAAAACCTCGAGAATCGACTATCCCCCGAACCGACGCGCCACCAAGCGAACAAGTCAGTAAAGCGAGACGTTTACGGGAAATGCATTGTCCACGCACCGCAAAGACGGTCTTCAGAAGGGACCACACTGGGGTGTCCAGTGGAGAAATTACCTCGACATCCATGCTGAGGTGGAGGGGGTCAGGAGGAGCGGGGGGGCAAAAGTCGCAGCCATTCCATGCACCTGTTTGAAGTATGACGAGAATCCCTTGGCGAGGCTCGATCGCTCGGGCCACGTGCGTGAACGTGCTTTATCGTTATCTTATCGGCGTTCTCGACTCTCCAAGTATCTGATCCGCTCAACGTGCAATCGAGTCGAGAGTGACGGCGCGCAACTGCGCCGCACTAGTCGTGAAAAGTCGATTATTGTTGCCCGGTGACCCAGATAGTTTCGTATAACTGCTTCTAACAATCCACTAGCTTTACTGTCGGGCACCCGTCAACGGGATAGCTCAAGGATAGCTGCCACCGAAAGGATCTCACACTAAAGTTATTATTGTCAAAAGGTCTGGCAAGTTTCGGATTTGGGGATCGCACACGACGCATCCCGCCGAACAAACGAGCAGGGGGTGGGATGGAGGAGGGAAAACCTATACATCATGGTTTTAAGTGTCGAAACGTCGAAACGTGACTGTTCCCTAACACTTGCAGGTTCGTTTCAAAATCCACACAGTTCGTGTCTAATGCGGGGGTGCGATAAACGGCCACCGTGAGATCGTGGGTGCTAGGGGCTGAGAAGAGCTACTCGGGAGGATGGCCAGTGTGGGGACGACTCAGAAGTCAAGCTTGAAGTTCTCGAGGCCGGGGCGCTCAGTAATAGTCGAGAATCAGATATATGTATTCAATGATATATAAATGTACGTTCAAGAAGTAGCTACAATCGTTAGATGCACAAGATATGTATGTAATGAAACCAGATCACATTGCTTGGAAGGGAAGATGTAAATAGTACAAAGGCCAGAAGGGAGGCAGTCACGGAAGGGAAAGAAACTGATGTATGTAAGGGAGGTACGTAGAAGTATAGATATTGAAGCAGGGAAGTAAGGAAATCGTTGCAGTCGTAAATTTGGGGTGGCGGCTATTCTTGTTCTTGTCTTGCTTGAGATCCAGACATCACTGGGGATATTGAGGGCTTTCAGAGTATGTCCCTGGGCCTCGCGAGGAGGAAGGAATAGGAGAAGTTTGCTCGTGGAACCGGGTATCCATCGCATAAGGAGAGACTTGGGAGTTCTGAGGGCTGTTTTGGCGATAATAACCAGCAGGCGCGGGAGCACCAGAGTTAAGAGGCGCAGCGGGGGGTCCTTGAGCCTGTTGAGCAGCGCTGTAGGGCGCTAGTGGAGCACCTGCTTGAAGAGTAGGGGCTTGGTATGGCATCGGAGCCTGCTGAGATGCTGCCCAAGGTGGGGTCGCGACTGGCGTAGCAGCCTGCGCAGAGGGTACTCTTACGACCGTTTGGCGGTATCCGTATCCTGGACCGTAGTAATACGCAGTCGGCGGATGGTATGGTAGACCGCCAGGCATGGCGGGAGGGAGTTGGAGAGTATTTGTACCGCCGGTGATGTGGTAGAGGTAGGCGACATTGTAGTTGTGGACGACTCCACTCTTATTAGTCTCTTCGGTACGACTGAATAACAAGAACACATCAACGCCTGGTTTCATTATATCAGGGAATGACAAATACCTTCCCCCGTTCTCGCTCCTAGCCCTCTTCGACTGATCGCCATCAGTTGCATCGCTCTTCCTCTTAGTCGAAGGAGGCATTGTTTTCGGAGTCAGCAAGTCAGCGGAAGTCGAACCAGAAGTCTTGGAATTGAAGGATCCAGAGACGTGAGAAGTAGTAGCAGAGTCTTTGGTAGTGTTCTTGCTTTTGAAAGCAGGAGCAGAGAAAGAGAACGCAGTGGCAGTGAACCCATCCAGACGAGCTTCCGCATCTTGAGCCGCAGGATAAGTAGTCCCAGAGCCCGAGGCAATTGCTTTATTCATCCTTTGAGCCGTCTTCCCCTTGTTCTGATCTACAGTGCGTTTCTTCCCTTTCACTGCGTTGTTCTCATCGGCATCGGCAGAGTCCGAGTCCGAATCACAAGCACCCGCAGGCAGAGGCGGCAACCCCAACGCTTCCCGCGGAACAGGTTTCGGATCCTCGACCGTTTCTGGGAGTCGTTGATGCGCCAGCGTCACGGTGGCCCCAGGGACACCGGGGAAGTATAGGATTGCAGTCTTTTTTTGGAGGGTACCAGTAGTCGTCGGAGGGGTTGAGCGTGGCTTTGACCAAGCTGCCGTCGTTGTCGATTTTGATCGTCGCAGAGATAGCGCCAGAGCCCGTGTCAGAGTTCGTGAGTTCGGTGATCGTGCCGACGCGCTTGGGCATAAGGACGGCTTTGCTCCCGACCTTGTAGACATTTTTCTGGGGGGGAGAGGGGTTCACGACGCGCTGGGCCTGGGCAACAGGAGGAGTCTGGGTAACCAGAGGACTTGTAGAAGCGATTTTTGCGTTCGATTTGGATGCCATAGCTTGTAACTGATTGTAGGATATGAAGCTCGAGTCGGTGATCCGAATTCTCGAGATGGAGAGATAATTGTGGGTAGTGAAGTAGAGCAGGTTGTGGATGTTAGACAGTAACAGCCATTGTCAAGACCCACCATTTAACCACTCCCCGCTCTCGTTCGGTACACTTGGACAAACAAAGTGTGACCGTCGTCCACTGTGGCCAAAATGCTGCCTCTTGCCACATACCACATACCACGAATGTTGGACAATGACCCATGAGACTGCGGTGGCCATTTGCCATTTGCCACTGGCCACCGCAAGAAGCCCAGAGTAACTTGTGAAGTGGACACAACGGTGATTTCGTGTTGCCCATGATTGTCTCACTGGCGATGTTACGGTCGAAGTCGTAGGATGACTGAGAACTTTGGCGCCCTCACTGACTCAAGATCTAGACGCTTCTCCTATCGGGCCGCAACCATATGCAGGTTTGTCGGAAATTTCCTATTTGAGTTTTGAGCGCTCAAAAGCCTACGCTTTCGTTAAAAGGCATTTTAAGGGGCTTATAATGGATGTTACTCCATTAAAAGCAAGGAAAGTTGTGGTTTGAGCCAATATACTTTATCACGAATTGAAGTATATATACTACTGTCCTACTCTAACAAATATGGTGTAGGTACGAGCTCAATTGCCGCGGCAGTTAGCTCAACTTCTTTGTCTCAAGGACATTGTGAGAACGATTTAAGGGGCCATCCTTAAAAGGCAGGTATGATTTTTCCGACATTGCTTGGTCCTGCTTGTCCGGTGGCCTATTACCACTTTTGGGCATTGTAGAACAATGGGGGTACCATCACGTGGTTCACTTAATGAAAGTTTGAACAAGTTCAGGGTCATCGCATTCTCTTCAGCCATCTCACCATCTACTTGACACCTACAAGGCCACAGAGTAGGTGAATAAGGCAATCCACCGCATTTTACTTCATTCGGAGGCGAACAATAGTCACTACTTACTGCGCCTTTGCGTGGCTCATTTCTTCTTGAATTTGCCACTGTCACATATACAACAGAGTATATAATCCAATATGTCTGGTAGGTAGTTTTCATTTCACTTCTCGATGCAGGCCCGGAAACGAAAACTATCGACTCACTCCCCCCGTTTAGACACAATAATCCAAGGGGAAGAGCTTGCGACATTCTGTGACAAAAACGACGACGAGGATGAAGCCATCTACGACCTTTGTTAGTCACCATAACTCTTCGCCCTTCAGTTTTGATTGACCCCGACTGTTTCATAGACGATCCAGAACTGTTCGCAGGATTACCCGTCGTCCTCCAGCTCATTGGGCGCACTGTCTTGATGAGGAGGGCGTCATTGCAATGACTGAGGTAGTGGACGCCGCCCTAGAAGGACATCGCTCCTAACAAAGTGATTAGAGTCTGTAGTAGATAAATTATGCATGGGGGTCATATGGCTCTATTAATATACGGTCAAGTTTACCCAGGATGAAGAAGTTTCACGAAAAGTCCAGAGGATGGAAGAAGGTCATGGGGCTGAATCATCAGATGTCCATGACGGAGCTGAGGTGTGGTCGACACCATTGACGTGGATTTCATGGGCATCACGCCCCGATTCATCGTCTGGCAGCGCAACCTTCTCCGAAAGAGGCGACTTCTCGTCATACGAAGTAGCACTCCCGTCCTCGTCTTCGATGGCTTCTTCAACGATAGCACCTTGCTCTCGAAGAATCGCCCATGTACGATCCTTGACCTTAAACGACAATAAGTACTAAATCGGGTGAGGAGATAACAGATTTCATGAGGCATACTTCAAGATTTTGCCCAGAGCTAATCATCTTTACTATTTGGCCTTCGTGGACGGTATGAAGCGTCCTCCGCAGTGACCGCGTCAGGAACGAGGACATGGAAGTGAGAGGCCACTTGGGAGGTATGAGAGAAACGACCTTAATTAAACCGTCAAATGCTGCGCAAGGAACATCGTCGAATCCCGACTTACATCGACAATATCTAGACTAGCGGACTGAGCATTCAGAAGACGAGCGGCGCGATCCGCGGGTCCAGCTCTACTCGAGGGTTGGTTGAGCAAAGATGAGCTAAATCAGCGGTGGTCTACGCACTCATCCATCATGTAGACTTTCAATAGAAGCTTCAGCAGGTCGCTCTTGAGCTGACTATCGGTGGTGGAATTCTGCCTAGTTATTGGCGGCGTTGAATTGGGGAGTTGTAGGCCAATCCACTGTGATAAGGATGAATCGACCTTGTCGGCCATGGAACGTAGTATCCTTGGGGGTATGACTTGGCCTCCCAGAGTGCAATACGTTTCGGCGGATATATCGTCGCGCATGTCATTGGCTAAAATCTGGAGCGCAGAACGATGATTTGAAAGCTGCGATGGAACGTCAGAGGCCCGGACGTAGAGTATAAGTCTGTATAAGTCAAACAGGGCTCACCTTTCCTTCTACAATCGCTAGCTCGAGGGTGAAGATTTTAGGTTGGGAAAGTAAGCGCTCGCGAAGTAATTTAGGGTCATATGAAGCGGAAGATTGCAAGAACACGATAGTCTTTAGCCGCGTACGCTTATGATCTGAGTCCGGGGTGGTCGAGGCAAAGTATAATAGAAAGGAAGATTCGTTGCGGCTGGAGGAGGCGTAAGAGGCCGCTGTATAAGACACTTTAGATGTAGAGAATAGCATAAGGGCTCTAACATTACCTTTCGCGCGCCAGAGTTTGGATACCGACTCGTCAGAGACAGATGAGATGAGCTGGTCTACACACGTCATGGCGAAATCGTCGTGGCACGCAGGAGACTTTGCGAGAGGAACGTGAGCCAAGAAATGATGACATAGTCGGATACTCACATTATTGCCGCGAACTAGAATAAGATACTCTAAGTATCTAGCTGCGGCAGACGTACTGACGTCCCGAAGTTGTTTGAGGGTGGCTAAGTCGTCTTCGGGTTTATCTCTCCGTTTTCCAGAATGCAAGGTCTTCAAAAGCTGTTCATCGGATAAATTTGGAATGCGAGATGTGAGTGAAGAAATAGTGATTACCTCGAGCCCGCGTTCGGCATCCCGTTGCGCCAACCACACACCCCATTTCTGGACTAAACCGCGATCCCGTTTCTGCTTGAGGAGTGCAATCATCTGGGAGAGGGGATCTGGGACAGTATCGTCCTGATACGTCCCTTCCACAAGTCTAGATATAGTCAGTTCAGGTCCAGGTATTAAATACATTATACGACACACTTTGACCATGTATCCAACAACTGCGTGTCGTCATTCTGTGATTTGTAGATAAGGCATAAAGCGTGGAAGAAGCTGCCCTCTCGAAGGAGAGCATCTATTTCGCCAAGGGCAACATAGTTCTGATTCTCCAGAAGCATGTGTAGGTCCTCTTTCCTCCCTTCCAGAATATATAGTTTCGCAAGAACGGTGTCCACGGTGACGTTAACGGCTTGTGTGGTCGGAAGTCCCGAATCCTTCGACGCCTGCCGTTTTATGCGGCACTTTCGCAAGAACGCAAGCAGCATGTCGCGCGCTGCGAGGTTGAGGATCTTGCGCAACTCGACGGTCGGCGGCGCGGAACGCGTGTTCGGCGCGAGATGGGGCGAGTAGTTCCTGACTAGGTTCATCACAACTACCATTAGTCCCAGCACATAAAACACAAAACGTGAGTGGACAGCAGGCGGGGACGGAGGCGGGGCGGGAGACGATATCGGCATGGTTGGGGAAGGGTGTACTCACTGATATCGTCGACGGAGGCATCCGGCGGCATGCGTTCAGCCACTCCAGCAAAGACGTCCAGCGCATCCTCCGCGCTGAATAGAGACCCCCGAAGGTCGGGATAATAGCTGACCAGAAGCCGTGGGTCGAGGTCGCCGTTTATGAAGTTGGTGCCAGCGTCTTCGAACATGGTCTCCTCGAAGCATTGGAACCCAATTCGTTGGTACACGTAGCGCAGTTCGTCGCTCTGTTCGCCCATATACTCGTTAGATAGCCGTGTATGAGCAAGCCACTGCGAGACATACCTCGTCCTCATCGGGGGTGATAGATTCCTGGACCTTGCGGCGCCGCTGGTCCGCAAGGTCGATTGCATCTTGAATTCGGTGACTGGAGAGGAGTGATTCGACCTGAGATATCAGCGTCGAGGGCAGCAGCGCCGATATCTGCTGCTCGCCCAGTAGCAGCACGCTTGACCGCGGAAACGAGCCATTGAACATGTCCGTCAGCAGTGTTGACTGTTGCGGGATAGACGAAGGTATTTAGCGTGGTAAAATTATTTATGATATTTCATTTTGCCTCCGAAATTGAGACGGTTGCCTTCTCCGGAATCAAAGATTGGTCGCTGCAGAGGTGAGCAAGGGTTGCTTATATATGTATTAAGATTATGGTACATGAATAATAGGGCATAGTGTATACTTTTTTACCTAAATAAACCAATGTGAACGGGCCGTAGAGCTTGAGTGGGGTATGATATATCGAAAGCACGAAACAGCATGAAACAAGGGAAATTTGACAGAGGGACGAAGGAAACTAACTTCCCCACCGCAGAATGCCCTCATATATTGAGTACATCACGGCAGCGTTGGGAACGACGCGCATCAGATGTGCACTCAGACCACCGTACATGGAGCGGGCCCCTTCCTCCGCTATCACCAGACGGAGCGTCTGCAGCAAGCCCGTGTACTTGACAACACCGTTGACGCTAGGCTGTCGCAAACGCGTCCTTAGGACCTATAATTATGTCAGACGCAAGCGCAACAGAGTTTGACCAGTCTACTCACTTCATGTGGATACGTGATGAGACTGGCGACACACTTCGCCGTCCCAGCACTCCCCAGCATCCCAAGCCACTCCTGGATACCACCCTGACCCTCGGTGGCGGCGCTCATCTTCTTCAACTTTTCATACAGCACCCACTGTATCGTCCCTTCCGTGACCCCCAAGTAGCTCGCGCTGAGACCCTTGTAGAACCCTCGTATCCCCTCATTCCGCAGGATATCCTTGATCGTTGCCCAGCTTCCTCCAACAACTCGCGCGCCGCCCTCCTGTGAGAGCTGCAGTCGCGTCTTTACAACCCAAATCGGATTCGTCGCAGTCCCCGTTGCGATCCCTGCGACCGCAGCAGCGGCAAGGTGCACGTATGAATTCTCCTCCCCGTGGTTGAAATTGTTGGCTATAATTTGTTTGCCGTTACCGTATACGAAGAAGTTGATGGAACGCGCGGGTATGACACCGACAAGTGTTGGGCCTAACCCCTTGAAAAGAGCCCGCGGAGACTCCTCTCGGTAGATATCTCTGAGGAGGAGTTTAGTAACCAAGCAGTTCATTCTAATTGTTTCGTACCGGAGAATGTAGCCCGTTTCGACAAAGTTATACATGAGCCCCGACCTTGGTGGCCCAACGACCAACCCACAGGTTCCGTTCCCCGTAGCCATCCCGATTGCGGGTTGTTTGTCACGAAAGAGGCTAGACTGTAGGCGCGTTTTCACCACGTCAAATGGGCTAGTGACAATAGCCCCGCACATGCCACCTAAACTGCATGTCATTTGAGCAAGGATGGAAAATGTATTGATAACGCTATAGTTACCCTCCAGCAAGGAAGTGCTGCCACGACTTTGCAGGAAGTAATGAAGTTGAATTCGAGCTTGCAGCATCTGCCATGTCGGGAAGTCTAAGGTCTATGCTATGTCAGGACGTCAGAAGGAGAGGAGAAGAAAGTCGGCGAAAGGGGAGAACGGCGCGTCCGAGTCGGTATCCAAACGGATTTTTCTGAGCCACGTGACTCATCAAGATAAGATAAGATGTGAAGCGTGAGTAATTATCCTCGTCACTTCGCGCTTGCTCAGTTCCAAGTGCACTGCTGCAATTTCCCTCTTGTTTCTTCCATGACCAAGGATTTCACCAACACGCTCGATTGGCATGTGTACAGGGAAGAGAGTCTGAAGACTGGTGGGCTCGGTCCGCGCAGAGTAGAGATATGGTAAGCGTCTCTACACTACGACTGGGGCCACCGTAGTAATTTTGTGCGGTAGGCCTTTGCTCTTGCACGCCCGTAAGCCACAAGACGAGGAGGCACATCCAATACCCCCAGCGCACCCAGATGAGCGACAAATACAACTTGACACCGATCGCAGCTTCGTTCTCTATCCCGTAGGTGAACCATTCGCTTCACGTGTATCCCTGTGCTCGGAATATAACTCCAGCTCATTCGCAGACCCGCTATTGGAGAAAGAATCCCTCAAAAGACAGCTACACGAACTGATTGTCTCGGTGTTTCGAAAAAGACCAAGGCTGAGCTACTTTCAAGTCAGTTCAGTCGCGGCGTAAAGTCAAAGTGGTCGCTGAAAGAAAGACAGGGTTACCATGACATCGTATCCGTCCTATTTCTGACGCTTCCACCAGAAATGCAGTTTTGCTGCACAGAAAAACTTAGCCTGCAGCGCGTTCGGGATTCAATGGGGTCTACACTCGAACCCGTTCTTGGTCTACTACGGTTTGCATTCATCGTTTCTGTCTTTGTCACCTTCGCCTTACCCTAGTAAATACAGTGTCATGAGCCGCCTTTTGCGGCTCGCGGACCCACCACTTTCATCGCTACTAGAGCAGATATCCCCTCTTCCTTACTACGCTTTGTCGAATCTGCTGACGCTCTTCGCCCACGATATGCCCTGCCTGCCGCTAATCCAACACGTCTTTGATTATCTTCTCTGTAGACCTCCGATAATGGTCGTCTATCTAGCAAGCGCGGTGCGTTCTCTAATAAATGATTTCATCCGCGACGCTTACGACCAATTAGATACTGCTGTCGAGAAAAGCGGAGATCGAGAGACTCGAAGAAGCGGGGGAAGAAGGGATGGTGCACTCCCTGCTCAGCGGACTGCCAAACATCTACGACGAGGACGCGGGTTCAGATAAAACGAACACCCTTGCGGATGTGTATATACCACTGGAGGGCGAGGCCACTGTCGCCGCAGCCGACGATGAATCGGATAGCCTTGAGGTGACACCTTTAGATGACAGGAACTCTGTAGGAGAAGCTGAAAGCAAGCCTCCCGAAGATTCCGGGGAGAATGCGGCGGGAAAAGACGAAAAACGGAGTGAAGAAGACAAGGTGGAGGTCCACCCAGCGACGGAGCCAGTTGATGAGAAGGAACCGCTGGAAGAAATCAAAGAGCTCGTTGAAGAACTCTCGCTCTCCAACGACGTAGACACAACCTCAACGGACGAAGCACAAGAACCGTATTTGCGCCTCATGCGCCCCCGAGTGTCGCTGTCGTCTCTCCTCGTCGCCGCTGACGAACTGTATGCGAAATACCCGCCCACGCACCGCGATATCTCGCTCACATCCATCATGGGCCCGCAGAGCGTCGTGTTCACATGGTCCGAGTCGCTTTCTGAAATGCCGGACGACGATGAAGCGGAGCGCATGGTCGAGAAGCCAGAACTGATAGTGCGGCCGTACACAGAGCCCCATACGGAGAAATCGGAAAGTGAGCCGGGGAGGGAGAAGCATAAGCAGAGGAGGACGCGGGGGACGTTTTTGGGCGGGCGTGTAGAAAAGCGCACTGTAGTAGCGGGTGCGGTGCTGACGATTGGGGTAGCGGTCGCTGTGTACGGTGTGCGAACGAGATCGTTGAACGGTACGTCTATGGGGAAGGATGGTGTCAAAGACTGGCACACGATGGGTATGTGGCTTGGAGGGTCGCTGATGAGTGCGGGCGAACGTATTTTTGGCGCGAAAAAGCCGTAGGTGGAAGCTCTTGTGTGTACGTCCTGTCGATTCGCTCTTACTACTTATATTATTTGCATTTTTGTGTCTAACGCGGAAGTGATTTGGTCATCTGGGTCTTTACCCGGAATTTTTTTCAATGGATCTTAGCCAAACGGATTCGACCAAGGGAATGTCGTCCCTCGTTATGATGACTACGCTTGGCTGACCGCCTTCTCAGATTTTACTCACGACATTACATCAGGGAATCCCCGGGACTCTTGTATGGCCTTGCAAGACGCTAGCAATCCCTCTTAAGGGGTACCATGTCTGCAAGGTGCACAAGACTTCCAGCGATGTTTGTAAGTCCATAATAGGCCAAGTCCTTATAGTGAAGCTAGACCAGTGTTGATTGGGTGATTGCTCGTGGGATTGGGTGATAACGAAAGACGTGACATGGAATACAAGCTCTTGTACACATATCAGAAAGGCGGTACGTGTGAAGCAGTCGATAATCTCCGAAACACTATATATTATTGATCTTTTGGCATCTCACAATTATGTTATAGGCGCATCCAGGAGGCCCCTTAGAGGCTACCAGGGGCGCATTCACGCGCGTTTGGGGCTATGGACTCGGGCTGTGCATACATGCAGCTACTCGGACATTTCACGGATATTGGACTTGTACATATTCAAACACGCTGTACTTACTCCTGACTGTTTCACAGATGTGCAGCTACCATGTGTTCCCCAGTATATAGTCTTGTACCGTACCTACAGTTACCTCAGTTCAAATATTAGTTCCTTTTCCACACTCGCATCCTTGCCTCTTCATTGAGGTCTCTGTCTCACTCCCCTTGCCTCCGCCCGTACCCTCGGTACCTGTGTAGGAACCCCCTCAGGAAATACAGGGCACACAAGAGTGTGGGAGGCACAGTCAGTAGCTGAAGCCAAGCCTGTATGTCCTCGCATTCTCGTTTGCCCTCCGCACCTCTGTGTGGAAATGTGCACCCACGGGGCTGCGTAGTCCCAAGCCTCCCACAAGTGTAGCTCTTGACATTGATGCCGGATTCCCACCACAAGGATTTTCCAGTCACAGCTTTCGTCGGGGTACAGCATCTGCAGCCGCAGCGGCAGGTTGTAAGGGCAACCTCAAGATGGCCGACAGCGCAGGCCTAGCAGAGGGAGAATCTGTAAGGGCAACCTCAAGATGGCCGACAGCGCAGGCCTAGCAGAGGGAGAATCCAAAGATAATGAATAAGGCTAACTACAATACATGAGAGGGCTGCTCACCTAGCAGAGGGAGAATCCAAAGAGAACAGGATAAGGATTCTCCATGCTAGGAAGTGAAGTATATACTGTAGTAGCGTGAGAGGAATGCAGGATAACTGTACAGTACACCAGCCACAAGTCCGAACAAATATCACAAGGTACAAGGAAACATGTGATAATGAAGTGGAGGGTAAATGCACAGGAGTCGTGCCAGCGACTTGGGGAAGTAAAGGCGAAGAGTAATGAAGTGGGGGAAAAGGATAGAGGTAACCCGGACGAGCCCCGAAGAGTATAGATGAGTCCGAGCGAGTCCGAAGTGTCCGAGACGAGTCCGAGCGAGTCCGAGGCGGGTCCAAAGTGCAGGAAGACCTCGGAGTCACCGGACGAAGCTCGGATGCAAAAGGAGTGAGTGGAAAGGAAGTGGAAAGGAAAGGGGACAAAGGGGATGTATGTAAGAGTCCGTGGGATGAAGGAAGGGAGAAAGGAATGAGGAGGAAGGGAGGGGGACAGGGGAATGGGAGAAAATAGGAGTGTCCCCTTACAGGCGCTGGTGCAGCGATGCTTACCGCTTATACATTGACACTCCCAAGGACTGCACTCTCAACCTATCATCGCGTCTCCACATGGCCAATCCTCATTCCTCTGCTTTCGAGCCTCCGTCTCTACGCTTTGCACCTTCCCTGGCTTGAGTTCGGCCACCTTACAGGGGTTTCTCCCTTCCAGGAGTTCAGCTGTGTTCCACGTCCGGGTTCCATTTGTTCCCGGTCCGTGAACCAGCCGCCAAACGAGAGAGCTTGTGGCGACAACGAATACATCTTTGTTATCCCAAACGAGCTGGATGGACGGCAAACCACACAAATTATCATCACATGACTGGCCAAATCAGAATCGAGTGGCCTTGAGTGGCCTTTACTTCCCAGTTCAGGCTCTTCCTTACACCCACAAGATAGTCTAAGTGGCTTCAACTGTTCCTACCATAAATAATGCAAACGATACACACATCATGTTAGGTATGTACTTTGCAAGTCCTCTCTTTCGTAGGTACAGATTCTCATTGTGGTATATCTGGCGGTCCACCACATGTCCACGTGATGCCCATGTGGCACCACGTGGTCAAGTGATTTGCCACATGGATACCACATGGATACCACTTTTGCCACAGTTATCCTGCATTCCTCTCACACTACTACAGTATATACTTTGCTTCCTAGCATGGAGAATCCTTATCCTGTTCTCTTTGGATTCTCCCTCTGCTAGGTGAGCAGCCCTCTCATGTATTGTAGTTAGTCTTATTCATTATCTTTGGATTCTCCCTCTGCTAGGCTTGCGCTGTGCGGCCATCTTGAGGTTGCCCTTACAGGAATGAGCTTGCCAAGCTGCTGCGGCTTGAACTCATGCTTGCCAATAGATGCGACGATCATGGCATCGATGTCGGGAAATAAATCAGGAATAGATAACACACCAATCGAGGCATTAGACATTGCGGGGGGACATAGGAGAGCAAGGGGGGCCAATTGAGGGCTTGGCGCGACAGGGTTGGCCAGGGCAGGTTGTGTAAGGGGACACTCCTATTTTCTCCTATTCCCCTGTCCCTCTCCCTTCCTCCTTCGTTTCCTTTCTCCCTTCCTTCATCCCATGGACTATTATCTACATTCCCTTCATTTCCTTTCCTTCCCTCTCGCCCCCTTACCTTTCCGCTTCCCTTCCGTTCACTCCCTTCGCATCCGAGCCCCGTCCGGTGACTCCGAAGTCTTCCCGCGCTTCGGACTCGCCTCGGACTCACTTGGACGCCTTGGACTCGCTCGGACACTTCGGACTCGCTCGGACTCGTAGATACACTTTGGGGCTCATCCGGGCTACCTCTATCCTCCTTTCCCACTTCATTACTCCTTGTCCCCACTTCCCCAGGTCGCTGGCACGACTCCTGTACATTCCCCTTCCACTTCATTATCACATGCCCCCTCGTACCTTGTGATATTCGTTCGTACCTGTGGCTGGTGTACTGTACAGTTACCCTTCATTCCTCCCACGCTACTACAGTATATACTTCGCTTCCTAGCATGGAGAATCCTTATCCTGTTCTCTTTGGATTCTCCCTCTGCTAGGTGAGCAGCTCTCTCATGTATTGCAGTTAGTCTTATTCATCTCTTTGGATTCTCCCTCTGCTAGGCTTGCACTGTGCGGCTATCTTGAGGTTGCCCTTACAGGTTGGACAGGAGCAACAGGAGGAGGCTGAGGAGGAGTACTTGCTGCCATGCGGAGCAGGTCCAAAATCTCTTTCATGCTCGGTTCAAGCCCTACTATGTGCTGTTCCAGGGGATTGCCTTTGGGTTCGGCTGGTGGCATCGTTCTTCCTTCACCTGGCATATCTGGTTCATCTGGGGACAAAGGCCGGGATAATGTTGCTGTTGGTGAATGAGTTGGGGACGAGAGCAGAGTGGCTGAGGGATGCAATTGAGTGGCTGAGGACGACGATGAAAGAAAGCGGCCATTGGCGTCGCGAGGACGAGTAAAGGCGCGAATTCTCCGTGGAGGCATCCTGAAAAGAAGAAGAAGCCGCTCAATGTGCTATCGAGCATGAATGTAAGAAGATGAAGAAGTGGTAAACTAAATATAAGTTTACCTATCAAGCGTGAATGTAAGAAGATGAGGACCGTACATGGGACAGTGGTACATATATATATACGTGTGCGCGAGACAAAGGCGCGAAGCTCAAAGGGAGTGATAGGGGACAGGGGTTCACGTGCACTCGCAGATGGACCGTGGATAAAGTTCCTCTATCCTCACAGCCTCAGTTCCCATTCGACAAGATAACTCGAAAGTAACGGAGGTTCAACGTTCAACGTTCACGGCTATCCCACCGTCTTTGGAGGCGGTGGCCTCAACCGGCAGAACCTGAGCGGGTTTCCGCGGATTATTGTAACATAATTCGTCGTCCGTACCTTCTGGATGATCAATATACATCTACGAGAGGGGTCGTACTACGAGGACTTACAATATGTGGGGTTCAGTGGGGAGGCAACGTCGAAAGTGTTATTGCGCTTCGTCTGGACTTTGTATTCCATACAGACACGAGTAGATGTAGGTAGGTGGCACTTCGCGTCCGGTCGTTGCCCTGGCCCTTTAGTAGCGCGGATCGCTTCAACGGTGGGCGCAAGGGACCCCTCAAGGTGAACATGCAGCTTCTCAAACCCGATTTCAGCTCAACTAGGTCTGTCGTCGAGTGAGGGTGTGAGATACAGTATGCCTGAATACTAGCATCTGAAATTGAAGCTATTTCATGGCTTGAATCGGGCATTAGAGGAGCGAGTGCTCGCCTTCACTTTCATTGGGCTATGCCACTGACATATAGCCTTTAGTTTGATGACTCCAGTGTCGACAATGAGTGGGCGAGTTTGGCCTCGCAGTGTTTGCATCGGCGTGTCTTGCCAAACAAATTGACAGCCTGAACTCAGCAACTCACCACGGCTCGACGATTTCAACGATTACTCTTGTACCTTATCCATCACCTTCTCTTGTCCTTCTTCGTTTTCATACACGATACGCCCACGATGGTGAGTCCTTGGTTCAATCGCCAACGAAGTGCTCTAACCCGCCCCGTCACGCAGTCCACGAACTGTCGCCGCCGTCTCATAAGAGACTTCAAACGATTGTCCACGGATCCGCCTGGTGGGATCTCGGGGAGCCCATGTCCCGACAACATAATGCTATGGAACGCTGTCATTTTTGGACCAGGTATGTCCTTCTCTCCAGATCAGCGACCAGCGCACAAGACCATTGCCCCACCTTGCAGCCGAAACGCCATTCGAAGACGGCACGTTCAAGCTTCTCCTCACTTTTGATGAAACATACCCCAATAAGCCCCCCACCGTCAAATTTTTGTCTCGCATGTTCCACCCCAACGTCTACGCCAACGGAGAGCTATGTCTCGACATTCTCCAAAACCGCTGGTCGCCTACGTACGACGTCGCCGCCATCCTCACATCCATCCAAAGTCTGCTGCACGATCCCAATCCGAACAGTCCGGCAAACGCGGAAGCTGCGCAGCTGTACAGGGAAAACATGAAGGAGTACGTTCGTCGTGTGAAGGCAACAGTAGAAGAGAGCTGGTTGGATCCAGAGGAGAAGATTCAGACAGACGAGGGCTCGCAGTAATTTTTCTCTTCTACGTGTATCGATATTTGTGACCTTAATTTTGTTGCCATTGCGGATCTCGTACCTCCATCATCTAGGATCTCCTGTATGTCATATCTGGACCCCTCATGGATCTTACGATGAAACATCAGTATACTCAGCGGGTCTAAGTCCTTCACGGGTTGAACGGCGATACTCGACTTCGAGTAGGCCGTAAACTAGTTTCCTGAAGTGCCCAATGGCGTTCTCTCGAGACAGAACATGCTCGTACAAGCCTAAAGCGACATTCTGGGCGGCATCTTTGTTTGGTGCACTCTAAACCCCCCGCTTGATCTGATGTCGATGAGATAAGGCAACACTGTTTCTATCCTTGAAGCTATCACTGTTTGCTTCACCACAGCGTGCGTCTAGCGTTGGCGGTATGTCATCAGGATCGAGTACTGAAGCTTGAAGGGGTGAGTCTTACATATCAAATCAACGGGTGAATGGTAATAGTGAAGCTGACTTGCAGCATAGTCTTCGGTAGATAACGCAGGCTTTGAACTGCTAATTTGCTCAAGGTGTAGGCAGGGGCCGTTCTCGTTCGACCATTTTCAACAGGCACTTATGAATGGTAACTCCGAAGTGACCTTGAATACCTCAGGATACTCGTACATCACGTCTTGGGAAGAAATCGAGGCTTCTGCTAAGACCACGGGGTGTAACTCGTGCGGTCTTCTGAATATCTACAGCTCAGCCGCCGTAGCCAAAACTCGAGCAGAAACCGGTATCACAACCCCGCCCGAGCAGAAGATACAACTACGCTACTGCATCGAAAGTCAAGAGCGTGGCCGCCCGAACGAGTTACTGCTATTCATCGATTCTTTGAAGTTTGGGAGGTTCAGGATTTGTGCGGAAGAAGGTATGTGCGTACGCGACGAGTTCTGGACTTCGATGTCACCTGGCTTTAGGGGATGATGCAGCCAACTATATCGGCCGTCAAGACCCTTTGCAAAAGATCACCCCGTCTGTTGACTACGCTCTCTGTACGAAGCTGATTGCAGCATGCGGACTACATGAATCTTGCAGACGGCACCAGGAAGTCGGGCTGCCGACACGACTGATCGATTGTTCAGAACCGGACAACCCCCGCGTCGTGATCACCGCAGGCCAGCGCGGGTTCTACGCCACGCTCAGTTACGTCTGGGGCGGGGCACAACCACAACAACTTACAAAGGCGACACTAACGGCATACATCCAGCGTATTACCACGCCCCTCCCGCAGACGATCGAGGATGCTATCTTCGTGACCCACCAACTAGGTCTACCTTACCTTTGGGTTGATGCCTTGTGCATCATACAAGATTCAGACGACGATAAACTCCAGGAGCTTGGACATATGCACGACATCTACGAACATGGGCATGTCATGCTGACACCCGAGTTCGCATACAGTGCTCGCGAGGGATTCCTACCAGAACGCAGACCGCCTGTGCGCTTGCCCTTCTACACGCCAACCGGGCGCATAGGAACCATGTTAGTTCGACATGGGCTCGAAGTCGACAGGCAAAGCGATAGTCGCTTCCTACAGCTCCGTGCGCAAGCTTCAGAGAGCCTGCTAGCATACGAAAGCATCAACACGCGGGTGCCCATATTTACCCGGGCATGGTGCTTTCAGGAGAATACACTGGCGCCGCGCTCGGTTATATTCTGCTTCCCCGAGGTTTACTTTCGATGTCGCAGCACCAGAGCGAAGGTCACTGAGGACGCGAATCCCAGTCGCGATATCAACTCGAGTGACGTGAGCTTGTTATTTCCGAAGGCACTTCCGGAGGAGGGGCGCATGAGCCTTGGGCTGCAGAGCTTATGGTACCGCATGGTGCTGGACTATTCAGAGCGGCTGCTATCCTTTCCAGCCGATAAACTCAATGCAATTGCTGGTGTCGCCGAGGCATTTCATATGGCAGGTGCGGGTGAGTATCTCGCTGGCTTATGGCGTTCGACTCTCCTTGAGGACCTCATGTGGATTACTTTTGATCACGGGAGCCAGCCTTCAGCCCGGCCAGAATACCGAGCGCCTTCGTGGTCGTGGGCATCAGCGGATTGCCAGGTGCACATGCACCCATGGGAGGACGAAGCGTGGGATCGCCGCGCCGAGTATAGGGCAGAAGTTGTCGCTTGCACTGTGTCACCCATCAGCACGAAAAATCCCTTTGGTGCGGTGTCGGGGGGCGTCCTCACATTGCGAACCAAAATGGAGCCCATCGATTGGGATCCGGTGGCCTGCCGTGTCGTTAAGACGGATTCACATCCAAAGGGCCTTTTGGGGGAACAGGACCGTACACATGCCATTGACGAAACGGCGGCGGTTACCAAAGAGTATCAGTACCAATTTGTTCTGCTTGCGGCAGGGTACGATATGTCCTACGAAGGGAGGTGGATGAAGGGTCTGGTAGTTCTTTCCGTGGGGAAAGATGGTGCCTTTACTCGGGTACAAGCTGTCGACGACTACATTGTATCGGTATGGTATGAGGCCGCTCCGACGAGGACCATATCAATCGTCTGATTATAGCTATACAACAATGCGAAGCACCCTTGAGATACATTTATACAGCCGCGAGCGAGGGCAAAGAAAGTGTCATGGTAAACCTTGGGTAAGGTGGGCAGTTCTAGAGGCAAAGTCGCCCATCGTTTCCATAGCTGCGCTCCGATTCGGAAAACAGGGGTAAACAAGCTTCGACTGTAGCAGATAGTCAATTCATTTGAAATCAAGACACTCGTGTTTTCCTGGATGAGTTGACGAGTTAGTAACGCGACCCATAGGCCGCCGTCGAAGGCTTCAAGGCTCGATGCAAGTCAGCACGCACTAGAGATATTTCAGCACAAGCCAGAGAGAACGAGAGAGTGAACATAAATTATGCCAAGTTGTTCAGATAGTCAACATTTAACGTATCAAGGTCCGCATTCCGGGTGGATTCCTGTTCAGACACTCTTTCAATCTCTTTGTCTCAACGGGCGTGCATATCTAACTGAATACTGCAAAAAGTTGGGTTGCGTGAAATGGATTGTCTCATACTATATATGATTGACCTTTATGGCATGCCACTAGCGTTCACGTCGGACGTTGGTGGTGGAAGGTATGAGTGGACATGGTCCCGGTGACCCACTCTGTGGGCGCTTACACCATTTCTCCACAACGATGGTTCCAACTTCACAGTACCACAATTTCTATCGTTTCTACTAGATTGGTGAATTTTCACCCAATTTGAACGCCATAGTGATGGTTCACGAACATCTGCTCTCCCGAAAGTTCCCTCACTTCAAAAATCACGGCCCTTGGAGCGTCATATGGTAGCCGCTGCGTTATTATCGATTGGAGTAACGATTGCCGTGTACGAGATCCTCATACGGTGTGTCCGTAGAGAAATATGGTTTAGAGACTGCAGACGACGGTCGTGTGGCTCGGAGGGTCGTTGATTCGTGCAAACGTGTGGCCATTGCATTAGAGGATATGGGATAGCTTTCACGTACGTTCTGTCGATCTACTTTGATTCACCCCACTTTCATGCTTGCGACCAACCCGATATAACTTGGAGGTGAGCGGACTTTTCATATTGACTAGATGAGTGTACCGCCATTATCTCACAAGGGTAGTTATGGTTCGCTGACCACCTTCCTGATCAGCGAGCTCAAACGTATCAACTTATGTATTCCGCCAGTACGAAGTTGCCAGAATGTGGAACACATTTGGGCGGCCATCATCTGTGTGGGCCAGTAGATGTGGTTCTTCGACTCTACTTGTTTTGTAGGCTCGCCAGCGCCGTATCTTGGATAGTAAATGTATCCTCGTCACTGGCGCGACATCTGGCATTGATCGGGCGCTGGCGCTGAAGCTCAGAGATTGCCAGGCAAGGCACAGGTCATTGCGATAGGGCGACGCCAAGGTCGCCTCGACGAGCTTGCTACCCAGGATTTGCAAGCCATCAATTTAGATGTTCAGGAAAGTCCTCAAGAACTCAAAGCGATCGTAGCGAGGGCTCTTTTGTCAGAAACGAGGTCCTACGCTACTATCTTGTTAGCTTGGTACGATAGTCTTGAACGCGGGAGTTCAGCACCCTTCACCGAACCGTCGAGCGTCGACTTTGACAATACGTTGTTGTAGAAGCCTATTGGCATGTTGATGCTGACTACGGCGACCATCAGAGATTGCGGAGGAACTCAACGTAAACGTCAATCATGGCCACCGTTGTAGCCCTAATGCCGCATTTCCAGAAGTTGGCGGTAAGCTCGCCCAATTTTTAGCATGTACTTCTCAACTGAGTACCGGCGATTAGGCCCAAGGCAGAGACTGCTTCTTCATCGGCATCTCCTCCGGATTGAGCATGGTCTCCGCTGCCTGGATTCCGAACTACTCGGCATCCAAGGCGGCAAGCCACAGTTTCTTGATGGCCCTTCGCGCGCAACTTGTGGATAGCAGAATCCATGTTGTCGAAATCAAGCCACGTTAAGCACGCAATTGGTCAAGCTTGATCGTAATTTGACTCCGTGGAAACAACCAGCCTCGTAGAGTCGGAATTGCATGATCGTAGGTATACCTTTATAGGCAAATGAAGGTATTGACGTCCCACCTCGTTCCCTAGCATATGGTACCCCGGAAGCTCTCTCGAAGTCGTGGATGCCCCTGGAGGAGTTCACGAAACTGACTATTGGAGGATTACTCGAAGGCGATGACGACGTTTCTGTGGGAATGTCTGCCAGCATGTTCCAGAAGTTTGAGGCCGGCACAAGTCAGATAGCGGTTCACTTGATGAAGAACCATAAAGCCGGTAACTCATACTGAGAAATACGTTCTGTAGGCGTAATGTTACCAGACTCGAGTTATGGAACAGATTGCATAGTCTAAACGCTCAGAGCAGGCACAGATTGAACGTTGACGGCACAAAGACATCTGTAAAAGGGATGCCATGGCGAAGACATCGACAAGCCCAGAGGATGTCACGCACTCTTTGCCCAGCATCCGGCTCATTTGTAATCTTGGTTTGTAGGTTTAGCACTTTCCGCAGCACCAGGAGGCCTTTAGGTTCCTCTGCTTGGAGTCTTGGGTACCCACGTCCTCGAACTTGGCACCTTCTCTAGGGACCAAAGCATCTGTGACTACATCATCCATCTATCGTGATAGAAGTTACTGACAGCGCCGAGCCATCGTGATAACGGGCCAGCATCTGCGTGCATTGCAACTGACAGCAGAATCTGAGGTAATAGGAACCATTGACTCGGGACGACTCATCTTCTGGGCCTGATACAGTATAAAAGCCTCGAGATATGAGCCTATGGTACAGCAACTACCCAGCTCATTATCCACGTAAGTCACCAGGTACTCCGAGCCTGCGAGGACGAGGACTTACTAGTATCGCATGGACAGTATGCCATTCGCTGAATCTAGTCGTGATTGGTACCTCGAAGGAAACGTCCTGCACGCGACGTGCCAGGATAGCGAGGGCGATTGGGTCGAATCTTCTTTGGACTTGGACGATGTTCTCGGCAACAACGATGGCGAATTCGAAGCTGGTGCAGAGGGATTCTCGGCATCGGCCACTGACGTGCGAATAGACGTCGACGCTGGTTATACCATCCTCCGAGCATCTCTTCAGCGTGCCGATGGGGAGTGGAATGATGCTACCATAGACCTCAACTCCTTCATTGAGAACAATAATGGCCAGCTTTCTACCTGATTTGTAAGTCTCACCTGCACATTTCATGATGGCTCATCTATAACTACATATCAGAGGCATCGAATACATGGTTGCGAAGGGTGTATAGCAGGCCCCTGTATGTTAGGGGCTATCCAGTATTGTTAATGGGAGTAGATTGCTTTGGCGCAACGTGTTGTCTGTGCATCGACGGGTTCCTAAGAGTGCTGACGGGAATAGTATTAATTTCCTTCTGTTATTTATGTTGCAGTCTCTCGATACCAAGAATTGCTTAGCCAATGTTGCTTCGCACTCCTTCGCGCCATTTCTGGTCTCCTCTCGTATTCATATAAAATCTGTATATGCAACATGGAATAAAAGAGCAATCATATCGAAGTAATAGTAGCATTTATGTAACGAATGATCGTGAAGGAAATCATCAACAGTTAATCGTCGTCGCGCCACACGTCATACTTGTGTACATCATCTGGATCGTAGGGAGTTTCAGCATTCAACGGGAGGCGGTGAGAGCCAGTCGGCGCCATGAGGTTGACGGATTCGTGATATAGGGACCAATGATAACTCGTGAGTTTTGACGTATCATGGTAATCCCGCAGGAGGCCAGGCATTTTGGGCGGAGCGGTAGCCCATTCTTGCCATTTGTGAAGTTCAACCTCGCGCGACGGTTCTTGGATGTATTCGTCCAGTTCAGGGTCACCAGGGTCTTCTTGAGGGGGAGCTGCGTCGACGCCGGCAAGCCATTCCGAGACATAGGTATCGACATCCTCGAGTTCTTCAGCCTCGTCCAAGCTATGTGAGCCCAAGGCATTCACAGAAGAATCGGGGACGAGAGATGGAGTACCCGCCGAAGAAGTGCAGGGGTCGAGCATAGGGACATCGACCGCGTCACAAGGTGCCGCTTGTATGTTCCCCGCTCTATTCTGGGAGTTTGAAGCCCTTCCTGATTGCTTGGCTACACGTCCCGACTTGCGAGATCCATTTCTCTGGCTCTCGTCGGCTTCGGAGCTACCATCATCATCCATCTGAGATGTATGGCTGCTCCGACCGTCATCACCCTCGTCCTCGTCTTCACCTCCGGCAATTTGAGGCGGTTTTAAGGGAAGTGGGAGCTTGAACCACTGTCGATAAATTTCTAGGAGAATTTCGGCCGCGGGGCCGAACTGCGATGGGTTTTGCGCTTCCAATAGCTTGCTGCCAGCATTGACAATGACGAAGAAAGGATGTACGTGGGAATGGAAGGCGGGAAAGTCGGTATATGGAGGGGAGAAAATGTGATAATGCAAGGCGAGCTCGAGTAGCTTGGACACTTCGTACTCTAGAGTGGCTGAAATTGAGTCACAGAGATGACCTGTTACTGTCTCGCGTTCCATCATGCGACCCAATAATGATAGCCTTCTTGCTTCTGCAAATAGCGCGTCGACCTGTGCATGCAAAGCCGCATTCTCCAAACGTAGAAAAGAGTTATTGTCTTGACAAGCGGCAAGCTTTTCTTGAGCGCCCTCTGGAGAAGGGAGGGAAGGTGCTGACGACCGAGAGAGCAAATGGGCGTTCCTTCCACGTAGCTCTTCATTCTCTGCGGCCAATGCGTTTAACGTAGTGTTGCAGGTTTGAAGGTCGGCCAATTTAACCGAAATGTCACGTCTGTTGGCGATATTGACAAGATCGCTGTCGAGATCTGAGGTCTTTGAATCCTTTCGGCGAAGTAATGGCGGGTATTTAGCAGTGTCACTCTTGCCAAGCCAGAGAAGTTGATACTTGTCTTTCGGCGACTTGTCCTTCAAACATTTAGAGAACTAGACGGGTGACTTCTAAGCTAGAGGACGTAGCTAAATCAAGTGAACACAACGAACCTGAGAAAATAGGTCGCCTTTCTTGCTATATGATGTCGGCATGAACGTTGCGCCTGCGATTTCGAGAAGAAGTTCTTCTGTTGGTAGAATGGCCCACCGATTCGCATTAAAGGCGCGGTGCCAATCAACACGCACTGAAGGGCTGTGAGAGCTACGCCCACAGATGGCCAGATAGACGCACTCACGATACATCAAATTAGCGGGAGAGTCAACGTTGGGCAAGTCATTCATGTACCAGGCGTCTTGAAGGGCACGTAGCTAAATATCAGATAAGCTCATATATTCACCCGAGTAAAGCTCCACATACGCGAGTTGTACTTGATGCCGCTGGGACGACATGTGCTATTTCAACGGCACATGGCTTTTGCAGTGGATCCAAGGTGAGGGTGCAACATTTCCCCAGTGCCGTCTTCTCGAGTTCCAGTTTTACCGAGTCAGGCAGACTCTGTCGAGACCCTTTTTTGTGACCTCGTTGCCTTTTGTTTTTGTGATTGTAACTGGGGTCCTTCGCCTCGTCATCGTGGTTGGAGAACTTCTCGAGTTCTTCGCCTTGGGTTATTGTATCTAAGCGGGGGGATTGAGTCGTCGATTTCCGCTTTCTAGTCTGCATAGTGTAGAGATGTGCTCCTGATAGAACTGCTTACCTGACATGCTGGGTTTATATAATTTGCTGTATTTGCGACGGTGGCAAGAAGGTATGAGCCACGCAAAGGCGCAGTAAGTATTGGCTATTGTTCACCTCTTTAGATAGTGAGGCGTTGCTAGTTTGCCTTACTTACCCACTCTTTATGTGGGATGTGGCCTGATGTGGCTCGCAGGTGTTGAGTCGATGCAGAGAGCAGAAGTCTAGTGACCCTGAACTTTCATTCAAGTGACAGTGGTGCGCGTCCATTGTTCCACTATGCCCATATGTGGAATTATGCCACCGAACAAGCAGGCCCAAACAATCCACATACGGCGATCGAATAGGAGACTAGATACTATGGTATCAGAGACCTTAATTAACCACTGTAGGCCACCGTGCGTACACGGTCTAGACACCCATATGCACCAAGCCGTGTGGCCAGCCTAACTTGAACTTACCAACGACATTCTTGGAACGTAGCTAGTGATGAAAACATAACCTTCCTAGGCCCTAGCCACGGTGAACGACACGCCCCTTCCACTTAGCTTGACAAAGATAAGAAACGGGATATACTATACGGACAAGCAAAACCATTAAATACGACAAAGTATCATCACCGGTTCAACATCGACATGGCTCGGCAAGGACAGAATTCACTACCCAGAGGGCCATTGTCTGCATTGCGCACAAGGAGATTCAGCGGACGTACAGAGCCATGCACATATCATTCGAGCACCTTACGTGCATGATCGCGAATTGCTTCAAGTTACCCGACGCTGGTACTAATTGGACGGAACTCCAGGATCACGTACTCGCTAGATACGGCGTCCATAAACCGATCGCTAACTCGTTCGTCGGCCAGAAGAGTCGGTACGTACTCAGCTTAAAGGGCAGCTTCGTGAGTGCGTCTCTGGGCAGAGAAAATCGAAGGGGATACAAACCAAGAGCGACGGGCGAACAAGCTGCTGAGCTGGGCGGTGATAAAGACCATAAGTGCCCTCACAGACCGGTAGCATGGTCATGGATTGGCTTACCGACTCCGACGTAGCTCTCCCCGATGAATCGGAAGAGCCGAGCCGATGGAATTGAAGGGATGGACTACTTCACCTCCAGAAGTGCCCAACTCACTGATAGATTTCGAGCTGGGCTTTATATCACGAATGTGTTGACCTCGTGGCACCGCTAGATCTCATCACGTCCCAAAGTCATGGATCGACACAGTGACGTCCGGCCCAGCTTTTTGTGAGTCACGTTGGCGAAGGTAGTATCGACGACAGCATTCGGACACCGTGTCATGTCCGAGAGCGACGGCGAGAATTCCGCGCAATTAGAGCACAATGCTCGATATCTAATACTGTGCATTCATGTAGAAGTAATTGACGAACACTCATTTCATCAAAGAGTATGAGTCAAAACGGGGCGTTTCTTTGTTTCTCCAAATCTGTAAGGGGGACGTACTAATGGCAAACTTCAGCGGGAAAGATTCAGCACGATGGTCCCACTTACGCTAACACCCATGATCTCCTTCTTGGCTACCTTGCCATTCTCATCTTTGTCCACATGGTATATATGTTGCGTTTGAGTTCCAACGGGAATGAACATTCTGCCGGGGGATGCTAGTTGCTCGACGAGCGCATCGGGTATGGTAGGCGCTGCAGCTCCAACATGGATTGCATCGTAAGGACCTAGATGAGGATAAGACATGACTCTGATATAAAGTGGGGTAGCATACCTCCACTTGCATAGCCTAAGAAAAGACGCTCAACAAAGTCAAGCTGTAATCAAATTCTCAACTGAAGCGCACCTTGACGGCCATCACCTGCGAATACTTCAATCTGTTTTGTAGCTAGTGCCTCCTCAAGACCGTCCTTCTTCAAATTTTGGATGGACCAGTCGACTAGTTCGTTGATATGCTCGATCCCGACCACCTTACCGCCTTGCTTATTTGATGCAACAAGATGATGGAGAACGGCTACCAGGTATCCAGATCCACTTCCAACGTCCAGTACCTTGGCCCCGTCCTTCAGATGGGACAGCAGATGTTCTACCGCGTATGCGTGCTAGTGAAACTGCTTAGCAGAAAATTTGATGAACTGTACCGAGACACCGCATACCATATGCGGTGCAGAAATAGTAGCACCATACCCGATACGCCTGAGTCCCGCGAAATTGACATGCTCAAATATTCAGTTTATGAGATGATTAGACAGACAGGCAACAACGCAACTGGGGGGAGTCTTCATAAGCAGCTCTTTTATCGTGGACATAATTTGCCCGGTCGACCTTCGACATTGCCTGTTCGAATATTTATCACTGGTCAGGGCACTTGCCTTGAGTGATGGTCTATCCACGCAAGCTGACATTAAGGATGCGCTCCGAGGTCAGGATTCCGTTCTGCGCCATCTTTGAGATCAATTCGCTGTTGGTTGAACCAGAACATCTCCAGGCCATCGCACGTTGAACGTATGAGATAAGGTTGGCGATAAGTGAGTGCACACTCCTCCAAAAAGACAGCGCTCATTTCAATGTCCGCATTTGAGATGGCGCCTAAAATCAGGTGCCCACAAAATTCTTTTTCCACACTTTTGACTCATCATTTCCCCCCAAAAGCCCAAATTCAACCTTCCACGATGGACGTCGCCATGACCAAGGACGAGACCGAAGACAAAGGCATCAGTGTACCCGCACCAAGTAGTAGGGAGCGAGAAGGTGAAAGGGATCGGGCATATGATGGAGACAAAGGGAGGGGAGGTGACCGAGAAAGGGAACGTGACAGAGACAGAGACCGCAACAGAGATAGGCGAGACAGAGATAAAGACGGACACCGGGATCGGGATAGAAGAGATAGTGGTGAGCGAAGCTATCGTTACCTGCGGGGAGAAAAGGCTGAAATTCTTAGGTCGTCCTCGTCGAGGTGGCGGAGCCGGTGACCATTGGGAGCCGGACAGTGGACGCAACGGTGAAGTGAGTTGCATTTATCATTTCTTTGTCGACTATGCTAAGTCACTACGTTCAGCGTCGAAAACGTTCACGCTCTCGCACCCGTTCTCGGTCTCGCAGACGGTCAGCTTCCCCCCGCCGTCGTTCTCGTCGTTCTCGCTCTCGTAGTCGCTCCCGCTCCCGGTCACGTACTCGTTCGCGCAGTCGGGATCGCAAGCCTGACCCCTTCGCTCGCTCACTCGGGGGGCCGATGAATGCTGACCACGAAGAGGCCGTCGAATTCGCGAAGATCAGCAAGAGAGAAAATCGGGTCTACGTCGGCAACCTAAGTTACGACGTCAAATACAGGGACCTGATGGAATTTATGAGGGGAGGTGGGTTGGGGACAATTTCGATATTCGTTTCTCGCATTTTTCTTGCAATAAGCGGCATGACCTGGAATGGTTTCAAGCTATGCGGTCACGGGCAGAGGTCTATTGGACTGGGCTCGAGGGCAGGGCATCTTCAGTGCGGAGCGGCCTTTTGGTTTAAAGCATTTGGGGAGGTTCAAGCTTGCTATCGAGTTTGCGGATAAGGCTGCAGATGAAGCACGCGCATATAGCTTTTATTTCTGGTTTTTTTGATGGAACGGTCGAGTGTGAGGAGATATTGATGGGCGTTTTCTTTTGGGGTTGGCAGCTGGTGAGGTTCTCTTCGCCGAAGTACTTGTGACTCCCACTGGCGTGTCGAAAGGCTGCGGGTAAGCCATCTGTTACTCACACTTTCGTACCCGTAATCTAACAATAACTCTAGTATTGTCGAGTTCGCATCACAGGAGGATTCACAGAGAGCTATTCGTGAATTATCCGAGGTTCCCTTGCTTGGCCGGCCCGTCTTCATCCGCGAGGTGCGTAACCTTTGTTTAGAAAGTTACATACGTGTGACCTACTTCCAGGACCGAGAAAATGAAGCTAGGTTTGGTGCTACACCAGTTCCAGGTAAAATCGGTATGGCGATGGCCGGTCAAGGCCTTCATGCTGCACCTCCTCCCCGACCAGCCTCCCACAATTACTTCGGTACCCATACTAACCCTGGTAACCAACTTTACGTTGGTAACGTGAGTCAACAGGTCTTAGTTTGCTAGATACTTCATTGACATATTCCGCAGCTGCCATATCAAGCCGGGTGGCAAGACCTCAAAGATCTGTTCAGAACAGCCGGAAATATCATTCGTGCAGATATTAACATAGGGGCTGATGGGAGACCAAAGGGCTCTGGAACGGTTGTATTCGAGACAGCAAAAGATGCGGTACAAGCAATCAGTATGTCTTTCTCCTTATGTAGCCCTACTGGGTCACCGATCGTTTCGCAGACATGTATCACGGTTTCGACTGGTACGGTCGTACGCTTGAAGTTCGAGAGGTAAACCCCCATTCCATACATCGTCATGCGCGAGACCATTTCTTACTGATATATCTAGGATCGATATGCTGGACTCTCGGGCCCTGGGAGTTATCGTGGGGGGCTACGCGGCGCTCCTCGTGGGGGCCTTCGTGGGGGCGGATTCAGAGGTGGAGGATTCCGTGGTGGAGGATTCCGTGGTGGCTTTGGTGCACAGGCGGGTGCTGGACGCGATTTTTCTAATCAGGATCTTTATGCGGACTATTCTGGTCCTGACCAGCAGGCTCCCGGTTTGCGCATGGACGGTTACGGCGCCGGTGGCTACGGTGGGGCTGCCCCTGGGGCAATGGGAGGATATGGTCCAGGTTATGTAGACCCCGAGCCCAGTCAACAGATCATGGTTCGCAACGTAGGTTCTTTTCTCGCTATGACATTGCTTGCACCTGATCGGTAACATGTTCAGCTCCCCTGGTCTACTGCCAATGAAGATCTAGTTGAGCTTTTCGAGACCACAGGCCAAGTTGAGCTTGCCGAGATCTTGTTTGATGGTACAAGGTCGAAGGGGTGTGGCGTTGTTCAGTTCTCTCAAGTCGGCGAAGCTGAAACTGCTATCGGTTCGTGGCCATCCAGACCATAGACCTTGACTTTTATTGATGTGTATATTCGTGCAGCGAAATTCCAACAATACATGTACGGTGGACGTCCATTGGGTAAGTGTCATTCTTCTGGATTTCTTACACATTGCTGATTCTTGACTCAAGACGTCCGCTTCAACGACCGATGGCATACATTTACACCGACTGCCGCCAAAGGGGGACAAGCCCCTGCTATACCAGCTGAGGTTGCCTGAGCTGGCTCTCCCCTTGTGTTTATCTGGCTTTTCTGTACCTTTATTTCGCCTTCACTCCTGCTCCGAACAGTGAAAAATGGTCCTGGTATGATGATTTATCGTATTCACTCGACTCTGCTACCTACGTGGTTCATGTGTTTAGTAATAGTAGAGTAACTGTGATAACTCGTTACTCGGCGCTTATATTCTTTGCAACCACAACATTCAGCCCACGAGCAGAATGAATTTCAGAGTTCCAACGGCACAAGAGTCGGAGGGCATGCGACAATTTGTTATCACCCCAGAGGTCGACATTAAGCGAATGTCGAAGGAGACTCGCAGTAGGACGACCCAACCACCAAGACGCGTTATTGGTGACCTCGTACAAATGTTTCACCCATCTTCGCCTCGCCGATTCCTGCCTCCTTCTCCCGCCGATACTCCCATGTCCATCTTTTCTGAAGTCCCCGATAGGAGCATGAACAGGTTCAAGCGCTTTGTACATCGTCAGGATGATTGTACCGCCCTCTTCTTCGTCGACGGCGCGTGCCTTGATAACGGAAATGCTGAGCGCCGCCGCGCGGGATGCGGTATCATATGGAACGAAGGCCTCGGCTTCTCCATCGCTCTCGAAGGCACGATTGGAGGCCCCGAGCAGACAAATAACCGCGCTGAGCTTCGCGCCGTTATTCTATGGATCCAGTTACGTCTTTGGGAGGCAGGTGGTTTTGACAGGATGGTGGTCGCCACAGATAGCGAATACGTCGTCGAAGGTATCTGCGGTAGAGTGGATAATTGGAAGCAGCGGGGCTGGCGAACCTCTGCCGGTACCCCTGTCGCACATAAGGATCTGTGGGAGATGCTCCTTGTGGAACTGGACAAGGCGGAACGAGCCGAGATTCAGATACTGTTTTGGAGGATTCCAAGGGAGTTGAACAGTAGGCCAGATGCATTAGCTAAAGCTGGAGCTGAGGTGAGTCGCGACCCGTGAGGCGTGTTCTCAAGTACTGACATACCTTGTGACACCAGTCTGATCGACTAGAGACATTTGCAACGGTCAGCGGCCTGATGTTGTGAAGTTTTAGAAGTCGGAATCCGCTCTGGCTTAAGATTGTTCGCATAGCGATCAGATAGTGTAATGAAGTGGCTTACGGTTGGTCTGGACTCAGTGGTATTATATCATCACCATCACACTACTCTTGAAGCTAACTTGAAATATAAAACTTGGGCGTGGGAGCCGATGCCAGGAGCACGGCGTGTACAAGACCGTTTCCACATTAATTAGTCCTTGTACATGACCAACTCTGTATATCATGCCTCTACGCCCTTGCCAGAAAGGTTTCGGCCGTTCTCAGTGTGTAGATAGCCATCACTGGAGTACCCAGGATGTTTCGCTGGGTTGGGGCACACCATTCGCCCAAAGCAGAGCATGCTTGCATGGTCTTCATTCCATCATGAAACCAAGCCTGGCGAGCAGTGTCCAATATGACAGAAGTGAAATGGGAGTCGTGCCAAAATATAACCCCTCTCAGGCCCATCTCCAGAAGAGTTCCCTCAGTTTCTATTGACCAAGTATGCTCTGCGAAGATACTATTACTATAGAGGATAAATCCTACTATAGATGCCTGCTCTGTCCTCCTCGACTCTCGGTGCATTACCATCTGTTGCTTGCAACTCTCACATTCTCTCTGGGTTCCATGTAGCTTATCTGATAGCCATTGTCCCACTGACATGTGATATCTCTCTGCAATATGTGAGGTTGGTTCCCACTGCTCTGTTCGAGGCCTGAACTGTCTGCTACATTGCAGACAAGTGTAGACATTGCATACACACATGTCCCTTGAAGGCATGATAGTGTCCCACAAGTCTGACACAGCAATATATGCAGCTCCATAAGGAAATCTGCCTGGATGATCTCTGTGGAGAAGGGCTCGGACTGCATCTCTCACTTTTTGAAAATCTGCTCCATCCTTGATTGCTGGGAACTGCCTGCTTAGTGCAGTAGAATAAAGGCTCCCACAGCCATCTAATATTGACCGATGGCTTTTCCAAACTGCAAACAAGATTGTGAAAAGAGCATCATAGCTGCAGCTGAAGTTTGCTGAGTCCCATGTCAATCCTAAAGGACTTTGGCCCAGTTCCAGCTGTGCTTTCTTTGGTACAGGTCCTTGATATTCTTTGTGACCCTTTCGCTTTGACCTCTGCACTGGCACATTCCTTGACCGGTGCCAGTCCAACAGTGCAGCTCGGGTCTCAAATGATTTGGGTGGTTGAACATTGGATTCTGATAAAAACTCAGTCACAACACTCAAAGATTCAAGCTCTCTCAATTCTGCTCTCAAGAATTTGACCATCCTTCCACCAGTGATTTTGTGCTCATCAAATCCTTGAACAAGGATTGTGTTGCCTGCACTGGTGCTTCTGGACAAGCATGTATAAAAAGATAGGTGATTTTTGCAATTCTGCAAATCTACCACATTGAACTCTCTGGTTTTTCCCTGGGAAGCATAGTCTGTCATAGCAAAGTTAGGCAGAACAGGCACCTGTGAACGCTTGATTGATACTGTTGTACCATTAGGCAGCACACAGCTTATATTGGAGCTCCGGCGTACCACTGGCACTACATTCTCAGGCAAACCTTTGATATTGATTGTTCTTGGGGGGTTGACAAGTCTAACATATAGTGTTTGCAAGATATTTTCTCCCATTGGCCCTGTACTGTAGTCCCAGTCCTCTACTATGCCCTCCTGCCCCTTTGTCATGCAGAGTTCTGTTGCATTGTTGTATCTCAACACCACTGGCAGGCCTTTGCACAACAACAGCACACCAGCCACATGCTCCGACTCACTGTGCTGACACTGCCAGATGGCTTTTTGAAGGGCTACCGTCAACTTTGCCGCATCTCTCACTAGCCCCTTGCCTCTCTTTTTGGATACAGCCAGAGAATCCATTGAGTGGAAGCTATGAAGCACCTGCCCAGTCTCAGAAGCAAAACACTGGCTGCCTAGCTGGTTGATTCGATCTTTTTGCAAATTCCAGGCCGTTATTATGGCGGTGTTCCTGAACTTTTCATTGCAAAGTGACCTCACAGGATCGTTCTTCTTAGCAACCAAAGTGCGGAGGAACTTTGTATCATCTTGTGTGCACAGACAGTAGCGCATATTGTTCAGAGCGGTTCGGAGTTTCACATCATCTTCTGTTTGAGAGGTCTGTCTCATGTTCTCTTTCAAGATAACTACTGTCAGGAACTGACACCACAATGCTCTGCCTATCCGTGACTCCTGTTCATAGCGTGACATCCGTGCACCACAAGGCCTGGCAAAAGCATCATACAATGGATAGCCTCCAACTGGAGGCAGCTGAGCAAAGTCTCCAGCACAAATGATATTGATTCCACCAAAAGGCAGGTCTGTTACTTGTCTTGCATTGGCTAGCCGCCCAGAGATACGGAATAGGTCACGGCAGCTTACCATTGATATCTCATCCAGAAAGATATAGTCAACACCTTGCAATCTGCTCTGCACTTGGGATACTGTTCTTGAGTTAGTTGAAAAGTTGTCATTGTCTTCTCCATTGAGCCCCAACACTGAGTGATAAGTAGATCCATTGATCAGAGCTGCACTAGTACCTGTTGGTCCCAGTATCAGTAGCCGGTGTGATTGGCCTGACTCTGCCAGAAAGCAGCTCAACGCTTTGAGCACCTGGCTCTTACCAGTTCCAGCCATTCCTCCAAGATACATCCTCAGCTGTGGCTGGGTGCCTTCAATGGCATGTGTGGTCACTATGTCATATGCCCGTCTCTGTTCTTTGTTCAGCTTGAACTGGTCACCAATAGTCATTCTTTTTTGTTCTAGTCCCCTTATCCTCCTTGCTTCCAACTGAGCCAAGCCAGCTGAGTCTACTACAGCCACTATTCCAGGCTGCTTGGCGAGATCCCGTGCTGGGTCTGCCTGAGTTTTTGTTGTCCCACTCAATCTCATGCTTAGCGCTAGCTCTTTCAAGTTTTTCACACATGCAGCCCACCCTGCTGCTGTCAGCCTGTCAAAGCTCATGCTCTCTGAGTCCTGCACTCTAGTTGATATCCCCAACCAACCAGTTCTTGCCAATGTCAATGTGATGTCATCCATCTTACGTTTGCGTTCCTGAGCAAGACCATTCATCTCCATGTAATTCTCCAGTGTGTCCTCTATTTCTATGTCACATTCTACTTCTGGGCCCATGTCTAGTCCATACTGTGATTCTGGAGCATCCTCCTGAAGCCGTCTTGCTTTGAGACCCAATGAGTTCACCACAGCCCTGTGGTCATCTCGTTCATCCAGACACTCATATCGCAAGTTCAAGTTTTTCATAATTTGGATCTGGCGGGGACAGAAAACATAAGCCATGAATGCCTCATCCCAAGACTGGCTCTCAGTTTTAAGGTCAGTAGGCAGTCGCCATGGTTTGAAAAGAGCTAGCATAGATGCACAGTAGTACTCTCGGTCTCCTTGATCTGCCCGAGGCAGGCTTCCACCCATGAAGTTGGGCACCCAATTTCTCCTCCATGGATAGTATTTCACAACATGGGTCTCATGAAATGCATGCTTGTCTAGAAACAAGAATGTCATCCCTTTTCTCTGACTTGGGCTTCCCAAATAAGGATGAACATCATCAAGCCCAAGGCTAGGATCCAAGTACTCTTGATAGCCCAGACTGTGTGGATCTTGCCAGAGGGCCTCCTGCTCAACACTGTTCCAGTCTGTCTCTAATTCTTCTTTGTCTAAAATGCCAATCTCATCTTCAAGGTTCTCATTCTTGCTGGCCGCATTCTTGGCTACTCTCTCACACATCTGGACATATTCGTAAACACTCAAATGTTCTAGCTGCTTTGGCCTTAGCCTATAATCATCAGTAGGAGAAAGAGGAACAAAGTCTGAGCCCACTTTTCCAATACGCACAGTATCTGCCTGCACTTCCTCTGCATCTGTACTTTTATCTGATCCTAGCATAGCCTCAAATGTGGCCCGAACTTCACGTACATACGGTCTCCACCATAATGGCACAAACTTGTGGCTTGTGTAGTGATCCGGATGTCCTAGCAAATACAATGATGCCATGGGAGATCCAATTTCTGATCTGGAAGTAAGGTTGTTGACAATCTTCAGTAAGAGCTTTTGGGCTGGAAAAGCGTCTTCTGCAGTGGTAGATTCTCTTGGCCTCTTCAAGATGTCAATGACTGCATCAAATATCTGGTACGTCCTCAGCCCTTGTTTTGTGATATAGTCTGTAACATACACAACAACTGCTTTGATAGCAGTGCCACTCATCAAGCTTGTCACATCAGTATTGCCACGGAGAAGGTATGTCACCAAAGGTGTGAATGTGTTTAGCATGGACTCCTTTTTCTTCATGAGTATGTGGCCATCCTCTGTCACAGTTGTTTCTGGCACCAACTCACGAGGGAACCTGGCAGTACATACTCCATCAGCATTGGTGCATCCTTTAGACACTTTATGACCTGATACCTCTGCCCCTTTGTTTGATGCATAGCAACTGTGCAGGTTTGACCGAAGTAAGATATCATCAATTACACCCTCTATTTTCTCTCTCCATTTGAGATGTGCTTCACATTTCCGGCAGTACTGGCATCCACCGCAAGGCCGCTCAGGTGGTCCCTCAGGCAAGGTCTCTGTTGGGGCTTCATAGCCTTCCTTGCTCAGTGAAGCTAGCAAAGTTTCCTTGTTTGCCATTCTTGACTTGCGCTCTACACTAGGTACTTTGCCTCTAACATGCTCCAAGTCCCCTTGCATAAAATCGCCTTGATGGCATCCTTCCAGATATGAAATAAGACTTTGCTTGAAAATACCATCTTCCTCAGCAAGTTTGTCTCTTATTGTTTGTGGAGAAAGATTCCCCCTTATCCAAAGCAGCATATGCAAGTGGAGAGTCAGTCGACCCTGTTGTTCCACCACTCCATAGTAAGCCGCTGTTTCTCCATAGAGACCCGGACGGTCGATGTCTACACCAAGAATGTGGGTTATAAATGCTTCACAAATATAGTTGAAGAAACGTGCAGCAGCAACGGGGTTCAGAGCAATTGCCCTCTCCCTCATCTCTTTTGGCAGTACATCAGGTGTATACTTGTCATCAGTGTTTGCGAAGTAGATGCAGAGTGGACTCATCACATCTGCTGGTGAGAAGGTGATGAACCAGGAGGGTGCACCCAGGAAAGACATCAAAGACCATATCTCACTTCTCATATTTTTCTTTGAGGTCATTGAGCCTTGTACTTGGCCTCCAATTTGGTCAATGTCACTCAGAATTGCAAAACAGGCCTGCTCCTCTGGTGTGGTAGCAGAAACAATTTCCCCTTCCTTCATTCTGCTGGCCAGGTTGGCCAAAACACCTAGATCAAGGTTTTTAATCCGCTCAACCACCTTATCAAAACTCTGCCTTTCAGAGACAACAAAGCTAGCACGTGTGGCAGACTTGATTTGCTCATGGTTAAAGGCAATTATGGGGAAAAACTGGTCCATTTGAAAGCGCTTGTCATGATACATGAGAAGGAACTTCTTGTGAGCATGCTCAGAGAGAGTGACAGATATGTTAGCATTGCCCAGCCCTCCAAGGCCAAAGGGAAAGAGCCACGGAAACATTTGAGGGTACAGTTGTGGGTTATCATAGATTGACTCTGGAACAGATGAGCGACCGACAGCCAGCACATTGCCCTGAGTGGCAAGATGGTTCAATGCTTTAGCCTTTAATGCTGCAACTGACATGTTCTCATACTCCACACCTGTCAGCCCAGAGACTGCAAATGAGCAAGGCCCTGTAGAAGTTCCCTCCTCATGCTCTGTGTCATGTTGACTCTGTGCCAGCACCTCACGGTTACCTCCATCTGTTCTTCTTCGGAAGTCAACTACCACTGGTACACCAGCCAAGGGATATGACTCCAGATTTTTATCTGATATGTACAGATCATGATAATCAATATGGTTCAATTTCAACCAGTCAAGAGCCTTGGCCACAACATTTCGCCTCACCAGCATGGGGGTCCGTTGAAAGTCAGTATCTGTGGGTGCATTCTCCCCAATGTATACAAAAGCAAGAACTTCGTTAAGCTCATCTATACTTGGAGGCAGGATGTCATACACCTTTGAAGTAGGGTTTTCAAATAGAATTGCATTCGCTGCCATTTTCACCCTTCCAGAAGCCACCCTTACCACACATGAGTTATGCCGTACACGTGCCACCAGTAGCTTCTCAGCAAAGGTCAGGCAATTCAGCTCTTCTGGGACATCACCCAACCAGAGTCCATTTGCCAAGGCTAGCTTGGGCATTTTAGAGTGACGCAAAGCAGCTTCACAATCTGTGCAGATCTTTTGGCAGTCAGAAAGGACTACTGGCTCTGTCATCTCATCTATATCATCACCTTCTACATGCCTCTTCAAGCGTGTGACACCTGGCCGCCTTAGCAAATTAAGATTGACCTCAGGACATTCTCCAAGGTCAGACAGCACAGATCGGGGCTTAAGCTGGGCACACACCAGACAAGCACTTTCTTCCCAATTACTTGGTAACATGGCTTTGCAAAAGTCTTCACATATGTGATCTTTCAGCTCTGATGAAGGTGGTGGTGGAGGGAACCTATGTTTGAGCATGGACCGCATAGCTGCACGCTTCCTCCTCTCCCGTCTGTCTTTTTTTATCTCACATTCCTTGTCATAGGTAGCACTCCACTGATTCTTTTTTTTGGTCAGTGGAGCAAAGACGGTAAGCATTTCTGGGCAGCCATCACAGACATGGTGCATTATCATCTCTTGCATATCTGCCACCCGCCGCTTGGTTCCCACTGTCATGCCATGGTGTTGTATCAGCTCTTTGAGTCTCAGCCCATTACTCCACGTTGCAAGAATTGACAGCGGCACTCGTGCCAACACTTCATTATCATTTCGCTGTTGGAGCACAGATCCTGAAGTGCTCTGAAAGTGGGCTATCACCATTCTCCCACTTTCATTGTTGTTGGCCAAGTCTCCGTCAATTATGAATGGCTGTATGGCTCTTAGCACGAGGGTGTTGGGACCTCCCCCTTTCTTGAGACCACTTTGGCACCGAGTTTGTGTTGAGCTCACTTCTTCTCCCACATGTTTTACCAGGTTTTGAGTGTTAGCCCTTGTCATAGGGCACTGAGGGTAATATACATTATCAATACGCCGGTCATATTCAGCAAAGTCATGTGCAAGCATACAAGCTTGTCGACATGCAAGGGACATCCTCTTCATTATTTGGACAAAGCACCGCTTCTCATATATTACATCTGGCCATAATGCCTGGTGTAAACAAAAACATTGCAGACTCTTGTCATTGATATTGCGTTGAGTTAAGCATTGTGAAAGTGTTATCGTTGGCTTGTGAGCTTTCGCATCAACAAGGAAGCATTGTAGTCTGTGTCTAGCATTCCACCTAATGCCTGCTCGTTCGTGACATTCCCACCGTATTTGAGTGACAGCAGTCAAGACACATGGAGATGGGGTTTGCAAGCAGTTTCCCAAGACGATGAGTTGCAAATGAGATGCAGCATCGCCTCTCACCTGGTGAGACAACCATAAAAAGGCAAAGACATGAGCGAGCCATTGCAGCAACATTGTCTGTATAGCAAGGTGGTCAAAGGGAGGGGAGACGTGCAGGCATCACGAGCCATCATTTTCTTGCTTTTACACAATGTCTGACGTTCCAAATTCAATCAAACTCAGGTACATGAAACACATTTGAATAACTGTTAACGGTTACATATCTACTTTGACGTGCCAACATTCTTCTTGCGTGGCCTTTTCTGATCAGGCGAACCCAACAGCATGGCCCATTGTACGTTGAGACTCACTGCTTGACCTATTACCACCCCCTCCTTGTCTTTCTTAGCGTACGCAGTAGTGGTGTGGGCCACGACCGCAAACGAGTCTGCCATCATCTCGCCTTCGAACTGGGGGAGAATCTCGTGAATCTTGACAAGGTCAGAGGACCAGTTGATCTTCTTGTTTCGCCCATCGAAGATACGCACTGGATCATATTTTCATTCAGACAAAAACCCTGCAAGCCAACGATTGGAGATTCAAAGCTCACCTTCATCAGATGCGCTCAGTGTTGTTTTGATATAGCCGCCAGTGATGCCAGAGCTGCCAGTCAAAACAGCACGACTTTGAGTGCTTGATACAACAGCCTTTGATGGCGATGAGCCAGCAACCCGGCCACCTCTGTACGGGCTGTTGGGAAGTGAGTCATTACCCTTCCTACCTTCTCCCCATGTCTCAAACGTGAACTCGTCACCCTTCATGTTACAGTGCATGCTGTCCTCTCCAAAGACCATGCAGACGACGGAGATGAAACGTTCTTCATCTTGAGTGTGCATGAAGCCGCGGACATACTTCTTCCCCAGATTGCCAGGAGTTTTGAGACAACACTCAGAGACCCGGATCGGCACAACACTGACAATCCCAATATCGGAATCGTTAAACGTCATGACTCGGGATCGACCTGAGACAGGGATCATGCGTGCTGCAAAGCCTCTGGGGTCACATCGGGCAAGGTGGAAAAGGCGATGGTAGGCCACAAATTCCATAGCACTCCAGCTTTTCCTGAACTTGCATTTAGAAAAAGAGAAAGAAAGGTGAACAAAATTGTTCGCACCTTCCATTCATGAAGGGGCACAGCTCATACCATTCATCGTACCTCATTCGCTTACTATCCTCTTTCTTCTCCGACCAGCTCATGAAAGCCCGAACTCTGGAAGAGAATGCCGTCAAACATTGAAGCTGGGAACCATTCAAAGCACTCACGAAAGATTGGGCAAAGTCTTGTATATATCTCGTAGGGACTCAGCTTGCTCCTCCTCGTTGAAGACCTCACACTCCGTAGGCAGCTTGATGCTTCTGAGAAGGTTTTAACCCAAATTGAGTACAATCACCGCAAGACTTACGACGGTGGGTACAAGCTTGAGGTGCTTTTGCTGACGTCCACCCTTTACACTCTAAGTGAGTATCAGCTGTTACCAGAGTCAGCAAGTAGTCTACTTACCCATCGTCAGCACCACCATCAAAGTCATCCTCCTCTTTCAGACCTCTTGCAATCGCCCAAACTGACAGATAATCACCGTCGTCATCACCCTCCTCATTGCCGCCGATTTGGGATTGACCATGATCCTTTCCCATGCCAACCTTGCTGGTGGAAGCGGAAGGCTCAGAGGAAGAGGTAGCGTCATTCCCCCCTTGGCCTGAAAACATAGGCTGCTGATCTGGCGTGACTGGACGTGGATCAGATGTGTCACCCCCAGCAGATCTGCATGTACAGTCAGTCTGGAAGCGATAACAAGAAGGCAAGTGAGCGTACTCTGGTCCCTTTTGCTTCTTTGTGGCCCTTGTCTTGGAAGCAAGTGGAGAAGCCTCTCTTTCCTCCTTTCGTTTAGTGGGTACAATGCTCCTACAGATTCAAACCCTGTCAGCAAACCCTCTACAGACTCGTGAACTTGCCTTACCTTTCGTCTTTCATAGGTGTCACTCCATCCACCATGGGTCTGTACCGATGCAGAGTGAGTTGGACACCGTACATCTCAAGCTCCAAAGGCGCACCTGTTGCGAACACTGCGTTGGGCCATCGCTTAGAGGGGTTGATGAGGAGGACAAAATCACCCTTATCATACTCAAGTGTACTTAAGGACGCGCATGAAGGCCACTTGAAGGGCCCTTTGCAGACACCCAAAATTCAAGTTCCTGGATCCATGCAGGGCTCTTGAGAGCTCCATGGTCAGTGCCGCTGATCCGGAGCCCGTAGCTCATGATGAGCTTGTTTTTCTAGCGTCTTATCTCGCTATCTGCAGGAGTAATTGGCAAAGTACACTGCTTTCAAACCTCCGGGTTCCTATGTGTCGTCCACTGATTGATTTCCTTCTTCCTGTCACAGCTGCATCGACCACATGTCTTCTTCAATGCAGTAAGCAATTTGATAACAACAAAGTTCTCCCTGTCAGCCCAAAACACTGTTCGTTGGATGTCCAATGCTGCATAGGCACATAGCTGTGAAACGAGCAACGACTCATCTCTCTGCCGCATATGCCTCTCCAACAAGTCTCAGTGCGTTAAACTCTTGCATCCTCCCATTCCCGGTTACTGAACTGGAGTAATAGGCATTGATCAACATCCTTGTTTACATATACGATGCCCATCAGCACGTACTTCAGTTCCTGAGTCTTCGCGAACTCAGAATATATGGCACCACCTGCAAAGATATTCACCTTGCCGTTGAAGAGTTTGTCAAAAAAGAATACGACATCGACACTTACCTCACCCGTTTTCTCCTCAAGAAGGACATATATACCTTTTGTGAGGTGCAGCGTATGACCAAGACCATCATCTCAGGATCCATTGCACTCCAGTTCTTCGCTCGCCTCAATTTCCCATCTTGCGACATGGACTTATACACGCCTTCGAAGGAGGCTAGCTTCATGTGCCGTTGCCTAGAGCTTTTTGGCTGTGTGGCCAAAGCAAAGGATGGCAGTGAGACGACTGCAGTGGCCTTGCTTGACGCCTCATGGAGACTAATGCTTGAAACACCGGTCAACGGAAACTCCCTGTATGGCCCGAGAGGCATTTTGACGGTCGTCAACTTCAGCACACCCACAGGACGTCTCATCCAGGTCATCGTCACAATCATACCACCCGTAGAGGTTTTGATGGGCTACCACTCGAGTGAAGTTTTCTCCCTTTCGTGTATTATTCGCTGTTCTTACCACACGTCTTCAGCTGCTGTTATGAACTTCATTACCAGCACCCATGCATACTCACTGTATGGGTGGGAGACATTTGACCTTGGGCTATCATTGTATACTCGTCATCATTTTGCAGGAATGCCACAAGTCGTGGCAAAGTACACACGACGAGGGTGGAAGCCTTTGACGAATGGCAGCCAAGCTGCGGACTACATGGTCTTCAAGCCCATGTCACGAAGCGTTGGTGACCGTATCACTTGGAAGCTCAGGCTCAAGCTCAATTATTCTGACGGCTTTGAGAAACCTCGTCCGGTGGGCTCGCTGGACGTCAAGGAGAGGGCTATGAAATGGTTTCTTAGCTACGATATTATGGGCTTCCCTATACTTAGGCCTCAAGTTGTCACCCATCTGCCGGTATTGGCACCTTTGTAGTACTATAGTTTTCTCTGTGTACTTTCCTACGACGAGGAACCTGAACATAGCCATAAGATTCATCGGACTTTCAATGTTCCTACTTAGCCCGGGTCGAGATCTGTCCTTCCTAGATCGTTGCAACCTCTGCTTCTATGTTTGAAACCCTTGTTCAGGTGCAGGGCACTTTGACAGCCTGCAGTCACTGCTTCTGGAGCAATCACTACGTGAAAAGGAAGGAGGCGTTGAGGACAATATGCCATCCGCCCACCATGCCCTTTGATCTCTCTGCCACGTCTCTCCAGCTTCAAAGTGTCGTCAATGCTATCGTCGAGAACCGCCTACTTTTTTCCAAGCAAGAGAAAGAATTAGGAGACATCGTTGATGTGATTGACTTGGAGAAGGTGCGATGGACATTTGCTAATATCGTCAATGTGTTCCCAACAGACATCATAGGTCTTTGATTTCTTGACCCTGGTGGATATCGACACCAAAGGGTCCAAACGACTCTGCGTTGAGGACGAGGTGGTACACACGCCGACAGAACTGCAGGTTCGAATGTTTGGGGTTCTTGTTAATCATGAGCTACCACCCAGGCTTCGCGAGATGTAGGTTGTTGTTCAACCTCTCTGTCCTATCACCTCTCATCTCGCTTTCTGCAGTGAACCCAATGGACGAATATACGCAAGACAGCATGTTGCCATCTCTGGATTGGGAGCCCCCTTCTTTACCAAGGCTATAGAAGGTCTGCAAGAGCTCGCTCAGTATCTTACTCACTTCTTCAAAGAGGGGTCTTGGGCTGGGTGGTCGCCTTCCGAGCACTTGGGCTTTTCAGTCTTGGACGCCAATTCCCGCTACTACACCCTTAGAAGCACTCAGCTTGTACCCAATGACGTACCCTTCCCAAAGGATATGGATCCCAGAGGCTTGCTGGAGCGTGGCAAAGGCACAGAGTTTGCCTATAGTGAAGATAATGTAGTCGAGTATTGGAAGTACAACAAGGACGATAACAGGTTAAGCACGCTGTGACCTTGTCCGAGGCATCTTACTGATCCTTAGCAGTTATACCGTTATCAATCCGCGCGAGTTCAAGGACGGCGACATAGTTGAAGTACACGTGTCATTCTTGCTGCTCAAGATGTCCACCAGCCAACGCAAGTATTACAACCACTCCAATGTGTTGCCCAGGTACCGCATGTTGTTGACGTTGAGGGGATTGACTCTTTTGGCACATAATGAACATAAGGTCAGTGACATAGTACTTGCTGTTGTCGCTTTGATAACTGAGATGCCTTAACAATCAGTCCATTGCAGGTGGATCTGTAGGTCCGCCAAAGAGGAAGAGGCAGCTTCAGGCTACCAATGCTTTCGTTGGAGGTCATATGGAAGTTGAGGTGGAGACCGCCTTGAAGCGATTCTGCATTTGATGAGCGAGCTTATTCTTGCCTTCTTGTTCCTAGGCCTGTATACAATATATAGATACAGCCATGTATAACGCGTACTCAGTTCTCATTCATAAATAATCAGTGGACAATTTGCCTACGTATGATGTGAATTGACTAATAGAACTGGCTATACACAGGATGATGCAGACAAGCATGATGAAACATCCTCACAAGAAGCCGTTGTCGACACAAGCCAGGGTGGAGATAACGACCAAATATTCAGGAAGGGTCTCGGTGCAAAGACGACAGCACCAGTCTTCAAGAACTTGGCAACAGCGGCGGCATGCTTCCTCAGCAGGGTGTGTGTTGGTGCCGACGCTGACAAGAAGAGTCTTATCCAGTAGCTCCTTCGATAACACTGGAACAGGAGGGACGCTTCGGCATATTTTTCTCGAAGTCCACCGCATCCCGCACCTCCTCACAAGGAGCCGTCATCCTCACTTCCTATGTGCGACGATTAGAGTGTGAGAGCCACAGGCAGAAGCCGTTGTTGACGGAGAAGGCAACGTAGATGGAGGAACCAGTGACGGTGAAAACTGTCGGGGTGAGATATATAGCGAGGAGGCATAGGCAAGGAGAGGATGTGTGGGCGGAGTTTAGGAGGTGTTGCGTGAAGACGTTGTGTCGGTGCCATATCCTTATTATCGTCCTCTTTCTCACTGCGTAACTCCACCTGGTAGCCAACGGCTCGCAGTCCTTGTTTGCGTTCTTTCGTTCTTTCGGTACATCACTGTCTGTTCGTCTGTTCGTCTGTTCGTCTTTTTATACCCGTCCATTCCCTCCCATTCGCATCTTGCAGACATTTCTTGCTACATTTGCTCGAACGCGAACGTCGTTGGTCATTGCTTGCTTAATTCCCCGTGATCGCTTCAATTCATCCTGTTTTGCTGATACATCCTCGCTCTCTCGAGATCCGTTTTCATTTTTGCTTTCTTTCATCATCCTCGTCATCATCCTCAAGGATATTCGTGTTCGTATTCACGCCATTCAGGCGCCAGCAGCACGCAAACGGCTCTGGAAGACTGATACGAGGGTGGGTCAGTATGTGCAGGGAGCCGCGAGTATGAGGTATGAGTTTGGTACATACGTACTTTCACACACACTCTCTCGTTTGCACCCTCCTTTCCCTTCATTTTCACATTAGTTCCCGTGCGCGCAGCCTTCTGTACGCGTAGCTACCACTCAATCATGCTTCTTTGTCTCCCCTTTGAATCGTCGTGCTAATCGGGTTCGGCTATTGCTACTGGTCCATTCGCATTTCCCAACCATTCCGAGGTTCGGGCTTTCGTTCGTTCTCGTTGTGTTTGCCCGAACACAAGCCTTGGGTTGCTTACTGACTTGTTCTCTCGTAGATTTCCTCCTCCTGCTGTGGATCTGGGTGGGTGCAACCGCATTCGCATCCGTCTTTGCATCGGAGTGGGAGCCTGCGAGCAGATTCGGTCTAGCGGAATAGCGTGATAGGTCAGTACTCCGTTGTCACATCAATGGGCAACACTACTCACATCCCATTCTCTTCCTCTATTCGCATCTCATCCTCTCTCGCTCACCTTCGCTACTTTTCCGGGCGAATCAGAGCGCATAGGCTCGCCTGACACGTCATGTTTTTCGCGGCGAAAGTATTGTGGCGATATGTTTTCTCCGCGATTGGAGGCCATAGAGTCGTTTGACGCGGAGAGGAGAACGTGAGGGGAGGGGAGCGAATAGAGAGAGGGAGAGAGAGAGGATAACGGTGAGAGGACGGGATAGTGTATGTGGGGAAGAGCGATATGATAGGGACAGAGGACTGAGTGCGTGAGAGTGAGAGTCGTTGATGCGCGAATTTGGCATTGTCCATGCGAGCGATTCTCGTTGATTGAGAGTTGTTGGGAGCGCAAACATGAGAGTGAGCGCGACGACGGTCCGATATGTCTCAAAGCTGACAAAGGTCCTCGGTGGTCCCACGACTTTAACTGAAACCCATGCACTGGGCGTTGTAGAATCATCGATGTGCCGTATCGAAGTGGTTTTGAAGCCGGGAGGAGTAGCCGAGAAGTACCTGGGAGGAGAAGTGAGGTTCCGCTCGAAGGGTCCTGAGGTGATGGGGGTACGGCTGGGCCACGAATTTTGGCGAGTCGTTATGGAGCCGTGATGGTACACCAACGTTATCCAAGATGCAGGAGACTCATCTCGCGGATGCGTTCTCGACAAATTCGCAAGGTAAGTTCGTTCCGTCCTGTTCATTCTCTTTCCTTTCGCTTCACTTGTCCTTCGTGCTTCCACCTCCCCCCCCCCATCCACATCCCAAGCTCTCGTCCTATTTGCCATCGAGCACTAAGCCTCGCTCGTATCTGTTCACGTTCTCAACACCCTGTCTCAGACTCGCGCATACTCTGGCTGATATGTTTCATCACGACGTGCTCAGCAGGCGCGTAATAGCGACGCCACGGTAGTCTTCATCGTTATCAGCGAGATATCATTGTTGTAGAGGTGGAATCTCGATCGAGGGAACACGGAACGTTCAAATGCGTCGAGGTCGTGGCGCTATTCCTGCGAAGAATCTGAGTAAGTATTTCGTTTCCCTTTTCTATTCTGTCCCCGTGTGGCTCGCATACCTTGTAGGTAGTCATCCACTCCTTTCCTCTCCACCGTTTTGCGAGGTCGTCCGCACTCAATCAGAGATTGTTGGCCCCTCGGCATGCAAGACGAGGAATGCGTGCATCGCCCGGGCGAAACACTTCGCCTGTTTCGTTATCTCTTCTTGCTCGTCTCGCGGAAAGGTAGCGAAGGTATTGAATTTCGTGCCTACCAGAAATGGAATCGCGGTCTGTAAAGAAGAGATCAAAACTGATTCAAACTGCAGATCGTCTCGAGATACATACTTTATTGAAACCCGGCGCTTGCCGATACCATCCCTTCACTGAATTCAGTGTCGATTTCCGTGAAAGATCGAACATGAAGAGAATAGCGACAGCGTCGTTGCACACCAATGGCAACATGTTGACGATCTCGCGCTGCCCACCAAGATCACATTAGCTGTGAGGTTGATGAACCCGATACGAGTGTGGCCCGTGAACCTGGACCTCAATTGAAGATATTGCAGTGACTAAAGGGCGGTCGATGGTAGGAAGGGAGTGAGGCGACGTAAACTCAAGTGCAAGGACGCGTCTGGGGGTAGAACTGTCCAAGTCGTCCAGAAAGAGCCAAGTCAGGACCTCGACGCTAACCAACGACGCCGCACAATCAGAATGACCAGTTGCGCAGAGAAAAACTCTACTCATTCGTTCTACGTCGGTGGGGTGCTCGTCTGTGTACTAACGTCGGCGTTGATGACGATCAACGGGGGTGTGTGGATTTCCGGCGATCCGCGATCCACACTAAGCGTCGTAGGTGAGATCAGGCTCGTTCAGATGCATGAACTTCACGCACTTTGCATCGTAGTGCTCCATTCCTTCACACTCCTCCTTCCTCCGCTCTTCCGTCGCTTTCAGTTCGATTAGACGCACATGTTCGGGGGGGGGGTAAGCTTGTCTGCGTGAATCGAAGGACTGACGTGGTTTGAGCAAGAAATGTCGTACGATTGTTTTATGAGAGCGCTTTGCGAATGGAGAGCGTAGGCGTCGTTTGAGGTGAATCAACGGAACAGGTGGAAATGTATCATTGTTTTCTTCGGCACGCTACATGGAGTCGCCTTGGATTGGTTGTTGTCTAGTCTTCGTGGAATCCTTTTATTTATTTTCGGAGCTTCATGGCTTACATCCACACCGTCCGCATAATTACTGAGAAGTTTCCGTCGTTCCGTGTGCACATCAGTGAAATTCAAACCACTAAGCTTGGATGAGGCTGGATTCGTCTTCATCTGCCCGAGGCGACCTTCACAATTCTCTTTGGAGGCAACTCAACCAATGGAAGGGCCGCGTGCATGAGAATTCTGCCCGACGTTAAGTATAGACTCCAATTGCGTCTGAGTCACTTAAGCAATTGCGCAGTATCCTGGCGTAGGGTTTGCACGAACTAAACCTTGCGATGCTTGGATGTCAATCGAAACCGTCTTAGACTCTCCAGCACTATGGGATGATCAAACTCAGGATGTGGAGGGAAACCTGCAAGGATGCTTACGGTATGTCCACTTTCTGGAAACCAACAAGTTCTTGGTTTGACGTGACCACCGACGCTACGAGGTCAGTAACGTAAATCTGACAATAGAGTAAGTAACTGGTCGCTCAAGGAGCAACATTATGATCGTACCTGAACCACCTCCTTTCCGGCCACAGCGCCTGTGTTGCTGACAGTAACGCTGACGGTGAACTTGCCGTTCTTACTAACGGTCGACGGCGAGACTGCTATGTTGGAGCTGTAATCGTGATGTAGAACGTGAGAGAAGGACAGAATGAATGAGCGTCGACTTACTAGCTAAATGTGGTGTAACTCAAGCCGTGTCCGAAGCTCCACAGAGGCACTGGGCTGTCGAGAATGTACTGACGGGTGTTTAGAGCATACCCTACCCTATGAAGTAGGAGGCAAGGGACGTACTTGGTGTCCGAAGCGAAGTGTGCCGTCATCTAGAACACTCCCGGAATCCAAGGGCCGGCTTCCCTTCAGGTAATTGTAGAACACTGGCGTTGTCCCGACATCGCGAGGGAAAGACACTGGCAATTTACCTAGAGCACGTTTAATTCGCCGAAGCGCATTCTAGGAGACAAAGAACTGACCTGATGGATTAACATCTCCGAAGACAATCTCGGCTAGCGCCAATCCACCCTTCTCCCCGGGGTAGAACTGCTGAATGACTGCATCGGCGTCCATATGACTAGCATAAATGAACTACCACAGATTCAAGAATTGAGATACCCACGAGCTTGAATCCACGGCTCCGCGACGGGTTTACCGCTGACAAAGACAACTATAGTAGGCTTTCCTGTTGCCTCCACGGCTTTCACAAGATCCAGTTGCGCACCGACTAGCGCCAGGTCGTGCACGTCGACGTGTTCTCCCGTTGTTGCATTGGTACCCGGCGTCCATAGGAGGGTTTGGTCCAATGACCACGTCCCTACTATAACGATCGCAACATCGGACGATTGTGCTGCATTCACCGCGTCGTCAAATCCAGATCGGTCATTTGACCAAAGTTTTGAGCCCTCGGCGTAATTGATTTGTACTTGGGTGTCTGCGAGAACTTGGCGGAACCCAGCGAGTGGGCTGACGCCGTTGAGAGTGGCATTGAAGAAGACATAGTCACCGAACTGTGTAAATAGTTCAGAAAGAACCAACAGGATTGCGTTTGTGACTTACTGATACTCTATCGGCGTGAGGGCCGATCAACGCGACGGACCCAAAGTTCTTCGATAGCGGTAGTGTGTTTTGGCGGTTCTCGAGCAAGACAATGGACTCGCGGTCAGACGCAAGAAGGGTTTCCTGCGACTCGGGAGTGCGAAGCAATGAAAGGTAGTCCTCGTACGGGTAAGGATCTATGTTTAAAACACATAAGCAGAGGATTTCAGAGTGAGCCCCCTCACTGACTTTCGAAAAGACCTAGAGAGAATTTGGTGCGAAGCATATACTTCACAGTGGCATCCAGGGCCTTGATGTCAACTTGTCCCGCTCTGATTTGGTCTATGCATATGGAGCACATGCGTTGGATGCTACTTAGTTTCGTGGTCAGGGCAATGGATGATTGCGTACCGGGCAATGTCAAGTATGTATACATTCCACCACCCATCTCCCCAGACAAGCCTTTCTCGAGCGTTGTTTTAGCTGCGCATTCTCTCGTGGAACATGTACCATGAAGGGTAATTAGAAGGTCGACGGACCCAGCGTCGGAGACGACCCAATACTTATAGCCCCATTCTTTCCGGAGCTACGGCAACACAGTTAAAATAGGCTGCTATGAAAATAACATTCCATACAATGTCAATAAGGAGATCTAGCTCATTCAAACGCAATCAGGACCCGTACTCCCCAAGGCAAAGGGAACACTTACGATTGTTCGCAATAGCAGGAATACCGTCGTAACTTGAGTAAGCCGTCATGATGGTCATACTCTCCATACACGCTCTTTCCAAAGCCCGTAGGTGTACGGTTCGAAGTTCACGCTCACCGCCAGCCACCGGGGCAAGGTTCCTTGACCAGTGTCAGAGGCGTTAGAGTAAATCAAAATCACAGAACGTACAAGCCTCCTTGAGGACTCCCGAAAGCAGCAAAGTGTTTGCAAGTCGCAGCCGTTCTTGCGACTGCTGTCGTGCTCGCATTACGACGTTTGCCGGATTGTAGCCCTTCCACATAAGCTAGGGCCATCTCGCCAGTGAGGTAATGGTCTTCCCCGAAACCTTCCTCAACTCGACCCCACCGAAGCTCTCGAGCTTGATCCAACACAGGTGCAAAGATATGGTTGATTCCTAGCCCCTCAGCTTCGGTCGAAATAACACTAGCTACCTTCTTCATGAGGTCTGTGTCAAATGTTGCAGCGAGTCCAATAGGCGAAGGGAAGATGGTCCCGTTATTGGTAAAACCGTGTAGACCTGCGCGTAGTCGTGAATCAATGAGTAGAGAGATCGATGCCGATTGACCGACCTTCTGACTATATCAGGGCAGGGATGCCCAGAGTAGTGTTTTCCATTAGATAGCGTTGTCCAACATTGACGGCAAAAACGAATTTCTCGTAGGGTACGAGGTAGCCACCCCATATCGAGCCACCTTTTTGGCGCATCATTTCTTCCTAAGATAGTGGTAAATAAGACCGTGGAGATGTAGTATACGATGGAAGACCGACTAAGCCCGTCTGATTGAACACCAGGGTATTGTCCAACGGATCATTCATGTTCATCCATCCATTCAGATCGCCCTGAATTCTGGCGTGAACATTATATCAGATAGTAAAGGAAGAAACGAGTTCAGAACATACAATTGGGCGACCTTTTCCTCGAGCGTCATACAAGGGAGTAAGTCATTCACCCGTGCTTCGATTGATGCCCTGGGATTCTTGTACACCGGGCGGGAACCATCTCTATTTTCTTGTCGAGCCTCCAGCGAAAAATGGAGGTCGTCCCGGACACCAAATAAGTTAGCCTTGGCCACGAGCACGCCTAGAGACAGGACTAATCCGGGGACTAGGCCAACCATATCGAGAACGGGGTGAGCGAGAAGAAAATGAAGGAAGAATCAGGCCTCACCGAAGACTTATAAACATTGTAGGGTGAAAGTGCGGTGTCAACGTAGATGAATGGGGGTAACGGTCATGTTCGACCTGATTCTTTTCGCATCCTGGCGTCCTTCGTCCTCCGATCTTCCCCCCATCCATATCCCAAGCTCTCGTCGCAATCGCCATCGACCAATGTTGTGCCCCGCCCATGCCTTTCCGTGTTCTCAACACCCAGTCTCTGGTGAGTGACTCCCCACCTCTTTGCGACGGTCATGAACCTGGCAGGTATAGTTTACAATGTTACCGTAGATTTATCGCGACATATTTCGTGGACGTGTTTAGTGGGCGTGTGGTAACGACACCACAGCAGTCTTTATCGTTATCGGCGGGATTAGTGTCGTCGGAGTGGCGGTAGAGGTGGAGTCAGGATCGAGGTAACACGAAGTTCTCAGATTCGTCGCGGTCGTGGTGCTTTTCCTACGAGACGTTCGAGTAAGTCCTTTGTTTGCCCTTTTAAATCCTGCGTCGCTCACATACCTTGTGGGTAGACCTACACTCCACTCCTCTCCTTCCCGAGCTCATCCACATGCAACCAGAGAGTAAAAAAGTGTAGACGAATTGGTGTAATGGGCGTCGTTTGAGGTGAGGGAGTTGACGGAGGGGCTATAGAAGAATGTCTCTGTGTTCGCCCAGTCGTGCAGTAGCTCCCGCTGCGGAGGCTGCATTCCTGAACTACTAACTTTGAACATTTGGCAAGAATCAAGTTGTGATGGCGAAAGAAAATCTAGGAGCATGAACCATGAGGTTTATGTAAAGGAGACTGTATACGTGTACCGTAACATAGACGCTGGAACATAGCTTCGTCAATCCGATACCACTTCATTCAACTTTGAACGTAAACCAGGTTATCTTGTTAGCAGCAAGTACAATGCTAACAAATACTAGTTACAGATGCCTTCCGTACGGCTTTGGGTGAATCCTACAGAAGATCCTGAGATGGATCCGAAGGATAAAAATTGGACGACACAACAGCCTTTACGAGGATTCCTGGAAATATTGCGAGGTTCTAAAGAAGAACAGTATTCTGAGCGGAAAGCGATGATAGTTGAGGAAATTTTGAACGACTACCCCATCCTGGTAGGAGCCTCGTTAAATACACGCAACAAGTGGCTGAGGCTGAAACCAGGTCCATCGTATCCTTAATTGGCTTTATTTTGCAATTAATGGCGGATCTTTGACGCGTGACGCTGCAGTGAGCGTATTCCTGGATTACTTCCTGAGTCTAGTGCTAGACCGGAAGGAGGAGGCTCTGAATTGTCTCCAAAGGGCCCAAGAAGCATATATGAGTGCCCCGGTAAGTTTTATTTAGCAGAATGTGACACTGCAAATTGGAATACACACTTATAATATTTTAGCTACCCTCAAAATTTCATATGCAAGGGGATGGTGATCAGGAGGAGGATGAGGAAGAAGACGAAGAAGAGGAAGAGGAAGAGGAAGATGACGATTGTGAGCTGTTGCGGGTATATTGGGAGAGTAAAGCCCCAAGAAAGTGGAGGGCGTTGATAAGAACAGAAGGTGATGTTCAAGTCAAAATCTGTTACCTGTGGGCAGATGCGCTTCGCACATTCTTCGCACAAACCCAAGTAAGTTGTCATTTGTTTTAGCACCATCATCTAATCAAAGGCTTTTAGAACCTACCTCCGAGCATCAAAAAGGGCGCCGTACAAGCTTTGCAGCAAATGAGAAAAATAAATAAAAGTATTTGGATGCTGGATAGTTGGCGGAATGCTGTTAAGGTACGTTGATGAGACTAATATCATATTGCCATATATACAATCTCTACATTTAGGTGTCAGGTTTAGCTGAGGTCATGATCGGCATCTGCCAGTCATCTCATCTTTTCAAAGTACAATCGCCGCATGTGGTGGAAACCTATAGGTACAATGTCTGGCGGGAAACATTGGGTGAGATTTTGGTAAGGTGGACACCCAATGAAATGGCAGAGAGGAAGGTGAGTATTGTGCAGTACTCAAAGGATTTTACTCAGATGAAATTACAGATTGAGGTATTACCAGATGAGGCTAAGGATGGGAGGATTGCTTGCACCGCTGAGAACATATTGACTCTCATGTGCAAGCATATTGAGATGGTGCCACGCATCTCTCACCCATCTTCGGTATTCTTCCTTGTCACGTATGACAACTTTGTTCACACTTGGGAGATCTGGCTGGAAGGGGCATTGAGGCACCGTAATGTTGAGGTAAGCAGCGGTTTCCCTCAATGTTGAGAAGAACTAAGCCATCTGAGTTAGACCATTAATGTGGATCTCCGATATTTACATCGTGCTCTCCGAGGAATGAATTTGGAGGTCTTCGAAAGGACACATAAAATTCCGGAGCAGCTAAAGGTGATTCTTGACGAAACAGAGACCTTAGTTCAGCACAACCGGCTTCTGATGTTTGTCAATTTCCGCCCAAGCAACAGCCGGTATCCTGGACCCCCTGCCAATAAAAAAAAAAGAAGTAACACAAATTCACCTGCTGACACTCCAGAAGTTTCACCCTCACCATCACCCTCACCATCTCCACATCCTAACCCATCAACCCATCACATTTTCAATTCATCTAACATTCCACCATACTCTCTCTCTCAGCTTTCTGAAGCACCGGAGCTGGATCCTAGCCAGCAATTCGTCATGCCAAAGATCTTCAAGAATACTTGCAACTTTTGTAAAGATCTTCCGGATGAGGATCAGTGGTGTATCCGCAGGTATTTTGTTCATGAATTGCCTGGTTATGAGAAACTCGAAGGATGTATCATCACCACGGCATTGGGAGATGATCGCTTGGATCCAAAGGTATTAACAGACATTTTATTTGTTCTACAAACTGACATAATTTCTTTAGCCAACAAAAGGCAGCAAACCTGGAAAAACTCCCACTTACTATCATCCCGACGAGCTTGGACTCAAGCAGATCAAGCCTAGACCTGAGGTTCAGAAAAAATGTGGCCGGGATGTAACTCTGCTAATCAATGATGAGAAGGTCATGGTGAGTTGTGCTCTCATATCCAAATACACTTTTTAACTGTCTAAATTTAGGTTGGTGCAGTGAAGTATAATGCATTCGTGGATGAGGTGGTGGAGGAAATGGACAAGCATTTCCATGCCTCATCCAACCTCCATGATGTCCAGAGAGGTGTAGGATTCCGTGCATTCGCTTGGGGAAGTATGAAGGCACTAGGGTCCCGGGTACCACAAGGAGGGAATGCTGGCAGTGGCTACGGTCCGTACAAAGATTTGGATGCAAGGGAGATAAGTGGTATTCGCAGCATGTTCAATCATGCAAAGGTAAGCTTTAATTTTTCATTGTCTTTATTTCATACTAATTGAGAATTACAGATTGCTGATGCACTTGTTCACACTGCTCAAGGCCTTTATAAACCGGTGACAAAACACGTGGACAAGTACTTTGTTGCTCAAGGGATGGATCCAATAGGTAGTGGAGGTGGAAACCTCTACATTTGCCACAACTATTGCAGCCCAATGCATCAAGACCGTGATGCAAGTTTATCCATATGCATGCAACACAAGAAGAAATGCAAGGAGGGTGAGTGGAACTTTGTGTATCTCAAATGGGGGGTGTATCTTCAAAATGGCCCAAACACGCTATGGTCAGTATTATTCATTGAAATCATGATTCCTATGTAATATTTCCTTAGGCTCTTCGACGCAAATCATTTGCATGGAAGCACGATGCCTGGCAAGTCCACAGCATTGCGAAGGCCCTTCTTGCGACGAGAACGTGTTCCAGATGACGCACAGGAGCAACAAACAGGCGCTCAAGAACAAGCAGCAGCACAAGGGCTACAACTGCGATGGATTATTGTAACTCCCAATGAAGCATCAACGGGATGTCACATGTCTTACAGAGCCAGAGATTTGCGGAGAGCATCAGAGTATCAACGGGTTCACAGGCAACTTCCTGCTGCAAGTGATTACTGGAGGCAGTAAAAGGGTTTCACAATGTATAATATATACTTTCAAGACTATCATAACTCAATTAACTACAATTTCCACTCAGACATGTTGAATTCAATCTGCACATTACAAGTACTGACAATTTAGCGCAATCTCGTCTTTTCAACTTAGCTTATATAATCAAAATACCTTCCTCCAATCAGAACACGAAGAGTACTTTTTCGAGCAAATATGTACAAATACTGAGACAGCCAATCACGATCCAAGAAATCAAGGCTTAACCAATGAGAACGACGTACCTAGCCCCGTGTAAGACCCTGTCGAAGTGTTTCAGACCAGTTCCGACTAACGAGCCTCCATTTCATTCCGGTCTCGTAAACATGAAGGTATAAGGAAATTACAAAGCGAGCGGGGAACATCCCATCAAGCAGACGAGGTAATTTAGGCGCGGAACCACCATGTAGCTGAACATAGCAAGGATGGTGAATGGCGTCCTGTGGTGGCAACATGTAACGGCCCCTGACCAGCAAGTCTCAGCAAGAGGGGTCCCCTGGCTACTCCTGTTCCACCAAGGTATTGTCTAAAGGCGATGCAGTAAACAATCGCGTGTATTCATTCTGTGCTTGTAACCGACTGTCTATCGTATCGAGTTCACATAGAAAAAAGAAGAAAAAGTCTAAACAATCTATGGAGAAATGAACTACTCAGCAACCCCGTTGCCATTTGCAGTCGGCGGTTGGCCATTTCCATTTGAAGGGGCACCCTCTCCGGTCTTCTTCCCGCTCAAGATCTCTGTGACTCGAGCCTGCACTATCGCCAACAAAGGAGTGACACGATCCTTCACCTCCGCAGTAACTTTGTTGACCTTTTCCTGTATTGGGACGTCCTTCGCCGTGACGATGCCCTTCAGTTCGTTGATAGTTGCACCAAGCGAAGTCTGAAGCTCGTGTACCTGCCCTTGGAGGTGAGCGAGGTGCTCGTGGAACTGTGGCGGGATAGCAGAGGCTTGGGAGCGAATGGAAGTCTGGAGTTCGGAGGCGGAGGTGGCAAGGGAAGTGGAGAGTGCCTGGGCAGAGGTCTGGATCTTCTGGAGCTCGAGGACCATGGTGTCGGACAGGGTGTGAACGCGAGTTTGGGCGGTAGAAAGAGACGAAGAAGCAAGTTCGGAAATCGAGTGGGCTGTTTCCATGGCGCGGTTTCTAGAAGAAGGCCAAACATGAGTCCTCGTGGGGACGAGACAAAAAAAAAGACGTACACTAGTACGGACTGGGTCTGAAGGTGCTTGATCTGTTCACCAGAGTATACATATGCGCGGTCGGTGAGGGTCCTGGAGAGTGCAAGGGCGCGTTGATACTGGTACTTGGCGTCTGGCGGCGTGGATGGGCCTGCCTCAGGACCGTTGACTTGAGCCTCGATATAATCGACAATCGGGGCGAAACGCTAGGCAAGAATATGAACGACTATTCTGAAGCAAAAAAGGCAGGAACTCACGTTATCAATGCCCTGGGCGACATTGAAAGCGGGGCTCTTGACCTTCTCGTCGAAGTTTTTGTTCGCAACGGAAACAGCGCTATCGCGCCTCTCGCGAACGAAGGTAGCTACTTCCTCAGGCTTAACTTGGAAAGGATAAGGATATCGCGATTCGACGATATCCACGGCCTTGTTGGCGTAGCCATCCGCACGGACGATAAGAGGTGCAAATCGAGCCTGGAATGGCTCCGTGTACTTGTATGCGGTGGCGGAGAGGTCCTTCGCGGTGGAGAACGGTGTGCGGGTGTACGTGTTAGACGCGAGGGTGTCGTGGATCGTCTGCAACGACGAGTAGACAAGCGGAATGGAAGCAACTCTGTGGATAAATGTAATCTCCGGGGCTGGGTGCTCCGAAGCGGTGGACTCTGTGCCATTGGGCATCGGGATCGTCGATGTCTGAGTTTCGGCCATTGTCGCCATTGTGGGAGGCAGAAATGGGGATGGTGGTGGTTGAAAGATAAGAGGGAGCGTCCTGCAAACGCCTCTATTGCAATTTAATATAGCAGCACCCCTGCACGTGGGCTGGCAACTTGCATGTGAAATCGCGGGCACGGCGTCTGTTGCGACTATCACGACACAGTGCACATCAGCTCAATTGCAGTGCGCCAGTCCTCCAGATGAGTCGTACTTTGTGCAAGTACGACTTTGATTCTAATTTCCAACAGTGCGGGGAGGAGCAAACCCTGGACCCCGCATTTATAACAGTAAATTTGCAACATTTCTTAGTGCAAACGTTTATGCGGAACGGGGTCGTATGAAATGCTTCCCTGGTTCCTCGATTGCGACTCGGTCCGTATGCCTGTGATTAATACTTTAATCGGCAGTAAATACGAATACTTCCTGGTACGAGAGGTTTCACCGCCCCGAAGGACTCTTGGCTGAGACTCACCACCAGTTAACACGAGATACTGGTAACTCGAGATGCTTCAGCTTTCGAAATCGTGAAAGTCGACTTGTCCCGGACACCCGATGGCATGCGCGGTTGTGAGATATTCACGGCAGTGTAGATTCGTCCACGTTAAGTATCAATGTAGCAAAGAATTGAATCATCTCCATATAACCGTCCACGGTGATATCTGCCAGGCACCCGAGTTCAGTCACTGCGTCCATTCGAAGAAGACACGGAACGCACATTCGTTCACTGTATGCAAGCCGGTCATGTCACCATTCGACGAGTCTTGGTGATTATATCTAAATATATACTCGGAGAGGTTCCAGTACGACTGTGTGTCTAAGAGGACATAGATAAGCGATGAAGACGACGAAGGTCTGTCACCCTGTAAATACCTGTGTTCCCTGCCAGGATACCAGGGCTAACGACGATGTTGTCACCAGTTAGGTCTCGGTGAAGGTTATATGTCGCCTTTATCGTTCCTGCTAGAAGTGCATATGGACTGGTCTCCCGGTCTATCGGAGTGACTGGAGCGGGTTCTAAGGCTGTACCCCAAGCATCGCTGAGTCTCAAAGTCCTACTTGACCCTGTTCGCTGTTCTGTCGTGTTCCCACCGAAAGTGATGTAAGTTAGATTGAACGCCTGTGCAAGAGGTCTGAGAGTGTCCGCATCATATGCCATCGTTTCCTCCACTGAGCTAATACCCAGGATCAGCTATCGGTCGGTAGCGTCGAGTATTGAACGTACCTTTCCGTGGAGATGCGATGGTTTATGAGAGCCCAAGCCTGCTCGGGGAGTGCATTTGCTTTGATACCGCCGTCAATCATTGTGATGCTTTGAGTCGTCCCGATCAAGCTTCCGTACGTCTTGTCCACCGCCAATTGCCTTTCAAGATCGAGAAGTGCTTCCTTTGAGTGCGAAGCACGCTTGATACTATCCCGGAGTGACGCGGGAAGCCCCTCGGCGTGGTCTGCAAAGCACTGAAGAGTAAGGAATACGGGGGATCGCCTCTCCTATTCTATATCAGCGCATGGGGAGAGGGTCAGTCGAGATGCACGTACTAGCCGCATGGGATGAGGTTTGCTCTCCAATTCAACTAGCAAACCCGCCAGGATCCCAATACTCTGATTACCTGTCGCGTAAAGGTTTTGCGTGCGCAAGGGAAGCCACAAGGCGCACCGTATGTTCTGGCGGAAGAGAGGAATGTCCTCCGGGTGTTGTCACCTCGATTTTGACATCTAGGTACCCTTTCTCGGCAACGGCAGGAATCGCAAAGATAGTCCCGAATTTCTCTTCAAAGCCATCTGCAGCACTCGTGTAAGGGCTTACCACCACCAGGTTTTAGTACACGGAATACTTACCTCCCTCATCGATGATCATCAAAAATGCGCCCTTGCCATGCCTTTTCTCTAATTCAACACCCAGCTTTTTAGCACTCTATCGTACGGTTCAGTCGGCTAGCCGGACAATACGGAAAATGATCATCCACCTCTCCCCTAGATTCCTCGTCGAATCCAAAAGCAAGGACGATGGTTCGGGTGGGCTCGAAGCTCGCTTCCAGGAGCGTTTCAACAGAAGCTCTAAAGTATGTGAACATGGAGATGTCTAGGAGATGGTAGAACCTACAGGATGCTGATTAGTCCATTCTTGTCGTCGGACGCTCCTCGGCCCCATATTCGCTGGCCTATAGATCATAAGGAAATGTAGACGTTCGTGTCAAGGTGCTCGCCATCGTAGTATCCAGAGTATGGTGGATAAACCCAATCGTCGATTGTTGCTAGGTCAACGGGCACAACATCTACATTGCAGACGGAGATTAACTACCAACTCGAGCATGACCTGTGACACTCTCACCTTGATGCCCTGCCAGTAGCAAGGGCTTTTTCGTATCATTGGAGCCATTCCAAACGAAGATTATCCCATACGTGTTCACGGTCGTCAGCTCCAGATTCGAGTGACTGCGGGTGATGGTCGTGTAGTTAGTTAGGACAGAGGAACTGGGACAACAAGCCGATTCAAAACGTACGTCAATGGAAAGGCAGCACGAAGATAGTCGTGGAATGCACCAAATACGTCCCAGCGATTGTCACTACCGACAGGACCCATATCATCAAACGTCTCTGTTCTACGGTCAAGAATGAATAGCTATCATATCTGAAAGGCAGTTTAATATGAGATGAACTCACGGAATTCTGACGGCCTGAGATAGCCATTCAACAGCACGTAACCTGTAGGCGTCTGACCGGATAACAAGACCCACATCTGTCCAGAGCTCGAAAATTTCCAGCGGTACAATTGGGGGAGGCTGGGAGCACTGAAATTCTTTGGCACGAGAAGGGGAGAGCGAGAGTTGAATACATGGACTGGGCAACCTGAGGCAGAGGTAGAAAGTGAATGACAAGGCAAATGTTATTGACTTCCATCGATAGTGGCACCAGATGGTGTTCGCTGGAGCCATGGCTCTTTACGGGGCCTGACAGTATAGGTTGGCTCTCGCCAGTGGCCGAACGCGTCTGAGAAGACATACATCCTCATTAACTCCCGCCATCAGTAAATCGACCAAGTCGCTCAGGAGTCAGGGGGTTTGCAAGGGGCGACAACTGCCTTTGGCATGTCTGGCTTTGAAATCATCCGCCTCACCCTTGGGGTGTAGGCTTGCTGCCTGCTACACCTGCTGCCATGCTTTTGATTTTATTTTTACTGTGGTTTGAATGGAATGGGTGCACACATGCCATCAGTGTTGTGAGTGTAGTGTTACTGTGATCATGATGCCATCCACCCTGCTCATGGGCCCCCCACCTTTGTATCTAGATGTTGCTGATATACTGGCTGTTCCTTGTTGTATTCAAGAGCATCATCGAGTTACGAGTACATATGTTGCTGGAACTCTCCCCAGCAAAATATACTCCTTTCCCTTGCCTCCGATCAACTGACGGACGACATTGTCATGGTGCGTCCAATGACATTAAATTCGCTTCGCAGAGTCAATGGGATCAAATGGCGCCAGACGGGGCTGTTTGCGCTGCTGATGGGCTTCGAAGTGCATAGCCTCATGTGCTCCGAAGACAGGTGAGAAGTGAAGAGTACCGAAAAAGCCTCCTTTCAGTGTAATTGCGCTCGACACGCACACATATAATAACACAAAGTTTAATTGAACATATAGGCCCGGTTCGCTACGCGGGACGTAGATATAATTACAAGGCGGACAATGGTGTGTATGTACTACAGTATTTACAGCATGAATGTTATGAGAAGTCAATAACAAAGCAAAAACAGTGAGTCGTCGTTGAAGGTCGTCAGTTAATTCGTGAGTACTTAAATATTGGTACATTCATACATCTTGTCATCAATCTGGGAAAGGGGAGAACGATTAAATGTCGCCTAGAGGCCCATAGTATCCATGGCTCCTGAGGAACTCGGGCGTCCCGTCTCCGAAGAGCTCGAGCCCATTGGCTTGCGCACGGGCAGCGTCATGGCGGGTGTACGGGATAGCGAACGTCGCCTGGTAATCATATCCAGCCCTCGGACCGACAAGGAGACGCACTTTCCACGGCTCCTCTCTCTATATCAAAGCACGTCAATGAGCATGTCAACCCTTCGAAGCATGGGTCCCGACGTACAGTGCGTTGCCCGGGTACGAGTATACCTGCTTTGCGGTCTTTGGCGATGCTGGCATTGACCAGAGCGAAGACAATCCCCTAGACAAGACAGGAGTGTCGTCAGTCTTCGCAGTAATTTAGTTAGAATGAATGGCGGCCTACATAATGATCATACTGAGGATCGGGCGTGGCGTATATCTCGTTGGCGTTGTAGCGAGTGATCTCTCCAAGGCCTGGGTCATACATATCGCGGCTTATTCTGTCGCCGAAAGCGACCACGTATAATCTCTGCTTACGGCCGGTTGCCTGTTAGGGAGTTTTCGTAAGTGGGATACGGGGAGGGAAAAGTTGGCGGAGCACTACTCACATTATCAATGGGATGCACCCTATCGTGCACAGTGGCGGGCTTCCAAGGACCATACGTACTTTTGCTCGCGTGCCAGCGACGGACTTGAACGTGATCCCCAACCTGCAATAAATTGCGGTCAACGATTGAATTCAACCACCTGTATTAGGATTGCGACCTACGTGATACCTAGCAACTTTGCTATCATCTTGAATGATCTTAATATTGCATTCGGGGCCAGGGAGAGCGGCGGCGACCAGGGTGTTGACTGGAGGTGGGACACGGCCTTTCTTTGCTTTATTCGTCGGGCTCGCGGTCCCTCGTGGATCGCGAAGTTCTTCCACGGGGGGGAAACGCTCGCTAGCAGACGCCATAGAATGTTGCGAGGGGGTCACCGCTGACGGTGGGGCAAGATAAGAGGCATTGTTAGCCCGTTGGGGCGCAGCGGAGGGCGAGAATAGGTGTCCCGTCGCCGGGGTCGTCGGCACCTCAGCAGGCGCGAAGTTCACGAGATTATCAAATTGGGGGCTCAGCGGGGAAATGGACGACGACGTTGACCGAACGAGAGGCGACGGGCCAAGTGCCCGAGAAGGCCTGGGATCGTAGAGCAGGCGCGGGCGGTCGTGTTGGGAGTTCGTTGGGGTGTTACCTTGACTTCCAGCCAATTGAGTCGGAGAACTGTAATTTGAGTAGTTGACAGGGGGAGCAGAAGGGGCGGGAGAAACATGACTAGGAGTAGAGGCGCTGTAATCATAGATATAGTCTTTGCCAGAAGTAAGAGACGATGCCGAGGTAGGAGCAGCGGAGGATGGGTGCATTCCGTAGACCAAGCATGCTTGGTTTACTCTAGATACAGGTCTAGAGGAGGCGTTGTCGAGATAGTGTTGGGAAGACATCGGAGAGTTCGTAGACCAGAGTCGTAGAGAACGCGCGCAGTAACAGTTCAGAAAAGGACTCAGCTGGAGGAGCTGGTTGCATCTTCTGAAAAGGGCTTTATATACTAAAAAGACTAGGTGCTGTGGCTAGTTGGTGGCCACTGAATAGGCCATTGTCCGAGTGGCTGGTGGCCTGGTACGACAATGGTGTGGCCATGCGCAAGTACCACAATATGATTGTCCTGTGGCACTTGGCGTTGAAGCGCGCTAACTTTTGATACTGAGCACCGAATTCTGAGTACTGAGTGAGTACCAAAGCCTGGAACCTTGGGAAATCGAGAAAGTAAGCCGATTGCATCGTGAATGAACGGCAAATTTGTGTGGCGTAGGTGCGCCAATTTTGAGCTGCTCCAATGATCGAGAAAGAGGACAAAATTCAGTACATATGAGAAAATACTTGGGTTCACCAACGCGGCCGAACGTTCAAACGTTCAAGGGGATTGTCACAAGTCCACGGCATTTCCCACGAATTTGAGCACAAGCGCCTATTCTCATCAGCAAATCCGTGAACAGGCCGCTCAGATTGTTTCCTTTTTATTTCAATGTTGACCGGTCTTCGAAGCTTCACAAGTCGGCCTGGAGGGTAAACATTGTTTCCAAGAAATGCGGAATCAAACGCTAGTCACCTGGATTGTTGCCGCTGAATCTTCACCGAGCCTTCGCATGAATAACACCTCGGTTGTGGTCTTCATCTCCCCGATGTACTACCGTTAGGAAGCATTGCGGTCCGGTAAGATCCGTGGTTCTTGGTCATATGTTGGCTAATAGGACTTGAAGGCTTGAACCACCAGAAGGCCATCCCAGAACTTCGGCTTTTCCAGGAGGTAATTTGAAATAAATAGGCTACTATACTGTGCACTATGGTGCAACGCTGCAGGCCAATTCACCACCATGTTCTTCGCGAATCGCGCTGGCTTTTACTGGATTCTCGTTCTCTCCTTGCTGTCAATTGCAGCGGCCTCTCCCCTTTCTACAAAGAATGTAACGATAACGGGACCGGCTGTGTCCCCTGAAGCATTCAAACGCGCCGTGTCGGCACCATACGTCTTCACGGCGTTCACTTCGGTGTCAGAATCAAATCTATATGTGTATACGTCTAGCGACGCGACGAACTTTGCCTTGCTGAAGGGTCCCGCTTACACTCCTCCAGCTGGGCTCATCAGGGACCCTAGCGTCATTCTTCACACTGAGTATGACAAATGGCCCTACCATCTTCATATCACTGATACGTAGTACACCTAGTGGCAAATACTACATCGCATGTTTGTGATGTTTATTTCCTATGAACGTCTCTAAACTCCGCAACAGATACCACGGATTGGAGTGGTTCAAACTTTGCCATCGCAGTGAGTTTCTTCTGAACCACTTCAGTGATATCCATTTATCGTTTTTCACAGAGTAGCTCGGACTTAACCACTTGGACTCTTGTAACCACCGTATCCACTGCGTCGTCGGTAATCAACCCCGTCAACACGTGGGCTCCTGTTTGTATTTACTACACACGCCTAAACTCTTCGTCTCATGATTAGAACCGCAGGAATTCTTCAAGGATCCGAAGACCGGAAAATTGAATATTATCGTGTCTCTCTCCACGGGAAGCTACGGGCCGTTCAGGCCGTTCGCTTTCACCGCGAATGACAACACATTGAGATCGTGGTCTGGACCCGTTGTACTCTCCGGGATCCCCAACACAGGTCTAGGGTATATCGACAGCTTCCCGGTGTTTTTCAAGTGAGTCCGCGGCATTCGGCTTCCCCGTGACGCAGTCCTATTGATAGCTATCCTATCGCAGTAACCAGTACCATCTGTTCACAAAAGCGGAATCCAATGGCCAGAAACATGTTGAACACGCTGTATCATCCTCGCTAACAGGTCCATACAGCTTTGTCCAAACTGGCGATTTCGCCGGGTGGGGGCAGGCTGAAGGACCATGTGTCACAGTTTTACCGAACGGACAATTCAGATTGTAAGCATCATGCGCAATCCTCCTTCTTTTGCTCACTCGCCGGTGCCGCTGATCCTTTAGATTCGCCGATGGCTTCAATTCTGGCAAATACATATATTCGGACTCGGCAGATCTATACAATTGGTCAGCATACCGAACCTTACCAGGCGGTCTTAACGGATTTGTTCGGCATGGCACCGTTCTCAAGCAGTGATTGCAGTCCATATATGCTGTTAATGTAGCCAGCAGGGTGGTGCATGCCTTTAATTTACTTCCCAGTTGATTAACGGGTTTGGACGTATTAAATCCACATTTAGCACTAAGGTAAATAGCTCCAAACAGCGTGGCCTGCACTCCGCCTTCAAAACGCCGTCAAAGCATGCCCAATGCATGTCTGACATATACCTTGTAGTGCCTTGACGATGCCCTCGCAAACTCTTGCGGACGCAGCTCACGTAGTGCAATATCCTGCTCAAACTGCTCAGCATCATGTCCAGCTCACATCCGCACTCCAAGATGCCTCTACTTCTACTCGTCAAAGGGAGACCAAGGCGCCCAGGGGAAGAAGTAATATGAGGGCTGAAAGGCCTGCCAGGTCTGATGATGAGATCAAATTCAATGTTGGCGTCCCAAAGTCTCGTCCCACACGGCGAAAGCGTCCAGCACCTCTTCAATCGGACTCTAGATTGAGGGAGGAACGATATCACAGTAATGGTGAGGTTTCAGCCTTTTGAATGAAAGAGTAGTTTGCTTAATTTATTTCTCGTCTTAGAATCCCCACCTGGATACGAAGAGGCCATCAGCACGCCTTGCGTTTCGGGATGCCCTAGTACTGTGACCCTCGTTACTCCGAGTGCTCACCATACGCAGCCTGCGGGGCCGTCTACACTAGCGATATCAACTACTCAGACGGCGCAACCCAGTGCCCATCCTAGTGCATCATCGCGGCCAGGATCACCCCATCCTACTGGCTCGCCAGTGTCGGAGACCGAATCCGAACGGAGTCTTGAAATCATCAACGGGCCTGAGGATGATATCGAGAGAAGGGAGGGAGGTGCACAACACCCCCTTGCGTCGGGCTCGCACCCATACTCGCAGGGCTCATTCTTAAATTCCACGCAAGTCGACATCCTTACAAACGGACAACCTGGACGACCAAAGGATGCGAAATCAAAGAGGCGGAACAACACGCTGTCCCCTCTGCGAATATTGTTTCCGATGAAAGCTCCTGCTACGACGCAGGATGTCATACACTCTGCGCACCCGTCCCCGAACTCTCCGTATTCAGATCTCCGTGGTACCGCTTCACCGTTTCGAAGCGCAACCTCTCTCAAAGCATCGCTTTCTACTCTCTCTCTCGGTAGATTTACTTCAGCCGACTGTTCAGCCCAGAAGGATCGTAAATTGTTCTCTTTCAAGGGCAAGCAGCGTGCTAAGGCCGAGGAAACACCAATAGAGACGGAGACGGAGAGTCGTGATGAATGGGAAATTATCCATGTCGGTCATAAACCGACGGCGGTGGATACGGCGGTGAATGATCCTACGCCTAGCCTCATGACTACTGTCGAGCAAATTAGGACCTTCCCGCCTGCCGAAATGCACGCTCCTCCTCGACCCATCAATCAGGAAGGTCAGACTGAGGTTCTTACACCGCAGCTTACTCCCGCTTCTCCTGCCCCATCGACCACTCGCTCCAACTTTTCAAGGGATGAGAAAGTTCGTGAAATGTTTATGACCCTCAACGCAAGACGTCCCCCAGCGAATCACCCACCCACCCCAAGGTCGCCATCGCCTGTTCCTGAGCCTCAGGTTATTGCTGGTCCCATCGTGACCACTGTACGAACCAGGAAGCATCCTTCCGAGCCATCCTCGCCAAAGATGGAAACATCGACGATCATCTCCGCTCCTGCATCTCACAACGAACATGCTGAATTGCAACGGGCATTGGACACGCCCCTCCCCACAACCCCTATCGCGGAGTCCTCCTATTTCGGCCACGTGCCAAGGAGTTCCTCCAGACCATCGTCGGAGCGTTCTGTTTCTCGACGTCCATCACCGAGACCATCGATTACGGCGGAACAGGAAGAGATTTACGCCAATGACCTTCAATCAACTCAGGTTCTAACGACTTCGCAAGATATTGATACCTTCATTGGCAGTCGACCGACGACGCCTGCCTTTGGAGTAGTTTCCACCAGCGAACCAATGTCGCCTAGCAGCCTCATGCGCCACCACTATCCCGGGCGTCCGCTGCCGAGGCCCCCTGCGTCTCGAACCCCACGCGTTGTCGACTCAGCCTATGCCCCCCCGTTTGGCTTCGCTGACGATGTCAGCAAGGAGCCCGTCTGCCCAGAAGGTCTACTCATTGACTTCGATGATGAAGCCACGGAGAGTCAAGTTATCAAAATCGGCAGAGCAAGTGCGCAACCTGAGAGCGTGCCGCCTACCCCTGCATCCTCTTCATTCACTATGTCGACAACCTCGACGCCGACTGTATCTCCTCCAGTATCCCCCGTTGACACTATCATTCCTACGCCCGAAGAGCCGGCACTCCGCGTCAACCAGGTTCACAATCAAATACATATGGATGCAACAGTCCATCATGAGTACACGGAGCTGGACGTCTTAGTCGACGGCTTGGATCCAAATGCCAGAGAAGGAGAAAACTACGACGTACGGGCTCTTGCCTCTCCGAGCGATAATGGAGCTTCTGTCGCTCACTACACTGTGCTTACAGGCGCTCCTTCTTGTCTCAGAGTTTGTTGGCCCAGCACACATAGGGTCCGCTCTCCCCTCCAGGTCCAATCCCTATGAGGATTCGTGCATGCTTCAAGGCCGCGTTGAGGTTGATCGCAGGCGAATCACTCGTATGGGCAAGCGCAAACTCAAACTTTCATTACTGGGCGTAGGAGTGGAGCGTTGTGCTATCTGCTTGTCTCAATTCAAGGAAGCGGAACACGCTTCCCTCATATCAAAGTGTCAGCATTCGTTTCATGCCAGGTGCATCGGAACGTGGACATCGCAAGGGAAGAAAACATGTCCCATCTGCCGCACGAAGTTGGATGGTTTGGGTGGCTGAGTTTTCTTCTTAGGCCTTAGGCTTAAAGCCAATTATCCAACCGATCTACACCCTCAAGAACAATTTCCGTTTCTTCTTTCGGCTGTGCCTATGTTTGTTGATTCCTCATTTGTCTCGGGATATTTCGTTTGGTTTGATTTCATGGAACAATGTTGTACATGTAGTGCATGCTCAAAGTGCATAATCCTTGCCTCAGCGCCTCAGCGCTTCAGTCATCATGCCTATCCATTCTCCCCACCCACATCATACAAAATGTCCCCTTACTTACCGTCCCCTTTGTTTCTGGTCATCGAGTCATAACTCACAAATCACAATTCGCAATTACCAAGTCGTAACCCTTTCCTCACATTGAACGGTAGCTTCATTTTCCGGAATAAACCGAATGAAAGGCATTCGATCAACAGACAGTAGAACCCCTCTCCACCCCTGTACAAGCGAGTACGTTCGAGCTCCGCGATCCAGGGGTCGGACGCTAGTCAGACCTCTTCCGCTCGTACTTACTCAATCCAACAGCTACCCCAGACCGCCAGGCACGACTCCGCAATGTTTGTAATTGCTCTAATACCATATTAAAAGTACTTGCATCATTCTGCACCATCTTCAAGCTATTTCTTCGCGCACCCTTCTGACGTCACTGCAGGGCCCTCTTGTGGCTCGACTTGGGGCTCAATAGTCCACAACCACTCTGGCAGATCCACCTTATGATATCTATGATGCTGATTTGATTTTTGTAATGATGACCTACGGAATGACGAACCAGAGACTCCATTCGATGAAAGAAGGGTATATAAACCCATCCCTCAGATCCCGAAACGCATCTTCAAGTCACAACCACATCTACATAACCGCAATCACTCAAATCGCATCGAAATCCGCTCTCAATATGTCTTCTCAACCGAAGTAAACTTACAACCGGTTGTTGTTCTTCTGCGATATACTGACTGGCTTTTGTAGCAAGACTACCGGACAATTTCACTCTACCAAAGGCAATGTTGTCGAAGGCGTGAGCAGCATCAATTTGATTCACCTCAGCCTTGCTGACAGTGTAATTCGTAGATTGGTAATCTGACCGGTGCTGAATCATGGCAACGCTCTGGCAAGGAGGAGCACGCTTCTGGCGAAGCCGAGTATAACGCTGCTCGTGCGAAGGGCTATGCAGAGGGCGCCGAAGACCGCCTCGCCGGCAAGAAAGACGCTATCGTAGGCGCAGTCACCGGCGACTCCACTCAACAGGCCCAAGGTATAGTATTTCTTTATCGTAAGCGTATCCCGCACTGAAGTCATCGTGTTAGGCAATGTGCGTCACGACAAAGGCGAGGCTCAGCAGGACATCAACCGCAAGGCCTAAACTGTGCACAGTCAAAGAGATGCTGTATAGACGACTATTGTATCATCACCAATTCACGTAGTAATAATGCGGAGATATTAGCCGTATAATGCCAATATTAATATATCATCTCAACCAAATATCATCGGAGTGCGGAAGATCTTACATCGAGAATCATTCACAATTTCTACTCTAAGTTCCCGCGTCTTCTTCTTTGGGGTCGTTCAGCGTCATCTCGTCAAAGTCTTCCAATAACTCATTCAACTTGACTTCCGGGAAGTCGGGCTCTTCCTCTTCCTCTTCTTCGGCTGTTACTTCAGGCACAGGTGCGGGGACAGTCTCGTCAACCTCCATCGCGAACTGTTTCCCCTTCTTGCTAGCCTCGGTAGCAGCCCGCATCTTAACATCCGCCTTATACAGATTGACCGCACTTCGCATCTCCTTATCTTCCTCCAGATCCCGCAAGAACAGTTCGTAGTCCTCGTTAACCTTCTTCTGATCGCGACCGCCCATACGTCCAACAACACCCTTCCCACCCCCAGTCTCCCCTTCCTCACCCTCCTCCTTCCCGATGGACCGCAGCTTCCAGTTACGGGGCTTGTTCTTCTTGCGACGGTTGGGGTACGTTTTCCTCACCAGTATCACGTCAGGTATCCGCGAGGACGGCAGGGAGGCGAAGTCGTCGGAATTGAAATTCGAGTTGGTGAGATGGAAACCGAGGACGGTGTCGCCCGGTTGGAGAATAGCCCCCAAGTGAGTGCGGGTATGGTATATCTGATTTGATACCCCGTTGTTCGAATCGTATGTATCCTCGTCCATCATTCCGTCCTTGTCACCCCCGGTCGACCTAAACGCGCCAGCAAGCGCCACCTGCGCATCGGCTAGCACCCACTTGCCCCTCGTCCTCGCAAAGTCAGGCTCGACATCTAAAACCGTAAATTCCACCAAATCCACCACAGTTCCCAAGCTGTCAAACGGCGTCCGCCAATAGACGGCCGGATTTATCTCGACGGATTGGAGCGTGGCGGGGTCGAGGAGTTGGATGGTGTTGTTTATGCGGGTGCAGATGGTCAGGGGCGAGATGTTGGACAGCTGCTTGGCGAGTTTTGGAGGAAGGACGGTAAGATCGTCTTTGCAGATCGGGGCGATTTCCACTGAGTATGTGTATTTGAAGTTGGCGGTGCTAGAGTGGGTATCCGAGGATAGCAGCTGCTCGGAAGCTTTTGATCTGGATGAATACAAAGATAAGTGGTGCGTCTCCGAATTATAGAATAAAGGATAACGATAACCCACCGTAATGGAACGACGCTAGTCAGGAAATCTACCATTCTGATCGCATGATTCCGCTGGCTGTAGAAGAAGTCCAGCCCATCACGGACTTCCTTCACCGAGATTGTGTCCTTCTGCGCGCCGTGCTTGAGGATCAGTTGCTCGAGGAATAGAAACGTTCGTTTATGGGGGACTTTTTGGCGGACTTGGACGAGGGCTTTCCATGTATTTTTGGCGGCGAGGCGAGCGCAGTCCGGACATTGTCCGTGTTGGACGAGGTATTCTACTTCGAATGTCTGTTCTAGGATGGTGTTTATCAGGACCTGCGGAACGGAATTTAAACAGGGTTTAGCAGCGAAGCAAACTAGACGAGGCATGGAAGCGCACCTCCTTCTGGATCGTCATAGACACCCTTAGTCGCTTGGAATGCGGCTCTGTCCATATGAAATGGGCATCCGTCAGGCGCACTTTGTTTAGACCCTTGAGCTTTTTGAGACACATTGATAGTAGCTCAGCGGATTCCGGCCGTGCAGCCATCCATGATGACGGCGGTGACAGGAAACGCTCGCAGTTTCGGCAGAACGAGATGGATGCTGGATAAGGGATAGTAAAGAGTATTACGGGATTCATATTCGGTGGGGATCGCACGGAGGGGATTATCGAAATCCAACGAGTAGATTAGGATATTGGTCAGTTTCGATCGACGGCAACATGAAAACTAGACATACATTGCTTTGGGATTCCTTCCGTTACATCGATTCTGTTTCCATTATTTCCATCAGTAGCCAGGTGGTAAGGTGTAAAACTTGACGCACGAATTCCGGAGGCAGCCCACACAAAGATTAGCAGAATTGGGTTCGATCGGTATACCTAGATCCCAAAATCAGCGACAATTCAGTTCGAGATGAGATGGGGTTAGTGTACCGCAATCGGCGCATAATACACGATGTATTGCAGGCGCAGGCGTATATTCCATCGCTGTGATGGTAGTAGATGGATGAGTGAGCGGGCTGAGTCAGTTGCTCACTCAAAAAATTCAAAATCTAATCTTATCACGAGATCGGAGCCGTCCTCACCGATCGTCGATCTTCAAGCCTCCCGGCGAGGCGCATTTGCCTTGCTCTCAAGAATACACCAAGAAGTTATATACGAAGCATATGTGCTCAACAGCCTACGATTAAACTGGCTACTCAGATACTCGAAGTGAACCAGCGACGCCGCCAAGGTGTGATGGGAATGGGAGCCGTAGGAATCATACTCTTGCAATTGATGACTCGGGGGATGGTGCGCATGTTGGGTAAAATATGTAAAATATGCCTCGAGTTCATGGGGAATTGGAATTTCCACATCGCTTGAACATGAATTCAACCAGGATCTTGTGCTCTTGTATTGTGACGCCGTCAATGAAAAGCGTCTGCTCTACAAGGAGTAGCGATGCGAGAAGTTGGAATGACTTGTAATCTACAAAGCTGCTCACTGAGAGTGCTGAGGCTTTGCGGGGTGGGAGAGGTGGAATTTGTAGTCATTCAGAGTTGGGATTTCTCTCAAGTATAGATCTAATCTTATCAGCGGGACCAATATTTATAAGATAAGATCGAAAACAATATTGACGTGGCCGCATTGCCAGAGTCTAACTCTATTGCATTCCTCGTCCTCGTCCTGAACCTCCTCTCCAGCTTCCATGATTTGCATTTAGCAATTTCTCGAGAAGAAGAGTTTAACGCGTAGAAATTGACTCAAAACGAACAACTACTTCCTCACCGTCCTCAATGACGCCCAGTAGGGGATTCAGACGTGTAGCAGTGCTTCTTGTACTACCATGCCTGGTTCACAGCAGCAGCCCTCCCGTGAGGGTGTCTTTGCGCTCGTCATGGCCAGCGCCGCCCCCAATAGTGGAAATTCTGTAATGTCGTTTAGTATATTATGTGCCCCCTAGCTTACCATGGTCATCCAGTGAAACTGTAGCTCTTCAAACGCCTTCGTCGTTCTTCCCACTTCTTGACGCGTTGACTGACCCGGACACCCTAGTCAACTTCCCTTCTTTATCTCGAGAGGCCCTATACCAAGCCTCTATCGAAGTAGCGTCAGAAAATGGGCTCATTACCGACGCTGGTGCTTTCGCGGCGGTTGAGATGAATTTGGCTCTTCACGCCGCCACCCCGAAGATTGAGGCATTCTACCACCACTATTCGAACATGCAAAGCAAGGGGACATTGAAACCGTCAGGCGGAGAGGCCAAGGAGCCGCAGTCTTGCGGCTCATGGGTGGATTGGTACGGGCAGGTTGTTTGTGATGTGGAAACCTTGACCCACCTAGCTGGGGTAGAAACGATTGACCCGTCGATACTGACATCGTGAGTGATGACATCCTTCGTGTTCTGTTCAATTCCGTCCAACATGTCGCATTTCCCAGTGACTATACTCGCCCCAAAGTTCTTCCTTTCGACCACATAAACCCGTCACCGCAACAAACCCTCGATAGACCGCACCGCACCGCCGTACTATACGCTTCCCTCGAATCACCCAACTTTCGCGAACTACACTCATATCTGTTCTCGTTGTCCAACCGAGGCGACCCACATGTGGAGTATATTTTAAGATATGTGCCTCCCGCAGGAAGGGAGGTTGCCCAGCGCAACTATTTGTCTGGCTATGGCGTTGCTTTAGATTTAAAGAAGACGGATTACTTGGTTGTTGACGATAGACAGGCTTCTCAGAGCCGGGATGGCTCACAAGGCGAGCAGAGGGATGGAGAAGACGCAGTAGACCTCGTCATGAACCTTCTTGAGACATTCGAGGATAAAAAGGGAGACGCACCGAACGTCGCTTCCGCCCTATCCGAGGAAGAGATAGCAGGTATGTCAGATGTTATATCCCTCTGACGGTCACCGAAATAACGAAACTTTGATAGAATTGGGCTTTCAAGCGACACAACTCATCGCGACGTCTGACGACCCTCTCGGTGCCCTTACCCAATTGTCTCAAAACTTCCCTAAATACGCTCCTTCCCTCTCCCGTCGCGTCGTTGTGAACGATTCCGTGCGGCGAGAACTTGGTAATAATCAAGTTCAGGTACAGGGAGGCATCAACATGATGTGGTTGAACGGAGCGACCGTGCAAGACAAGGATGTCACCCCATTTGCGTAGGTCGTGCGCTTGGATCAACACAGAGCGATTCTGACCTTTACGTGTGTGGTTAGTTTACTGCGCCTTCTTCAAAGGGAACGTCAGATAGTAGATTCGCTAACGTCTCTCGGACTTTCAAACGGTCAAGCTGTTGAGTTGCTGACGCACCCAACCATCGCTGAGGCCCAAAGCTCCTCGGCCGCTCTAGACGGGATGTTCGACGCTAGTGATAGGATAGAAGGCGGGGACGTTATTGTGTATTGGAACGACATAGAGAAAGACAAGCGGTGCGCTTTACCAGTGCGCTTGCCCCTTGACTGACTGACTGAAATCCCTTCAAGGTATGCGAGGTGGACGACTTCCTTGTTGAGGGTGAGTAGCTGACATTCGCCCGAGATAAGGTTTTCCTAAATATTCCGCATAGATGATGCATCCAACGTACCCCGTGGGATGTTCCACAACATCAAACTAAACATCTACAACGTCGTCCTCGTCGTCGACTTGTCCCAACCAACAGCTCTCAACTTCATTACCGGCCCAGTGTCCAACATCATCGAACGGAACTTCCCATTCAGATTTGGGATTGTACCGATATTAGAGACCGAGAATGGTCGGTTGATAGATTTCAAATCTCTTAACAATGTTATTGAGTGATTGTGATGTTTAGGCACGAAGATGGCAAAGGTATTCAAGTACCTAGTCAAGACGGTCGGGCGTAAAGCGACCATGGAGTTCTTCAGAGCCGTACGTCTTGACACCTAACCCTCAACTTCTATTTCACTGCCTGACATTGGCGCTACTTTGCATTCCACAGCTGACACAATCACCCACTTTCGATATCGCCCACGTCTCTGTTGTATATGAAGCTTTCCGGGCGTCTCTTGACTCCGAGGATATCTCGCTCAAGCCGCTCGCAGAGATATTGTCGCCTGAAGCGGAGTCAGACGAATCGTTGATGAAGGCGAAGCATTACGCTCAGCGCCTGGGGACGACTTTGGCTTCGTCGGAAGGCGGCCACGCATTCATCAACGGGAAACATTTCAATCTTGATGACGTACGTGTATCCCTTTGTTCCTTTAACTTGGTCGCTGCAGAGGATAAAAGCTGATAGTGTTTACACTGTTTTCTAGGGTTTCTTGAGACATCTCCAAACGGAGAGTGGACTACAAACTACTTATCTGCAGGAGAGGGTGCGTTGCAGCCATGCCATCGGTCCTCGCGCGTGGTCTCATTTCCTGAAACATCTAGCTTTATACGGGCGAACTGAAAGAAGAGGCTGCCGAAACCATCTCGACGTATTTCTATGATCTTCCGTCAACGAATGAGCGACGGAACAGGCATATCTACCCTTCCTCCGATGCCAACAGTCTACGCATCTACAGCCTTCCTGAAGTGCTTGCAGATACTGGCTATCATCCGACTTTTATAGCACCAGGTAACTCCCTTTGCTGTGAAACGCACAACATCATTGACAGTATGTTACAGAGGACACTGAGGATGTTCCGATGTCTACATATGTTATCGCTGATTTTGACAGCAGCTCTGGCGTCCAGCTTGCAATTGAAGCACTTAAATCAATGGTACGCCGATGCTTTAACGTACAATGACTCTACGGCTAAGTTACAATTGCCGCAGACTGGAGGGTCCCAAACGCGCCTTACCTTTGTTCACAACCCAGCTTCGGTTCCCAGCTCTGACAGATCATCTGTGTCATGGCTCCTCTCTCACTTGGTAGCTTCGGACCGTTTATCGAAAGTAACACCGGCCCAGCTTCTTCGCGCTCTGAACAACGATGTGACTATCTTCGGGGACGCCGCACAAGCACCTTTGTCTCAGGTCAAAGAGCTTGTTGGTGTCGACGCGGCCGAGTTCGATGTAACTGCCTATGCGGCTTACGTCAGAGCTGGTCAACTTATTTCGAGGAAGGTCAATCTCCAGCCTGGCCAACAGGGCCTCGTCGTGAACGGCCGGGTAAGCAGCTTCCACTTCCATTCCATTGCCGACGACTTCTCATAGGCACTCTGACTTCTAGGTTGTCGGCCCTCTTCCAGGCGGCGAGTTCTTGGCGCCGGACTTCCTTGCATTAATGAAGTATGAGCACAAGAAGAGATTTGGAGTTGTTGCGGCTGTCCTACGGGAGGTTCTTTCCCTTGCCCCTGAACCTGAAAGGTATGGCGAGGCCTACGTTGTATCATTGATTTATGGATATTAAAAAGATCTGTCCATTTATAGTACTTCGTTTTCGAACATTGCTACGATGGTAACATCAGTCATATCATCAATCCAACTTCCGGACCCCAGTGAGAGTGGTTTGTTCGATACACCGCATCGCCCCCGACGAAGAGCCTATCAAGCTTTGGAAAGTAATCTAACGTACGTCTTATTGCCTCATTACTAGATCGATGCTAAATCTTAGAGCGTAGTGCATTCTCATTCGGTGATAATACCACTGCGATGTATCAATTGGCTGTGCTTGTGGACCCTTTGAGCGAGACTGGCCAGAAATGGGCAAGCATACTGAATGTATGTCTCTCCGTCCCCAATACAAAAATCGAGGAAGTAGCTCATCGTATTCACAGTGGATTAGCAAGGTTCCCGGAATTTTCATCGAAGTCTACTTGAATCCTGCTCGATATCGAGAGGTATGTCATTATTTTTTGCCATCCATCTCGCGTCTCTGATCCCTTTCGTAAAGATGCCTTTGAAGCGGTTCTATCGCTATAACCTCATCTCTTCTTTGACATTCGACACGGACGGGTAACGTTTTATTCGTTTCATCAGATGTGATTCTCGCTAATGGACGTTTGAAGTAATGAAATACCATCACGGGTTGTCTTCGAAGGGTTGCCAATCGAGCCGATCTACACCCTGGCCATGGACGTTCCCTCTTCTTGGCTCGTCAGACCTCAGGAGGCATTATACGACCTTGACAATATTCAACTCGGGCGACTTTCCTCAGAAGACACTACCATTGATGCCGTCTTTGGATTGGACTACCTTGTGATAGAAGGTCATGCCCGAGACTCTGTGTCCAACGCCCCACCTCGCGGCGTTCAGCTCGAACTTATCGACGGTGATGATAACGCAATCGACGACACACTTGTCGTAGCCAACCTTGGTTATGTTCAGTTCAAAGCCAAACCCGGTGTGTTCCAATTACAAATCAGGAAGGACGTGGACGAGACATATTCCAAATGGAGAGTGTGGGCAATGAGGGATGGGACAGTCCAACGGTGAAGGCGGTGGGAAGTGAAATCACGCTGACAAGCTTCGAGGGTTTGACTTTGTACCCCCGCCTCCGTAGAAAGGAGGGCATGGAGGACGTTGATGTGCTGGCAGATACCGATGAAGAAGATGCGCCTGGAATGTTTGGCGGGTTGGCCTCAAAGGTCATGTCTATGTTTTCTCCAAAAGAAGAGGGCAAGGACGTCGCTACCACCATACCACAAGCCGACATAAATATCTTCACCGTCGCATCCGGGCTCTTGTACGAAGTTAGTGTCCCGCCTCTCATTGACGCGACTTTCATCCCTAACAATCATTCAGAGATTTGCATCTATCATGATTCTCAGCGTCCTGCGCAACACCAAGAGCACCGTCAAATTCTGGTTTATCGAGAACTTCCTTTCACCGTCTTTCCTGGTATGCTCATTTTCTCTTCTCGCCGGCCTTGTCTGACGGTAAGGCAAGGAATTTATCCCCCACTTCGCCGAAGAATACGGGTTCCAGTATGAACTTGTAACATACAAATGGCCATCCTGGCTGCGACAACAGAAGGAGAAGCAGCGAGTCATCTGGGCGTACAAGATCCTGTTCTTGGATGTCCTCTTCCCTATGGACCTCAAGAAAGTTCTTTTCGTGGACGCTGACCAGATTGTTCGAGCTGACCTAAAGGAGCTTGTTGACCTTGACATCCAAGGCGCTCCATATGCCTACACTCCTATGGGCGACGACAACTACGACATGGAGGGCTTCCGATTCTGGAAGACGGGCTACTGGAAAGAGTTCCTTCAAGGCAGACCTTATCATATCAGGTATGTGCATCATGGGCCTTGGCTAGGGCCACCACTGACACTGTCCTCAGTGCCTTGTACGTAGTCGATCTCGTGAGGTTCCGCCAAGTAAGTGCATAGCATAGGATATAATCAGCGCCAACACGAGTCTAATTTTATCGGCGCTATAGATCGCTGCTGGGGTAAGTGGCGCATCATGCTATAGTGCATTGCCGCTGGGACTAAGACCGGTCTTGCTTGCACAGGATATGCTTCGTGGCCAATACCAACAGCTCTCAGCAGACCCCAACTCGCTTGCTAACCTAGATCAAGGTGAGTCCTCGACTCGGTAGCTGTTCGGCTTTCTAACTGTATGGGTAGACTTGCCGAATAACCTACAACGAGAGGTTCCTATAGTGCGTGCCACGTAGTACTATTTGGTACACTCACTGAGAGCTCACATGATCATTCTAGTTCTCGTTACACGAAGACTGGCTTTGGGTACGTACTTACACACTACGACCGACTTTGGACTAACGAATATCCAACAGTGTGAAACTTGGTGTAAGCTCGCCCTTCTACCTAAGCTTCTATCCACTGACGGGGAAAACAGGCAGCAAAGATCGGTTACATAAAGCCAAAACCATCGACCTTTGCCAGAACCCTCTCACTGTGAGCCAAACTTCATCCCACACCCCCAGTATTCACATCGGTTTTCTTCGCAGAAAGAGCCCAAATTATCTCGTGCCCGGCAAATCCCCGAGTGGGAGGAATACGACGCGGAGATCTCACGCTTCGCACAAAAGCTGGCTAAGGAAGGCTCATTACACTCTCGGATTGCAGCAGCGGATACCCGTGTGTTGGCTGATGCCGGAACAGCGAGCTCAGGAAAGTCAGATGAAACCTCAGCGGAAGCTGGGGGTGGGGATCCCGCATCTAACGAAGCAGCGAGGGAGAAAGAGGAGTCTCCAAAGGATATTAGAGACGAGTTGTAGATATCTATATGTTTTCATAAACACAGTTATACTTCTCTATCATAACAGCAAACGCGCACCCAGCGAATATTCGCTAACAGCGTCGGCTAATGGTCGAGGGCAAGTCATTTTAGTGGGCGATTCTCGATATCTCGCGTATTGTTTTCATTCGGGTGACGCAATATGCTATCGGTTGGTGGTTCCACCCAAGTTCCCATAAGTGGCAATCAACGCTAAGCGTCCGAAGCGATAGCTAAGTGTTAACTGACATGCTGGGAATAATGTGGAGATACCCAGCTGTGGTTGGAATTAATGAACGACGGCGACGCCGGTGTCAACGACGGTTTACTGCCACTCCGCTATCTGTATGGATCCAAATATCTACGTTCCCTTATGCGTCAAGGATTCTCCGTCGGTATTCTTCGTGCCCATCCGTGTCGCACACCCTCGAGTGCCAAGGGGACGTATGCGGCGATACCGTGCCAATGAAGGGTGTCCGAGAACCTACGCATGTAAACAGCCAATGGCGCTACGAATCCCGTGAAGGACTGATGGCCTTGATGCCTCTGGTGTGAAAGAAGAACCCCTATGGATTGATTTCAACGTGTCGTATGAGAACGCATGGTGAAGGTTTGAGATTGGCCGTCCACTATAAATAACTCGTTGACATTGCCAAGACCTTTCAATTATTGCAATCAAGTTCTGCGTTTCTCGAGCGACGTCGGCTAACCAACCATAGGCGTTGGTCGGTGTTTAGGTCTAGTGATGACTTGATGGTGTTGTCGAGATACTGATGCATTATTGCCTGACCATCGCTATTGGAAAGCTGGATCAAGCGGCGGCGACGGGCATTGGTCAGCGTAACAATATCAATGGTGATCTTACACGGGGAATAAAACTCTGGCAACAAATGTTACGTTTGGGTTTGATGATCTGGCGGGCTTGACGCATGGTCTATCACCATACATGTTGGGGCGACCGTACATGTGGCCGGCGAGGAGCTTCGCCGACATAATCTCGAGACAATAATCCTCACCGACGGTGTTTTGTTGTATTGCCCAATTCACTGTCGTAAGTATTCTACGGTAACGTTGAGAAACCGAATGTATCCTCACCACGCACTGTGCAGCATCAAGATTGCTAGATAGCGTATCCTACTACGGGATCTAGCGTCGATTCCTGACGACGATTGTTCCGCTACGCGTGCACAGAGCATGTCACAGATTCAGTGAATCGGAGTAGGCTAAAGCCACGCTGAGTGCATAATGCGGGTTTAGCACATATGAGAGGGTTTGGCTGTTGAATTATCAAGCTCCGCGAAGATAGTTCACCCTCTCCAGGACGTCGTATCTGGGCATGAATGTGAACCGTGAACGTTTGAACTTTTACTAACTATTATGAACTGTGCACGAACTGTGAAGTGATACATCGAGTCGGAGTTTGAAGCCGTGCCGAGCTTTCGAAGGGCGCTTATTGACGTTGTCCTCAACGATCCCAGTGACGTTCTGCGCCGACGCAAGCTGTAAAGAAACGAAAATCAGACTTTGGGACAGTTATTTCTTGGCTGTAGGTGATACCATTGCGGTCCTCAACAGTTTCAGCGTTGTTACCCTATGATATGCAAGGCGTACGAACGTTCCAAGAACCTGCACTTTGCTCGGGGAAACGATGATGCATGGTGCTGCCCACCCTTGCTCGCCGCAGAGTCACCTGGCGTGTATGAGGCGCACATCGTCGAACCTTGACACGGCTTTATCATATGGCTGCGGCGACAGGCTGTAAACTGCTCCAAAGCACTGTGATAGAGCTGTGATCCGTGGCTTATCGATCGATGCGTTCATTGCAAGGAATCACCTGCGGCGCGCTCGAAGTCGGCGTATACGGTCGTGCAACACGTCCTGCTTCAACCTTGCTGCAGGCTTTTGGGGGTATTGGAATGATAGGTGTATATATTATCCCCCGGGCTTGCTATGTCCTTATCCCTGGATGCTTACTCCCCATGTATCTAGAATTTAATGTGACTTTAGACTGGTGGAGTAACTGCCACAACCTTGAACCGCAGTGTGATATTCTCAGAACTGATTGGGGTTGACGCATGGGACTGGGGATATGTTGGAGTCTTTTGTGCAAGAGTTTGGGGAAAGTGTTGAGTAAGCTCCTACTTGTTACGGTGATACCTACAATGAGGAGCGACCTTGACGCTTTGACAGAATCATGCTTCGTTGTTATCTCTGCTGAAATGTTCGTTTGGATATCTATGCCTCGGTACGTCCGATATATAGGCGAATGACTTGACAGAACTTCGTCGCTTGAGTGGCGATGTTAAGTCTGTGGACTTCTAGATAACGAAACCGGCTATTCAGGTGGGTGTATTATACACGTCTGCTAAGTACGTGCCGCTACCCGATGCTCGTCAAAGCATGACTACTTTATAGACTACCCCCCTGTGCGGGTGGACTTGACAGCCTCGCGTTTATGCTGCATATGCCTGGACTTCTCTGGCCACGCAGCGTCAACTTGTAAGTGATCTACGGTGCTTGGCCAGCAGGTTAAGCCCTTCCACTGTATTGGTATCTACATATCGTTTAGACTCGTGCCCATGTTCACCTGCACGGAAGCGGCGTCTCCTTAGAGTTCTTCAGCGCAAGGTTGGTGGCTCCTCTGGGGCCATTTGGAGGCCGTGTGGGCATGATGCTATCCGTTCCGCTATATATATCCGGTCGCTAATTGGCTAACATAGATAGATTTGAGGGTTGGGAATTCAATGCTGCCGCCCGTGAGCTAATGATGATAGACGTGGGCGCAATGGTCCAATCATGATGGGTAAACAAGGGGTCAAGTATGTCATTGATCTGATGTATGAGTACGATGTGATCCACAACCTGATTTCATCTGCTACCGCGAAACAGCTTGACTGAATACAATGCACACGAGTCCGCCGGTAAGTGGGCTTGGAGCTCTTGAAGCGAACACGGTTTCGCACTTCGAACAGCTGTCTTGATCAGGCTGCCCGAAAAACAAGGATTGCGCTTTCCGGAGGCGTCCACAGTGGAGGGCACGTAATCGCCCCCATGATATAAGTAAACTGCCTAAAGCGTGCTCGGCACGATGGTCATGAGCCATGGCATCGATTATCCGCTATGAATCCACTTCTGAGGATCTCATATGGTGGTATTCGGAAGTTTCTGAGAAAGGGCGCAGCCGGAGAATTCTCGAAGCGGCAGATGGTGGCAGCTGGCACGAAGTTGAGACTGTTCCGTGCGTGGCCGACGTTCCGTTATAGCCACCCGCAGTGGATTGGTCGATATCGGGGTTTGGCCCAGACTTATTCCGCTATCGATATCGCGTTATTCTCCGGTAAACGGTGACTTTCGACGGCTGTAAGCACAACAAACAAACGGCAGCCGTTGAAGTGAAGTTTTACTTTTACAGCGGCCTCATCTTTGTACGTATTGCGCGAAATATATGGAACACCATGACTGGAACATGAAATTGTACCGTTGCCGCCGGTACATTTTCATGATTGTCAATGTCTGAGTAGTCCCCCTGGACCTGAGACCCTCTGTCAACTTGAATGAGGAAAGGGGGAGGCGTCAGGTCGGTCCGATAACGCAACGAAATGAAGGATTAGGCTATATATTAGCACGGTATCTAGGTTTCACTTCTGAAATTCATGCATACGCTTGTGAGCGTTCTGATCAGCACAGTAGTCAATGTGTATCGGCAGCCCTAGTACCTAGTACGTACCGCGATTGTGAATGAACCGCTGAGTGGAACGGTAAGAACGGGTAAGTGGAAAAGTGATCGGAAGGTATCTCCTCGCACGTGGCGAGCGGGTGATCGGGTGAGCCTTGTGCAAGGGAGTTCGATATGTCAAAGAGCATGATGGTGCGATTCGACGGCGTCGCATGCAGCGGTCAGCAGCAGCCTGTGTTCTTCTGCGTTGGGCACGGCGGTCGGACGAGGCTTAGGAGGCCCAAGGGCTGTTTAGACTAGTGGCGGAATGAGCTCATCGGATTCGTGGCAGCTATAGTAGCGTTTCCACGCATAAAACAGCTATTTCCATTGGATACGTGGTGAAAGCGGTGCTCTGAATGGTCGTGGGGGGATTGAGTTTGATCGAGTTATATGTTCAGCCAACCGATTTTCGTTCTGAGAATGGAGGATGGAGAAGAGGTCGTACGACTGGTGTGTTAGGACGGTGAGATCGGTTTCTATGGCACTGTGTCTCAAGCTGGGGCTATGTTTAAATTGGGATCAGAGCCTCTGGCAGAAGGCGCTGTGGAGTGATTTTGGTGAAACCATTGTTTGATGCAAGTTCAAGTACTTCTCATGGACGTGGACACGCATGATTTCCTGGGCGTGAAAGCTTCTGAAGGCCGCCGATGAGGATAAAAATTGAGTAGATCAGCCAATGCTCGTCTGCGTGCACGTCGGAGGTCGCTGTCGGTCAGTCGGTGGCAAAGGTAGCGCGGCTACTCGGATGGTTCTACAGAAACTTCTGCTGAAGCGCGATACGCTCGCTTGCCATCAACAAGGCACATCAAATACGAAAGAACGTTTAGATTGATTTCGGTGGTAACGAAGATTGGCCGGTCAACAGCACGCGAATTATTGTGCATTCCTTATACTGCACGAAATGGCATGGAGACGATTTGGAGGATTGGAGGTGTCATTTTTGGGCAGAAACGGCTATAGGTTACCAAGAAAGCCAAGGAGCAAAGCATAGGATGATATTAGTGGCTTGGCATGGCATTTCGTATGCGACCAAGCTGGTGCTAATTCAGAAGTCAGTACACAGACGTGCTTCTGAAGGATGGATTAATTTTATTTAATTATTTTACGGGGATAGAGCGTAGAAATGGAACGCACGAAGCGGGATCGGACGATTTGACCCTCGGAATTGCTAACTTACAATCTGGCACAAGATAAGCGACTTACATTTCCCAGCCGAGCGTCGCCGAACCGTCCCAACCATCTGCATCGTATTTGACCCTGTTTGTACTTTGATCGTCCAGGTATCGTCTGAAATAAAAGCCAACATACCGGCAGCCTCAACGCCTTCCTTCCTTCTGAACCACCACCGCCCTCATCCTCCTCATCGTTGCCCGCACCTTCGTACCCGCCCTAGCCTCCCATCCTAGCGCGTACAGGGTTTAATCCCTCGGATCCCCCCACACTACTCAATCCTCTCAGCTGTCGCTCGCAATGTCCGGAAACATCGAAAAGGAGCAGGGCGAGTCGCCCGTTAGCCCCACGGAGGCACCGGAAAAGAAGAAGAGGGAGTACAAGGATTTTGGCCACGAAGAGGCAAAAGCGACTCGTAAGTGCTGGCCAGATAAGTGCTTAGAGCGGGATTACTGACGCCAGCGTGTCGATAGACGCAAATGTCGACATGTCCACTGTACGTATCACTACTCTGTTTAATACAGAGGCGGTCGCTCAATTATTCCATATAGATCGAACTCAAGGCCGAGGACTTGTACGATAAGGAGAAAGTCGACCTAGAGACGATTCTCATTGAGGACGTGTTCACGCTATTGCAGTGTGACGAAAATGGTTTATCGGAAGACGAGGCTAAACGCCGTCTTGAGCTTTTCGGTCCCAACAAACTGGAGTCGGAAGAACAGAACGCTTTCCTCCAGGTTCGTATTCTTTGATTTCTCCGAAGCGGCGTAAACGAATAAACTCCCCCCGACAGTTCTTGTCGTTCATGTGGAATCCTCTGTCCTGGGTCATGGAAGCTGCTGCTTTGGTCGCCATCGCTCTATCCAATGGAGAAGGTCGTGCACCTGATTGGCCGGATTTCGTCGGAATCGTCCTACTTTTGTTGATCAACTCCGGTATCGGCTTCTACGAGGAACGCAACGCTGGTAACGCTGTTAAGGCCCTCATGGAGTCGTTGGCTCCAAAGGCCAAGGTCAAGCGCGCTGGTACGTGGAAGGAAATCGAATCGTCGGACCTTGTCCCTGGTGACATGGTCTCATTCAAAATTGGTGATATCGTTCCCGCCGACTGTCGTCTCACTGAGGCCATCAATGTCTCTATCGATCAGGCCGCTCTCACCGGAGAGTCTCTCCCGCAATCCAAGAAAACGGGGGATCAATGTTTCTCGTGAGTATCAAATTGTTCCTGTGGAGTTGAGGGTCCATGCTCAAATGCCCTATTTTTAGTGGTTCCACCTGTAAACAGGGTGAAGCTGAAGGTGTCGTTATCTCTACTGGAGCAAACACCTTCTTCGGACGTGCTGCATCATTAGTCGGCCAAGACGATGACACAACTGGTCACTTGCAGAAGATTCTCGCCCAAATTGGGTCTTTCTGCTTGGTCGCTATCGGTATCTTCGTTGTCGCTGAAATCCTCGTCCTCTATGCCGGCTTCCGCTTCACATACCGTCGCGGTCTCGACAACTTGCTTGTGCTCTTGATTGGTGGTATCCCCATTGCTATGCCCACCGTCTTGTCTGTCACCCTCGCTGTTGGTGCTCAACAACTCGCCAAGCACAAGGCTATCGTCACCCGTATCACCGCCATTGAAGAATTGGCTGGTGTCACCATCCTTTGCTCCGACAAAACTGGTACACTTACCACCAACAAGCTTACCATCGACAGGAATACTATCCGCACCTACGGTCCTTTCTCTGCTGAGGATGTTATCCTCCTTGCTGCCTACGCTTCCCGAACTGAGAACCAGGATGCTATTGATGCATCCGTTGTCCAGGCTATTGGTGACACTTCCCGTGCTCGCGCCGGCATCAAGCTTCTCGATTTCAAGCCATTCAACCCCGTCGACAAGCGTACTGAAATTACCTACCGCGAAGAGTCGACTGGCAAGCTAAAGCGTGTCACCAAGGGTATGACTGGTATCATCATCGAACTTTGCACACGTAACAAGACCGAAGAAATCGAGAACCGCCTCGAAGCCGACGTCGAAGAGTTCGCCACCCGCGGTCTTCGTGCACTCGCTGTGGCGTTCGAGGAAGTTGAGGGAGATGACTTTGAGGCTGAGGGTAACGGATTCGAACTGATTGGTCTCCTCGCTATCTTCGACCCTCCCCGTGACGACACTAAGCAGACCATCGACGATGCTCTTTCCCTCGGTGTCAAGGTCAAGATGGTTACTGGTGATCAGCTCGCTATCGCAAAGGAAACCGGTCGCCGCCTTGGTATGGGTGACCACATGTACCCCGCTAAGGTGCTCAAGGACGGACCCGCTCCCGGCAGCAAACACGCCAACCTCGACGAGATGATCATGGATGCCGATGGTTTCGCGGGTGTCTTCCCCGAACACAAGTACGAAATCGTCAAACGTCTGCAAGCCCTCGGTCACCTTTGCGCTATGACTGGTGACGGTGCCAACGATGCTCCTGCTCTGTCCCGCGCCAACGTCGGTATTGCCGTCGAAGGTGCTACTGATGCCGCTCGTGGTGCTGCTGATATCGTCCTTACCGAGCCCGGTCTCTCAACCATCGTTCACGCCATTCGCGGGTCCCGAGTCATCTTCCAACGTATGCGTAACTACTCTATCTACGCTTGCGCTGTCACCATCCGTATCGTCGTCTGCTTCGCCATCCTCGTCTTCGCCTACAAGTTCGAGTTCCCTCCATTCATGGTTCTTATCATTGCTCTGCTCAACGATGGTACCATCATGACTCTGTCTGTCGATCGCGTGCTCCCTTCGATGACACCAGACAGTTGGGATCTTGCTGAAATCTTCGCCTACGCTGTTGCCTACGGTCTCTACTTGACTCTTTCGACGTGAGTTATTTCTTTTAGCGTTAATGAAGTGATTCTGATTATTTGCCAGTGTCATCCTCGTCATTGTCATCATGGAGACAACCTTCTTCCAGGACAAGTTCGGTGTTGCTCTCGACAATGCTCCCGGAACTCGCCCGGATCCCAACGACAGACAATTGCACATGGTTGTTTACCTCCAAGTCGCTATTATCTCGCAGGCTTTGATCTTCGTTACTCGTTCCCACGGATTCTTCTTCATGGAGCGTCCTTCCGCAGCTCTTTTCGGTGCATTCTGCATTGCCCAACTCGTCTCTTCCATCATTGCTGCCTACGCCAACTGGGGCTTCACCAGCATCCGTGCTATCTCTGGTGGATGGATAGGTATTGTCTGGGTTTGGGTAAGCATCATTCTTATCGTACATCAATACACTTTGGCTGATCACGCTGCCTCTAGAACATCGTTTGGTTCATTCCTCTCGATTGGATCAAGTTTGCCATGAAAGCCACCGTGATCAAGTATCTCCGCCAACGTCACGAGCGCAAGCAGGCCGAGATGGTCAAGCAGACCGGCCTCGAAGTCCACCGTACCCAATCCCGCGCCGCCTCGATCCACGAGTCTTTGTACTCGAATCGTGTCTCTTTCATCAAGCGGGTGTCTCGCAAGGTTGGCTTTGGTGGAAAGATTACCATGAAGCCCGAAGAGCTGCAACGATTCAGCAGCATACAAGCTCAACGCGTTGGCCAGACGCTGGCACGCAACCCCAGTCGCACTGCATAAACCAATTCCCCTGTACCCCATAGATGAACATAATCAATACCCTTCTACACGTCTTTGCACATCTCGTTTCCTATTCTTGTATCTTACCTCAAGACCTGTCGTCCTGTGGTGTCCCCCTGCCCCTTTCCACGCCGTACATCTCTCACACTTCGATGGATGGTCTTCCGGTCTCTTACTGCTTAGGGCTTGTTTGCGTCTTTGGTGTAAATTGGGTATGTGATGTTGCTCATTCGTATTCCTCCCTTCCCCTATCCCCTGCCCACATACATCCCTCTATCCACGAGCCCTTCTCATGTTTATATACGCCATTTTTACTTCATTATTATCTTCACTTGGATTCTCCACGACACCTTTACTAGTTCTTGTCTATTCTTGCACGAACGACACCACGACGCCGTCCACCACCTATATAGCTACGATGTGCATGCCATAGTACTACTCTCTAATACCTCAAAATGACGAATACATAGAAATTGAATTCCAAGGTTCTGTGTGTGTTAAGTGGGTGCTAGGTTCTTAGACGGTGCTAGTCGAGTTCAGTTGTTCAGCTCATGGGGCTAATTACTAGGATGATCCAGTGGCGCTGCAGCCGCGAAAGCTTCAATTGTCGTCAGAGCGTCGTGTCAGGAGATTTAAAATAAAAGGACGCTAGTATATGTACCGTCGAAAAGGTTTCATATCCCATAGGCCAGGGCAGCGACGATGAATTCCATACATATACTTGTTGCGATAGTAGTGAAGTGATAAATATGTACATGCATTACGCTATAAGTCATGAGAGTAGATGGAAATGGGTGTACTGAAATGTCTTGCTTTGCAGTGTCACTAATGATGGCAGGAATTCATGGACGTAAATGCTCGAGGAAGAGAGAGGAAAGTATAAGTACGGATACTGAAGATGCCTAGCGCATCGTACCCGAACCGCCTGTTTTGACCTAACGTCGCGACTGGGCAGACTAGAGAAAACGCTTCTTTCATCGCAGCGACGCCTTCGACGTCCTCGTACTCATTCCCATGGTCTCCGCCGGGGCACCATGTCCAGAGGTCGCACTCCCTGCAACGGATCCCGCTGCCGAGGTCCCTCCGTTTGCGCTTGCATTCCTTATACTCAGCAGGACCTCTTTGCAATACTTCAACTTCTCCACTAGCTTCTGGTTGAACTTGATCTGGTCCGCATCCATGCCCTCAACAGTGATTGTTGACCCCGATCCCCCGTCGACACCAGTGCGGCCGCGTGCTTGAATATGAAGAGACGTCGCCATGATGTCGCTCAACGTCCACCGGGTGATGTTGTAGTTCTTGTCGATGTGGGTGACGACAAGGCCATGCGACGACAATATCAGTTTGGAGTGATCATAGAAGTTAAACTAAAGCAGGAGACGTTAGGTCACGCAGGCGACAGAGGAAACGGGGAAACATACTTGAAGAACGTCGTGGCTCATCTTGAAGACGATAACGTGCTTCATCCGGAGGTACTTCTGAACCCAATCCATCCCTTTCGTCCTCTCGGTTGCTTGCCATGTGTAATCGTTTTCAGAGTACAGGCGCTCCATGATGTAGCGTTCAAAATGCTTCAGCAAGTATACCTTGGACTTCAACTCCTCTGGGTACTCATCGACAGTGTGCGACTTTCGAACGTATACTGAACCTCCATGGCGCGCGGAGATATAGTCGAAATGTCTACGAACAGGTGAGTACACACGCCCCGAGTGAAACCGTTGTCACGAACCTCTTGTCAGCACTGAGGATCATACTTGTACTGTCGTTGAAGTAGACTCCCATGCTACCATCCGTCAACGCATACCCCATCCCGTACTTATTGCAATAATCCACCCAGCTCACGATGAACACCTTCTCGTCGCGCAGGGGAACGGTCGGGTCTTCCCTAGGATCCTTGAAAACCTTCCCATGCGACTTAGCATCGAACGCTAGCGATAAGACTTGCAGGGCAGCATCGAAGCCGGTTAACTTAGAGTTCAACTGCTTGGACGAGGACTGTTGGGGTGGCAAGACGCTCGGAGCGGGATGCTGAGTTGTCGATTGCTTAAGCGCGGCGGGAGGGACCATCGTCACGTCCTTCGAAGTCTTCGAACGCACGGGCTCTTTACCCTTATTGCTTCGCAGAGGCGCAACAGCTGTCGGAGGAATGTTCTCTTGGTCCCGTCTGTCTCTAGATTCCCAGCCTTTTGATGAGGCACTAGCGATGGGACGAGGGAGTGGTGTAGGCTCTTCCTCTTCCTCCTCTTCGTCACTCTCCCTGACAGGTACCATTTGAGCAACGATCCTCGCCTTCTGGCTCTCCACTAGCTTCTTCCTCGTGTCTTCTTCCCGGTGATCCATAGGGTCAAGCTCCCGTGTTCGACTACCACCTTGAACACTCTGGGCCCTTGCGCTCTTCGCTAACGGCGACTCCTTGGCGGCGGCCTGCAGCTTCCTCATTAATGGTTCCCCACGATGGTGTGTGGCGTTATTGGCCATGAGCAACGGCTGCCGTGCTGAGGTGAGGAGGTCGGCAATTGGTGAGCCAGGTTGCACGGCTTTCTGGAACTCTTTCTCTTGCTGCGCGAGACTGGACGTGATACTTTTACCCAAGCTCGATGTCGGCACAGAGACGCCGACGTGGTTGGGAATGCGCTCGACCGCGGGGTTGTCGATAACCTTGGATGGCAATTTGATGGAAGTCTGCTGGTCCTCGTCAAGCATGCATTCACGTTTAAGGCGGATGAAGTTTTGCTCGCTGGCTGCGCGGGTGACATGGCGAAAGTCGGGTACGCCATCTTGAGCTGTAACGGGGATGTAGCCTGGTACGAGACCTTGGATGAAGAAGGGATGGTCGAGAATTTCATGGAGACTGGGGCGGTCGTTCGGGTCGGGGGTAAGGATAGCCTGGATGAGGGTTCGCGCATGAGAGGAGATGGGTCGCTCGGCGGGGAAGTCGTATTCATTATCACGAATCCGCCTTCGAGAGTGTAAGTTCATTTTCAACATACAGATAGAGATCGACGGCTTACTTGTAGATACTCTTGACATCTTTCGTTTGGAACGGTGGGCGGCCTATCAAAAGTGTATACAACATAACTCCAACTGACCATGTATCTACTTCGAAGCTATGGCCATTCGCGGTATCAAACAACACTTCCGGAGCGATGTAGTTCGGCGTGCCGCAAATGGTCTTCTTGCGTTCGCCCGGATTCTCAATGAGAGCAGCGAGACCGAAGTCGGCTACTCGGATATTCATGTCGGAGTCTAGCAATATGTTTCCGAGTTTGAGGTCGCGGTGTATAACTTGGTGCGTATGCATATAGTGGCATGCCCCGATTATTTGTATTTTGAAATACCGAGCTTCGGGTTCGGTTAGACGGCGCCTCCGTCGGAGAAGATCCATGAGAGACCCAGACGAGCATAGTTCGAGTGCCATATAAACGTTCTCGTCGTCGTCGAAACATTCTTGAAATTGGACGATATTAGGATGCGCCAGGGATCTGTGTATCTTGATTTCCGCCCAGAGCTACCGCATGTACCCTCAGCATTCAGCGCAAAGCACGTTCTGTGTAGAGCTCACCTTCGTTTTGGCTTTCTTGGATTGGAGGGAGCTTTTCGACAAAACCTTACATGCGAGCCTATTGCCGTGCACGTCTTTTACTTCGTAAACTCTGGCGAAACCGCCCTGTACTGGTGTCAGTCTGCTTGTACTTTAGACAAGTAAGATGGCGGACGCACCTCTCCGAGTAATCCAACTTTTTGGAACTGGAGGAGGCCGTGTGCATCCTTGATGATTCTGGGAGGTGAAGGTGGGATTGCCTTGGTCGTCTGCCTCGACAACGGTGGCGATGATGGAGGTTTCTTTTCGGCGAGTTTGGGTGGGGGAGACCGCGGAGCCTTCGGGAGCGCCTTTACGCTCAAGGCGGCGTTCGGTACATTGTGCTGGTTGTGGGCGTTGGTGAACGGCGGTCGTCTTGAAGTCGTGTGCGTCGGGATCGGGTTCATGTTGATTCTTGGGTTAAATGGTTGTGGGTATACGGACATTTCCTCTGGTCAGCCTGACGCCGTGGTGGTAAATGTTAAGGATGTTTGGTTCGAAATGGTCCGGATTTGGTTCGAGTGGCGGCGCGTTGTTTCCTCGTGTTCGTCACGTGAGCACTGAACCACCATCATCATGTGATCGCGAGCGGCTCAAGCGCTTAGCGCACGCGTTGAGGAACCCTGTTGAAGATTTCTCCTTCACTCCCATCTCCTCGGGCTCGTTAAGATGCCCGCGCGAACGGTCAACGGTGACGACGCGCCTTTGGCTGACAAGTTCCTTCCCCACGTCAAACATATCTTCAGTGAAGTACAAGACACGACCGGCAATCACCAGAAGAACTATACGCACCTATATAAAGTTCACCAAGAGGCCGCAAAACACGTCGAACGCGTGAAGAAGGGAAAGAGGTACATTGTGAAATATGTGGGCGAAAACCAATTCGAGGACGCCTTCTTTAACTTGGTCGTAAAGAGTCTTGCTTTGAAGAAAGGGGTGAAGCAGGCAGATAACATTGCGAAGTTCGTGGGGGGATACGTGAAACACGCAAATGAGAAAGGTGTGAGAGATTTATACTGCGTTTGTATCGTTTTTAAGCTATTCATTCAGCATCTGAGCTGAAGATGGAGGATGACGAGGATGCGGACGATGATACAACGGCATCTCGTTTCACCGCCAGTCTGTTGGGGCATCTCCTCGAAGGATTCGAGGCGAAAGACAAGACGGTCCGATATCGCGTCCTTCAAATCATCACCGAGATGGTAGCTCATCTAGGAGAACTCGAGTATGTCGCACTCACTGCCTACGTCACCCGCTGCTCAGCGCCATCTAGTGTTGATGACTACCAGAAGCTACACACAGCCCTACGGGCCCGCGTCAACGACAGAGAGTCTTCAGTACGCATGCAAGCCATCATCGCTCTCTCGCGTCTGGTCGACTCCGAGGACCCGGATGAGATTCCAGACGGGGAGCTATCTGGTTCTGACATGATACTTCAAGCTATCTCCGGCGATGCCTCCGCTGAAGTACGGCGGGCTGCCCTTCTCAATACCCCAGTAACGGAGAAGACCCTTCCAGTCATATTGGATCGGATGAGGGATGTAGACCCGACGGTTAGGAAAATGGTCTTCGCGAACGTTCTTGCGACAAATATAACTCAACGAGTTCAAACAGAGGAAGGAGAGGAGGAGGAGGTCATGGGTCCCACGCACCCCAAAGCAATGAAAATCTCCGAGAGGGAGTTGATCGTGCAAAATGGCTTAGGAGACAGGGAAGTTGGCGTACGATCTGTTGCCGCGAAGCTTCTCAGTTCGTGGGTGGATGCTGTTACTCCTCAGGGCCCTGTTGAGATCAAGCAAGACGAGAGCCAGCAGATGGAATTACCCGCAAAAACTGAAAGTGGAGATGTCCCTCTTGACAAGGAAGTGAAGAAGTCAAAGCTGCAGGAGGGTGTCCTTAACGTAATTGGTTTGTTTGACCTAGGCGGAGAAAGCGAAGTGCCTAGAGACGCCCTTCTGAGCATATTCGAGACACGCCCCGAGATCATCAACGAGCTCAACTTCACTGAAGGTGACGAATTACGCTGTTCCTCCATCATCAGGACTCACGCGAAGATTTCGTAGACGAGTACTGGGCAAATGCCACCTCCGAATCCGCTTTCCTTGCTCGCGTTTTCTCTGATTTCTGCCTCAAGAAGAATGATCTCGGTCGGCGAGACAATATGCTTCCCGTTGTCACCGCAATGGCATTTCACATTTCCACAACCTACCACGCCCTGCAAGATATCCTCGCCTCTCTCAGAGCATCGAATTCTGATGAGGCTGTTTTCGACGTCGATGCGGGATTGACTGACGAGGAACGTGCGAAGATGGAGGATGACCTTACAGATAAAGAGTTCGTCATGACGGAGATGCTGAAGTTGGCACTGGATTTAGACTATGCGGATGAGTTGGGAAGGAGGAAGATGTTTGCACTCGTTCGTGAGTGGTTCTTCGCCCTTGCCCGGGGGGTAACAACTAATACACGTTGTAAAGGTGACTTGATGCAGGAAAGAACTTTACCAGTAACGCTGCTGGAGCCTTGCTTGGACCTTCTACGTCAACTCTCCAATGGAGAGAGCGATCTCATTCGCATGGTCAGTGAAACCATCAATGACTTGCGTTATGCGCCGGACCATGAAGTCGACGAGCCTCCTGTAAGTGCCAGACCCGTTTTAACAGACCCAATTCATCTATCAGTACTCGATGCAGCCTGAAGATACCTCCAGTGATTTCGACGCGACTCCAGCCACCGTCAAACCCCAGCGAACCGCGGTATTCTCCAATAAGCAGGACTTAATTGCCAAGACGCAAGAAGAGGCGGATGAGATTGACCTCCGATGCCTACACTTGTGCACAGGTATGCTCGAACGTGTCAATGGGGTGCGCTCTAATTCTCTTCACACCCTCCGCGATCCCTCACAGTGATACCCTTCTTATATTCTTTAGACACTGGAAAACCATTCGACACTGGACGGTGTCCTCAAAGGACTCATTATTCCGTCCGTTCGGCGGACCGACATGATCTTCCGTTTGCAGGGACTAACGTCGTTGGGATTGTGCTGCCTGATCTCTCCGGTATGTTAATTTCGACCATGGCCTGAGCTCTGCCGTTGACGGCTCGATATAGCGCCTCGCCGGGGATTCGTACCCATTCTTCAAGGCCCGGTTCTTGGAACCGACTCCTATTTCCTTGAAAATTCGCCTAGCTGAGATCATCTTCGATATTGTCATGGTCAATGAGAGGGAGCTCCTAGCAACTGACGCAAACCGGGTATGTATATCATCGTAATCTAGTGCTTAAAGGGCCAAACTCTGAGTCTCTCGGCGTAGGAGGAACTCGCGGAACTGATGCTGCAAGGTCTTGGAAATGACTTTGGACGAGGACAGGGAAGGGATCACGAGGACGGAGAAGCCGAGGCCAAGAAACTGCAGGCAGTGATTGCGAAGGGCCTAGCGAAGCTCATTCTTGCGGGCATGATAACGGATAAAAATGTTCGCCTCAAATGTTTCGGGGCACGAACTTCGGTTAACTGGTTTTCGTTAGGTCCTTTGTCAACTTTTCAACTGCTACTTCTCGTCCGACACCGTCGACAACCAAGATCTTCGGCAATGTTTGACGTACTCTTCCCCATGTACAGCTATTCGAAATCTGAAAACCAGCATAACATGCGAAAGGTGCGTTGGCCCCACTATTTGCTCACGCTATGCTATCCGTACTGATGGTAGCACTGTATTTCCATAGGTGTTCATTCCAACCATGGAAAACAGGGAACATGCTGCCGAGGAAGAGCCTGTGCCGGCGGCGCAGATTGTTTCGATGTTCGTTGATATGACAGATCCATTGAAAGTCCTGTACGTCCAATTCGCCCAAGTGCAGCAATTCGTGGAGACTTGACTGAGCATCGTAGCGAGGTCGCTGGTAAAGACATCGACGAGGACGTCCACCTCGACCTTGCGGCAGACATCATCAAGGTTATTCTCGACGGCAAGACAGAGCTGTCCAGTACGTTTCCTATTGGTGAAGCGATTGAGTCGTCTTAATATTCGGCTTAGGGGAAAGCAAGAAAGCTATGTGCCAGGCGCTGCCTAAATTGTACTTACCGGAGGAGGCAGATCAAAGCAAGCTTCGCGGTTTGAGGCTCTTGATCCACAGTTTGATCAAGGTTTGTGAAATGAAATGCGTCACGCCGGTCGAAATTCTGATTCTGTGATCCGATCACCTGTAGCGTCGTCCGGTCAACGATGTCTCAGCGAAGAATGCAGCGGCCAAGTTCGAAACAGCGTTCTGTAAGAAGTACGAACAACTCGAAGGCTTCAGCGAAGCCGAATACCGACAATACGGGGAACTCAAGGACTTGTTCGATTTCTTGGATGACCTTATCCCGTTGAGTGGCGACGAAGAAGATGCCGATTTGAAACCACCAAAGGGCAAGAAGCGGTGAGTCGTGTCCCGCTTTGCGTCTGCGCTAGTATTGATGTGATATTGCGTGAAGACGATCTGGAAGTGTTGTCAGCGTCAGCACGGATGGTGAGATGGTATCTGGTGCGACGTCGAGAAGTTCAAGATCTGGCCAAGGCAAAGCCAAGTGCGTACCTCCGTGCTGCGCTATCCGTCCATACTCACAATTCAACGACAGGAAACCGAGATTCTCTCAGTCAGATATTGAATCCGATGAGGAGGATTTGAGGCGAGCAGTGACTCCTCCCCCGCGACCGGCGAGGCCTAAGCGTGCCGCGTAAGTGAATCCTTTTTCGTCGTTGCACGTCTTTCGTTGCTCACTACGAGCTGCCCCATTAGCGCTTTGCACCCCAAAGCTCCCCAAGTGGTAGTAATTAGCTCAGATAGCGATGAAGACGCGACACCCGTTCCACGACGACGCTCTCAATCAAGGTATGTACTTCTCGGCATTGGTCCTTTGTCCGATATTAATCTTCATTCTACTAGTCGTTCGTCCGTACCTCAGGTCAAGGAGGAAGCCGAAGAAATGGATGTCATTGTTGACGACATTCTCGGCGGCAGCGTTCCTGGGCATGACTCTATCATGGACAACAGCTCCGCGGATGAAGATGAAGTTAATGACCTTGTATTCCCCAGTGGTGATGATTAAGTCTTAATCTACTACCTATATAACCTATGTAAAGCAGCCTGTGTATTCCTATAGTTGTATTGTACTGTCCCATTAGTCGTATGTTTATAGCTCCCGTTGTGCGTTGAGGTAGCAAGATTCTGGGTGCTCACTATTTCTCATTCATCCATTCCTTCTGCGGTATCAAATATGAAGGTCCTTATTGGACAAAAATCAAAACGTATGTTGTTCCCACAATATCACTGTCGATCACTCACAATCACGGCATCTCATCCAAGTTAATTGGGAATCACCATAATCCACCGTGAACCATCATTATTGTCATTTTGCTTGAGCATAGTAGATCTCTGCCATGGAATATACACAAACTTTAGCGTCATTGTGAAACAACGTTAATCCTCATGATCACATATGTTTTAGCAAAGATCCCCAATATGTTTAAGCATCTGTCATGAACATTGAGCACATGTATTTGTTATTTGAAACGTAGATTCACGGTGATTCATCATTTCCCTATAGGAAAACTTAAAAGGCTGTTGTCACATTATTACTATGTGCCCCCACCATCATGACCTCTGCCTTGCCTCGACGTGAAGCCTGCGTCCGTTGCAGAGCATGTCTCGCCTACTGCATGCGGGGACCTAATGGATTTCCTGTATATGCAAGTCATTCTCCTGGCGTTAATGCTTGACCACACTAATACCTTGATTAGGACGCATTATCAGTATCTTCTACTTGTATATGTGGATGTCTTTACATTGAGCATGCCGCGCGTCGTCCATCGCCAGATGACCCAAATGCACCACTCTTTCGTGGAGGAGTTCCAGACACCACCTGTGGTGGATTCCATCCGGTGCGCACCTTCTCTGTTGTTTATACCCATGATCTGACCACCAAAGTCACTCAAGATTGGGCCATGGAGCATGGGGGCCAGTTGTCTTTGTGGTCAGCAGTGGCAACAGCACGAGCATGCAGATACTCCACCACGTCCTACGTAGGCTAAGTTCTATATACAATCCCTTCTTTGACACCTTTCTGCGTTAGTACTCAAGCTACAGGCGTGTTAGGGCCTCCCCCATTACCTCCTCACCTGCCCACTGTCACATCCCTTACCAGCCCTGTGGAAGCAGCACATCCAGTCGCACCACGGAACACGCCAATGCCGGCCCCTATTGCTGCCTATAGCGGTATCCGGGCGGCTGGTGCAGGAAGTACCAATGATCGAAGGGTCAATGCATACCAACGGCACGGTGAGTACAGAGCCTGCTCTCACATAACAGGATTAATCACTAATCCTCTCGGCAAGCGGTCGGCACTCGTCGACGCCCCAGACACGGCTATCCAACCGGTCCAGCTTCAGGCAGTGCACCTGCAGTGACGTCCCAGCCCTCCTCCCAGCCTAACGATCCTGCAAAATTCTCCATTGATCTTGGTCTATTGCCTGTCGCAGTAAGTTTTTCATCTTTGCCTTTAGAAGCTGCATTACCTGACCTGGTTGTGCACCACAGCTCCCACAAGCGCCCATGTGGTCTGACGAAACGAAACTAGAGCCACCTCCCACACTGAATCTTAACGACCATCAAATTGCTACACTGCAGGAGAAACTTAGGGAGCATAACCTAGTTCTGACGGTAGAGGTACCGCCAAATGGACTTGTCCATGCAGCAGTCAACAAACAAATTGAAGATTTCTGTGTCACGAACCAATTTGCGTTGAAACCTAGGTCTAGCGCCAACCCCAACTCATCTTCCGCTTCAGTCGCCAACTTCAACTGGACCTTTTATGTACCTCTACGCCGAGCAGCCAATCATACACGCAACTTCGGTGCAAAGATTCTAACAGCAGACACTTTCACCGCAGACACTTTACGCCGTGCTCCTTTCGGCAAAAATGTTGCAAACCACACTTCGCCACGGGTGTTTGCTTTCATAGGTAAGTGCTGGTTATCATGTATTGTTTCCCAGCTTTACCTTCTTTACAGGACCCAACTTCGACCACCTTTGGGGTCCTCTACCGGGTGCCCATGACCCAGTTCTGCATCGCTGTTTTTACAAAACGGTCATGGCGTTTTTGCCCCCTTTCCGGGATGACGACCACGAGCCTGTTTGCCTTCAAGGTTGCCCTAGAGGAGAGATCCCCCTTGAAAATGCTATTGCCTCTACATCGAGTCTCAATGTTGATCTTTATCACTCAGACTCAGACTCTGTGGTCGGTTACTATTTTTCACTCAATCTACCACTCATGCTCATGTACATCTAACGTTATAGCCGCCTTCACCCTCAGAGCTGTTCCCCATACACCGTACTACTACCCCCGATCACTTCACTATTCCTTCTTCAACGTCAGTTGTCACAGCCTCACCTAATGCGGGTACCTCATCGACACGGCCATTACTAGTTCATTCAAGGTCTCCATCTCTAGAGGTTAGCATCTCAAGTTCGTCACCAGTATCAGATGTATTCATTTTGCATTAATGCAGCTTGTTGAGGCAATATGCCGACCTGCAAGGCGTCCACGGATAGGGACCCTCTCAAATTCTGCAGGAGCAGTGCCTGTCCCGTATCCTCAAGTAAGCCGTTATCATTAAGCACCTCAAATGTTGACTAACTAGACTCCTAGAGCTTAGCCAGCATAGCGAGCCGCCTCCCTGCGCCCGTCCCGTTTAACCGTGTTGATGGGTTGTTTGTTGAAGGATGGATTGAGCGTGTGCGCGATGTTTTGCCACCAAGACCTAGTGGACAAGAAGTGCGCATTTCAGGACCTGATGTGGATGCATGTGCCAAGGTGTTGGTGTTTCTTGTGACGTGGCATTTCCGGCATCCTCCACTTTTAGATTCACAGTGGGACGACATACTTGCTCAAAATTGTCCAGGAGTGCAGTGTGAGCTGGTGTCATTGTCTGCCTTTCTAAACCATCGTCGTTCTTTCTGCGTGTACGTTTTCTTGCCCATGTATTCATGTCATTTCATTCACCGGACATTATATCATCAGTGGCGAAGGTATCGGTTCTGGTCCCGAGCGTGCAGTATTGTCTCGTGCCATTGAGATTGCTTCATCAGATGTTGCGTACTGGCAGCAAGGTGTCGGACACAGCTCATTGTACCAATCAATGCTTCTTTTCCCTTCGACCGATAGTATCCAAACAAGGCGCACAACGTTCGCCACCCATGGATTCCTTTGTCTTATCCATATGTTGAACATTCCTGCCGCTCCATTTCCCATACATCCCTTATTGCTTTATCTTGTGATTGACGGACACATGGCCTTCACGATCGACCTTCCCTTTCTCCAAGAAATTGATGAAGATCTTGTCAAGACTTTGCGTCCTTGGACGTCGTGGGATCGCCGTTCGAGCCAGCCTTTGCATGGGCAGACTACTGAGCTCCATGGCCTTTTGGCAGCATGTGAGATACCGGTACGTGTCATTGCCACTCAAGTCTGGTTTTGCGCTCATCATCAGCACTCAGACCAACTGTCTAACAGACAACATGGGTGACTCTGAGCTTGATGGCATTGAGCGTAGCATGCTTAGCTATCTTCTCTTTGGCTCGAAAGATATCAGCCATCATCCTGACTACCTCGCTTTCTGCCATGGCTTCAATCTCAAGATTTCTAGAGACGTGTCTGTCCTCGATGTAAGTGTCGATTAATAGTCATATTTCCTGCCAGCTACTGACTTTGACGTGAACGCCAGACTTTTATTTGGTCCTCCAAGGGCCTTTTGGCCTATTTGTATAACCGACGTCTCATCTCACCTGACATGCTCTCTGAACACCTTGAACTTGGACGCCAAACATGCATAGACTCCCATACAGCAGCTACCTCTGATCAGCGCAATATTGGAAAGAGGTTCATAGAACACCTCCGACGTTACCTCTTGGGTGTTGGTCATGTTGAGCATGACTGGACACAACCTTTCCTTGATGTGACCGACGTTGCAGCCAAAAAACATGATCTACTTTTGCGCAGTCATCTTTTGCTAGCCACGCTCACCGGTTCAAACAAGATCCCAACAGCAGATAATTGGAGCTTGACAGTGAGCCTCAGACTTGTGTCATGTTCGTTTATGGGCTCATCCGTTCTTTCCAGTTTAACATTTCCTATAAGCCTTTTCTGGACACATTGGAGGTCAAAATGGTGCGGTATCTTCTACTTTCCTCTTCTGAGAATGACTGACATTTTCACGTTTTAGCCACCTCTTATGAGCATTCATGCTTGCTTCCATTCAGCAGATGTTATCGTCGACTCCTCCTTTCGCAAAATCCTTCTAGATGCCTTACCTTCCAACCCAAGGCAGGCAACAGCGTTTGATGCATGGCTCCATTTGCAGCTCATTGGTCCAGACACCTTTGAGATGGTATAGGAGTGGGATGCAAAGCAGTTGGTTTGGACGGTGTAAGGGCCACCCTTCCGAACGTTTCTCATGTCCCTTGGACTTCTCATATATATACATATATAAAGCCTGTGACGTGGGCAGATCTGTAAGGACCAGTTCTCCGACACGTATTATCTGTTCCTTGGACAATCTATTTGTTTACAACGGTTCTTATATTTACATGTGAAGCGTACTTCAAGATTTACTTACAGGCCAACAGAAGTAAAAACAGAATATTTAGATTTTCAACCGCTGACTCTTACTCCCATGAGATTGTACCGTACTCATCCAGAGCCTCAGTACGAGTCCAAGCGTCTATCATCTTTTCAACAGCAGACTTTTTTAAGCCAGCCGTTTGTTTCGTTACATTGTCTATCCCAGACTCCCGCTTCCACCTTGCAGATATCTCCTGCGATGCGAATAGACGTTTCAGAATAGCCAAATGGCTTATTTGCTCCGTAGCGAGAGAAAGAGTGACGGTACGAGCTTCTAACGTCTTCCACAAGCAATATGCTTTCTTGGCGAACGTTCGACTGTTCTGGTAAGTCCCGGATTGCAAACCAGCCCACTCATAAAGAAGTTCTTCAGAGACTGGCGTGCCATCAGCCAGGTGACCTTCATGTCGGGAAGACAGAGACATGTTGAGCTGATCCATGATGGTGTCAATGATCCGCACTGTACGTATTTTTGTGTATGCTGTGCCAAAGACTTTGGCGTTGAGTTGTAGGAGGCTAGCCTTCCCCGATGGGTACAAGGAATTGAGACGTTCAGTGATTGCATGGCTTGCATCCTCAAAAGGTTCCGTTGTCACAGGGATGATAGACGGCCCAGCCAGCCAGTTTCGCTGAAGTTGATCTGAGAGGGAAGGCATCTAGTGGACGCCTCAGAGGGTATAACTGAAATAGCATATAAGCACTTACATATACCGTCCGAAAGTAAATATGCAGAACCACCAGTTTTGATTCTGGGTCCATGACACAGAAATTGGTGGTATAAAGCATGGACGTTTCTGGTGCATCCATGGCCGCAAAGCGAAGAGGATAGGAGGAGGAGAATGCCTCAGCCAAACGGCCTAATGGCTGAACACCTTGTCGAAGTCTCAAGGTGTCATCTCCAACCAGAGGAATAGGTATGTGGGACGTGGCGAGGTGTAGATTGATGTCGGGAACATTGCCTTGAAGTTCCTGAAAGATGCCGGGATGCTGATGTCGCACCGCCTGGAGTACCAGATCCAGTGGGATGTTGTCAGTGACAGATGACAAGAGGTTGGGACAGAAAAAGTTGTCGAGCCGATTCGGAGGTAACATGACCGTCAAATAGACTGTTACATTGGCGAAGGGATGAGTTGAGATAGGGACCAACGACTGGCTGGGGCCTTCATCCATGCAAGGCTCAGGCTCAGTAGGAATTGAAAGTGGTGGTGCTTCCTCAGTGGAAGGGTTAGACTCAAGATGCGCTATATACAAATGCATAAGTATTAACGTATTCCGGAATCATTTTTCTGGCATACCCATGATGGTTTCAAGAAGTTCCGCAAGACCTTCATTGATCTCTGGAGTGATGGCGCCCACATCTACAACATTGGCAGTGGTATCATTGGCTTCAGGGCTTGGGCTAGGGGGAACTGGACGTGTTTGAGCCAGAAGCCCTTGTTGACCGTGAAGGGTTGAGACGTACCAGAAGACAGGGGGGATTCAACTAAGCTGAGGACGGAGGACTGCATGGTAGGCAAGTCTGTGGCAAGAATGTCATCTGTTACCGTAGACCCCACAGTGGTGTTGTTCTCTTCGATAGTGAGCATCTGAGGTCGACGCTGGCGACGCTGGCGGCGTGGTTGTATGACTCCGGCAGCAATGTCTTCTCTTCGCTGAGTCCTATTAAGCAATCTACTTTCCCTATCATTGGATGTCATGCCGAAGGGAGGATATCAAGGGGCTGATAATAGGTGTCGGGCAGACGAAGACTGTACCAGTGCAGATTCAAAGGTAGCAGCACAGCCTCCTTGTCGATCACGCAAACAAGTTACGAAGCCAGTGGAAATCCCGAAGTGAGAGGAAGAAGGGGACTTGGCTCAAGCTGCAATCTGTGCCTAAGGTGAGACAAGGACCAATGACACTATAGGTGGGCCAATCACTTACGCAACATGCAGATGAGAAGATCAAGGCTTTCGTTACAGTCATCCAGAGTACCGTAGACTTGAGTTGGCCGGCTTGAGTTTGGTGGAACCTAGATTCAAGTTCCTTGGATTGTGTGAGTGAAGTATGCTGGGTCATGACTTCGAGTCCATGTAAGATCTCAGATTTGTCAAACGTGTTGCGAGAGTATGAGGATTCAAAGGGAGAAACAAGGGGAGCGAGGGACTTTGGCAATGGGGAGAGTGGAGGTGTGAAGGTACGAAAGGGAAAGAATAATTTATCCAAGTTTTCCCCCAGTTACGACGGGAGCTCAGACTGTAGAGGCCGAGCGACCGGGGTACTCACCACGGAGTGAGTGGTGTCATCAGTTTTGGGGCTTTAGTTATATAGCAAACGATCACCTGATTTTGTTGAAAGCAAAGACGCGTCGCGTAGTGAAGAATGAGCCCAGCGATGAGCTGGCAAACCAGGGACACCCCAAGCCTAAGTCCTTACTGAAAGGAATTTTGATTCCGCTTCTGATTCCGGCAGGGTCTTCGAGTTCTGATGCCGAGTAGCGCTCTTCTCTCCCTCATTGTCAATGACCTTCACCTTTGACGCTGGCTGCTATCTCCCCCATGGTACAAGTTTCCCTCATGTTGTTTCATTGTACAGTGGACACAGAAATGTAACACTAACATATTCACATCGGTTCTAGATCACCGAGATCGTCGTTTGCGTATCAACGTGAATTACGACTTGAGCCAATGCCTGGAATCAATGATCAACTGCCCAAGAAAACTGGTAAGTGGCTGTTTATTTGAATGGAATGCGAAGAGATAGCTTACTTCCCTTCCTAGTTTCGTCAACGTCGTGGACGACACATGCGGCGCTCCTTGCTCTTTGGTACGCATCCCTGCTTGTATCTTTCTTTTCGCTTCCTGCTGCCTATTCTTGCTATATTTCCCCGCCATCGTTCGCTTTCTATTTCGTTTTCGTTTGCCTCCCCCTCCTCTTGCGCTCTCCGTTTTCATTATGGCCTTGTTTGACGATTGCGTCCTCACTTACGATTGTGTCCCCCCTCCCGCCCTCGTGTTGACGACGCCTTTCTCCTCCCTTCAATCTTGAACCTTACATTACCTGATCACACATAACGCGCTGTCCAGGCCCCGTTCTCTTTCTAGCGCTTTGATTTTCGTTTGCGTGCATTGTTCCGCCGTTTACTCGTTTCGCGTTGCGCACTTGGATTGCATCTCCTATCTCCGTCTCCCATCTTCATCATCGTCTTCGCATTCCATTCCACTGTCTCTGTCTTCGCGTTTTTCCCACCTTACCACTCGGTCTTCCCTCGTGCCTTCCGCTTACCGTTCCCATTCCCGCCGCAGTCCCCGTTGTTATCGTTCTAGTTTTACGAGCTTCCTTGCTTGTTCTACCTTCAATCTACGCTGGATCACATTCACGCCGCACACGCACAGACACACGTTCATCTCCACTCGATTAATCTGCATCCCCCGTTCAGCTCGACGTTCAGCTCGTCTATCAAGTGCCATCTCGTGCAGGCTTCGAGACGAGAGAAGACGAGATGGGAAACGAGGCGAAACAAAAAGGCGAACGGGAAGCATCGAGGGGATCCATCGCAGGCGACGTGCACGACGCCTAGTCAAACAGGTGACAAGATGCTAGGTAGTCGTCCACTCGCCTCTAGTCGCTCCAGACTCGAGATGCATTCTCCCCCAACGGATATACTGCGCCAACCCGCGTCCCTCCCTCTCTACCTCAATCTCCCTTCATCCCTCTGCTTCCCTCGCCCGCCTCCCTTGCTTCCCTCCTTCCTCAATCCGTCTACGCGTCGTCTCGCTCCATGTCCGCCTCCCTGCCTAAATTTACCCGTCAAGTCAAATGCCGTCTATCGATGGCCTACCTCCCGTTTCGCCGAGAACTCAAGTCCATGAAAATGCGACTCTATCTCCGCCCATCAAGCACTGGGCTTCCATACAGTCGCCGTTGCTTGCACCACATTGGGCGAGGTCTACTTCTACCATCGCGAACCCAAGGATAATACCATCCAACGGTGGGCACAGAACCCACAGACGAACCGTACGATATCAACTTTGCATACCCCCTCAACCTCGACATTCTGCAAACCCCCAAAATCAAGCTCGTCCCTTTCATCCCCTCCGTCCATGCCGTCCCCTTCTACGCCGCCGCGACCAAAACCCCCGAGACGATGCGCTTCATCCCCTTCCATTTCACCAAGCTCGATGATTTCCTGGTGAATGTCGTGGGGCCCTTCCAAGCGAGCCCGGACTACCCTCTTCTCACCATCATCGACAAGCTCAAGCTCGAGCAGGGGGCGGAGGAAAAGGATTGCATCGCCGGCGTGATTGGGTACCTCGGGTTGTCGACTATGAGGAGATCTTTGGAGCTGGGGCCGGTAATCGTATTGCCTGAGTACCAGCGCACGCATGTGTCGACGCACGCTATCGAGGCGGCGATGCGGTATATCCTGGAGGTGCCTGCGCAAGGCGGGCTGGGCTGGAGGCGCATGCAGTAGACGGCGAATACGAGCAACGCAGCATCAGTGCGGAGTGCGGAGAGAACGGAGAGAATGGGGATGAAGGTCGAGGCGGCGGCGATGCGATGGAGTTTTTGTCTGCAGGAGGAGAAGCAGGGGATCGTCGTCCCGGCTGAGAGGGGCGGCGGGAAGGGGCGGCATAGCACGCTGCTCGCCGTCTGCTGGGATGACTGGGAGCACGGAGTTCGAGATCATGTAGCGAAACTCATCGCGCGATGATTCAGTGGCTCTCGCACAGGCTGTCGTATGTCTCTTCTCTCTGGACTGGTTTGTGGTATTCTGAAATGAGATGGCCGAAGGAAAGCGCATCGGAATGGAACTCAATGCTTATAACAGCTCGAGCGCAAAGAGGGCCTCAGTGGGATATCGGTACACAACAGTACGTTCGTTCATATACAGCTTACCTTGGGCAGAATATCCTTAAATCAACGGGTTCTTCATAGATTCCTCGTAGACGACGGCTCAGACCTTTACTATGACCCGACACCAATTCTCGAAGCTGTCAAGAAACTCACCGAAGACGAGGCTCCCAAACCCCACGAATCACATAAACCCGTCGGACGCGGAACGCCTCAACCCATGCGAGGGGACCCGGGAGGCCGAGAATTTGCGCCCCAGCATCCTCATGGGATGCCGCATGATGGTGGCGTCGTGGGTACCCCTCAGCACCAGCGACACCAGCGACACCCCGGCGTACAGGCGTACCCTCCGTACGGCGTCGGTGTGGGGATGTCTCCAGCGGGCGCCAACCACAGCAGCAGCAGTGCGCTTCTGGCCCGCCTCCCGGCGGTGTTGGGCCCTTCAACCCTGTTCAGGCGGGCCAGTTCTACAACCCGTCGCCCATGCGTGGCATGGGCATGGGCATGGGCATGGGTGGGGGCATGGGTGCTGTAGGGATGGACCAGGTCGGCGTTCATCCTGGAGTGCCAGGTGTGAATCCGATGCAGCAGCACCCAGGTATGCATGGCGGCATGGGTGGTGGGATGGGGATGGTAGGTATGCCTCCCGGTGGCGGCATGCCGATGCATATCTCGCCGCTCACGACCATCACGACCAAGATTTCTCAGTTGCACCATCACGCCCCGTTGTCGTGTGTCTGTGCTGCGCCGCCGGCCTCTTCGACAGTGGATTGATTCACAATGGTAAGCGTTAGCGCGAACGGCGCCCCGACGTCTGGCATCCCCGTCTTGCTGTCTGCGTGTGCGTCAGTGTTCGCGCGCTGTGCCATCGTGGATCCATATCCCGTCACATTCACCACGCGCACGCGCAGACACACCTTCGTCTGCATCCCCACGTCCAGCTTGACGTTCAGCTCGACTATTAGGTGCCATCTCGTGCATTCGATGACAAGAAGGGGAGTGCAAGAGAGGGACGGAGGGTTGCGTACGCCGTTGATTATGTTCGACGCCTCCACGACAAAGCTCTCGTGCAGCCCATCGCGCCTATACGCTGCTTCCCGGCGAGACTGTAGACAACTCCTGCCTACGCTCGAATGGCCGCCGCCGGGAGATGAGATGGCGTGCAGCCAACGGACGAACTCTAGCGCCGCAGCTTGCTATCACCCCTTGTGGTACGTCTCCCAGCCTCCTTTCCTTTCGTCGAGCATCGTACGAGCTGCTCCGAATTACAGGTCGACTCAACCAGTCCCAAACTCACGCCCCCGTGCCCGACGTTTTCGATCCTCGAGCTTTGAATATTACCACCAGCACGCCTCTCGAACATCGTCATCTCGCGAGCATCAAATAAGCGCCTGTCTGTGCCGCGCCGCCAGCCTCTTCGACAGTGGATTCACGATGATAAACGCCTGCGCGCACCCCCCCCGCCGTCTGGCATCCCCGTCTTGCTGTCTGTGCGCGCGTCAGTGTTCGCTCGCTGTGCCATCCTGTCCCGTCTTCCTTGTGAATGCCATCACTGCATTCTGGGTGTCCCCCTCAATCGAACGAACGTGAACTAACATTGTTCATCTTGGCATAATCATTCTCGCAAATAACTGCGTGCCTATCAGGCCTGATGGAGCCAACTCGAACGCATTGATTGCATCTACGAGGACGTCGTTACCGTGTCCAACCAACCAACCAAAGGTGCGTACCATGTATTGATCGTCCTTGTTTTCCCATCCCTGCATTCTTTTGTGCCGCGCTCCGTGTCGAGCGCTGGTTTCTTCTTTGAATCCCCACTTCGTCTCTCTTCATCGTTCGCTCTAACTCGTTCTCCCTCTAGCTCCACCCTTGTCACGATCAACGCCGTTGCTGCTAACGACGGTTATCTGGAACGACGAGCAATGCAGGTAAGTCCCTCCACACGTACACACAAAGACACGCTTACCTCCCCAACGCAGGACGTCGCTCAGCTCCTCTCGCGGCCTCGATACTTCTCAAATCCCTTCTTTTCGATGGAGCCTATTGTGGACGTCGCCGTGGCTGCCCGACCAATGAGCAATGGCTTCTCCGTGTTCCAAGTGATCTTCCCTCCAGCCCACATCCTCCGCGTGAACAGCTCGGGTGGGCAGAATTCTGCGTCGGTTCCGTCTTTGTGCAGATTAGCCTCGGCATTGCGGGGGTAGAAGAAAGCGAGGTGGTGCCCGTAACCTAGTGGTGCACCGTCTTTAGGCTCGGTCCACTGACGCCTTGTACCATCGCGGGTTGATAAAGTGATGTACAGGTCCGAGACGTGTTCCCGATGAAATGTATCTCGCATAACTAGGTGCTTGGGGGACGCTATCTCCTCCGTGTGGGTCGTGCTGAATGTTGCTTCTCTAGTTCTTGCTCAGTGTTGGAAAAGTAAGGTGATGATGAAAGTGGGAGGATGGGGGCAGGGTGCAAGACCCATCGTCAGCCTACCCTTTCCCACATAGCTGTTGAGTTCTGCGACACTCACCCAGCCGCACACACATTGGAGCACCTGTGTTCGATGGTAGGTGGCTTGTGAACAGCGCTAGAAAAGTGAGAATAATAATGTGATTCATTCTGCCGGTTATCATCTGAGGAGGATTCTGTGTCACTCAAAGGGGTATTACAGTAGTTGGCAATTTGGTAATTCAGAGGCCTGTCCCACTCACCGTCGTCTAGGAAGGGTGGCAGTGCTGTGAGAACCAGGAAGTAGCACGTACCTAAACTGGCAGTTGGTTGAACTCTCACTTCTACCGCCACTTTCAAGGCATTGAACACCTGTAAGAGAGATCTACTCCATCTGTTGCAAAGAACTCATTCAATATAGTAGACCAATGCCCTCTGAACCTCTTTTTGTTGTCACAAATGAGGATCCTGAGCTAGATCTCGCAGATCGCTCATGGATTAGACAAGAACCGCTGTTAAGCTTATTCCGATGGATCCATGAAGTGGATGAGGAAGAGCGGGCTCAAGGTTATGCTGACTGGAAGATCTCCGTAGCTGCCAAGATTTTGAGCAAACATCAGCAGTTGGTGAGTGAGCAATCTTCAGACCGTGTATTTTGAAGCTCAAATAATTCATCCAGGCTGAGCGTATCACAGACTGGCTCTCCTTCTGCCTGAATGGCAGCTCTATGCCGACTGAGCATTCAGTGAATGCTTTCATTGACATTTTTGTCCTTCTGGCCCTGGAGAAAGATACTGAGGCCCGAGGTAGGCTCAATGAAGCACTGAGGGAGTGCATGTCCTTCCCTGTGAGTGTCCATCTGCCATTTTCTAGTTCTGCTTGTTGATGTTCTCTATCAGCTGTCAAAGTCCAACATGCTGGTGGGAGGTGCTAGTGATGATGAAGATGACGAAGAGGGAGACAGTGACGAAGAAGTGGATGGGATGAGGGTTTTGGAGACATTTTGGGAGGCCAAGCTTCCAGTCGAGTGGAAGGCCATGATACGTACAGACCCTAGTCTACAGCTCCAGGTCTGCCAGCTTTGGGCTGAAGCTTTGCAGCACTTCTTTGATACACCTGATGTGAGTTACCACTCTCTGCGAGATATTTAATATACTCACACAATGGACAGAAACTAACTACCAGCATCCGTCGGGGAGCCATTCAGGCTCTTCAACAGATGCGGAAGATTACTGTCACTACATGGAGACAGGAGACCTGGCGGACTGCAGTTAAGGTATGTTATTGGTGTATTTTGATGGGAGTGTTCTCTAAAATAGCACAGGAGTCAGGATTGGCCAAGGCTATGACCACCATCTGTGATAGTGGATACTTATTCAGTGTTGAGTCCCCACATGTTCTTGAGACCTACCGCTACAATGTTTGGCGTGAAACCTTGGGTGAAATCCTGCTTCGCTGGATGCCACCAGGGGCTATTGATGCTGAAGAGGATGCCACAGAGAAGGTAAGTACAGTGGCAGAATTATGAGAGGGGGGGACTAACGTGACTAGACCCAGGCTGATGAATCCCCTAACAACTTACCTTGCACTGCTGAAAATGTGCTCAAGGTGATGTGTGAGCATGTGGAGACCATTCCACGGGTATCTCATCCTTGCTCGGTGTTCTTTCTGGTTAGCCAGGAGAACTTTATCCATGCATGGGAAGTCTGGCTGGAGGGTGCTCTCAAGCACCGTGGTATTCAGGTATGTCTAGGAAATAACTCTCAGATATTGTTGTTTGACTGGTGATTCACTGCTAGACCAGGAATGTCAACCTCTCAATGTTGCACCGCCATCTGAGGGGGATGAATCTTAAAGCTTTTGAAAGGACCCATGAGATACCAGAGGTGTTGAGGGTGATTCTCGAGGAAACTCAAGCTCTTGTTTCCAAGAACAAGGACACCGAGTACAGTAACTTCCGATCGAAGAAACGAAACTTGGAAGAGAAGGCAGTGCCACGGCCAAAGAAGAAGACACCAAAGAGACGTCGAAAGCATCTGGAATTAGATGGTGCAACTTCCTTGTCTCCTTTACCCTTGGCTGCCCCTTCCCCTGCTTCATCGGTTGCCCCTTCCCCTTCCCCTTCCCCTTCTCCTACCCCACGTCCAGAAAGCCCAGTGGATCCTAGTGTATCAGCACCCAACCTTCAGCCCCATCGTATTGTCAACTCTTCCAATATTCCTACTCAGCCACTGGTCGACCTGCCCAATGCTCCGTTGTTCGATTCTGAGGAGTTCAGGATGCCTGATGAATTCACCAACAGTTGTGTGAATTGCAATACTCTGACAGAGGATGAGTGGTGCATTCGTAGGTTTGCGGTGGATGAGTTGGAGGGGTATGAGCAGTATGAGGGATGTGTCATCACCACTGCTCCTCCAGAGGATCGTTTGCCCCCTATGGTGAGTCCCCTACATGTGTCATTGATATGCCAAATAACATAAAGATGATCAGCTGGTCAAGGGGAGCAAGAAGAGTGAAGAGCCCCATTACTACCACCCTGATGACCTCAAACTCCGCCAAATCAAGGCTCGCTCAGAGGTGTACAAGCGATGTACCAAAGATGTCACCCTTCTGGTTAATGATGGCCTTCTGGTAAGTGTCATTATATTATGAAGGCCATACTCTGACATTGCTGTAGGTTGGTGCGGTGCAATACCAGGCATTTACTCAAGAAACACTTGATGAAATGTCACAGCATAAGAAGATGACTGATAAGCTCAGCAGTGTCAAACGAGGTGCGGGTTTTCGAGCTTTTGCATGGGGGAGCATGAAGGCCCTCGGATCACGCCTGCCCCAGGGAGGCAATCCCGCCAGTGGATATGGCCCCTACAAGGACATGATGGCCAAGGAGGTAGAGGAGATCCATGCCTTGTTTGGCCATGCAAAGGTAACAGTCCTTTAAATCTAGATGAATTTGTGTTGATGAATCATGATAGGTTGCTGACACCTTGGTGACAACAGGGCAGTCTGTTTACTCCCCAGTCACCAAGGCTCTTGGAAAGCACTTTGTTGCTCATGGTGTGGACCCCCTTGGCAGTGCAGGTGGCAACCTGTTCATCTGTCATAACTACTGCAGCCCCATGCATTTGGACCGTGATAAGACAATGTCAACGTGCATGCAGCTTGGAAAGCGGTGCAAGGAAGGGGAGTGGAACTTTGTGTTTCTCAGATGGGGGGTTTACCTTGACAATGGGCCCAACACATTGTGGTGAGTTGATTTAAAATTTGTATTTGTAGAAGCTGATTCTCTTCAGGCTTTTCAATGGAAATGACATGCATGGCAGCACCATGCCTAGCAAATCAACCATGGCAGAGGCTCAAGGCCAAAGGAGTGGAGGTAGTACTGGTGGACATAATGTTGTTGCTGGTGGAGCAGCAGGAGACCAAGTCCACTTGGGGAATCATGCTAACGCGCCACCTCTTGCCTATCCAGGTGGTCTGATGTGGGTTGTGGTTGGTCCAGGTGAAGCCTCAACTGGGTACCATAACTCAGTGCGAAGCATAGATGTGGCCCGGGCTTCACACTATCAAAGAGTTCGCAGACAACTCCCAGCAGTTCAGAGATACTGGAACTAGCAGTTGTAATAGTACTATTATGTAAACAAGAGAGTGTTAAATTAAAAGCCATCATACATTCTATAACAAGTGGCCAAAGCATCTACCCAAAGAAGTCTGCGAGTGTTCATATTACGTGACATAACATCATGCCGGGAATGAAGCTCCTGGGTGAGTGCTCCAAACTGATGTGGTGAGAGCGGCATCACCGGCGGCTCGCAGTCTACCTTATTCAGATTTGATGGTGTGGTTGCTGGAGCAAATGGATTGTCGTTGTCCCAGTCCTCTGGATTGTTTTCAAGAAGGTGGGTCATGAGCTGTGTGTCATCAAGGACCTCCCAGTCAACACCATATCCAATGATGTCCTCCGCTGCCAGATCTTCTGCAACAGGTTCCAGAAACCGCTCAATTCCTCGTGCGCCTTCCTGAAGCATTCCAAAGATATACATGTCACGGGGACTGCGGGCACGCTCACCACGGATGCTGATCTTGTGGGAATTCCAAGCCTCGACCCACTCCTGGGCATCCTCGTTAATGGCCTCAAGGAACAGGTAATGGAGAAGCCAAATGTGGCCAGGGCGCTGAGGGTCGAGGCCATGGTTGCACTCAAGATCATGGAAGAAGTCCTTCCACTTGAGGCCAAACCCATGAGTTAGGTCGTACCATAGCCGTTCAATTCGGGTGTTGTGAACACTTCTGAGAATCATCATGAGCTTGAGGCAAAGGAGAAAAGTTAACAACAAACCGTCCCCAGATGTATGATCCCCGTTCTATTCCAAAATACTCCTCCATCCAAGCTGCCACAGCTAGGTTCTCCACACCATGGTCCCCTCGAACACGGCTTGGGTCACCATGCATCTCACGAGCATCATGGAAGAGTTCCAGCACAGTCAATGCACGGTTGTTGTTATGGGCTCGCAAACCGGTGATGAAGCGGGAGAATCCATCAATGAAGCAATGGATGACAATCTTGTAACGTATAAGACCTGAGAGTGTTCAGAAGATTTGTTGAGAAGGAGAATGAAACAGAGCCGACCATGCTGTCCATCATGATGCCACAAAGAGTTTGGGCCGGGAACAGAATAGCGGCGGCGAGCAATATGTCGGTTTCCAAAGATTGCAGGTGTGCCGTGAACACGGAGGTAGGACATGGTGACACGTTCACGTGGGAGACGATGGCCAGAGGCACGGAGATGTCCATCAATCATACGGCGTCCAGCATTTGGAAAGCTTTCCAAAATGGAGCGGATATGTTGGTCAAGCTCTTCGTCATTCAGAGTGGAGACAGGAGCCGACGTAGATGTGTACTGGGCGACTTGCTCACCGTCGACCTCAACGATGTTGCGAACGGGCGCAGCAGGTAGGGCAATGCCGAGCTCCAGAGCGCGTCGACGAACAGATCTTGCAGAACAATTGAAGACCTCAGCAAGATGGGTAGTGCCACGAAGCTCTAGAGCAGACTCCAAGAATGTTGGGTCAATGTGTACTCGTGGACGTCCTCTTCCTCCGGTATGAACACGCTGAGCAACGACCAATGTCGGTCCATGGGGCGGATCCAAAGAGCGATGGCAGGCAGCATCAAGGTCGTTAGCCATCACCGTGCAATTGGCTTGCAGTGTTGCATATTCAGCGGCAGAAAATGATTGCAGGTGCTGGACAGAGGCATTGAGAACAGCTTTGGTATATGACACATGACGTACCTGCTCTGCAGCTGAGGAGAGACTGAGAACTTGGTCTCGCACCTCGGACAGCTGTTGGACTGCCCCTACCTGTGTGCGAAGTGCAGTGGTGACACGTTGTTCAAGGACGGCATAACTAGCACGAAATTGGTCAACAGGGGTGGTCATGGTAAGACGACTTTGACCGAACTTTGAGCAATGACTTCAAGCCGAACGTTGACAGACAGTGAATCACAGTTTTCCTAGAAAGGCTTATGTTTATGGAATCCTGCTCTGCATAACATAGGCTTAGGCCGTCACCAGTGGTACAGCTTATGCATATGCCTAACTACTCACCATTCCGTGATCCATGAGGATTTGTTGTGAATTTGCATGTTTAGGCAAAGTGGTATTTACTGCTGCATATGATTTGACCGTAGTGATTCATCATGATAAACAGTGATTCATTGTGCACAATGCCGGTACATATGTATATCTGTAAAGAAAATCATACCCATTGCGTGAAAAGCAATGATACCTGAGGATAGTTCAGAATGCTTCGTGAACTCGGGTGATTCAGGGTTCAGAGCGCTTATGCATTGCTTTTTGTCCGATAAGGTCCCTCAAAATCAAAACTCCAGTGACTGCTATTTACCTTTGTTTACTCCCTACCATCCTCATCGCTGTTCACGATGTTTGGCGGCCAGTGCCCTCGCCGGGCTCTTCAAAGCGTGCGGACCGCTTATCGGGGTTCTCACCGCCTCATATCGACCTCCGTCGTTCGTCGTTCGGACCCATGGCCCCTTCCACACACTCCAGCCCATCTCAAAAACACCGAAACGCCGGAAGACTCCCCTCGCATCAGCCCCCTGCCGCGACACAACGAGTCCATCGAAACGCTTCGCGCTAGATTGGTGTACCAGTCCCGAAAGCGAGGCACATTGGAGAGCGACTTGCTTTTGAGCACATTCGCGAGAGATTACCTTCAGAACATGACGGAGAGCGAGTTGAAGGAGTACGACAAGGTCCGCACACGCTACGATTGACTCTTTGGCTTCGAAAGTAAACTTTTGCCTCTTAGTTGTTAGATGAACCGGACTGGGACATTTATTACTGGGCCACGGAGGAACGCACGCCTCCGTCGGCATGGGCCTCATCCTCGTTGCTCGAAAAGCTCAAAAAGCACGCTCGGAATGAAGGAAAGGTTGTACGTAGAATGCCTGCGTTGTCCGAATAAATGCGCATAGTTCCGTTCAGTCGTCCCCTACGAATAAAACCGTGAAATAGCCCTGAATGAAAACGCGGTCAGCGTGAATGAGCAACAAGTAGAGTACGTCAATGTTACAAGTGAGAGCGCCTTGTGGTATTCGTTTGTGAGCGTGTGAACTAGCAACGGGACGACTTGCTGCATTTTTTGAAATACTCCCTTTCAACTCGACCACATCAACCAACTCACTTAACAGCACTTCTCAGCCATTTTCTCGCCAGCCCTCCCATCGCCCTCAGAGTCATCCAACCGATACACCTGGTGGCACTAGAACCGAACTCTGAATACAGAATTCAAATACAGGACGCGCAAGCTCATCTGGAACTAGACAAATTACTCTAGCGACCATGGCACAAACCGCAACATCTTCATCGTCGTACGTCTCGTTCGTGATTCTGTGTTTTTGACGAGTGCTCAAGGTCGTCGGCGACGTCCCCCAGACCCGCCAACGCCAGTGATAACTGGAAAGCCACCCTTCGCCCACCTCCAAGAGACTCTCGGCCTCAAACCGAGGATGTAACAGCTACAAAGGGCACTGAATTCGAGGACATGTTCCTCCGGCGCGAGCTCCTTATGGGCATTTTCGAAGCCGGCTTTGAACGTCCTTCCCCCATCCAAGAAGAAGCCATCCCTATCGCACTCACCCACCGCGATATCCTTGCACGCGCAAAGAACGGGACCGGTAAAACCGCTGCATTCGTCATTCCCTCATTACAACAAGTAGACGTCAGTAAGCCAAAGATTCAGGCGCTTCTGCTAGTTCCAACGCGAGAGCTAGCACTTCAAACGAGTCAGGTGTGTAAGATTTTGGGAAAGCATATGGGCGTGCAGGTCATGGTGACCACCGGTGGCACGACACTCAAAGATGACATCCTTCGGTTGTCCGAGAGTGTGCATGTACTTGTTGGTACACCCGGCCGGATATTGGATTTGGCAGGCAAGAACGTGGCAGATTTGAGCGAATGCCCGGTGTTCGTCATGGACGAGGCCGACAAGCTGCTCTCACCTGAATTCACCCCCGTCATGGAGCAACTGTTATCGTTCTTGCCGAAGGAGAGACAGGTGATGCTGTTCAGCGCGACGTTCCCGATGATCGTGAAAGATTTCAAGGTGCTTTTCTTCGTTGTTTCTTGCCTACCACCGCTGATACCCTTCTTTCTGCGACATAGGACAAATACATGAACAAACCTTACGAAATCAACCTTATGGATGAACTCACCCTCCGTGGCGTAACCCAATACTACGCATATGTCGAAGAACGCCAAAAGGTCCACTGTCTCAACACCCTCTTCTCCAAACTCCAAATCAACCAATCCATCATCTTCTGTAACTCCACCAATCGCGTCGAACTCCTCGCCAAAAAGGTCACCGAGCTCGGATACTCATGCTTCTACTCACATGCAAAGATGCTCCAATCCCACCGCAATCGAGTCTTCCACGACTTCAGAAACGGTGTATGCAGGAACTTGGTCTGCTCGGATCTCCTCACGAGAGGTATCGACATCCAAGCGGTGAACGTTGTCATCAACTTCGACCTGCCGAAGAGTTCCGAGACGTATCTCCATCGTATCGGCCGTTCAGGTCGATTCGGACACTTGGGTCTGGCCATCAACTTGGTGACCTACGAAGACAGGTTCAATCTTTATAAGATTGAGCAAGAGCTAGGTACGGAGATTCAGCCAATACCGCAGGTGATCGACAAGGGCCTGTACGTCGCACCGGGCCTTGGAGCGGAGGAACAGCAGCAGGCGCAACAACAACAAGCGCAGCAGCAAGCGCGGGCGTTGGCCCAGCAGAGGCAGCAGCAAGTCCAGCAGGCCGCTGGAGTTGCGGGTCCCGCTAGACCTCCACAGCAACAGCAGCAACAGCCACAAGGCCAAATCGTGTATCAGAGCAACGGTCAGCCACCGGCAAGACAGAATGGCACGTCAAGAGGAGGCACCCCTAATCCCAATCCGTATCGAGGCACCCCCGTGCCCGCTGCGCAGTCTGCGAGGTCGTAAGCGTTGAGTCGAGGGAAGGGGAGGGGGAGAGGTCAGGGTGGGAGTAACATCACGTTGCACGCCTTTCCGACACGCACTCGTTCCGCTACGAATACTCTGGGGTAAACCATCTTCAATGTCTCTATCGCCGCATTTCCGCAACACATCACGAACAACGCGCACACAATTTCTCTCGTCACTGGTCGTCCGAATTTGCAGATCATCAATACACCGTCCGTCATCCGTGTGCCAGGGTCCGCCTACATTTCTGGCTGTCTATAACTTCCTTTACCTGTATACATCCGCGCAAGTATTTATCAGTGGTCGCCATCGGTTCCTGCTCAAGATGCTCTTCCTTATCCACCACAACACATACCATCGGTCCCCTTCGCAAACCTTGGAGGCACCCGAAACGAAATTCCAATCACAACACCCCCCAACTTTCGGTATCTCTTTCTATCACCATCATCATCGAACTCAAGTGGTCGTCCCACCCCGTGTATTATACTACCTAGGCTACACCTTCTATCCACAACTATTTACGTTATCGACGCGTATTAGCCCGTTCTACGATGCTCACAATCACCTACAACTTATATAAGTAGTCCCCATTCTTATGGCGACGTGGCTTTGATATAGACGACAGTGACTCCGACACACCCTTTTTATTTTCCATACCTTGGTACTCCCACCAGTTGCATTGATGTTCGCGACCATTGACCCGTGTTGTTAGTAGTGTCCACCCCCATCCTCCACCACACCCATACATCCCCCACTTTACCCCAAGTGTATACGAGACGTCGTGCAGAGAATTCAGTTGCTTGCCTTGACCGTAGACCACTCGTGCACGTAATGTGATGGAATAAGACGCATATACAACATCATCCTGGTACGTGCTGTCGCCTCCGTCGTACAACAGTATATGTCTGGGTGCCCAACCTACCTCCCCCGGTCATCTCTTTGTTCTTCTAGTCAATGGTATCAACGGCCTCTTGGATCAACCTGGCTGTGCCCTCCGACCTGCACACGACGTTGCATGGAAATGGTTTGGGATGGCTGAAGTGTACTATTTACGCTGGCGGCTCGAGTGAAACAAGGATTGACAAATACCTGGTGAGACCCGTCTCGAATACCAGACTTGGCGTAATTTCTAAACCGTTCTCGTCCTTCGCTTTGGAGATGTTCAGTGTCGCGAAGATGGTAGCAACGGCGATGAAGACGCTGGCGTTTGCGAGATGTCGGCCAGGACAAATTCTGTAGCACCATGCCATGACGTGAATATGAAAACCTGCTGACGTTCGTCCGCGTACCTTCTACCAAACCCGAAGGCGGGTTCGAACAGGGGCTCTCCTCGTCCGCCGTCTGTCTCAGGCAGGAAACGGGCTGGGTTGAATAAAGATGGATCCTTATACGTGCTTGGGTCGAGAGCCATCGCCCTGACACCGTGACGATGTTGATTGTATCAGGCAAAAATGGGGAGCGTGCAGCGTACCTTGCATTAGCGAATACGAGGGAGCCTTTCGGTATGAGCATACCCCTGTAGTTGTCATCCTCGGTACAGCGATGGGGGATGCCTAAGGATCGGTGCGTCAGACACACACAGACGGAAGTTTGACAATACGAACCTAGCGGTATGACTGGCTTCCATCTATATCCACGCGTTTCAACAACACACCATCCCTGGAAAGGATGAAAGCCACGAACCTGAAAATCTCTTGCACCACGCAGTTGACGTATGGTAACGACTCGATGTCGTCGAATGAAGGGAGCCTGTGCTTGCCAACGACGCGATCTACTTCTTCCTGGCCGCGTTTCTGACACTCTGGGTATAGCAGCATGGCGAGGAAGAACACAGTGAGGCTGGACCAAGTCTATATTCGTAGGGGTTAGACCTTAAGCCGGGTGGACTTGGGGTGTGTGTCAGGATGCTCACCGTTTCAGTACCACCGGCAAAGATGCCACCAGCGACGCCTTTGATGTCTTCCACTTCTTCTTTGGATAGTTCACGCCCAGCAGCAGCTTCGAGTTCTGCAGCGAGGAAAGAGGGTTGGGCAATCCCTTCGGCCTTTTCGGAAGTGTCACATTTCATAATATCAATGCATAATACGGATGAGTTAGCTTACCATCTCTTTCCTCACCGAGTCGAACGGATAATCATATAGTTTATTGATGGCCCACTTCCAACCACGGCCAACGTTGGCGAAATAGGTGCCAGGAAACCACGATGGGAAGTATTGGACTGCAGAGCGTATGTGGTCAGTATCAGTCCTCTGAAAGAACGCATATCATTTGAATACTGGGACCTACGGCTTGGGAAGAGATCAACTAAAGTTCCTCCTGCTCCCCCTTGTCGCAGGGCCACACCACAATCATTGGCTATACTTATGTACTCGTCGTCGTCCGAGCGAATCTGATGGCCATACGCAATTCTGATTGCTATGGATGTGGTAAACCTGCGTCGGAACGACTTTCGCGTCAGAATTATCCCTCACTAGTATAGGCAGATACAAGTGCTACCTTACCTACTAAGGAGGCGATCGTGGTGCCCCTGATTTTTCATCAACCCTTCAACGAGAAGATGAACGTTCTGGAGTTGAACATGCTGGTAGTCAACGCAGGCTTCGGGTATGAAATGGGAGTGAAATATTGCTCGGTGCTTCTTGAAGCGCTCTCCATAGGGTAGGAAGGGAAGATTTGGCGTCCAGCCCATCCTTCCGACATGGCTAAGCACACGACATACCCCCAAGACACGCAACTTACAGGTCGTACACGACAAGATCGGGCCTGTCGCTATAAATAGCACTCTTTTTCTCAAGCGAGTCGATCGCGGCCTCAAGGCTGTTCAAGACGACGACAGAGCGTCCGAAGAACGACAAATGGACGATATCCCCTAATCACCTGTTAGTAACTGTGAGGTACTCGTGCGCGTGATGAACCTCACCGTATGTCTTGGCCCACTCATGGAAAACTAGTTCCGGATTGGCTTTGGGGAACAGCCGAAGATGCCCAATTAGAGGGTCTGCTGGAGGACCGGGGGGAAGCGGCAGGGCCTTTCCAACATGTTTGTTGAGCGCGTACCAGAGTCCACCGGTCAACGACACCAGCAACGATATCTGCAGAACTACGGAATCCATTGTTATGGCCGTGGTAGTTGGATGGTCGTCTGTGAAGTAGGTACGTTCAAAGACGGCCCACGTCTGCCATCTTGATGATAGATACTAGATGGGCCTTTGCCGATGTAACATCACCGCATCAAGTGATCTAAACGCAAACAAGCGCTTTGTTGTGACCTTGGAGGAAACTTTGCGCATAACGACTTGAACTAATAAAGGTGGAATTGAATAAATGCCACGCTGTAGCTCTCAATACATACAAGAAAGTGCCCCAGCCCGGGCTCGATGTGGACCGTCGCGCCACACCGTGATGGATGAATATTGGGTCGACTGCAGATCAGTTGACGGCGCAGATGGTTTCTAAAAAGACGATCGCCGTCGGTCAAAACGGCGAACTTGTCGCAAACCAGCTATGAATATTGAGTAATAGTAACAGAGCTTCACCGACGGTGGTGAGCGCGGTACCTCGCCAAACAGAACCAAAGCGACGCCGCCCCCGCCAGAAAAAGGAATACGGGCTGGCCAACGTGGGGATCGAACCCAAGACCTTCGCGTTATTAGCACGACGCTCTAACCAGCTGAGCTAGTCGGCCGACGAGAAGGCTGCATCGGCAACTCATCATGGACCGCTTCTGCCAGAGCAAATTCAGACTTCGATACTCCCTAGTACGACGTCTATTCTCAGAGGCTCGACTGTCATCCTCTCGATTATAGAGGTTGGTCCACAGCCTAGTACGACGAGCATTTTGGCATAAGTTCACTTTTTGGAAGCTTTGGTGAGTGCCTCTTCACTGCGCATTACTCAATCTTCAATGACTCCCAGGGTGATGACGGCCGGCAATCACTAACAGGAAGTTCAGACATATATTGTCCGAGATTCTTCTCATGGGCGTCCCTGGTGTTTATAAGACGGAAAGTTGGTGAAGAACGGGCGAACTACCAATACGATGTCGTATAATGCGCCTTCGACGTCGTTCAACCCAGTAACCGACCTCCCTAACATGAAAGGGAGAGTAGTGCTTGTTACGGGATCGAGGTGAGCGGACAGCGGTATATCGGAGAACATGAAGACTGATATCTTCCTTACAGCAGTGGCATCGGTTTCGCCACCCTGCAACATCTTTCTCGGATGGGAGCAAAGGTTCGCCACACCATTCATCAGATTCTCAGTTTTGGTGACAGTATCCGACCGCAGGTCTACATGGCGGTTCCTGACGAACAACAGACGAAAGCAGCGCTCGAACGCGTTGATAAAGAGGGCCGCGAGCCAGGGCTCGGCGAAGTGGTATGGCATGAACTCGATCTCAAGGACCCCCGGACAGCAAAGACTTCTGCAGAGCGGTTCTTAGGGAAAGAGACGAGGTTGGACTTGCTAGGCATGTTACCCCTACCTTTTTACTTCCCTCACTCTAATAAATTCGTTTTAGTCAACAACGCTGCTTTGTACGCCGCCCCCGCCGGTATTGCTGCCACATAGCTTATTTCATCCAGAATATCCGATGGAGGGAAGCCGTCACTGAACGCCGACGGAATTCAAGATAATATGGCTATCAAGTCGGTGACTCGATGCATATTTTTTGTATTCTTACTCATCAAATTCTGATGATAGTTACTTGGGACCGTTCGTTTTCACGCACACACTCCTCCCTCTGCTGGAACAAACTGCAGCCGACGGAACTGATGTGCGGATTGTGAATGTCAGTTTCCATCATGATCGTGTATTCGCAACAGTTACTTATCTCACGCACAACCCCAGGTCGGTTCTGCGGGGCACAAGGATGTGACATATCATTCGTTTGACTCGAAGGCCGCGTGGAATCACAGGTTCTCGTTTACCATCTTGCCCACTCTGGCGCGGTACCGTGAGACAGCCATCGTGCCTCATCTATGTTGGCACTGGACTTATCACTGTGTTGCCAGAATACTCTAAACTTGCTGTTCATTTGTGGTCTAATCACCTCGCGCGCCGGTTGACTTCCAATGGTTCCAAAGTCATGCTGTTAATTGCCCATCCGGGCGCTATCCTCAGCGTCAGTTATTTCATCTTTGTTCGATCAACTTGTCTCCATTCCTGCCGTTGACCACAGGACGGAGCTATTCGGAATCTCAAAACCCTCCCGTTTCCATCTTTCTGGATATGGTTGTTGGGAAAGGTGATGCATCCGCAGGAGCGTGGAGCGTTCACAACGGTCTTCGCCGGTTGTGCGCCTCGAAACGATCCGAATGTCGTACATGGAGCTTACATCGTTCCGCCGAATGTCTTGTTTCAACAAGCGAAGGCGGCACTGGACGAGGCCAAGCAAGACGAGTTGTTCAAGTTCACGAAGGAGCTTTTAGACCAGCTTGACATCGGCGTCCAGTTGTGATATACCTTTTTGTGGAACATCTGCCTCGAGGTGCGTTTGATGGACACGTCTTAGCATCTAGTGCTCGAGTCCTGTAATACCCGTACTCATTCCTGTCTTGTTGTGTCCGCTGTTCGACTTCGTGAAACATTGATGTTGACGTTGATTGTGGACTTCGCAGGATGTCGGCTGTGGTAATGAAGGTGGCTTGTGTGCTGGTGCTGATATCACAATGGGCCGTGCTGAGGACGCTTTGTGTTCACACCGCCCCTGGCTTTCGAAACCACTCATACGTTCTGTGGCTGAAAGTTATCACTTTGGAAGTTTCCACATTTCGGATTGTTGTTTTGTGTTCCCCGACCTCGCCGGCCACGACTTGGTTGCCTGCGAGAGGAATCCCAAAGACGTCGTCATTGCGTATCCATCGAATAATTACCACCTTCCTATTCTGAAACATCAATGCATCAATCAAGTCGCATCCCATCGTGCGGATTACCAGTTGGTATCACCTTGAAACATCAGGCGACATGCTCCCATGAGGTATAATATTAGATCGCTACCATCATCACTCTCGGAATAATACAGCCATAGACATGTTTCCACTCCCTTCATAAGACTTCCGAGAACTGGCTCGCTGGAACAACGATACGCTTGCCCATCTTGAAGTGTCCGTTCACCGCAATCGCTGTCGGTATTCCTCCTACTTCTGGGTATGTTTTAGATGTCTAGCTTCTAGTTCGCTGTGATCTGATCTTGTTTATGAAGGCTTTGGCTCCCCGGTACGAATGTCTGGTACTCCTAATACCCCGCCGCAGGCCGGACCCACGATGCTGCCCGCGCAAGGACCTATCCCTGGTGGTGTTATCCCCTTCCCTAAAATGCCCGCAATGGACAATACATTGGGAGCCATGTTCATTGGCGCGAGTTTGGCCATGCTGTGAGCACGCCTCTCTTCCTTCCCTCACAGAACCCCATTGACCAGAAGGAAAGCTTATACGGCATCATATGCCTACAGATATTTATATACATCACCTCGCGCCGTACTCGGCGAGATAGTCGTTGGACCAGGCTGTTCATCGTATTCCTATTGTGCGTCTGATCGGCTGTCGGCTGGCTATATGTGATATCCGCTGACTATGGGCGCGATGATTTTCCTTGGATTCTCCAATGCAGTGTAAGTGTTGATACGACGATCTCTTACCTACCGTTGACCGTCGATGGTAGATGGTAGACACCGTGCATCAGGCTATGACAACAGCGGCGATGTATAAGTTTCTAATTTCGGACTTCGTCAACCCATTGGCCCTGGCTTCCAAAGCTGCTGGTAGTGGCAATGTGTACGTGTGCTCCCTTCTACCTCCTTGCGACGTGACTTAACGCTTGTTTAGCTTCATTTTCGTGGGTACTATTAAGCTTGGGTTGAGTTTGTTCGCTCACATGTGTACTCCCTATAGGCTCAATCAGTCAGCGCGGTAAGACTTTAGACATACATCGTTATGAAATTCTGAACTCTTTCGTAGACCTGCGGGATTTTATTAGCACAATTGTACGCCGACGCCGCAGTGACAGAGGGCGAAATGCTAATCCTAATCGTCTTTCCCAGATTCTTTTCGTGGCGCATTTGGGCGTTCTCAGGGACCTCTTTGAATCCTCCCGCAAGGATGTCCATATCGATTCTGACCGTGAGCGATCTATTTTCTTCTTCATCATCTTCGTACCAATGTCCACGCAGGTCCTGTTGGCTTTGTTTTCTTTTGGTGAGATGCTGCAATCTGGTAGTAGTCTAGAATGCAACCTCACTTTATTGCCTAAACTGTAGGCAGTTCCGTTGGTAAGGAGGAAATCCCTAGCCGTAGGGCGTTTAGTGACTCTGGATTCGTCTATAGATTTGGCGCTGGAAGGTTTCAACCATCAACTCCTAACCTCGACTGGCCCTGGGCTCATTGTGCGTATAAACGTTCGACACCGTATCTAGTTGGGACTGATCCCTTTGCCGGAACAGCTCGCCTACAAACTTTCCGCCTCTAGCAGGGTAGTGTTTGATCTGTTTGTTACTTTCGCTATGAGTTCGTTGGCGTTCGTTGGTTCCTGGTTGCCTTCTGAATACTAATTGAATACTTACAGCGCTCGCTTTGTACCGTTCGAGGTCCGGTGTGAAACGGTTAGTTCAAAACGTCAGCTGTTTAAAATTATGCGCCCGTCTGACTGGCCCAAATACATTTAGCACTGATCATGTCATCACCCTCCTCATCATGTTCACGGTCAACACGAATTTACTCACCACGTACGCATCTCCTCCTCTCGTAAACTATGCATTGGTCGCTTACTTTATTCGTCAAGACTATTCTCGGTATCCGAGCTTGTTACCGTGTGTTCTATCTCTGTTACTCAGAGGCCCGACACTAACAATGTTGCCTCAGTTTCTGGTTATGCCTCAAGCTACGTTGTATGGAGCACTGGGCCTTTTATCTCCTAAATGTGAGTCTGTGAACCCAGCTAGACATGACTCTTCTTTACACCACACTGTACTGGATAGTATATCTCAACACTCTGCTTGCATCGTTCGTCCCTTTTCTTTCTGACATTTGTCTACTTTCTATTCTGACGCTTTCCCTAGGCTAAACTCGCGGGAGTATATGCAGAAAGAACTCACGGGCACAACCACAGGATCAAATGTGATATACCCGGCTCGAGTAACTGTTGGAGGCTCCAGTCTCCAGTCCTCCGTCCACGAGCGGGATAAAGATGAGGAAGTAAGCAACGTCCTCGACTTGATGGGGAAGACTAGCTAATCACAGTTCGCCCCAGAGGACGCGTGATGATTTCATTATTTTTGAAGAAGCAAATAAATCGTGGGGCAAAAACGAACGTGACACCGCATCCCGAAGCGTAGCATGAGGGGCAGCCACTTTGTGTATTTTTCATCGTTTCAAGTCCCGGTCGACTTGTACTACATCTTTCGGCTGAGCTTTAACGCCGCCACGACCATGAAGGGAAATGTATCTTAGATGAATGTGAAGTTGTATGTATTTATCCCATTTTATTGTAAGCAATATTCACTCTTTTCGCCGTGTCGATGATTTATGATCAAATTTCGGGACCTTAAGGTGTGTCGTGCAACCAACTTTGCGCGCGATCGTTCCGACGGACACGTTGACGGTACCTCTCACTCCAATTATCTATGGTGTGATGCCTTGATGGATGATGCATACGCTTCGCGATGTATCTTTCTCAGCCGTCGACTGCTCTGAATCGATTCCCGCTACTCGCACGTACTCTTCGGGGGTGTACGTTCTCACTAGATAGCGACGACGATGCCTTCATATTCAGTCCAGGTAACGACGCGGTAGCACGTTACTTTATATTCTGCGCTAATACAAGATACCCTACGCATAGACGCTCGACGAATGCCATTAGACACTAAAGGTGTGAATTCTGGGCTGGCGTGTTTGGGACTTATCTTCGATTCGGGGCTTGAGAATCACATATTGCGGAGTTGATGTCTCTCGAGATCAACCTCTGCGAAACTTTCGTTCCGTCGACTCTAGATTTGGTCATCTCATCTCATGCACCGTCTGATGCTCCGCGATCGAGTTTGTCAGTTCCACATCGCCTGGTAATAATACGGCACATATTACTCGGTTACTATATTCCCGGTTACGACTCACTCGATGGATCATCAGGACTGCCTTCCACACATCAACGCTGAGGCTTGATCTCAGTTGGTTCGCGTAGATAGAAAGCATTATAAAGTAGCCCGGGCATTGTAGCCCTGGCGTCCCCTTGACAGTGCATCCGTCTCTCATCAATGTCTTCTACGCCCACAATCCTACCGCCGACCGACCCTGCCATAACGTCTATTCCAGGCGCGGCACCAGGCGGCCCAGTACCAGTGCCAGGTATACCTCTGCCTGCATTCGATAACACTTTGGGTGCTTTATTCATTGGAGCAGTCCTGTCCATGATGTACGCATTCATGTTCCACTTACTAGCATGACTAGTGACATCTGTTACTTAGGCTCTATGGGATCGTCTGTCTACAGATGTTCATATACGTAACTTCGGAGCGCACAAAAAAGGACAGCATATGGTCTCGGTTGCTGGTCTTGTTTATCTTGTATGTCCATTTACCCCCTCCATTTCATTGATCCCCGTGAACTGATGTATTCACTATGTAGTGTGAGTGCCGCAAGAGTGCTGGTAGTTTTCTGGGGCCTTAGGGGCCTCCCCTGACAACAATTACAGTTGATAGATACCGTGCATCAGGCTATGACAATCGCGGCAATGTATCGGTTCCTGATTACAGACTTTTTGAACCCATTTGCGCTCGCTTCTGGAGGAGCTGGAAGTGGGGAAGTGTACGTGCGGTTTCTTATTCATCACATCGATATCCCTGAGATGCTCACCTTCTTCAGGTTTACCTACGTATGACCTTTCGGAGTTCCTTGCCTAGCTGCTACTGACACGCGCAACCTTGCCAGGCTCAGTCAATTAGTGCGGTAGGTGCTTTCAAAACCGCTGCGTAACTGTAAATCTTAATTATATTGACCTTCAGAGTTGTGGAGTTTTGTTGACGCAGCTGTAAGTGGTCTACTTAGACGATCACTACTGAGACTCAGACTTACTGGCTACTAGGTTCTTTTCGTGGCGCATCTGGGCATTCTCCGGCGTGTCATTGAACTCTCCAACGAGATTGATCGTTTGTATTCTTACCGTAAGATGATTGATTTCCTGTGCGCACAAGTGTTGTTCAAATCCACGTGAACAGGTTTTATTGGCTCTCTTTTCGTTCGGTGAGGGTGCCGTGCCATTTAATCTCTCTCAGATATAACTAACCTGTTTTCAGGGAGCTCCATTGGTACGAGCAAAGTCGATGGAGCCATGATACATGTGACAAACTCTCTATTGCAGATTTAGCAATCAACGGCTTCAACCATCGTCTATTAACCGTGAATACGCCTGACTTTATTGTGCGTCGTGCCCACTTCGATCTGTCGGCATCCGTGGCTAATCGTCTCTGAACAGCTATCGTACAAACTCTCTGCTTGCAGCAGATTTGTGTTCGACGTATTTATTACCTTGGCCATGAGTAAGGTTATCAATCAACACATTCCTGGACTTCGACGCTAATGAACTCGCTCTAGCTTTGACACTGTATCGTTCAAGGTCCGGCGTCAAAAGGTTGGTGAATCAACTGAAGAAACTTCAATTGTACAGTGCTGACCTGAATGCAAACATAGGTCCGACCATGTCATTAAACTTCTCATCATGTTCACCGTCAACACAAATTTACTCACGACGTACGTACTTCTTTCGTTTCAAGGTTATGTACCTCAACGGCTCGACGGGTATTCTTCTCTTAGTTTACTCTCTATATCTGAACTCGTGACGGTAAGTGCTCGTATACTTGAAGTGTGGGCAATTTTTGACATTTTGTATGGAAGTTCTTGGTCCTGCCCAACGCTACAATCTACGGCGGACTTGGATTCTTATCTCCTAAACGTGAGCTCATGCCTCACCTCATGAACTACCCACTGACAATAAATCGTCTCACTTTGGGTAGTATACTTTAACACATTGCTCGCAGCGTTAGTCTATTGTATTAGGACCTGGCGGTATCCTCACAGAACTGAACCATTAATCATCTAGACTCAACTCACGGGACTACATGCGCAATGAGCTCAACCACGGAGATGCTGTCATTTCCAGCTCGGAGCTGGAGAACTCTGCTGGGAAGCGGCGTATCGGAGTCGACGCTTATAATTCGGCAGCGTTTTCTACCGACAGATTCGGCAAGATGGGTGACGGGGTAAGCTTACAGGTTGATTTGCTTGATGATGTATTGCTGACAATATTTTCCTCAGAGAACCGACGATTCTTTAACATTTACGACCTCTGGTAGATTGAGGCAGGACACGGAGACTCAAGGAACATATGAGATGGCCCTGCAACCCATCACTAATCGTTCTAACTTGGATTAAGATACATGTGGAATAGTTAGTAATGCCTGGAAGCATTTGTGTACTCCCTAGAATCATATGTCCTAGAAATTCTCTGTCGGTGCGTTACCATAATTGCATCAGCCTCGACGAAATACGATGAAGCACCAACTCAGAATGAGTTGAGAATGCCCCTAAAAGTGTAATACTTGAACCCCTGATAGCTTAGCAGGGCATGTAGGGCACGTGACTGACGCGTGGGCGTGAATCTTGAGCTCACCTCTAGTTTCACGCGTCCTTGTCCTTGTTCCACAACATGGGCGACTCGTTTGAACTCCAAGACGAAATCCAGGCTTTACAAGATGTCGAAAACTACAACATACCTAGTGAACACGACCCTCAAAGCGAGGACATCGAGAGGTTACTTGAAGGTCGGTTTCTGTTCGGTTTCTGTTGCAATGCTTCTCCTATATCCCAGTTACCGAATCTCGCCACCTATAGCTGCCGTAGAGGTCCTAGCAGAATCGTCGGACTCGATTACGGATCCCGAGGTATTCGACGTGTATCGAAGCATTTTGAAACACTCAGACTCGGTCCCGGGCCACGTTATGAGCAAGTTATTGGATTCAATACTATCGGGGCTCCAAAGCCATGCAGAGATCACGATACGTGACATAGATCAAGAGGAGCAGCAAGTATACATGGTGCACAAGGGTCCGATGGAGAGGTTCAGCTTTCTTCTGCAATGGTTTGTAACCGCGGCCGAGAAGGTCAAAGTGGAAGAGGGGGACGAGGCTGCGAGCGTGCCTCCGCCTAAAGCTAAGCGTGCACGGGGAGGGAAGGCCGCCACGGGTCGAGGAACGCGTGCCGCGCTAGGGAAGAAGAGCGACTCCTGGACTTGGAGTGACCAAATCCCAAACGTCCTCAATGCTATCGGGAAGATTTTGAAGAAGCTGCAAGTTCCCCGTATATGGACTACCTCTTCTTCCAAGGATAACTTCATAAAGTACGTTGGAAGCTCTGGTTCTAGCATCGTCCTCTAACCTCGCGACGCGATGCAGCTGCCTGACTCGCCCCGCGTATCATATCGCGGAGAATGAGCCGTATATGAAGATCGCTCAAGTTCGCCTCGGCGTATTTCATGTCATTGCCCTCGCCGTCAAGCATCACAGTCATGGCCACGCGGCGCGTATCAACATCATGCAGAATCTCCAATACTACGAGCATCTATCTGAACCGATGGCAGAATGCCTCGGTTTGCTGTCCGGGACATACGACCACAATCAACTTGGCGACGAGATTTTACGTGACATTGCGAGCAAAGTATTCAATGCTCAAGATACCAAGGGCCCTCGAAACTTTTCCAAATTCCTTGTTAAGTACGCAGAGCTTCTACCTAGGAATGTCATGAAGCAAATGGTCCTTCTGGTTACGCAATTAGACTCAGAGGTGCGAGTCACGCGTAGTTTCTTGCTCCCGCTTCTAATCATCCTTAGGCCTACCCAATGCGCGTCGCAATGGTCGAAATCATGGGCTATTTGATCAGGGATCTTGCGCAAGAAGAAGAATCGGCTCAGATTGACAAGCAGTTGAACAATCTTTTCGAGCAGCTCATACAGCGTATGCTCGATATATCTTCTTACGTCCGCACCAAAGTCTTGGCCGTGTTCATCAAAGTCTGCGAGATGAAGGATGCAAAATTCCCGAAGCAGCGCCTCCTGATGACCGACGCCGCTATCAATTCTCTAGATGACAAAGCGAGCACTGTACGGAAGTCGGCCGTGCAATTGCTGACCTCCTTGGTGGAGACGCACCCGTTCGGGAAGATGAATGGAGGGTCCTTGCAGCTGTCGGAGTGGGAAGAACAGTACGAGAAGGTGAAGGCAGAGCTAGCTAAGGTGGAGGATATGATGGGTAATGTAGTCGTCAATGACGGAGAGGAGGCGCAGGACAAAGAGGATGACGACGGCGGGGATACCGAAAAGGAGGATGGTGACAACGAAGACGAAGACGAAGATGGCATTGACCAGGAATCATCTTCTGCAAAAAGGTAAGTCCGCCGCAGCCGTGGTTCGCTCGTCTAATCAGCCCTCAGAGCGAAAGATGATAATGACATGGACGTCGATGAAGACTCCCTTTTCATAGAGGATGATGATGATGGCGAAGCTACCACCCCAAAGAAACCCCGGAAGAAGGCGAAGAAGAAGAAAGGGAAGCTCGCTCCTCGTAAATCCGAGTTAGATGTCACGGCTTTTTCAAACGAGACTGCCGCCCTTGCCGCCCTGGATGGCAGCGACCTTCTGCGCATGCGGCTTCAGAAAAAGTATTTCGTTGAGGCCTTGACGTTTATCCGCCAGCTAGAGGGCGCCATGGATAAAGTTTGCGAACTACTTGGCTCAACAAACAAGTCCGAAGTCCTGGAAGCGATGAACTTCTCTCGTGTAGCCCACGACTACAAGCTTCCCAGCTCGGAGGTTGGTACCAACCGTACGCTGCTATGATCACCTACTGACCTCTGGTTCAGAAAGCTGTCAAGAAAATGCTGCACTTGATTTGGTCCAAGGACAACTCATCGACTTCAGAAGACGGGAAAGAGCTGAAGGGCATTCGAGCTCGCCTATTGGAATGCTATCGCATCATGTACATTGATGATGTCCCAAACATGGACCCGAAGTCACAAATCAACCGTATAGCCAAGAACTTGATAGAGTAAGTTTTGACTGCCTCTATCTAGCATACACACTGATCTCTCTCTCGACAGGCTGACTTACAACGCAACGTTGGCTGAGTTGACTAGTCTGGAAGAGATGATGAAGTCCCTAATGGATGAGCACCACATCGACGAAGCCGTCGCATCCAAACTATGGCAGGTTTATAGTGAGTAATGGCAGACAGCTTATTTCCAGCGAACGCGTATAAATGGTATCTAGGTTCGACTCAGAATCTCCCTAACGCTCAGCGGCGAGGCGCAATCATCGTCTTGGGCATGGTCGCTCTAGCTAAGCGAAGCGTCGTCACCGACCACGTCGATACCATTCTCAAAGTTGGGTTTGGCCGCCTAGGAAAGGTTAGATCTCGTTGACGTTGATCACTATCTCACAAATTTACACTGTTATTTAGCTGGATCTTACGCTTGCTCGTTATTCAAGCGTGGCCTTGCAGAGATTGAACGGAAGCGCGAAGAAAATCAAAGGTTAGATCAATTCTATTTACGCGTGCCCAATCAATTCTAACACGAGTAACCAGGCTCGCTGCTTGACAAGACCCTACGACTGGAAATAGATAACGCTATCTTCAAGAAGCTACAGGGTTTCATTCAAGCCCCTAACCGATCGAAAGAGTGGTTCGGCCTTGCAGAGCAAATCATCAATACGATCTACGCACTCAGCGAGCATCCGGATAAATTGTGCAGTGATATCATAAAAAATCTCACTCGTCAAGCATTCGCACGACAGCCGCAAGGATCAGCTCCTAAAGACGATTCCATGGATACCGACAAGGCAGAGAAAGATGCTGATGCCATGGAGGAAGACCAACCAACTCAAGAAAGTACCCAGGAGACCGGGGACGAACCCCTTGACGAGAGTCAAGAAAACCAGGGATCGAAGGATACAGGAGATGCCTTCGAGCTTGCGAAGTTGCTGTTCGTCGTCGGCCATGTTGCTATGAAACAAATCGTCTACCTTGAACTCGTTGAACGCGAGTGGAAACGCCAGAAAGACGAGAAACTCGCTGGTATGTCTACCCATTTACTAGGCACATCAATGTTTAATGGAATACACCTTTTAGCTGATAAGGCTGCTGGTACCAGCGCTGCTAATAAAGGTGCCAACCACGTAGAAGAGTTGGACCAAGTTGCTGGGAACGCAGAAGACGAGATCGGCGATCGTATTGCCGAGGTTAGGGAGACCGAACTCCTTTACGGACCCGAATCCCTGCTCGCCGTATATGGACCAATGTTGGTCCATATTTGCGGGAGCCCCCAGAAGTTCAAGGTAACAATATAAACTTAACCGTGTTGGCTGGTCTCTTATGTCCATATCCCCCCAGAATCGAACGCTTCGCGCGGCCGCTACTCTCTCCTTGAGTAAATTCCTTTGCGTCAGCTCCCAGTTCTGTGATCAACACCATCGTTTGCTCTTCAAAATTCTGGAGATATCTAAAGACGCTGATATACGCAGCAACATCGTCATTGCTCTTGGGGATGTCGCCGTGTCTTTCAGCAGTATCATCGACGAGAACAGCAACGAACTGTACAAAGGACTATCCGATCAGAACATCGTTGTGAAAAAGAATACGTTGATGGTGTTGACGCATTTGATCTTGAATGGTATGATCAAGGTCAAGGGCCAACTAGGAGAGATGGCCAAATGCTTGGAGGACGACGATTCAAGAATCGCGGATTTGGCCAAATTATTCTTTACAGAGCTTGCTACGAAGGACAATGCCATCTACAACAACTTACCAGACGGTGAGCTAATCCCAGCATCCACAATTATCCATGATGCTAAAAGACGAATAGTGATCAGCCATCTCTCGAGCGGCGAACATGCCGTAGATGAAGAAACATTTCAGAGCACGCTCAAATATATATTTACTTTCATCGAAAAGGTCAGAGGCTCTTATGGGATTGACGTACGACTCTAATATCAGTAACAGGAGAAACAAGCAGAGAGTATCGTGGAGAAACTGTGCCAACGCTTCCGTTTGACGGAAGATCCCCGTCAATGGCGAGACATTGCTTTCTGCTTATCCCTCTTGCCGTTCAAATCTGAACGCTCGGTAAAAAAACTGATTGAAGGACTACCGAATTACCGCGACAAGCTGCACGAAGATGTGGTGTATCAGCGATTCACTGAGATTTTGCAGAAGGTAGTCTACTTAGCGTATCTCAACCTTTATCCTCGCTCAACCCCCCTGTGCAGGCTCGCACCAATAAGTCAACGAACAAGCCGGACACTGAGCTTGACGAATTTGAGAAGGTATTTAAATGCTTTCAATGCTCGTCCCAGCCATCTCACCCGACGGGTTTCAGATCTTGGAAGAACACAAATTACAAGGAGAAGAGGATCAGGCTCTGGAGAAACGCGCTGAGAGCAAGAAAGCAGCTGCAAAGAAGAGGGCGACCAGGAAGAAGTGTAAGTTTCCCCTCGAATAACGCTGCTACTCTAACTGCGAATCTCCAGCGAGTCGCAAGAAGGCTGTGGTGATACAAGAAGACGAAGACGAGGATGAGTAGATGTTTTAATAGCATGCCAGGTCGATGGACATCCTATTATATTTCTTATTTATCTTGTACAGTACAATTTTTGCGATATTGGTAATGTTACAGCTGTATTATTACTTATTACATTCCGAGCGAAAGAGTCATAGCAGCTACTTCGTTCATTTATGACCGTGGGAATAGTTATACTTGATATCTATTATGAGTTGAGTCAAGAGTCACCACACGACCACAGCTCTCCATGAAACCACTACCATGCCACCAGGAACTCCGTTCTCCTCACTGATCCCCCCGTATTCAAACATTCGCGTCGACCTCTTTACCGACCCAACCGCAAATGGCAAACCTCCGGCGCTACACTTGCTCACCCATACCCATTCAGATCATATTGTAGGGTTGTCATCGAAGTCATTCGCACAGCCGATAGTCTGTTCTCCCGACGCTAAAGAGATGTTACTGAGGCATGAGCTGTACAAGGAGCGCGCTTTATTCGATGGGGGAGTTGATGGAAATCTCCCTCGGTCTCAGGCTGAGGAGAATGCATATCAATATCGGGTAGAGCGGGTGCGGACGTTCAAGCACCTGAAGGTTGATCCTGTGAGGACAGCCACGGGACATGTTGACTATACATGGTCAAGGGACTTGCTACAAGCGATCCCGTTGAATACACCAACCGAATTCACTCTCAGTGCAACTGAAACTGTGATTATAACCCTCATAGACGCGAATCATTGCCCTGGTGCTGTCATGTACGTCCCCACAAATGCGACGATATGCCACACCACCTCATATAGTTTAAGGTGTCTCATTGAAGGAACCCGCGGAGCAGTTCTTCACACAGGAGACGTCCGCGCTGAACCAGTGTTCATTGAGGCCCTCAAACTCAATCCACATCTTCGCCCATACTTAACCTCAACAAAAACGTTGGAGGCGATATTTCTAGATACCGCGTGCTTACTTTCCACGGCGGAAGTGCCTTCGAAGGTACGACCGTTCCCACTTATCGATTGCATGCTGTTGAATTCAACTCAATAGAAATATGCAACTGATGGCCTTGTCTCGCTCATGAAGTTATACCCCTATTCGACGCGTTTTTTCGTCAACGCGTGGACATGGGGATATGAGGACATACTCAAGGCTATTGCGTACGAATTTAGGACCCAGGCGCGTTGGCATCTCATTCCTCCTCCGTTTAATCGCTTACCCGCTGTCGTGTAGATCCACGTTGACCGTTATAAACATTCCATTTATAGTCGCTTATCCGACGCGTCTCTCGCATCCATCTTCACTCGCGAACTTGGTGCCACGAGATTTCACGCTTGCGAACGGTTTGATAGGTGTAGCGAAGTCAGCGTTAACGGTGCTAAACACCAAATTGTATACATTAATCCCGTCTCCATGGACAAACATAGTTGGGAGGCTTATCAAGTGGAGACGAGGAGCAGGATTGAAAGTGGTGAGCGCGTGGATTGTCTAGTATGTCCTATCATTTTATCGCCGTCAAAACATACCGACTCGTGTGGTTCGTAGTTAGTCCCCCTCTCCCGGCACTCCCCTCTTCCCGAACTCCAATCGCTCGTTCGTCTCTTCAAACCCAAACAGCTCCATCCGAACACTCTCGAGCCTTCCCTAGGAGGCTTGGACTGGTTGGCCATGCAAGAAATGTTCGAGGATTGTATCTCCGGTAATCCTCTTGACATCGGCGCACGCCAAACCATCTCGAATGGCACTGATATCCCTGGAGTTCTCGATGTTAGTAGACAAAGACGAGATGCAGGCCTCGAGAACCTCATGGGCGATGGCAGCAATGACATCGCTCGACGCTGGGCCGAAGACGGAAATGGAAACCCGAGCGGGAGGATGAAACGGCAACTTAACGTACTGAGACGCTATATTCCACCGAATATACTACGGAAATTCGGAGTTGCCGACGAGCCCGGAAAAGCCCGCGAGTCATTGTATGACAGACACAATACGACCTTGGGGTCGGAGGTAGAGACTATGGTAGCTCGGGCAGATGGCAGCAGTTCTATGTCCAGACTGAAGGAAGGTCGGGAGCAACAGAACGGCAGAGAAGTTATAGTCATCGATGACTCGGATGACGAACATGCCGTTTCGCCCGGTCTTCCACCAGCCCTGCCCCGTACGCCTGAACCCTCTACGCGTTCGCGGTGGAAAGGGAAAGCCAAGGCCTCGTCACCTCTCTTTCCGACAAGCCCCCTCGATGAGGAGACTCAGAGGAGTTTTGATGACGATGATCGTGGAAGGACGGCGCATTTCCTTTTCGCGCCGATATCTGGCATAGCAAGTCCGGAAGCGAGAAAGCTGGGTAACGGGCTGGGTTTGGACTTGAATGTAGGACATCACAGCGATTCTCAGATATCACTATCAGAGGATCAAGTTGAGGCTACAGCTGAACTCCAAGGAAGAAACGAAGGCGTTCAAGTTACACCACCTCGACGTTGTCCTCCTAGCCCAATTGTGGGTCAAGAACAGCTACTCACACCTCAAACCTCCCCTTTGCATCGGGGACGAATACATAATCCGGGTATAGGAAAAGACGTACAATGCAATGTGCGTTCGAAGCAGTTGGCCGGACCGCCTCCGCCACCCTTGTTTGAGCTTATTCGAGGTGATGCCAACCCATTGCCTCATTCACAGCCTGCGGATTCAATGACTTCGCAAGACTTGTCACCGTTGACGTTGTTGAAAACCATCCCTTTTCCTCTACTAGACATTAACAATGTCTATATCCCCGCCACGCCGAAGAAGCAGCCGGCTGCTAGCACGTCTCAGCATAGTGGTCAATCTTCGCCCCTACTTTTGATCTCTCATCCTCCTAAGCGTACGCTCCCGGACACTCGCGAAGAAGATGACCTCAGACAGGCTGAGGAGCGGGAACGAAAGAAACGCAAACTCGAAATGAAAGAAGAACGATATGCTATTGCTGATCGCCTTGCTCGAGCGTGTTCATCATTGTCTACGCCAGAGTTTCGCGCGAAGCAAGCACGAAGAGAAAAACGGAAGATCAAGAAGATGGTTCAAGAGGAATACAAAGATGGCTGGGAACGGTTTTATGAAAATATGTCGGTGTATGATGAAGGGGAGCTCGAACATAAAGATGGGTATGGGACGAGCGTTCTCAACAACGAGCGGACGAAGGAATTCATAAGGAGTATTCGTGATAGTGTTGTCACAGGACAACGTATCCGATTGCCTCGGACCAGCTTTGCATAATGCAGACAGACGGACAAACCACTCAATCGTATTGGCACGACCGTAAATTATTTCTTAACTTATATGCCCAGTTTTCGATGTACTTTTGAAATTTTCATCATTAGACGTAGGAAAGAGTAGATATCCCGTCTTCGGCGCCACATTCAATGACTTTGGACAATCAATCGATCAAATCGATCATGCATCATGTCTCAACCAGACGTTAAACCGCTGAACCAGGAGGGAAATCTTCGAAGGCGAAGGCGAGCTTCGAGCGTCCCGTTTAGGCAGGTCCCGGTCCATTTTGGGACGCGTCACGCGTAGACGGCTTTCGAAGCGGATCGTCGAAACTTGAGACAATGACATCGTGTCGTGACAGGTCACATTATATATAGGCCTGTCTCCGTCTGAACACCAATTCTCCTCTTTCTTCCAATCCACCATCTCCAATAACGCCACCCGCAGAACCCTCCGCCACCATGGTACACACTAGCTTCTCAGGCATTCCTCGGGCGGGCAACTCGAATATGGCGGGACACTCGTCTGGCGGTGCAAAGGTTCGTGGTCAGTCCTTGGCGGGCCCGAAGCCAGGCAGCTAACCCAGCGGCAGGGCATTATCTTGGGAATGTCCGGCGTGATCGTAGGGCTGGGAGCTTTCTATGCCCATTTGCATCGCAAGCATGAAAAGAAGACTCGTTCTGGGACGAATCCTTATTGTGAGTTCGCATGATGTAGATGGTCTGGGTAATGCTGATACGGCATCAAATGCACAACGGCAGATGAGCAAAGAATCGCGTTCCCGGATCCGCCGCTCTCCGTCGCTCGGTTAGAGTCTATCATCGAAAGTCAGCCACCTGTCGCGCCTCGAAAGGTGCATGACGCCAAGCACTTGACTCTCGCAAACTTCGTCGATACTGAAGCGCGATATATGCAGCCCACCCCTCAACGTTCCAGCGCCGATGATCCAAACCGCGCATACACAAAGCGACCTTGAGATGTAACAAGAAGAAAACACCTGTATTTACTCTACGAATGAAATCCAAACCTGCTATGATACAATAATTACCAATAATTTACATGCTGTTGAGTATTCCGCCAGATACGACTTGCCCGAGTTAGATTGCTTGTGGTCCGTGTTCTAGAAGTTCTAAAGGTGGAATTTTAGTCCCGCTCGATGTTAACACACGAAGCTCGTTTGTATGCTCAGAGTTATCGCCCTACGCTAGAACATTAGCAAAAGACCCTAGTCACGCATGAACGACGACGCATACCGTGCCGAAAACGGATGTGTCCTTCGCGCCGCTATCATCATCCCGCTGGAAAGCTAACGAACGTTCTATCCCTTTATGTGAAATGCATGGATATCTATGAACAGAAATGAACCAATAAGAATGACGCTTACGAATGGATGAGAGGTTCAACGTCGGAGTAGGGTCAGAGCACCCAGTCGTTGAGCCCGAATGCTTTCGCAGGCGCGTAGAGAGGTTTACCAGAATTGTGATACTGTATAGCCGACCCAAAATTGCGGAGAAGATATTAAATGCTAGATAAATGATATCAGATCATACTACTCCCCAATTAGCCATTGGGTCCAACATACCTGGGGCCTTGACCAGAAAGAGGACCATTAATAGAAGGGTCGTCACCGCGACGATAGCGCCTGAGGCTATTGCATTGGCTATTAGACGTCGGATGAGACTGTTCGTACCATACAACAAAGTGAGAAAATATTGGAGAGCGGGGGCTTGGGACGGACGAGCCTTTGGGTTGGGCGGAACGAGGCGTCAACGGTGCGGAGCTGCCAAACGAGGGCAATGGCTATTAGGATATCCGCTGCCCCGCTCACACATTTCGCTACTCTGTTGCAAGGCGGAAGGGATGGTTAGTAGCGTAGAATAAGGATGAAAATAATACGGCTCACGTAGTGGCTGTAACAGCAAACCCAGGCGCGATGATAGGGTTCAGAAAAATAAGGATGCCGGACGTCAGTGCGAAACCCGTCTAAACAGCAATTTCAAGTGTGAGATCGAGATTCGTCCGGTAGAATGAACCAAATGGGATGCGATGCAGCATAGCGCGGGGGGACGTACGTGAGTGCAGACCAGAAGCGCAAGGAAGCCCGCCATGAAGACATCGCGGAGCTTGTGAAACCTCCTTGACGCGGACTCCCGCATCTGCCTCTGCATTTCGCTGCCCGCATGCCGCAGTTTCCAGAAGCGGAAGATGAGGAAAGACTGTTCGAGGGATGCGGAACATGCGGTCGCTATTACTAGGGTGGGAAGGGGCCATCGGTGGAATGTGGGTGGCAAGCCTAAGAGAGAGGGATTAAGATGTGTTGGAGAACGGTTTTAGGAGTGAGCGTGGTGGACGAACCGGTACGGGGGGTGCCGACGAGGAACTGTGTAGGAGAAAGGAGAATTAGAGAGGGAGAAATACCGGACGGATGCACTCACTATCCAAGCGTTCCCACAAACCGCCACCGTTGAGATCGTGTCGACTACCAGAGCAAAACGTACGATGCCGCGGTTCATCCGCGAGTCGTTCGGAAATTTGCACATATAGCGATAGGCGAGGTTGATTTCCGTTGCGTAGAGCGCCAAGTTGAGCCATGACGATATTAGGAGAATTCTGGGAAACAACACCGTGAGTCCAAGAAAAGGGGAAGGCGAGGTGGCGGACTTACTGTAGACCATAGTTCGGCGATGGCATTAGGAGCAGGCAGACTTGAGGAGGCGAGGATGCTACTATGTCTTCTACTTCATGAACGTTTACTGCAGGCCGTGTTAAGGGGGAAGTGGAAAGAGGATCGAGACCTCGAACCAACTGTATGTAAATACCTTTTTGGATAATGTTATTACTCTAAATATATGGACTTTTAACCGGTGTCAGTAGACGGAACCCGAACTAGCCATACGGACTACTTTCGATCAGTGATCAATAGATATTACTGATCACTGATAAATGCGGGACCTACACCCACAAGTGGTGGCCGCCGTCTACGGTAAATAAAGTTGGGTGAAACCGTGTAATGCGTCTGAATCTTGTGCACAGGCTAGGTACAGGCTCCACGCTATCCCCAATTGAATGCCTAACGCAATGGCTTCCTCGATACAGTTGCGGGGGGTTGAGGATTAGGCGTACGACGAATGATGTTTACTCGGTGGAGGAGGATACGAGTGGATGGACCGCACTCAGTGACCTTCTACGAGACCTATTTGTGAGGTTGAACGTTGAACACCGAACAGTTCGTAGTCAGGGTTTGAACTGTGGCGCTGAACTAGCAGATTAAAAAGCGTGAGGAACCGCTCAGGAACGCTACATCCAGAGAGTATTCACTGCTGGGTGGGAAGAGAGGCAGCAAATGCGATATCGTGCGCCATCGGTGCAATTTTGCCTCCGTTCCAGGGTCTAGAGCGTTGAGGGAGATTTGAACTAACGATGACATAGAAAATCCAACAATTACTTCGCGGTGATTGAAAGTGGCTCACCTATGGCTCTTCGGCGTCTTATAGAGTGTGCACCATCGTGTGCCTCATCATGCCCGTAGACCTGCAGGAGTGTAGACAAAGCGAACGCGCAAAGTACACACCCCAACGGGGACCGTATTGCTGGCTTCTGTCTGAATATCGTCTTCTGGCTTGACCATTCCCGCGACGCTGCGCACTTCTGGTCAACGGTCTCCAGACTACTGGGCGCCAAAGGTGGCGCCACTGTTCTTCTAGCAATTGATTCACTCTCGTCCACCAAACGTAGTACACAGGTAGTGAATATAATCGCGGCTATGACACTCATAATCGCGAAATGAGGTCTAACAAAATCAGAAAGGGGATCCTGAAACTGATAACAGAACGTACTTGGTTGCTACAAGGACGGCTCTCATGGTCACGTAGGTCCCTAATTCCACTGTAGAATTCGCAACAACTAGCGCCAGCACTAGTAACGGCCATATCGATAGGTTTCGAAAGATTCCTCGTTGGGCTGGGGCATGGAGAAGCATGGACGACCATGGTTTTCAACTATCTGCGACTCAGTACTCAGGCCTCAATTGTCGCGCGAATCCCTAAGCCCGCTGCGGAATTCCCAAAAGCCAGCGCCAATGACCGCTACGGCAGTAGCGAGATGCACTGAGCCCATGCTAGTAGCTTTCGAGAAATCTCCCATCGGGTCGGGGACCTCTTCAGTGGGATCTGGAACGAGTCGCGCGTGGAGAAGCATAGACGAAGATAATTAGGAGAGAAGTAGTGCGAGTTTAAGGTGAGGGAGAATATTGCGTTCCAGCATGCAGAAGTCTCTGGCCGTGCTTCCATTGCTCTCAACCAACCGCGACTCTGCGTCCATCGCTGTCAGAGTGAGGGTAGCTGGCAATGGAGAGAAGTACGTGCTTTCCCACGTGACCGCACATTCCCTGAAAAGTGGTGACAGGTAACTATCTTTAAGGAGCGGTAACGTCTGGTAACATACCAAGGTATCAAAGGGTCCTACGAAATGATGATATTGCAATAATTACGGCCAGAATAAAATTGAGTGCAACCTAGATACTTTGAGAGTGAATCGTGCTTTCTCTTCGGCGTCCATCATCTCATAGGCAAATTTGCCATGAGTCTCGATCTTACTCTATGACAACTCTATGAACTTCTCCCTTAGGATAGACCACGCCTCGTCGGTCGGTTGAAAAGTACGGTAAGCCAAGCCAAAGACAGACACCCACCAATCATCCCCGCGTTTTCCTAAGAACGAGTCGACGACCTGCGCCTTTGACAGTTTGTCGCGGCGATCCCCTTGGGCGTTGCTGTAGCGCAGCCAGAAATCCGTAGAAGGGGTAATCCAATGATCCTCCCACATCGCATGATTCGAAAGATGATAAAGAAGCGTCTTCGCGTATTGCAAGGCTGCCCATAGGTGTCCGTCATGGGCGTGCCGAAGATTTACGGTCCTCGAGGTCAGCATGAGGCGTAGTGTCTCCTCAGAGAGTATTTCTTTGCTACGGAGGTCAATGTTCAATACGTCCAACGGTTTCTGATTGCCCTCCTCGGTTTCCTGAAAATGGGGGGGTCAGTTCTCGAAAGTTTATCATGATTTGGGCGAAGCATTACCATGCATCCCACAATAGTTGAGATGGCTTCTCCGGTGTAGACGGCTAGAGCAAGAGACATCGCCACCTCCATCCAGAAGTTGGTGGATAGGTCGGCGCGCGCGTTGAGAGTTTTGACAATGCTTGGATCAGCTGCCGAGCAATAGAAAGGGAGATAGATGATGGCATGCGTAATGTTCGAATGGACTAAGTCGTCGACTGCACAGGAAGAATCGCCCAAGGTGCGGAAACAGTGGAAGACTATGATCGCGTTTCCTCGAGACCGAGGGATAGAGAGGTCCCCACTGCGCGTGGGGTCAGTGACATAATCCACGAACGATTTGTGAAACTGCGGTGTGTCGTCCGTGAGCGTGATTATGGCCTGGAGTTTGTCGAAGATGTTCCGTAGCATAGCGGCGTCCAACCCGAGGAATACAGCAAGGTGTGTAATGGGAAACTGCTTTCTCAGGAAGATGATAGTTCCGACAACGGTCTGAAATAGCAATAGCTCGCCGGGATCGCACAGCGAAAGGGATAGATGAAGCACGGTGCTATACATATTGTCGACAGCTTCAAGTTTGTTTGAGCTCGTGGGGCCTGCAATCGTTCCTTGTATCATCAGGTCCTGGATGCGTTCTGACGGCGGTATGGCCCTTCGTGGATCCAAGATAAACCGGACTGCTGTTGCGGCGACGATAAAAAGCCCAGACGTCATACGCTCGAGCGAGGAAATCTCCGACTCGCTCGCGGTCCATTTCCGGGACGCGGGGTCGGGGGCCTCGATTAACTTGTACTTTAGATAACGGCTAATATCAGGATCCGATACCTGGACAGATGTATTGTTGACATAGAGCAGAGGGTTGTTCGCAATGAGGGTGGACAGATGCTGGTGTGGTCTGGAAGTGAAGAAGATGCGAATGAATGTCAACCTCTCGACGAGGGTCACCAGCCCGTCCCAGATGTCACGACGCCAATTCTCCCCTTCTGAGGACTCAAAGTCCTCGCATTCATCCAGCGCGTCGACAACTATCAGAATGGTATGTGATATGGTGTTGAAGGATTCGAGAGGCTCAATAATGAGTTTCTCAAGTTGGGCAGCTGGCGACTTTTCCACTGCATCCAGTGCCTTTAGCGACTGCTGCGCACGCCCAATCGCCGCAGCAAATGCTTCATCGAAGACACTCAGCTGGTACGCGACAGTGGAAAAGAAGAGACTGTTACTCTTCAATTGAGCGGCGTCCCTTGAAAAGAAGAACGAGGCGCCAAGAATATGAAAAGCGTCCGTACGCTCTGCGACCGTCCGCGCTACTGTCGACTTTCCGAAGCCAGCGTGGCCAGTAAGTAGGTAAATAGGTCTCTCATTTGAGGTGACTGCCCAGCGACCGATTTCCTTGAGGATGTCTATTCTAGTACCAGGGAGACACATCGTCCTCTTTCGGTTGATCGCATTGTTGCTATCGTAGGCTGCGCCGACATGGGGGAGTGATTTGATGTTGTTGGCCTTCATAATCACTAGTAAAGAAGATAAATATAAAAAAACGGGTTCGGCAACACACCAGCGCTCTGTTCTCGATCATCCTTGTAAGCGTAAGATGGCCGGCAAGCGTAACCTCCGCCTGATGACATGCGGCGTCGGCGCGCACGCAAAGCAATCATAGACATTGTGGGCTCACCACAAACACGACGAGCAGTCGCCCTACCTCCTCAAGTGTTTCACGTATCCCAGTAGCGTATTCATTGCTGTTGAGGAACTTGATGAGAAAGTGCCTCTTTTGATCTTCCTCGCAGGGCGCAACAACAACTTCTAGACGACTAGTCAACTTGGAGTCAACGAGTGAGCAACACAATAAGGACATGAGTTACTACGTACCTGCCTAAGTGCTCGAGTGCAGCTTTCAGCTGCTCTGATAGTTCTGGACCTTTCTTTCCCTTCAATGCATTCGCAATCACCCCAGAGATATGGTCACATTGCCTTTTCAAAGAATTCAGGGCATCGATATTCGACTGCGTCTCCTGCGATCGTGCCAGTGTTCAATCGACTGCCATCTAACTGCCAACTCCCGGGGTCTTCACATACCTCATATTTGTCAACAGCTTTGATGACTAGTTGACATGCAGATGCGCCTGGTAAGTTCATGTCCCTCAGAATACCACCCAGCGCGGCAAGACAAGTCTTCACCAAGGGGGCGGCTACGGATGATTTCGTCGATTCGGTCGCGGTTGCATGGGGGTTCCGAAACACATCACGTCTTTGCGCAGCAATAACTCCCATCGTCGACGATCCAGAAGGTAATTGAGAAGATTGTGTGATGACATCGCCTGTGTTATCGTCTTGGCTGGGTGGCGGAGGAGATCCTACTCCTTTGCTCGCGTTTGGCTGCATCATGTGAGCTAACTTTTGCTTCGCGTTCACTTCGTTGTTAAGTACTCACTTTTGTGGTGAAAACGGATTGTAAACGAGTTTTGAACGTGCTGGAGTAGTTGCGTCGCGTAGATCGGACAGGCATGGTACTGGGGTGCGCACTGCTCAAGCTGAAGCCCGAATGGGGGATTCTGTCTGACTAGGAAGCCTTAGCACTCGAACTTGGCTGACTTTGTTCGAAGCTGTTCGCGGTGGTTTTTCACTGTAGAAGCGTAGAAGCAGTGCGGTCGGGTAAGTCGCATTGCGCCCATGTCTGGATGGTCCGAATCACTGATCCAGTGATCATGAAGCAAGTCCCATCGACCACGTGCCCCATTCCTTCCAGGTTCAAGCACAGTTGTACAATTTACACTAAATGATACTGAACATTCGAACGTCTTCCGGTTTCGCCTGTGAGGCGAAGCTACCGTCCATAATCCCATGGACGTAGCAGTCTCCTACGAGTTCCCAAACCCTTTCCCCATCACCACTCACGCCCTTCGGCCTCAGCACGAAAGGTGTCTGACCACCTCGAATGATACATATCACATCCCCCGGCTTCACTTGTGCAGGAGCCAAAGTCATCATACCATGCTTCGTCATGACGAACGCACGATCTGCTATAGTCGATACAGCGGTGGATATAAACCTCGCATGCATGAAGTACTTCTCCATGAGGCGCGCTTTGGCTAGTCGACTATTGACCTGAAGTTCCGCAGCGGTGGCGTTGGGGTGCACGATGAAGCGATACGCCTCGCCCATTGAGGCAGGAGGCTTTCCCAAGGTGCTTCCAGAGTTGAAACGGTCCATGATCAAAGTCCGCCAGAATGCGTCTTCGGGTTGACGAAAGGCAACGAGTGGGTAATTATCGGACGCTTGTGGTTGAACCCGGGAAAAAGACGACGTAATTCCCTCCCATCGCTGGAAGAGGTGCTTGAGCCTTATCCCGTTCAAAAAGCCCTGTGTTTCGGAGAGGTTCCTTTCCATCCATACCGGGTCCTCTTTGGAGAACAAGCCCAAATCCGGCGCCGGGTCTGACAGGACTATTTCGTCAAATATCAGTCCATCGAGATGTATGGTATTGAGGTCAGACGAGAATGATGGGACAGGACCATGCTTCTCTAATCGGTTGCCAAATTTAAAGTAGCTAAGTAGGCCAAGGTTGCCATACCACGCCATGTGCCAGAGCGACGTGAAGCTGTAGATGAGAGGCCGACCCTGTTTGAAGAGGAACAGCTGAACAGGGAGGAAGTAGAGTGTTTGTTTTCCTAACCAAGACACAATATCGAGGGCATTATTCGGCTGTTGTGATCTAAAATTATAGAAAATGCTATGAGATTGGTACAGCAAGGGGGATTAATTTCTCACTCTTACACTTTATGCGTCTTGTCCGGGGTCAGGCGCGCCCACGTAGCAAACCCTCCATCGGCGCTGAAGCCATACTGAGTCATATTCGGTCCCATCATCCTCGGCTCAGAAAGATCAATCACCCAGGAAGGCAAGCCGCAAAGCGTCCTAGTATTGCTCTGCGCGTAGTTGAGCACGCTCAACCCCGTATCCCGCCGCATAACTTGGGCAGCAACCTCCTTGAAGATCTCTACGTCCTCCTTCTCGGTCGTGTAGTCCGGTACGATAGCATCTTTGTCTTCGTCGCCTATAAGACCCAACAGTGCATAGACTTTATCGCGAGGGAGACTAGATTCGAACGCCTGTGTCATATATAGCCAGTTCCCGATTCCCATATGGCCGACGCTAGCCTTTTTAGCATCGTCCATTGCCTGGAGACCCGTTACGACCGTGCCGACGAAGGGAACGTAAGAGAGGGCGGACTGCACAGTCGACGGATCCCGCCTAGATTCCTGATCAAGGGCCCAAGCCCCCAACAGCGTGTAAAACGGATTGGCGGGGGGGACAAAGTACCACCGCGGGAAGTCATACCCCCGCAGCTGGCCAGAGCGCGCCCTGACACGCAGCCGCTGCTCCTTCTGCATCAGCTCCCGGAACCGGTCCATCTCTACCTCCTTCTCGCCGCACCGCACCACGACGTTCTTAGACATGAACAGTTCCTGGACGATCCACATGCGCCCCCACCACGAGCGCGCGAACAGCGCCTGCATCGCGCGCCACGGCGGGTTGATGTCGCTTAATTGTAGTTTGGGATCGTCGACGTCCAGCTTGTGCGAATGGCGCACGAAATCCATGGCGGCGTTGCTGTCGTCCTCTGAGGGCCCAAGCCAAACGCACGTCGTATGCGCCTGCGAATAAATGTCCTTCATCCTCGCCACTTGGTCGGCTTTCTCGATGGGATCCAGCTGGTTGATACACAGGGCATCGACCCATAGCACCTTTTCCTCCTCTTCGTGCCTCAGGCTTTGCAGAGCACTGCCTAGGTTGTACTTAGCATGAAAGGGCAAGCCATTCACGTTGACGAGGGTGTCTCTCCGAAAGAGCGTCCACCACAGCCCGCGAAGATACTGAAATATACCGCGAAATGACCACAAGGACGTGCTTCGCCGGATTGGCTCACCCCATGTGTACGACAGCGCCGTGAAGCGTGGATTATCATCCAGCGACGAAACACGGAGCGTGCATTGGATGCTGGACGATCGTCGTCCTGGGTGAAGCGAGAGAAGACGGATCTGGTTGCGAGTCTTGTCGAGCGGGACTTGGGAGTATAAAGCCTTCGACGCTTCGGACGGCGCTTTCGTAAATGTATGCGATTTGTAAGTTGGATAAAGGGTCGCAGTTGCACCCGTCGCGACTGCAACCAGCGATAACAGCGCACGGCTCGACATTGCCCACAGCGCAGCCTCACCGCAGGCGACTACTCGAGCACTTACTAAAAGTCCCGAAATGCCTTGGGGTGTAGCGCGACTCTGGATCTACCATAATTCATTCAATAAATACTTGTGCAGTGCAGGGTTATACAAAACAATCTAAGGGAATGGAAGGGGGTTGCGCTTGATGGAAACAAAAACATTCAAAACATTGCGACGAGGTGATGATGAGATAATAAAAAATAGAAAACTTAAACCAGGGAGAATTGAAAACCAGAAACTAGATAGAGATCATATGCGCGCCGCGATCGAGCGCTTCTTGCCACGTTCCTTCTCCGCCTCTCTTGCCTTAGTTCTCTGCTGCCTAAGATTCAGCATCATCTCCTTCGCGACAGGAGATAATTCTGAGGAGGACGCGGGGGACGGCGCCATGCCTGGAGGGGGCCTGAACATGCTCGGCGTCACAGCGGTCCTAAACAGCGACGACCTCCCGGTGGAATGTGTGCGCATCGGTGTGAATGGCAGCGGCGCGACGGCCGTCAACGCGTCATTCCCCAGCGACGCGTTCTCCTTCTCAAACTGCGACGTTATCACCTGACTAAGCAGGTCCCTACTTCCCTCGCTCCGCGACGGCCTCACCGGCCGCTTGTCAGCTACGGGCTTCATATTCTCCACGTCTTTCTGCTCGAAGGAGACATCGACGACAGAGATTTGTGAGGACGTTCGGCTGCCTACGCGTTTGTGGCGCGAGGGTATCGCAGTGTAACTGTCGCGAGAGATAGTCTTGGCCGGTTGATTGATGATGGAGCTGGAAGTCGAGTTCGATCGTTCTGCGAGACGTGGCCTGGGAGGGGGACGAGAATGGCTTGTCCTGCGCCTGCCACTGGGTGCCCTGGGCCCTCTGGGTATGCGCACGCCAGAACCGGTCAAAGGGTTTTCGCATGGAGTCGGCGCGGTGACGATCACTTTCGTGGGCCCATTCATGATGACCTTGACTTTATTGAAAGGCGTTGCTTTCACACTCAGTCGATTATCGTCGCCACGAGCTTCTTGGTTTTCATTCTCGTTTATAATTGGGATTTGGGACGCAGGGATAGATGCAGAGGAGCGTTTGGATGGTGTGCGGGGTATAAATGCTGATTGTAAAGTGGACGTGGAGATATGAATGAATGAACGGGTATCCGTGTGCAAGGGTATATTATGTGAGTCTGTGGAGGGTGCAATGGATTCCGCGTCGAAGGACGTATCCTCAGAAAAGTGTGACTTGCCCATATCTGGATTGCAGCCTTCATCAGAGGGCGAACTGAAGGCGCTCGGGGGTTCGGGTAGTGATCGTTCGTCCGCATCGTCATGTCGTTTGTTCGTCAAGAAGCGGAAGATCTGCGACGCGCGCTGCGGTGTCGTAGGATCAGGTGCCTGGTACGGCGATTTACTTATTGTTCGAGAATGCTCGTCCTGGAACGAGTTGTCTGCGGCGCTGCTCAGCTCTACTTCCAAGGAAGAAATGCCGGGGCCGTCGAACGAGGTGATAGAAAGATCGTGATCGGTAGCGAATGACTGTTCGTGTGTGTGAGCGTTTGTGAAATGAGAGTCGAGGTCGTCGGGCGTGCGTAAACCGTACGAAGATGCCGCTGAGGATATGCTTTCCGTTTCCCTACTTGGCTGTCAGTAAAGGCGTCCTTACATTCGGCGTCAAACATACCCTAGGAAACGTTCCGCCCATGATATGTCCCCCTCGACAGTGCTAAATTCCGTGTTCCTGTTGGCGGAGGTAGGCGGTGGGTTGCCGAGGAGCTGCCTCAGCGTCGACCCACTGCGCTTCGTCTGCTGCCGTCCACCGGGGGGCGAGTTGGAAAACGCTTCGTCCGGCAACCTGCCGTGATCGTCATATAGATCGATCAGGCTCGCGACAGACGGGTCCCTCCTAAGTCCGAGAAGATGCGCGTCAGTGTCTATCGGTGTCGGTGTCGCCGGCGGGGAAGGTGTGTCGTCGAACCCGCGGTTGGCGTCGGGGAACTCCGTGGCGGCATGCTGCTTTCGTCGGTGGATCGTCACCGTGTAGGTCCCGCGCTGACTGAGAGTCGAGCTGGCTATGCTGGCGGTAGAGGCGCCGGGAGTTTGGAGTACTTCGTTGATAGGGTGCGCTGCAATGAACGTTAAAAGTATTCAAGACGGTTCAAGTGTCACTCACGCAGAGGATCCAGTGACGAACGGTTACGCTCCGATGATAGGGCATAGCGTGACGACGAGGAGCGTAGCAAGCGGTTGACGGCGTCCTCCTGGTCTTCTTCAATGACCTCGAGATGGCGAGAAGGTGTCCTTGAAGATGGTAACGGCGTTGGGTTGCTGATTGTGGGTTTGCTTTTCTTGTTCTTCTTGCTCCCGACTGAAAAAAGGCGCTTGAGGAAACCCATGTCGCTTCGTTATTCGTGAAACGTGTCGTCGTCGTCGTCGCCGTCGTGGTTGAACGTTTGAACCGAGCTATGCAAGTGCAATCTGAACATGTTCCAAATATGGCCAAATAAACGCGTGATCACGTGCTGCATAGGACTTACTTCGGGATCCTCCATTTGAAGTCCCACCGAGTCGAGGTCTACTCAAGGCCTCCCGCCAAGAAGACGATGGACGCAGAGTCGCGGTTAGTCGAAAACAATGGAAGCACGGCCAGAGACTTCTGTATGCTGGAACGCAATATTCTCTCTCACCTCAAACTCGCACTACTTCTCTCCTTGTTATCTTCGTCTATGCTTCTCCACGCGCGACTCGTCCCAGATCCCACCGAAGAGGCCCCCGACCCGATGGGAGATTCCTCGAAAGCTATCGGTATAGGCTCAGTACACCTAGCTGCTGCCATAGCGGTCATTGGGGCTGGATGTTGGGAATTCCACAGTGGAATTAGGGATCTACGTGACATGAGAGCTTTCCTTGTAGCAACCAAGTATGTCCTCCATCGGCTTTGCGATTCCTTTCTGAGGAAAAATTCTCAGACCTCATCTCGCTGTTATGAGTGTGATAGCTACTATCGTATTCACTACGTGCGTGATACTTTTGGTGGACGAGAACGAATAGGTTGCTGCCGGAAAATCTCATATCCCAAAGAAGAAGATTGTACACGTCGGCCAAAAAAATCCCGCCTTCGTATGCAATCCAACAGACAAGTGCCTTTCTCATCGACGAATCCTTTTTACACTCTCTCAGCGTCGGAGCGCCACACCTTCTTTCCTAGCAAGGCATCTAGAGAGAGAAGAGTCTCTACCTAGGGCGACAAAAGACGACCACAACCTCTAATGACGCTTACGACACTCCCTGTCCCCAGTCCACCATCCTCCAATGACTACTATCGCCCTCTTCGGTACCAATCATCGTTTATGTTGTACTTCACTCCTTCGGAAGCACTATCCATTACCATTTTTCGCTGAAATTGGTCATAGGGCGCTAGCACCGATGGAGCCAAAGTCTGCTATGTTCATGGGAGTATGGATGCCAGATGGTAGCTTCGCCTTGCACGCGATATCCGAAGATATCCGAACGTTCAGTATTGTTTACCTGTGGCATTTCACTGTACTTTTAGGCCAACGATTTCTCAGGACGATAGCTTCTCCTTGACGTGCAAGTGTGCCATGTTGCTTCGTTTCAAGCTAGAGCCTTTTCCTCGGTTTCGAGAAATCACCTTGACAAGTCTCTAGAAGTTGGCTTACAGGCAACGACGATCTTCTCGTATCTTTCCGCCCTTGAGGCAACTGCAACTGCACCTCATGTCTCGTGTTCATCTCCCATCCGCCGGCCTGGAAGCGCGCTGTGGTAGTGACGTCGACTAAGGAACCGATGCGCTTCCCATCATCGGCTACCTACATCCTCGTGCATCTGCAGTCATGCAGTCATCCAGAAACTTCGAGAGGCGGACTTCAACGCCGCAAGAACGTCGATCGACATGTCTGATGCGCTGCCTATCTGCGCTGCCGAGGAGAGATTGCGGTTGAACAGGCGAATTACCCTCCGATTCTGGAATGTGCTGTACCGCATACTTACGCTGCCACACGTGTTGGCATCCGTCCTTGTTCTCGGTCCCTGGATCCAGATTGGACAAGGATCGGAGGGAACGGGTGGGCCGTCTGTATGACGCACTGTGAGAAGGTATGGCAAGAAGAGGCGTATGTGCAGTACACGTTGGAACAACGAGGTCTGCAGCGTGTTATGGGGATCCTAGATAGAAGCGCGTCGAAGCATTGCAGGAACCTGCGGAGGATGTAGAACTACGCAGTCCACATCATCGAATGCTGTCCCATCCAGATTTCGAACAACTCTAACGTCGCCTATGTCCGCTAATGCAAGTCCCTTGATCGTCCGCCGAATGCTTCTGATCATTCGTCTGTGTAGCCGAGGGGTTGGTATCTTGTATCTCCCATTCCCATAAACAATTAATATATCATTCGTGCGCCGATTGAACATACTCGAATATAAGTACATCTGGGAAGACGATGATGACATGAGGCAAGTTCCTCGATATTAGTTTGTATAAACATTATCTAGAGAAAATGTCCGAACTAGGGGGAATTATCTGAAGGTTGAACGAGATGCCTTCCCGAAGGTCTGTTTCGAAGGCTAGGGACTTAAATATTAAATGGTCAAGTCACTAAAAGGATAGAGTTAGCCCGAGTCCCAAGCCATATACGAATGCGTAAAATGCACCTCGCCTATTATCGAGTGCGATCTCACTGAGTAATATTCCTCAGGGCATCTATCATCGTTGGAGGCAGAAGAATCAATTTCTCTGGTACAGTCAAAGAGGAGGTTGCGAACGTCCTCAGAAAGCCGGTTCATTCGCAATTGATGATAAAGATCCCAGCCTGCCAAGGCCTGGGTGCAAGCGATCGCTCCGTTGCCACTAACGAGGGCTTCAGGGTGTTGGCAAGTAGCAGTCAAACTCTGCGCAAGTTGCCCCAAGCATATCGCCTCCAGGTAGGTAGCCCAGTAAAATTCCTCCTTAGACTCGAGGCCCGATTGCACCTCCCCACTCTGTGCCAAAACTAACCGAACTCTCCGTTGTAACGCGAGTGATTGCCGCTCAACTTCGATGGCGTAGTCGTGGAGGCCGTACTCGGCAAGCTTGCTGGCATATCTATGCATGGTGGCAGCGATGCACAAAGACCCGACGTCGTCCGTGTGTGTGTCGACTACCTCTTTGCATATCATGACGATGGTTGATTTGCATATATCCAGCCATTCGGGCGTCCCAGAACCGAACACTATAAGGTTTCCCAAAGCGTGCGAAACGCATGGCGTGAACTTACGGTGCGACGATGCAAGGCGGCGGTAGATCGTGATGATCCAGTTGTTCACTACGGCAGCGTGATGGCTCAGCCCCAATTCCCAAAGGTACGCGTCAAGCCTTAGCAATTGCCTGGCGCCGTACAGCATAGAGATATCGGAAGGCGCGGAGTCGAGCAGTTGGATGGTCTGGAAGACCTCGGTTGCCACCAGACGTATACGACTCGCCTCGGGGAATTCGGATGACGATGGGGGAGGTGGAAGTACCCGCGTGCAGTGGCCCGTCTTGAAATCGAGAACGCGGTCAAAGTCTTGAGGTATAAAGGCACGCTTGGCCCAGACACAGCTGAGGAGGTCTACAACCTTCTGCGCTTGCCAACGGAGGAATTGAGAGTCCATGGCGTTGTCCATGAACTACACAAATCACCGATGCGAAGGAATATAAAGAAGACAATGGCCACTTACCGGAGGAGGGTTGGTCCCAGATGTGTATGAATCAATGAAGAGCCGATAAAAGAGGCGGTCCATTTGATGCATCCCCGCTCGCCTCTCCATCTGATCGACGAGAAGACATTTCTCTATGTTCTGTAGGCGCATGGAGGTGATGTACTGATCGCAGACCTCAGATACGTCGGACGCAATGAGTGGTAGGTTTACTCACTGCGAATTGCCTGTGAAGAGATGAAACATGGTCCCTAAGCCTGGATATCTCGGCCTCGATTTTAGGATTCTTGATCCAGGCAATCAACATGTTCTTGATCATCCCAAGGCGACTATGCTTCGGGGGCTCTATAAGTTTCAGGCAGCGCTCGAGAACGGCCTTCAACTCACTGATGCATGCAAACATTCAGTATTTTCAAATGCGGTGAAGTGACACCTACGAGTGCAAGTTCTGCAAGGACGTGGTCAAAGGGTCGTGCCCAAGTGGTAAACCGCTGTGAAGTTCCTCCTGGCGCTGGCACAGTACTCGTAGTTCCTGAAGCTCGTTTACAATGTGGCGAGCTAGATCTTTGAGCGTTTGACGACTTTCGCTTAACTGCCATCGAGGGTCATCAGTTGGTACCAAACATGCCGGACAATGAAGCAGATGAAGCAGCCTTACTCTATCTACAGAGAATTCGATTCGATTGGCGATGTCTATGAACGTCACTATTGCTGCGGTCATTGATAGAGGGTCCATTGCGGAATGGGGTGGGGGTCCGGGCGAACTGGACGCATTCCCCCGACCGCCCACGGACAGTCTATAAGGAGGGCCTTGCCGTTTTTGTACCACACCTCAACACAGCGTCTGTGACCCTCGGTCTCCTGCAGTCGGCTACCAGGACAGCAAATAGTGTACGTACTGCGTCCACTCTTAGCTTATCCATGCTATTCCCCAACGTGCGTTTCTGGTTGAACGGGTTCACAGACTGGCATTGACCTTGCAGGGCTAAATTTCTTCTGAGGCCTAAGAAATTAGGAATTCGGCCAAAGAGATTGATTAGCTATGTTCAAGACACCGATTACCGGACTTACCCTATCGCATCGAAGTTCTTAAGAGTTCAAGAACGCTTGAGTTAACGCACCAACTTAATGTTAAGTTTCATGTTGTCCTCCTGTCCTATGGGCAGTTCATGGAATAGGTGAAGATGATAAAGGGCCGACCGCTTTCCAGATTGAGGGAAATTCTTTCCAGAGTCGCCGTATTGACTAAAGCCAAAGAGTTAATGAAGAATGAATCAGGAGCAATAATTTGAAGCCTTGACTTTTAACTATATATAGTTTGAACTTCGTAGACTGCCCGCAGGTACGCACCAGCGATACAAGAACCACATCAAACGCAGCTCAAATGGCTCGCTGCCCCATAGACATAGATCTGTTTAGGTCGTTCAGCGCCCCAGCCAAGCCTCAGCCCAACGCAACGGGTGTTGGGATATCCGGCTAAGTGGCAGTAGAATGGGTGACCAACCTACGGCATGGAGTTTAGATTAAGCTACTCTGATCAATCAATCAAAGTGAATTACGACCGCAATAACAACATAATAGTCGGTGGTTGTGCGTATCGTGTGTGAACTAGCGAACTCGTAAGTGAATTCGTAAATTGTCTCTTGCGTTGTCCCTACTACCATTGTCAGAGAAGAGACTTGGATGTTTAGATTTGTCTAGGAGCAGACTTCGAGTGTTGATTGCAACGAAAACAGGGATTCGTTAGAGTCGAATGACTTTCGCTTAAGCTTTATCAACGCCCTCATTGATTAAGCGAGCGTATGAGGAAGGGAGAATAGATTGCTACTGTTGATGACCACGATATCGTAAGGCGAATGCGATGCCATCGAAGGTCAAGTTTGTTTTAGGCGCCTACATTTTCCCGTTGGCTTCACGTTCTCACCGCCTAGTACCCGCAGAATCAGTCTCAGAAAACCAACTCGATTGCTTACATCTACCGTGGTCCTTGTTGCACACTAACGATCAAAGCATGTCGCGCTTCGCACTCAACACGCCGCGTCGCATGGTGAGTGCCTTCATCTCTCTACTTCATTGCACTTCGTGTCAATGTTCCTCTCTCTGTAATAGATTGCCGGGTTCGCAGGCGTACTTGTTGTCGCAGGAGTTGTCTTTTATGCAGCGAAACAGAGGATGGAAAAGCAGAGGAAGGTGGCCTTTGGTTACCCAACATCATGAGGGTGAGGTACGGGCGAAGATATACTGGTTAACGCTATAGGTCGGGTCCGAGTGTTTTGGCTTCGATTGTGTTCATATCGTCTCAAACAGGTCGGCTCTAAGACATCAAGCAAACATCGCTTTTGGTGGAACCCGCTCCTCAATCAGAGATAGAGCCCTCGAGTCGGGGTATTGGGATGCGGATATGGATTCCCAGCAATGTGAACATCCTCCTCGCAATCGCATGTTAGCGTATGTTTTTTATCGTTTTATCCGAACGGTGTCGTAATGGATATCCTCAATACGATGGGATTAATGCAACAGTTGCTGCTTAACATCCATTGAGTCCGACTTGACGGTAGCAACAGACTACGATTCTACGAAACTTCCTAAAGCTGGGCCGGTCGGTGTATCGGCATATATACTCCCTAGGTCATAGCAGCCCAAAGCAGTAACGAGACAGCGAGGGTTGGTAAACACGACGACCTTCGCCCCATTTGCAAGAGAAAATACCATTCACCTTGATGCGAGTGCTGGAACTGGATGAACCTCCGACGAAGAAACCCCTTTTGTGCTCATTTAGACCGCCTTCTGCGGCACTGGTGGCCTTGCAAGCGTGGTAACCTACCAACTACTCTCTAGTCTCAGGCCAAGTGCAAGGTAAACACCGGGAGTTCTTTGTGCTATTCTGATACATAGGCGCGAGGTAAGTCGTATTGCTATTGATGAGATGTCCTGACGCTGAGACACTTCCCGCTCGGATCGATCTCCTATGGGCTCTAGGCGCATCAAAGTGCTCTGCAGATGACTATCGAGGCGACATATCCTGACCCTACAATTCGGTTCAATTTGGATTCTCCTCAACCGCCTTTCTAGCACTCGTAGTGAATCACGAACGAAGCATTGAGCACACCACAAATTACATTCCTCCTGCGTACCGAAAACCCGCACAGGGTCTAGGCGATGGTAGGTGTGAAGCGCTTCGATGTCGGTTTGCGTTATGGTTTCAGTAGAATGGACCGTGAATTGGCCGCTGGAATTCGTCACGATGGCCTCCTGATGCCGACCCACTGGCTGAAGCAATGCAATCATTGCGTAGGGGCCTGGTGATCGCAAGTAGGTCGGAAATCTGCGATATTTATGGGGACGGCTGAGAGCAAATCGTAGGCCTATCTTGCGTGGAGACAAAGTCTCTGCGCGTCTTAGCTAGTACTCGGTTAGCCTATAGAAGTATCCGCCTCAGGGATGTGCATCGCTCGTTGTGCCATTGGTGAGTCTCTTCTCAGAATGGCGGAGCGGCATTAACTGACATTTCAGATTCATGCCATATATACAAGATATGGATCTGCTCACTACCTCAACCTCTGAACTCAGAGCCAAACGTGAGTGTTCTCAACGTCGACCAAATTGTTGTTTGACTGTATTTTGATGAACGCGTCGCGTCGCGTCTAGCTTCCAGGTGTGGCATAACCTTATATAATACTGGATGAGTAGTCCAAATATGGTATTATCCTCCCACGTGACCGCGATTACAAGACTCCTAGCTCAAGTCGTGCGTTGCACTCTCCTCATTAAACCCCAACCGCGCCCACTGATTTTACTTGCAACGACTTCCTTAGACATGGCAGAAAATTTACCTCCATCCCATTGATAGGCCTAGATAGTATTTGGTGGATTGCAATGACGTGGAAACGTTCAAGTACCTCAGCCGAGAACCCAACCGTGATACTGCAGGATTTAAACTACATCGGCGACGGTCGTTCAACTCTCGAACCCACTCTAAACACTAACCTCGCAGACTTCTTTAATACGGACAGTGAACGGTATTTAGGATCGCCTTTGGCACTACCGAAACCAAAATCATGGCCATTCAAGGAATCGTCACAATTCAGTCTTCTGTTCGAGAAAGCCCGAAGCACCTTCCGTGACAATATATACAGCGGTGATATATCAGTGCTGTCTCAGACATACTCTTCACCGGCAAGCGAGTCTGACACGGACGCGCCATTTGTCGGGGACTCCAGCTCTCCAGTTGAACCAACCACCCCCGAGCCACTGGCTGCCACCGTCGGAACAGACGCCGCCGAAAATGTGACGCTACCGGACACTTGGACAGGGACTCAGGCAACAACACAAGACTATCCCACAGTACCATCCGGATCCCTACTCCCAGGCAACGAAGCGGAAGCGGACGCGTCTGCGTTCATCGGGGAATCTCAGCCACCAGCCGAACCCGAGTCGGCCACAACTCCAGCGCTAGTTGAAGCTGCCGCCACTGCCACTGCCGTCACCGACTCTGCAGTGGATCACGAACATGGGCCGAATCCTGCGGCTATCGGCGAGCAGACTTTGCTTCCTGTCATCTCAGCCGTTACCGGGCTCCCTGATGGCATCTCACCAGACCGACCGTTGTTCTTCATAATCAGCCAACGAACGCTGTGCCTTTAAGGTTAAGGTTGAACGTTGATATCCCCACTCGCTCGTGTCGTCGTATATACCTCCGGAAGGTCAATCTTCTAATACAGTCCGACACCCGGCAATTACCAATTTTCACCTGAATTCACCATTTATTGAAATTTGACGTCGATGTCGATCTCAGACAAAGCCAGTACACCTAAAAACTCAAAACCCTTCCTACATGGGCCTGGGGTTTGGCAGGCGCAACCGTCTCCCTCTACCCTCCTTTACCCTTCCAACTATCCCTGCCATCATTCTGCGCTCCCTTCCTCCTTGCTGGCCGCCGACCTACGCTACCGCCTGCAGAAAGCACAAGGATGCCCACCATGTCACGCTCGCAATCACCAGGGTGCCGATGCCGATGCCAGCTACCCTCGCCTTGCCTCGTTCTTCCTTGGTATCTGCCTCATCATCTATAGATGATCGTCGCCCCGGGATCCCGCTGATACTAGCCGCTGTCGAGTGCAACATCGTCCGACCCGTTGCAAACGCAGGATCTCGATAGTACTCAGAGCTACCCGCGATGCTTCGGCTTGTAGACGCCACACGGCTGAACACTCATCAAGAGTGCTACACAAATGGACCGATACCTCACACATATCGCGACTTTTAACCGGTAACGGGCAGGGGGAGGCCGCGAAGGTTCTACATTCATTTTCGCCGCCCCTTCTTATGCTGTTCAAACAGGCTTTATCACTGCGTACGTTTCACCCTCCGGTCCGCTGTATACACGGCGTCTCTCGAACCCGTCACTTTTTTTGTCCTGTGTCCTTCCTTAGTTCAAACTCTTCACCCATTCCTCTCCTTCTGAATCAGCTCCCCTTATAGTTCATGCTTGAAACCGGGCTGCGAGTCGCTATCCAATGAGTTCATGTGGACCATTGTATTCGCGGTTGGCCTCTGGTAGAAATCGGATTCCGTAGAACACCATTGAGATTAATTGCAGGTTGCAGGGCATTGACTACCCGTAGGTGGTACCTGATGCGCAGTCGCCTCCACGGTGCACGGGTGCACCTACTACTACCTATCAGTCCCTACCACTATTTGTGAGTCATGAACGTGATTATATGTGCTGCCCACTAATGACTTACCCCTTGAATAAATGATTTGATTTAGAGTTTTATAGTTGGCAACACTATCAATATCGTTGCAGATTGTTGCATGCTCCTGACAGACGCGTCGCGACGCCCCATGGTGACGCGTACCATGCTTCCCTGATGGCACTGAGATGGGACTCGATCTTATCAGTTTACCGTTTGGACCCTACCCGGACGTGTTTGTGTTTTTGGCTTCTGTTTCAAGCGAGCCCCTTAGACACGACTCACGCAGACACGACCTGGAGAGTCAGGGTGCGTGCGGTGTTTCGGTCCCGCGTTGCAGTTTACTCATTGGCCATTCATTTAATATTGACCGACTGTAGGAATATTCAACGGTATACGAGTATCGATTAATGATCATCGATTCGATCGTATACGCGGGGTTGGAGCGTTGGAGCATTCGTTGGAGCATTGCAATTGCAGTGTGTGATCATGATCACTCATGATCTGGAGATCTCCCAACACATCACGAGAACGGAGAACGCAGAACCAAGATTGCGCTCCACTGCGACTCGCGAGCACATTGCATTCGCGTGGCTGTCTCCACGCCCCACGCCCCACTGGACCTCGCTGCGCCTACAAACCCCACACCTACCTCAATACCTCAGCGTTACTGCATGGCGACGTCTAACCAAAGAAGTAGTCGAGATATCGATCTCCCTACCTCCAGAGCCCGCACATCCCTTTCCGCTTCCCTCGCACAAAACTCATAGTTTCGCACGAAAGTCTTTTGTACCACTAGCATTTAGCGAAAGCCCGACCGCTCTGCATCTCTGTCATCTTCGTCTAATGATGTTTCTCGGATGCAAGCACGTCAAATGTGTGTTACTAAGTTTAGTAGTATAGGACTCTCTATCCGCCTCCCGCAGAGTCATGCCGGCAATGGACCCCGGTTCCGTCTTCGTCTTCTGCATTATACGCTATACACACGACACACGCATTCTGCGCAGAACCCCCTCTCCACTCTCCTCTAATCACTGTAAGGGTTGAACCCTTTCGTTCTGTGCAGTCCGGCTTCCCCTATCCCCTATCCACCCCTCTCCGACTCTTCGGACGCGCTCGCACATGACTCGGACGTCACGAACCCGTACCGGACACACGTGTTAACGGATCAGACACTGCGGATCAATGTTTCGTTCTCTTTTGTTCTCGGACTCTAATACTTCATCACACTAGTCCCATTATTTGTTCCTGGTGCCTTTTCGCCTCGGACATTTCCGATGTTTTCTTAGCTACAAAAACCTACTGCACTCGTAGTTAGAGGAATAAGATTTGTTCCCCCCCCCACATCGAGTCAGATTCTAAGCCGTCCGAACTCTTCTTCTCATCCGTTGTCAGAGTCTGCCGCTGTCCGAGTCCGAGCCCGAGTCCGATCCGAAGTTGCTTTCTCCTGCCGTCCTTGTCATTCTCCTGCCGTCCTCGTCGTACTATCCGAAGCCGGGGTGTCTGTTCGCGTCCGAGCGCGTCCAAAAGTATCCGAAGGCATCCGAAGCCGTCCGAAGCGTCCGGAGTTTCTCAGTTGTTTGTTTTCACTCTCGGACTCATCCTTATCACACTTTACTCACGCGGGTGTCGCACGGACTTGTCCTGCCGGAGGCGGACCCTCGCATTTTACTAGACTACACTACTAGTCTACACGTACATTCACTACTACATTCTGGAGCCCACCGCGAGGGTTTAAAGTTCAAGACACCCCCCCGTTCCACCGTCACCTAATCATCCTATTCCGTCATTGAATTCGAATCCCCTCCCGATCCTCTGCACGATATCTTTCCGGAAGGTCCGACGCAACGGGCTATCAACTACCTCTTCCGGAAGACATCCGAATATTTTCCGTTCAAAATAGTCCGCTCTTGGGTTCCCGATCCCAACACCGTCATTTGGCAGTTCGCACTTACCGGACGCCCAGAATCCGAGCATCCGAACATCCTATCACGCCCTAATCCTCCATCCCTCCGGCACAGTCTGTTCTATAATCCCGCCGCGGCTTACCACCGACCCACTCCGGAGTCAAACGACACTACGTCCGGAACACCCTCATCGCTCACCGAGTCGTCCGAAAATCTTCCACCCACTTCTTCACCTTCCCCTATTCCTCCTCCTACAATGGCCACAACTATGCCCGTCCGCGGTCACCATACCGCTCCGAAATTCAACGGAAAGCCCGAAGGACTCCATCGCTTCTTCTCCGAAGTGGAGTACCTCGCTGCCCGTGCTCAGGTCGAAGGCCGGGATCTCATCCGAGCTACAATCGGATATCTCGACGACTCCGACTGGGAGATCTGGCGCAGCAGTGGCGATGCAGCCGACGGAGACGACTGGGATGCTTTCAAAACGTGCATCGGGAAGCTCTACCCCGGATCGGATAACGAACGACGCTGGCGTCCGTCCGATCTTTCCACTATTGCTGCTCTCCAGTCCCAGACCCCGATGCTCACAAAGGATGATCTCGGAGTCTATCACCGAAAGTTCCTCGTCCCGGCCAATTGGCTTCTGTCCAAAAATAGCGTCTCCACCCAGGACGTCGGACGAGACTATCTTGCAGGATTCGATCCGATCACCCGTCAGAAAATCAAGGACAGATTGGCGATGGTCCACATGCAGCATCATCCGGACGATCCTTACACGATCACGGAGATCTATACGGAAGCGAACTTTATTCTCGGAACGTCGACTCCGGCGACTCTCACAACGTCTTCGACATCTCCGACAGTGAGTCCGACGGCTCCGGTTACGGTCAAAACCGAATCCGCTGACATCCGTGCCCTGCAAGCTATGATGCAGCAGTTCATGACCATTCAGCAAACGCATCCGCAGTATCCTCCTCCTCCTCCGCAATATCCGTATAATCCGAACTCATTCTATCCGTATCCCCCGCCTCCGACCGCTCAAGCATACGCTTATCAACCCGTCCCGCCCCAACAAAACTATCAGTATCCGCCTCAGCCACCCCCATCTTCCCAGAATCAGCAATCACGTCCTCCTCCGCCTCCTGCACCACAAGGGACTGATCCGAGACCTCCCCGGAAGTGTCACTTCTGTCATTCCGTCTACCACACGATGGGCTCGTGTCCGGATGCGGCCCGATACGAACGGAGCGGGTGGATCGGTCAGAACGAAGAAGGCCGATGGATGGTGCTCCCGACCAGAGAGACTATCAATCGTTCCTTCCCCGGAGACTCGTTCAAAGAGCAGATCGACAATTGGATGAGAGCCAACAATAGACCTCAGGATCGCGACGCCCCTCCTCACCCGATCGTCACTCCTGCAGCCACAAGTTCCGGAGTAGCGTCCGCGAATATGGTCGAGGTTAGCACCTACCACTATACGGAGGCCGACGAGTCCGAGTCTCGGGCGTTCATCGAAGAGCTTCCGAGCCCGTTTGATCTGGAGGAAGAAGAGAAAGAGGAGATCTTCTTGCAGGTTCTCATGCAGCGGATGCCCGACGTAGCGAAAAAGTACGCTTCATCTCAGAAGAAGAAGGATGTCCGTTTCTCCGAACCGGTGGAAACGACTCCGAGCGCTCCGGCAAAGGCTCCGTCCGAACCAACCCTTCCGCCTTCGATTCCGGTCCCCTTCCCTTCCACATCGGCCCGTTCTCAGCTAGCTGAAGCCATCGAGACCGGTCGCACGACGTACCGTCCGAACTATCGGGTCCAGTCGAACATCGAGAATCCGAAGGTGGCCTCGGATGTCCTGGAACGCGCCCTTAACACCACGCTCACTATCACGCAACGGGAACTTTTCGCACTCTCGTTTGATGCTCGGAAAGGACTTCGGGATCTTATTTCGTCGAAACGGGTCTCTACGGAGACTAACTACGCGTCCGTCAACATGGCAGCGTGCTACGACGACCCCGAAGACGTCGTGGAGGTTCTGATGTCCGCCACCCGG